CCCCCCCCCCCCCCCCCCCCCCCGCCCGCCGCCTGGGAGCCTGCTCGCGCGCCGGCCGCAGGCGCTGCTCTCGTCCGCCCTCGCCGGGGGTGATGGCGCAAAAATAGCACGCTCGAGGGCGATCGACGCGGCGGATCGCTGTGGCGAACACCCTCCGGTGCGGCAGGGGGCCATGACGCCGGATTACGCGACGCTGCGCACACGCGGCATCTGATCTTCGAGCGGCCTCGCGGACCCCGACTCAGCGGCACAACGTCCTCCCATTCGCCTGTGGCGCTGCTGTTCGCCCCGGCATGCTGCTCTCCGGATTTCTGGTTGTCGCGTGCCCCCCGGATTCTGGGCCGATTTTCCTTTCCCAATCCGGGCTAAGCCTCGTACGATTCCCAGTCCTGCGTCCACGAGCGGCGAGACAAGCACCAAATGAGCAACCTTGACCCGGCTCTTCTGTCTGCCGGGTGGCCAGGCCAAGCGGCCGTGAGCTTCGCCCGAACCCGCTTGCATCCGTCCCACGCACACGCCCTTGGACCAGCTCAGCCTCCCATCTGCCTTCGCAGAGGCCAAATTTTTCTCGGGCATGTGTCGCTGAAAAGCATTCTGGGTCGAGTCCTTTGCTCCTCCTTCGCCATTGGCTCAGTGTTGCCCGAGGACGGCTGGAGAACCACCCCATTCCAAGTCTAACACTGTCCGAGATCACAACTATGGTTCGGATCTGGCGAGGGCCCCTGCTAAGTCCGACGGACGCTCTCCAGGATCCGTCCCATCGGTACCCTCTCGTCTTCCCAATTCGTCATCTGGTGCGTCCAGCTACTCAGCCTCACGACTCCTGACAGTGGCAACTTGCCAGCTCATGCACCGTGTAGGGGATGCTGAGAGCTGAGGATCATTGACACGTGGACGGGTGTACGTCCTCGACAAAGATTGACTCTCCAGGGCTAGCGGATTTTCGTGGTGCTAGGGTCGATTTGATTGCTCATTGGACCGTTTTGCAATGAGACTAATCTTTCTCTTCATGAGCCGCTCACCGACTTTGATCAATGGCGCCTGCTCATTCAGCTAGCCCCTCTCTCGTTGGCCAGTACAGACAATACAGTCCCCTCTCGCAGCCGATGGCTAGCGCTGCTTTTGCTCATGTCATGGGGTGGTTGAGGCTATCGTCCGTACAAGAGTGTGGAATTAAAAACTCTACATACACGTCCGGACGACAGCTTCAGCTACCCACAAATGTCTTTTTTTTTTCTGAGCAGCATGGCTACGCCTGGGGCCTTACTATTCTTCATGCTAGCCGCCGGCTGCGACACCCCCCTGTAGACCGGTACTTATCAGGGAAGTTGCATGGCCCACTCGCATACTGCCTTCACTTTGGAAACTTGGCAAAGCGCAGCCTTCTCCTGCACCTAAGCCCGCTTCGCTTGCACGCGCAGTCCCACACCACAACGTGCGGCATTTTACTTTTCCCCCATTGACTCAATCGTGAACTCGCGGCGTGTCTGTCATGGCCAGGAGCAGCGTCCCGTCGATAATATTGGCCAAAGATTCCAACTTGACGGCTGACGTCATGCCTAGCACAGACTTAGACGCTGTTGAGCGAGCCTATGATGGTTCTGCCGAATTAGCATCGCTGGATTGCGGCTGAAGGCGGCGTGCCGGGTCGCGAATCCCCATCACTTGTCTAATTACCGCAGTAGTCCTCAACGTCGCTAATCCGAGTTCACTGATCCCGTCTTTCATTTTTTTCATTCTTTTTCCTTCTGAACCATCCTCTGCCACAATTTCCCAAGACTCGCGGGTTCATCAAGATGACGGTCGGTTGCCGGCAAGATAGTGACGGGCAATGCGTCACATCATGTGGCTCGTCTCCTCCAGCTTTATTGTGCGATTTCCACGCAGATATTGAGACCCGAGCATGACTTGCGATATCCGAAAAAGGTTTCGTGGACCGCTCGAAAGGTCAACGAGACAAAGCGAAAGCTAGTAACCACGGGCCACGGCGAAACGTTCGTGCAATGCATAGCTCTCGCAAGTTTCCCTGTCCGTAGACGACCACGGTATATATGCCTGTAGCAATGTTCTGGAGGGATACCACTGGTCAGCCACACGGTCGTTTAGCCGCTGTGGGGTATTTCCTTTTTTTTGGTCTCGTCGAGGACGAGCAGTCGGAACGAAGATTTCCTAAATCAGAAGTCATGTGATCGCGTGTCACCAGTGCTTCACGCTAATACGGGGTTACCTCGTATCGTCTCTTATCGGCCTAGTGCCTAGGCCAGTCCGCCGTCATCACCATGCCGCGTCGCCAGCTCACTTCTGCATCTCCCATACCCTTCCCAGCCAGCCCTTTGTGTTTGGCAGCATGCTTCGCTTCGCGGCAGATGTCCAGGCGGTAGAGTTGCTGTCATCGGAAGGGCCGATTCCAACTGCATCGCAACATGCTGCGGCCACATTTCGCAACTACTGCTGGCCGCCACTGCATTGCGACCCGTCGGATTCCGGAGAGCCTCCCAGCAAGCGTCGGCGCGTCAGTGCCGAAAATTCCATCGCGACAGAAGAATCTTTTGATAGGCGATTAGGCCATATCTGTCTCAGCCACCTTAGGTTCGAGTTGGTGAGTATGCTGTCCATCTCTGCTGCTCTTCCGCTGAGCGAGGATTAGGTATTTCAGGATGGCCAGCACGCCTTCGCGACAACCGATCAAGCCCGAGATCTCATCATCACCGGCGCAGAGCTAACCTCTCTCTCGACTTTGCAATTGCAATTCTCGAATGGAACCCCGAACACAACCCTTAGCGTGACCCTCGCAATGCAGTCGCCGTGCGATCCCTTGCTCTCGCACTTAGGTTTTATTGTAAGATTCGTGGCTATGGCGTCTTCGACCATGAGACAGAAGCCGGTGTCGCGACTGTTATCCACGCACGTCACCGTTTCCCCGGGCTCTTCTGGCGCGCCACACCCTTGCTTGGAGCTGCAGCTCTTGTGGGCAATGGGGGTTGATGGCGAGGAAAGTAGCCGGTCGAACAGCGTCGTCGCCACGCTTGAAAGGGAAGTGCTATCGTATTACTTCCCTCCAGCCAGCCCATCCGACATGCCGTGGAATATTCAATCCTTCTACGAGAGCGTCCATGTACCACCTACGGATTCCAGCGAGACACCCGACATCCCGAAGGGCCTCTTGAACTGCACCCTCTACCCCTTTCAACGCCGATCTGTCCAATGGATGTTGCAACGCGAGGCTGTCAAATTGAGCGAGGGGAATGTTGTCCCTCTAGATGACGCGCATGCCCAATCGAGACGCCCTGCGCTGTCTTTCGAGCCTGGCTTTGATTGCACCAGGCGTCGTTGCTACGTGAGTCATCTGCGCAGAATGGTAATCAGCGATCTCTCGATGCTGTCGGACAATGAAACGGCCAGCAACCGGGGTATCCTTGCAGAAGAGATGGGCTTAGGCAAGACGGTTGAGCTCACTGCATTGATCAGTCTTCACCGACGTACAATTCAACATCCAACCGTATTTGATAGATATACCGGGTCTGAAGTTGCTGCTAGCGGCGCAACACTCATCATCACCCCGCCGGGGATCTTGGAGCAATGGAAAAGAGAGATCAACACCCATGCCCCTCAACTCAAGGTCTTCCATTACCGAGGGATGCCACCAACTACGGCCCCGAAGAAACATAAAGACTCAGACATGGTCAAAGAACTGTTGAACTACGATGTAGTGCTCACTACATACCACATATTGTCTCGAGAAATCCACTACGCGAACACAGCCCCCAAACGCGATCTGCGTAGGCAGAAACAATACGAGCCCCGGCGGAGCCCGCTTGTCCAGATCTCGTGGTGGAGGTGTTGCTTGGACGAGGCGCAAATGATAGAAAGCGGGGTTAGCCAAGCCGCAACGGTGGCCAGGGTGATCCCACGGGTAAACGCTTGGGCTGTCTCCGGAACCCCGGTGAGGAAGAATGTCCAAGACCTCCTCGGGCTCCTCGTCTTCCTTCGTCTCGAGCCCTTCTGCAGCTCCAAGCCCCTGTGGAGCCGTATTGATGAGAAGAGCTTCCACGAAATTTTCTCGACCATTGCCTTGCGCCATACGAAGGACCAAGTTCGTGAAGAGCTTCGACTACCGCCCCAAAAACGGATCGTCATGCTCGTCCCCTTCACTCCGATCGAAGAACAGAATTACAGCCATCTGGTCCAGCAACTTTGCGAGGACTGTGGGTTGAGCCCGGAAGGGAAACCGATGGGAGACGACTTTAATCTGGAGGATCCGCGCATCGTGGAAAAGTTGCGCGGCTGGCTGACCCGCCTTCGTCAGACCTGTCTCCATCCACAAGTTGGTGGGCGCAATCGTCGAGCTTTGGGACGTGGCAACGCGCCTTTGCGAACGGTCGATGAAGTTCTGGACGTCATGGTCGAGCAAAACGACACTCTTGTCAGAACGGAAGAACGGGAGCATGTCTTGGCTCAGGTAGTGCGCGGCCACATTTTTGGGTTTGCCAAGAACGACCCTGAGCGTAGTCTCAAGGCACTGGATATTTACAGCGATGCCCTAAAGCAAGCTGAGATGTTCGTCACTGACGCTCGCCGGGATCTAGCCCAAGAGGCGGCAAAGTTGCGTATCCGAGTGGCAGGCTCAACTGACGGGCTAGAAGTGGATCCGAAGGCGGAGAGTGAGGGTGAGAGCGAAGAGGAAGACCAGGATGGGAAGAAAAATGGTCGCATGGCTATCTTGCGCAAGGCGCTCCGATCTGCGCTCGAGGTCCAACACATTTGCACATTTTACGTTGCATCTGCGTACTATCAAATCAAGACCAACGAAGACCTGACACAACCTGAATCGGATGCTTTCAGGGAGTTGGAGAGGTCTGAGATGCAGTATTATGACCAGGCGAAGGTGATAAGAAAGGAGTTGCTGCGGGAAAGCCATTACAGAGCAGAAAGAGTCATGCGAAAGATCAAGGCTCAGGCCAAGGTACGTGCAATATTATTCGAGAGGCGTTTTCTCTTCCAATCGGTATTGCTGACGGTGTACCCAGGCTCCGATCACGGAGATCCCTATCCCCGATGATCATGGTGGCATAGAGAGCCAAAGGATCCTGGAGAAAATGGACCGTCTGGCCGAAGGTCTCAACGAGCAAGGCATTCGACTCAATGAATGGCGGCAAGAGGCTGCCCGGATACTGCTGATGCCTCTGGTCGATGAGGACGACCAAGAAACCACTGGCGAAGAGTATGAAGCTAGCACGAAGGCTCAAGATGAACTTCAGGCATATATCACCATGCTCCGTGCTATCATTGCGGACAGGCATCGCTTCTTGACAGGCCAAACGAATAATTTTATTGACGAGGAAACGAATGCAGCCCGAAAACAAGCCAGAGACGGAAATGGCCCGGCGCCCGAGTTACTGCTGGAGCTGGCTGCGACGCGCGATCGACTTAAGCCTACCGACGCCGACGATTCCTTGAGGGGCATCATTGCAGAAGCCCGGTCCCTAGCCACTACCTTGCAGTGGTCTTCGGAGAGCAGAAACGCGAGAGCGGGCGTAGAGCTAAGACTTGCGGAGAAGCAACTCGAAGATACGGGCAAGATTTTCAATGCAGAGATCAAGAAGTTGGTCGAGCTGGAAAAGGAGCTCGAAACGTATCGGACTTGCATGAACCTGCGGGTAGAATTTTACAGGCAGTTGCAGGTTCTCAGTGATCAGCTTCAGCCATACAAAGAGGAGCTGGATGAAACGCTTGACAGGGAAGCCTTGCGCGCCCAGGAGCTGAAGGAGAAAAGGACAGCCGATCGGCTGGCAGGACTCAAGACGAAGCAAAGGTTTCTGCTCCACCTGAAGAGCGAGTCGAACGAGCAAGATGGCCCACGGCTATGCGTCATCTGCCAGAGCGACTTCGACATCGGCGTGCTTACAGTGTGTGGTCATCAATACTGCAAGGAATGCTTCACGGTGTGGGCAAGACAGCATCATACCTGTCCGCTCTGCAAACGGCGGCTGAATCTGAGCCGGGACTTCCACGAGATCACGTACAAACCCAAGGAGCTGCGTGCGCAAGAGGAACGCCAAGCCACGCCGCTATTAGACGGGCACTCGTCTCCCGGGTCGGGAAGCTCGTCCATCTACACCGAACTGAGCCAGTCGGCAATGAACGAGATCAAGTCATTCGACCTGAACGGGTCGTTTGGCACCAAGATCGACACGCTGGCGCGGCATCTGCTGTGGATCCGACAGAACGACCCGGGCTCCAAGAGCGTCGTCTTCTCGCAGTACGGCGACTTCTTGAAGGTGCTGGGCGACGCGTTCCGGCAGTTCCAGATTGGATTCGCCAACATCGCGGAGAAAGGAAGCATCGAGAGATTCAAGCAGGACGCCAGCGTCGAGTGCTTCCTCCTCGACGCGAAATCGGACGCGTCGGGGCTCAACCTGGTGAATGCGTCGTACGTCTTCCTGATGGAGCCGCTCATCAACGCGGCAATCGAGCTGCAGGCGATTGCGCGGATCCACCGAATCGGGCAGCAGCGGCCGACGACGGTGTTCATGTACCTGGCGGTGGAGACGGTGGAAGAGAACATCTACGACATCAGCGTGCAGCGGCGGCTGGAGCACATGGCAGGACGGGCGAAGGGCAAGTGGCGGTCGGGCTCGTCAACGCCGGGGCTGCAAGAAAAGGAGCTGGATGCGGCCAACACGCTCGAGATGCAGCAGGCGCCGATTTCCAGGCTGCTGGTGCAGAAGAAGGGCGGGGGCGAGGTGGTCAGCAAGGAGGACGTGTGGAGCTGTCTCTTCGGGCAGCGGCAGGCGAGGGGGCGCGGCGTCGTGGAGGAGGAAGTCGGGCGGTTCCTGCGGGCGGAGGCGGCGGAAGGCAGGATGGGGCAGTAGTAGAGGTACGTAGCGACGAAATGTCTGCTGGCACGGGAACGCTTTGTCTGGCAGCGTGCATTCCGCACCGACCCGTGGGATCGGATGCTTGGCGAAGGCTTGAGTGGATTTAGCTGGCGAATCAGCGGGCGCGGGTCGTGGGGCAGCGCCCTCTTGTTGCGGCCGGTTGACAGCGTCAGGGACTGGCGGGCTGGCTGCGCTGTGCTGCGCTGCGCGCGCTGCGCTGGCTGATTCTCGCACGGCCTAGCTACCCCCTAGTCCGCGTTCCCTCTCGTTCGTCACAAGTCACAAGTCAAGCGGCCACCCTTGCGCCGCCCCAGGCCCTCCCTATATCATCTACCGCCAACGTCTGCCCCTGCGCTGTTCCACCGCTTCGTCTTGTCCCGCATCTTGGCACCTCAGGCTCAGCGAGCCAAGAACACCACCATCGCTGTGTACGCCCTCCCCACCTTGCCCTGCACTGCTGCTGTGCTGAAGCTGACGTGCGATGCCCCCCAGCCCGCCTCGCCGCGACCGCCGAAACCGCTGCCGCCCCCTGCCGCGCACCTCACCGCGCTCCATCTCGTCCTGGGCTCCGCCGCATGATGTGAGCACCTGCACCCGAGCATGCCTACCAGTACGGCTCGCGCATCCCCCACAACGTCGCTGTCGCCGTCCCCGGGCCCGGGCAGGTCGCTGCTGTTGAGAATCAAGTCGCCCTTTTTCGGCTCCAAAGCCCGCCACATCTCCGAGTTCTACATCAAGCCCGACGACCCGCACCGCCAGTACTCGCCCGGCGACATCATCACCGGCGCCGTCATCCTCAAGGTCGTCAAGCCCATCCGCGTCACCCACATCGTCGTGTCGCTGCACGGCTATGTCCAGGTCTACAAGAACCCCAACTCGCCCGGTGACGGCTACCGCTCGCACTACTCGGCGATAGCCACCGGCAAAGGCAGCCGCATCGGCGGCTATTTCGGCAATGGCTTCGCCTCGCTGTTCGAGGACGAGGTCGTGCTGTGCGGCGAGGGTCGTCTTGGCGAGGGAACCTACCAGTTCAACTTTGAGCTGGAGTTCCCCAGCAAGGGCCTCCCCAGCAGCATCGATGTGAGTTGTCCCGCGCGCTCCCGTGTGCAAGCTGCTGACCCGTGCCCAGTTTGAGCGAGGCACCATCTCGTACATGCTGACGTCAACAATGACCCGTCCCACCACCATCATGCCCACTGCCACCTGCGACAGGAAAATCTACCTGATCGAAAGCATAGACATCGCTCCCTTGATCCGTCCCAAGCCGAGAATCGTCACCCTCGAACGCGTGTCCCGCCGGTCAAGGGCGAAAAGCAAGGTCAAAAAGGGCACTAACACCGGCTCGGGCTCCAACGGCGAAGGCTCCAGCGGCGACCAGTCCAACGGCCAGCCCCCGACCGAGCCTTCTCGCAGCAGCCGAGTCTCGGAGCTCAGCGAGGAGGTCGACACGCCGGGAAGCCCGGCCCCCAGCGACACGAGCTTCGAAAGCCATTTTAGTAGTAGCCAAGGCGGCTCCTCCAACGCGTCGGGCGCACTATCCGCAAGAGGGACCGAGAGCGGTAAGCAGGGCTCGAGCAAGAGCGTCTTCGTGGACAAGAAGCCCATCACCGCTACCATCGAGTTGTTGAAGGCTGGCTTCCTTCGCGGCGACAGCATCCCGCTGAAAATATGTGTCAGCCATACCAAACACGTCCAAAATCTGCGCGGGATCATCGTCACTCTGTATCGGCAAGCCCGGGTGGACATGCACCCCGCGATTCCCGTCGTAATGAATGCCAAAGGCGAGAAGGTCTCGAGCGAGGATTACTACCCGAAATCGAAGACGGGCCTCGGCGGATTGTCTCTTTCTTCTGCTGGATCCAGCCATGTTTTCCGGAAAGATCTCGCCCAGTCCTTTGCGCCTCTGATCGTGGACCCTCGCACACGGACTGCCGAAGTGAAAGCATCAGTGCGCGTGCCAGACGACGCCTTTCCTTCCATCACATCCGTTCCCGGGGCGATGATATCCTTCAAATATTACGTCGAGATTGTCGTGGACCTTCAAGGAAAACTCACCGGGCTGGATAAGTATTTTTCTAATTCGGGCATGATGCTCGCCAGTGCTCCACAGCTCGGCAAAGCCGAGGATACCAACTCTGGCGTCTTTTCGGCTTGGGGAGGCCATTTTTTGGACACGGAGCCATTGCGGAGGGACAAAGGCGTCGTGTCTTGCGTGTTTGAGGTGATAGTTGGCACTAGGGACAGTGACCGGCGAAAAGGAAAGCGGAGAGCAACATCCGACAACGAACTTGACCACCCTCTTTCCGTCAATGGAGACGTGAACGATCTGAATGAGGAACGGTCTCAGCTCACAGGCTACGCATCGCAGCAAGCTGCGCTCCCTCTGCAGACCGAGCAAGACAATTACTACTACGGCCAGCCTCTCTACGGCGAAGGTTATAGTGAAGAAGTACCGCACCCTTACGCTCATCCGACATATCCCGTGTCAGACCTCACCAACGAAGATGCACTGCCTGAAAAAGAACGGCTGCGTCGTGCAGAAGCACGTTTGATGCCCAGCCAGCCACCAGTAGAAGGCGGCTCTTCCGCAGCTGACGCGATTCACGTGCCCTCAGCACCCGTCATTCCGGAGGAAAGGCCTAGTATGATGTATCAGGCTGCATCTTCAGCAGACGTTGCAGGCCCCTCCGCCCCTCCGCCGGTCGCATTTGGGCCACCATCTCCAACCGCCTCCGAGGAGACCGCCGCTCCAACGTATGAAGAAAGGCAAGGAGAACCAAGTCACTCTTCTCAACCCGCAGCCACGGATGACAAGCACGAACTCGCACGAAGGAGGCTTGAAATGGATAGGAGTGCACCAGACGAGGTGTTAAACGAGAGAGGAGCGGGTGACAATGACAGTAGCCCAAGCGCTCCACCAGTTGTTACTCTCGCCCCTTCGGCACCTGTGCTCACGGATGAGGAATACGTCTTTCCTTCAACGCACCCCACTGACCTACCGAGATACGAGCGGTGATGAACAATAACAAGGCGTTAAAACTTTGGCGTTTAAGGATGTCAGGCACGAACAAAGTTTGGGGCTCGTTAGGTTCGATCTTTGACACGAGCATTGGGCACATCTCTCCTTTTTATATGTAATTTTTGTTTTGTTTTGGCGTGTTGATACCCAGGTCCGGCTCGGAACGATCGCACGGGCTTTTGGCTTAAATTTGGGAAAGAAGGGGTTTAGTGTTGACGGCTGCATGTCATCCTCGTTGTGGAAGAAGTGAAATAAAAAAAATAATCTACTGGGGTGCTCTTGTCTTAACTGAGAGATGAAAGAGGACATTGGCATTCAAGCCTGCTTTCATCTGTTCTACAAGGGCTGATAGGTCGGAGGCAATGGGGCAGTCAAGATAGACGCCACCATTAGGAACTTATAATCGCAAGTGAAAAACGAACAGATGATAAAAAGAAAGGAAGTCCCATTCGGTCCGTTTTTGACGAGAGCTACCTAGTGCTAACATCCAATGGTGTGTGCTTACCTTACTCGAGAAGAGAGCTTCATTGACCTTCCACAACTGTCTACTTTCCGGCCAAGACTAATGGCTATGCATCCTTTCTATTTCTCCACGTTTACCCACATACTACCACCGCCATGATCATAGCAGGACCCATAAGCAGGCTAACTGTCGACAGGCGGGTGTAAGTAAGGACGGATGGGTAATGTGCTCACGCAGAAAGAAACTCGATTCATTGTCAGCACTAATAAGAGTGTGATGTGCACGGTGCTCGTTTCGTCCACGCAAGTCGCAAGACGATCTTATAAGGGTCTGCCACGTTAACTTCTTATTTGCCCTGTGCTTATTGGCCCTCTTTCTATTTTGGTCTTCCCTCCGCGTTCCGATGCCTGAGGCTGTGCGTCCGCGCAGGAGCATTATCACGGCTGAAACCTGTTTCTTTTGGAGAGAAGAAGTTTAGCGTGCCTGATCGGCATGGATGCCCTCGTTCCTGAGACTTTGCGTGTGGCCGACCAATCGTTGGCGATGGTCATCGTTCGAAGCCGACCCACCATGGGCGCTGAGCCAATCAATCGATGCGAACCGGGATGCATACGCTACGTGAGGCAGCGGCGAAGCAAAGCGAGACGAAGAAGCCACGAGAAAAAAAAAAGCGGAAGGGCTGAACAAACAAAATGCGGTCGGCTCTTCCGAATCAATCAAGTCAAGCATAGGTGCCTGCCGGCTGATTGTACAGGCGAGGTGGCGGCCGGTAAAACCACCCCTGGAGCGCCCGACTGCTATTGCATGTTGTGCTGAAGGTTGTTGCAAGCCAGCAGCCGCAGTGGAAGCAGGTCACGGTACTAAAAGCCGGGGTGTGAGGCTAATAAGCGCCCTTGTGCTCTAAGCGCCCACGCGCTGGGGTGCCGGGAGGCCCGTGCAGCATGTACCTGTACCATCCCCCGCCCCCCCAGAGCAGCAAGCCCTGATTGGTCGGAGGCCGGGCGCTTCGAACATGCACGATCTCACACAAGCAAACGACGCACCCGCCGCCCCTCGTCGTCCCCCCCGTGTTTCGTGTCAATCCTCTTCGAAGGGGCTGCTAAAAATGGTCATGCTAGCACGCCATTGGTTCAGCAGAACCGCGCAGCTCCTCGTTCCCTGCTCTCATTTGCCCCCTCCTCCCCACCCCAGCGTCACCACCGGCGGGCGCTTCGTGCTGATTCGTTCGCTCCCACGGGAAGGTTACAGGACGCCGGGATGGCATTTTTTAGGGTCGGCGGCAAAGAAACCACGCCGCTTTAACGCGAGCCAACACAACGGCCACCTCTTTCCCTTCCTCTTCCTGTAGACAGGAAAGCGCTGTGGGTACGGCTAGGTGTGCTGCATCGAAAGCAGCAGTTGCCCCTCTTGTCGGACCCAGTTCCGGCGCATCGGCAAACTGGCTCCTCTTTTCTTCGTTTACTTTCTGCACACGACCGACGAAGCGCGTCTGGATTGGAATGTTTGTTTTGATTCCCATCTCCGTGTTCTTCTCCTGCTCTCGCTATCCCCTGTATGCACGACAGCCTCCAGTGCGCCCACTTATGTTTGACCCGTGTACACGAGAGATATGTATCCCAAAAAAGACAGTGAAAAATTGACGCCCTCCCATGTTTCCCACATCTCGCCCACTGCGCCCGGCGCTAGAACCAAGGAAAAGGCCAAAGAGACTTTGTGATCAGACACCCAACAAGTTGTAACAACAAGCCAATGGCACCACCCTATGCAACTCGGACGACAAAAGGAGCCGGATGTGTGCTGTGTCGACGTCTCGCGCCCAGTAGAGCGGAAGCAAATAGAGTCAAGAAGCAGAGTGCCGAAGAGTAGAAGTAGTATGCCGCTTGCGTGATATGTCGAACTTCATCCGAGCAGATTTTGTTTGTTTTTTGTTCAGCAAAAGTTCGTCAGAGCCATTACGTCGTAGATAGGTCTCCCTCCTCTAAAGTAGAGGCAGCACCTCGGCGGAGGAACCACCCCCGAAAAATAACAAAGGAATTATGGAGAAGGCAATGAGGGACAAAGGAATAGGTAAAATGAAGGCGAAGATAGCACTGTCCATGCGCATAGGCGCGGGAGAGATAGCGGTCAGCCGCTCGCCAATGGCGGCAAAGTGGACAGAATAGGCGGTGGAGTAGGTGGAGCTGCGCGGCGTGAGCAGAGCGCACGCGTGCGGCACGGCACCGTCTGCGCCGCGGCCATCTACTTGATTCGTCTCCGCTTGCCCTTGGGCGCAGGGTCCAGAGGGGCGACATGTCCAGCATCGACCGGGGTGCGGGTGTAGGTGACGGTGCGAGTGACGACCTGGCGCACGCTGACTGCGCGCGTGTCTTTGGTCTTGGCGTCCAGGCTCCACGCGCCAGGGCTCATGGTTGCGCTGTAGGGCGAGTGCAGCGAGCGCGCGCTCAGAGGGGTGCGCAGGGCGGGAGAGAAGGGACTCTGCGGGATGAGCAGGCGTGGGGTCCGCGCAGACATGGGCCGAACGAAAGGCGATGGTGGGGGGATGGTGACGCGCATCTCGGTTGCCGCCGTCTTCGCAGCGTCGGCGGCTTTGGTCTCGTCAGGCGGCGGCGAGCCGCTGGATGAGGCGGGCGAGGCGGGCTTGTCGGCAGCAGACGAGGTCGAAGTGAAGGTGGTTGCCGACGAGGCTGACGACGTCCGTGACGTCGGCGGTCTCTCCTCGAAGGTGAATTTGGTGCTGGTGCCGGTGGGCATGGGGCTCATGAGGGCAGGCGAGAGGGCCTTGAGGAAATCGACGTAGGCGGCGGGCGGCGTGATGGGCGTCTTCTCGCCCTCCTCGCGCTTGACAATCGACGGCGTGGCAACCTGCGGGCTGCGCAGCTCCGACGGGTACGTGGCCGACACGGGCGTCTTGAGGGCCGGCAGAGTTGGCTTCGCAGAGGTGGCAGCCATGGCGGGCGATGTGGGTGCGGGAGTGTCGACGGGCACCTGGAGAGGGCGAGTGGTGATATTTGGGGGTGGTCAGGCGTGCCGCTGGGCGGATGTTTGGGCGCGTAGCTGAGGGTTAAAACAGCGAGGGGTGTGATGCAAGCCGGACAGGCCCTTGTAGGCTAGCAGCGGGGCCTGCGAGGCGAACGGCCGGCCAGTGCGAGCGTGACCGGTGAGGTGCGGCGCTTATGGACGCCGCGCAGCTGTGACTTGTAGGCGTCCTTGCAGCGGAGGCAAAACAACGAGTGCGTGCCGGCAGAGGGCGCGCGCAGCGGCCCGTTTTAAGTCGTTCCGCTCTGCTGCTGCTGCCGCCGGCGAAGCGCGCGAGTCCAGCGCCCGCATGCCACTGGCTGCGCCTAGGACCCGCTGCGAGCGCCAGCCGCCCGGCCTGCACCAGCGAATGAAGCTCACGTGGCTGCGGCGAAACGACACGCCCTTCGGCTTGCCGTGCGGCTTGTGCCACAGCTGCCGGCAAGCCGTCGTCCTTCCGTCCAATCGCTATCAATTCGCCCGTCGTCTATCTCACTCCGGCACCACTGCGTCGCCGACGGAGATGGTGGGATGCTGCGCCAGCACCGACCCCTCCGCCTGCCACGGAACATGGCACGCGTGCTGCCCAAAGTACACCTTGCCCTCCCGCCGCCGCGTCTTTGCCAGCGTCACGAACGGCTCCTCGTTCTTCGTCCCCGCCTGCTGGTCGATGCACACCATCTGGCACCGCCGGCAAGCCCCAAGCAGCTGGAACCGCTGCTGCCCCACCGCAATCCCCTGCCATGAGTCCTCCGCGTAAGGCTGCTCGCCGCCGGGCCGGCTGTGCAGCCGCTCTGCTATCACCACGTTGGCCCTGAACACCTCGGCCTCGGCTGCCTTGCCGCCGCCCGCCTTGATCTGCTCGTTGAGCCGGTTAACGCTGGAGCGCGAGATGACCAGGATCGGGCTCTCGTTCGACAGCAGGATTGGCCGCGCCGCGTCGGGGAACGCGCCTGGCATCGTCTGCTGGAGGTGCGCCTTCGCGTGCCTCGTCGAAGCGCCTGTGCCACCGGCGGCTGGGAATCGCGCCAGCGTGCAATCAACCCCCAACGCCTGGCTGAAGAAGTCAGAAACCCTGCTCGATGCGTAGCGCTGCGCGGCTACCACGTCTCCGCACACACGTGTTGAGATCGCCGACTTGTGTCCGTTGGGCCCGGCAAAATACGAAGGATCTGCGGAGAGTGGGATGCAGATCTCTGAAGCCGTGTCCGATGACGCACTTCGCACACGGAGGCATCCCTGCTCCAAATCGATGCTCGGTCGAATCAAGGCCATGCGTGGGTACTTCTTCTGGCTCAACGCTGCCCCGCTGCCCCGGTGCACCAGGCACCATTCGCGATCCCAAGCAAGCCCTTCCTTGCGCACCTCCCAAGCCTTGCCTGCCGGTATCTTCCACCCGGCACAGCTCTTGATCGGATAGATGGCCAGGCTTTCCACGTAGAACCTGCTGTCTGCCCTTCTTGCCCCTGACTCGGCCAATGGCGCCTCAACGTCTGTCGTTTCCACAAAGAATTCCCGCACAAACTCCAAAAATCTGTCGACGTCCGTCGTGGTGCTCGGCGCTCCCACGCTCACGCGGATCATGCCTGTCGGCTTGCCGCCCATAACGTCGTTTTCATTTCCACAGCGCTGCCCAGCCGAGAAGTTCTCCTTCATCTCCCACGGCGACAAATCCAACGCTGCGGCTATGCCGCCTGGGTTACAGAGGCCTCCTGTCCTCAATTGGATGTTCTTGATGGATGCTAACCGCTCGACTTCGAAGTTACTGGCCCATGCTCCCTGGCTGTTGCGAATGTTGAAAGCAACGATTGGACCCTGTTTTTTGGAATCGCTGTAGGCATTCGACGCATCGGCGTATATCTGACACACGGGCAAGCCGTTCCCATGCCGGAGGGATGACAGCCCGTCGAAAAGTCTTTTTGCAAGGAACATGGCGTGACGCGAGACGCGCTCCAGGCTCCCGAACAGCTTCTGGTGCACATCCATGGCCGAGTGGAGCGCCATGATGCTGTGGATGGGCAGGGTTCCATCTTCGAGATGATCATGCAGTGATTCTTCTTTTTTGGCGTGCCACTGTTCCTTCAAACAAACTACCATGTCCACCGTCCCGCCGCCGAAATACCGCCTCTTTTCGAAGATGGCGGCGGCCGTCTTGCGGACGATCATCGCTCCGAGATCCGGGAAGCCGAACACCTTGTACAGACTTAGGACCGTGAAATCCGGGGCCATCTCAGACTCGCGAAAGTCTAGCGGTGAAGTCGAAACAAACGCAGCCGCATCCAGGAGGCTGTATGTGGCCTGCTTCACGCTCAGTTGAGCGACTCGTGCTCTAGCGCACCAATCCAGAGGTAGACGGCGTCCGTTCATGTTCGACTGTGCGGGGTAGGCAAAAAGCTCCACGGGGGCGTCGGGCGAGATGTCCTGCTGGGGCTTGTGCGTCAGCCACTGCTCCACCTCGTCGTCTGAGGAGAAACAGCGGTGTTGGCTGGCCAGCTCCCGCACCCCAAGTAGACTCGTATGGCATTCTCGGTGGTAGGCGTAAGAGAAGCCTCTGGGTTGGTCACGAAACGCCTCCAGCACAAGCTTGACGCCTGCAGTGGCGTTTGCCACGAAAATGACGTCGAAGTCTTCCGGATCGGCGTGGAACATGTGCAGCAGGCGCAGACGGGCATCCTCTATGCGCCGCGCCGACAGCTGGGATGCGCTGGACGCCGAGTGCGGGTTTCCGTACAGGTTGCCGATCATGTCAGCGGAGAAGCGATCGATCAGGGATTTAGGGTAAAGCGTGGTGCCGGCATGGTCGAGGTAGACAGAGTCTGTAGCACGCGCCCGTAAGCCACAGGTAAAGGAGCGTGGGCATGGGGCTCTGGGTACCTTTGAGCATAGGGAACTCCATCGCACGGATATCGTCCACTCCACGGTTGTAGGCGCCTGCGGTGGCGATGAGCTGGGATCTGAAGTGCGACAGCATGATTGATGCACTCCGCTTCTCAGCCGCAGTCGGTCAGTGGAGGCAGGCAAGGTGAGAATATATCCATCGGTGGGCAGGGGCGACAGTGGGGAGGCCGTCGGCAGTAGAATACAGGTCGTGGCAGGGAGGCGGCGGGCGCCGAAGGGTCGCCTCCGCAATCAGCACGCGCCACCGACAGTTTTCCGGACCGATGAAGCCGCAGGCGACTCAGTCCGAGTGGAATCAAATGCGTCTGTATCCGAGAGCGCGCCAAAGAATGGCCGGCTAGCAAGCAAACGTCCAGGGTAACAAAGGGCTCACGGGGCTGTTGTGGCAGCGTTCCGCAGGAGTGGCGGCCAGGTCCGGCAAAGGTGGGGGCACTTGGCCCTGGCTAGCGCTGCCGGATTAGGAAAGTGTGCACCTCCACCTTTCCTGCTCCGTCAACACCCTAAGTAGAACGCTGCAAAGCGTCATCACTTACTCGAACGAAGAGTAGATTACTATACCGACAGTCTTTGAGAGCACGAGGCAAGAAAGCCTTCACTGTCAGTCCGTACGCTTCATTATGATATCAAGAAAAGCTGGGTCTCTCCCTTGAGGCTAAGGCTTCTATTAAGAAAAGGAAAACTTCAATGTTTTTTTTGGGGGGGGTTGGTTGTTTTGTTTTCCCGTTTTTGTTTTTTTGTCTTGAATTCCTCCCTTCATCGTCGTGGCATGTTACGCAACGTCACCGGAGGCTTTGCCATGGGACACCTGGCCCATTCACGTCGCTGAAACCAGACTAGCTACACCCTGTTCCGATAATTACTCATATTGAGATGCCATACAGTCCGAGATTTCTTGTCTTGTGCTGCGCAGGAAACTGTCCGAAGAAGATGCCCATGCGGCGCTCAGGGTTCGCCAGTGATGACTCTCAGAGCGGTGGGGCGGTAGACGCTGGTACCGAAGATTGAACCTCCAGACTCCTCGCCAGGTCCTTCAGCGCGAAGAGGGATGTTGTCGAAATTATAGTTACGCTTGGCGCGTTGGACGCCGTCGCGACGGGCATTGGAATACTTCATCGTGTCCGAGGGAGAACCACCTCCAGCAAGACCGTGAAAGAACTTGCAGTTTGCACCGTTACGGCAGTCGCCCAAAAGCCAGTAACGACAGGTGACTGTCCGACCAGCACTACTGATGTACACGTCAGCCAGATGTCAGGATTGATATGATTGGGGATTGCCTTACTCGTCCATGCTGGTTTTCTCGTGGGCTAGCATCAACGTAGATGAACCAGTCTCAAGCAGCTTGTCGACAGCCTCTATGTAGACATTAATGAATGAAATGCTTAAAAAAGGAAAAGAGCTCCTCGTATTGATAATGAACTCGCAGCAGATATGCTACGTGGGCGCAGCGGCTGGCAAGACCTAGAAAATACGCTAGGAGAGCTTACCCTTGCTCAGCTCATGCGCCATGCGCATATCGACTGGCCACCCAAAGAGCCTCTCATCAGTCATCCACTTGACTATGTGCAAGGCATCTTTGTCTTTAGCCGCGTCCACAAGAGCATAGCCAGGCTGTCCGTTGGGACGACGGAAGATCGTGATGCTTTCGCTGTGAACATCAAAGCTGTCAGAAAGGCCGGACATATCCTCGTGCGTCATAAGGGAAGCTTACATTGACTGCCCCGCATTAGCCTTCTTCTCGACGAGCTCCTGAATGTCCTTGTCGTTGGCTCCAGAGGGAAGGTTGCTCATGCAAATGCGGCGACCGGAATTGACGAGGAAGTCGTTGCGCACAGCATCGGGGCCGTTAGAGCCCGACGAGATCTTCTTAGCATCAAAGCTCTTGTTGGTCTGGATATCACCGTCGCTAGGCCGAGCAACGATTGCCATATTCTCGGAAGTACCATGAGCTTGAGCATTATGGATAGCAAACTCTTCGGCATCCTTCTCGCGCTGGAGAGGGCCCTCCTCAACCTTCTTGACTTCAGCGTAGTAGCGGCAGTGAGCATCTGCTGGGGCCTCATTTCCATCCGCGTGCTTGCGGTTGTGGTCCTCAGCTTGCACAGAAGCATGCTCTTTGGAATGAATGGCAGTAGCGCCGAGAGCCATGCTTTTTCCAGTAGCTGCGGTCATGGCCGTGGTCGTGGGCGTGCTCGTGGGAACAATCTTGACGGCACCCCGCTTGGCGATCCTCTCCTTCGTAGGAGGCTTGTAATCCTGGCCCAAAAGAGACCTATTGGAATGATGGTGCTGAGCATTGGTGAAAGGCGTAAGCGGACTACCAGTAGCAACGCCGCCGCCGATGTTGCTGACATTAAGGCGAGGAGGATGGGGGATGCTTGTAGAGGCAGCAGAGCTCTGGTGCGAGTTCTCGGCAGAAGCTACATTTCCACGCGTAGCGAGATCGTGGTCGGCCAACGGGGAGCGTGAAACAGGCGCGATCGCTGGAGCAGATGCAGCGTACCTAGATCCACGAAGACCTCCAGGCACAGGAGCGAAGGAGGTGGAGATAGGCTGTGCATCAGGAGGGTCGTTCTCAACCAGGGCGGTTTTCGTGGTTGGGACTGCCTGGCTGGGGATAACCGGCTCTGGAAACCGGGGTGTCAGCCTTTGGGTAGATAAGGTATGGAGGGTGAGGGACTTACTACTGCTTTCCGTAGGCTTCGAGTTGTTCTGGCTGATGCTGAGCTTGAGAGCGGCAAGCTCGGCTCGAAGCCGCGCGAGTTCTCCAGTTTGATCCATGTCTATTTGTTGAGAGCCTTGCTCCGACACGACAGCAGTTTGCTTCGTCACCGCGTAGGCCGAGTTTGGGGGTGGCTGTCGGTAGTGAGTCTCATGCACAGGGAGAGGACGCGAATGGTGTGGAGCTAAAGAGAATGAAATGTCAGCGCGGATCAAGACCCAACCAAATAGCGCGTCGCATTTGTACCAGGTCTGGAAGGCTGCGCGAAGGAAGCCGGCTCAGAGCCTGCAGGCACCCGTGGGCGGTTGCCGTGCGGGATCTGCGAGCGTGGCATGTCGCATCGGCAGAGCTGAGTGGAAAGGGAAGAAAGGCTCGCAGCGATTAGAAGAGTGCGTGCTTACCGGTGGGCTTCAGATTGTTGGTGGAGAAGCCCGGCGGCGCGGTGCGTCGTGGGTAGATGGTGAAGTGAGGAGGAAGGTCGTAGCATGCGATTCACTTCAGCAGCTGCCTAGGTAGCGGTCACATCAGGAAGTCGCGCGCCCACTCGCTCCTTCTCTATGTTCGGAAAGGTGGGTTCCACACGCTTCCATCACCGTCGCTCATTGCAGTAGGCAGTGGAAGGTGGCACCCCTTCAGGCAAACGAAATTGCTAAGACTGCATAGCCCATAGGTTTAGACGAGCTCTTGCTACTGCAGAAAGATGTAGTCCCTTCCGGAATCCATCCCTTCAACGAGACCAGAAACGCCTGCCATGGCCTGGCTGGGGCAGGTAAGTAGTCAGCTCGCATCGGTACTAGACACGTAAGAACCAGAGAAATCGTTCTTCCGTCGGGCTCAGTTATCCAAACTCTCAAGCCGAGCAGATCATCGAGCGAATTTCACTCCAGTGGACTTTTTGTGGGTGGAATGTGTGACAAGTAGACGGAAATGGACTCTACAGAAGTGGGAAGCGGTAAGCAACACGACCGAACTTTGCGAAAAGAGCACCACAGTGAGAAGAGGCATCCCAATTGACCAACGACCTAATGCATAGCCAGTTTGGGCGGCATATCATCACGTGAAAAGATGCAGTCGCAACGTCGCGAATGTAAGAGCAAGGCCGGAGTTTTTCTAGGAAACGCGCGAACCCTCAGCTGTCTACTGTTTCTTTTTGCCCTCCTTTCCCTTGCGTTTTTCCTCAGCGACCCTATCCATTTCGGCAATCTCCGCATCCTCCTTCCTCTGGGCGTACCACTGGCCGGCCTGAAGAACCAGGACACCAACAAGGACGAGGGCAAGGATGGTATTGCTCGCGGCAAGCACGCGGAGACTGTCCTCGCGGCCAATGTACTCGACATCGCTGGCGGCGTCGACGCCGGGATCCGAGTCGACAATCTCGCCCTGGCCGTAGTTGCCCGAGGTGACAATGCGCAGGCCCTTGACGATGTTGGTCAGGTAGACGATGACGCCGCACATGTAGAGAACCAGACTAGCGCCGTCAAAGAGCATGTTGGCCTCGGAAGGCTTGTACAGCTTTGTGACGAAGCCAAGCAGACCGGTGCCAATGACAATGTGGAGGATGCGGCTGATGAGCGGCGGCGAGGCGTGCAGAAATTTCAAGTGGTTCTCCAGCAAGTCGAAATAGACATCACGGGTGTCGGGCGGCTGGGGAGCGTGCCAGAGGACATTGTAGTCGTAAGGAAAGGACGAGAAGAGGATGCCGAGGAAGAAGCAGGTGGCTGGTCAAAAGGCAGGTCAGCCAGGAAGGGGCGGGACGTGGGCTGCGGCAGAACTTACGGCCGACAATGAGGAAGGTCGCGAAGGAGTTAGCTCTGGCAACCATGGCTGCTGTCGTCACGCACGCGATAGGGGCGGCTTGGGGGAGATGTAGGGAGCAAGTCGGCCTGGAGAGCGCAAGGTGACGACGACTAGTGTGCGCCTGCGGCGCGGCGCCGTGCAGACGAGGTTCGGATAAGCAGTGAGCGCTGCCAAGGCCTGGGGCGGTGAATGCCGCTCCTCGTCGACCGTCCCTGCGCCCATCTCCCGCGCCCTTGGACCGGGTCTGCGCGTGCCAGGTGCTGTCGAGTGCCCGTCGGCCTGCGCCCCGCCAGCTCGTCCGCAGCCATGCAGGTGCTGCCCGGCCCCAACCGCGCGGGCGTACAGTCTCCTCTCGCAGCCGATGGCTAGCGTGGATTTATTTTTTGGTCATGTCATGGGTAGTTGAAGCTATCGTCCGTACGTGTATGTAGAATTTTTCATTCGACATTCTCGTCCGGACGATAGCTTCAACTGCCCACATACGTTACTTTTCTGAAGCAAAGCTGGGGGCATAGTTACGCTATGTTCTAGAGCCCTGCTATCCTTCGCGCTAGCCATCGGCTGCCGCACCCCTCTGTAGGACGTCCAATATCCGCGGCGCTGGAAGGTGCCGGGCAACGCGGAAGCCGCGGGCCCACATGGCGCTGCTCTCCCCCGTCCCCGTCTGGCTGGTCAGAGGCCCACCGCACAATCCTCCCCCGCCAGCACCACCAGCAATGCCGACTGCGCGCAGCCGCGCTGCAACTACCGCGCTTCCCACGACGCTGAGCCGCCGCTGGCCGGCCGTTCCTGACGGGAAGATCTCGAACGGCGCGCATATGTCGCCATGGCCCTAGAAGGCCGCTAGGTGTCACATTAGCGCGCCGCGGCGTTCCTACGGGCATTCTTGCCTACACGGGGAAACTCCAGATTCTCCCGTCGAACGTCCATGCTCCGCTAGCCGACGGCAATTGATATACCTAGAGTCAGGCGGGTGGCGTGTCCGCGCTTCATATCACTCTGCCTGTCTTCCCATGCTCGTCTTTGTCCAACTCAGTCCTCTCCTTTGCTCATCATGTCCGGCCTTGGTGCCGAATCGTGGACCTGGTTCGCCTTGTCTCTCTTCATCGTCGCCTGCAGAATGTACGTGCTCCCCGCCCCTCCGCCTGTGAGCTGAGCTGAGCAGAGCGCAGCGTGTCGCGCATCCTCCTCCTGGGCGCGCCCCAACGACTCCAAGCCGATGACGCGTTAATATTGCTTGCCCTGGTATCTACATCTCCCACGCCCGCCTCCGGCCCCCGCTGACTCCTCCGCCTAGGGCACCTACACTGCTTTGATCGTATGCATCAACATCGTTGCCCGAACCAGCAGCAACCTCATCAACCCCGCCGATGGGCCCATACAGTTCACCCCGGAAGTTGTGGCGCAACGAGCGTTTGGCAGCAAGATGGTCGTCGTGTCCGAACAGATGCAACTGATCACCATCTGGCTGGTCAAAGGCTGTTTGCTTATTATGGAAAGCCGTCTGACGTGAGTCTCCCTTGGTTCCTGGGCGAGGCTGCGGGTCGCTGAACTGGAGACGCAGGACGAGCACCAAGCAAAGTCTAGTAGTAAAGCTTGTTGCGGCGTACGTCGTCGTCGGCTTCGTGGTCATGGAGATCCTTTACCTCGGCGTATGGTGCCGGCCATTCAACCAATACTGGGCCGTTCCGACCACCAACAGTGAGTACAGTCCCCTCTCGCAGCCGATGGCTGTTTTTTGTTCATGTCATGGGTAGTTGAAGCTATCGTCCGGACGAGAATGCCGAATTAAAAATCCTACATACACGTCCGGACGATAGCTTCAGCTACCCACATACGTTACTTTTCCTTCTAAGGCAGAGCCGGGTCATAGCTACGCTATGATCTAGAGCCCTGCTATTCTCCACGCTAGCCATCGGCTGCAGCACCCCTCTGTACGCCGGCCTCCAGCCTGTAGCCCTCGTATTGACTAGCTGCAGCCCAGTGTTCCGCAGCCACCAATCACCTGATAACCAACGCCGTCCTCAACATCTCGTCGGATGTCTTCATCATGGCCATTCCGATGCCCATCTTCCTGGCAGCCCGACTCCCTCTCAAGAGAAAAGTCATCCTCTGCGGTGTCTTTGGCTTGGGTACCTTCAGTGTAAGCCCCAACCGTCTCCCTGGCAAGCCAATGGCTGACGTTCGACAGATTCTGTCGGCCATTTTGAACAAATTCTATAGCTTCACCGAGCCGTTCGGCTCTGCATGGGTCTTTTGGTATGTTCGTGAATCCTCAACTGCAATCCTGACGGCGAACATCCCTTTCACCTGGACGCTTCTCCAACGCACCCTCAACATCGGTTCCTTCGCCGGCTCTTCCCGCGGACGATCTCGCACCACGTACCATCAGTTCAACCATTCCCACAGCACCAAGAACGCCACCATATCCCGCAAAGTGCCGCGCCAGGACGACCTGGAGAGAAACGACAGTCAGGAGCAGATCGTGCCGCTGGAGATCTGGCAAAACGTGCAGCTCAGCGTGCACACTAGTACCATCATAGACGGCAAGAAACCCAGCGCAACAGTCACCGAAGCCGAGTCGATCAACGACGCCGAAAGCGACATGAGCAATCGAAGCAAGAGTAACGTCACTGGTGTTCTGAGCGCAGGCGCAGCTCAGGTAACAACTACGTGTGCTCATGGGCCTGATTGAGTGATTGACTGTGGCCCTTCATTTCATTTCTACTCCTTATGGCGATGCATTTTCTTTTGTCTGTACGAAACGCGACTTAATCTATGACCAAATTCTTTTGCAAAATTTTGAGACTGTACGGGCAACGCATCTTGGCGTGGGGGCAGAAGACACTGGCGACTGCTGCATTTCCGACATGTGAGCCGATTGCCATGCAAAGTATCAACACCTGAGATTGCTCGCTGCTCTCCTACATGCTGTCCCCTGTGTCGGCTGCTGACGTTTGAAACGATTTCCAAGTTCCCTAAACGTAAGCCCCCTAAACACCACGGCAGCCAAACCACAACCTACTTTGAAATTGAGGAAACGTAATAGCTAAACACTGACACTCCAATCAACGTATGAGCCGATACCACCTTCCAAAACGACGACTCTTCTTCTCTTTGTTCCACATGTGGGGATCAAGCGAACCGCGGAAAGAAAAAGGAAGCCGATTCCTACCCTAACCTAATAAAAGGTGTAACAAATAAGGCCAGTAGAAGCACCGATGACCGGCGGCTCCACCTTCCCGCTTCTAGAGGGGGCCATTGCAGCCAAAGGCTAGTGCGAAGTATAGTAGGGCTTTAGAGCATAGCGCAATTATGCCTCAGGTTTTTTTTTCAACCAAAAAAATAAAAAAGAACATATACGGGTAGCCAAAGCTATCATCCAGATGCAAATGTAGAATTAATAATTATACATCCACGTCCGGACAATTGCTTCAAAACGAAATCACGCCAGGACTCGGCCGTGATACCACCTCTATAGAAGTTAACCCGGTTCGCGTGCTGATAGAAGGTGATTGCGTGCTTGACGGCCTCGTTCCCGGATAATAAACCACTTCGCTCAGTGCACCACGCAAGGCTCGAGCCGAGCTTAGGAATCGAAAGTACAATGCATAAATGCACGCTACAGAGTTCAATTACAAACCCAATCCCACCTCTTTCTGTGCAAATGCAAACCAAATCCTTATGCCCATCGTTGAAGTAGCACCTACGAAAAGAACAACAATATTCCCCACTTAGTCCAAAACCTTACCAGCAACAGATGACGTGCTCCTGTCCTTTGTCTCAACCTTCCTCAGACCTTTGCCCATCTGGATCTGGCTCAGCAGGGCGCCTCTATCAAGCGCACCTGCGGGCGGACCAGCCGCGGCAGCGGCGGGAGCTGGTGGCGGCGGAGGCGGCGGCGGGGGGGCACCGGGAGCGCCTGCGCCAGGCATGGGGGGCGGCGGCGGCGGCGGAGCGCCAGGACCACCCGCGCCGGGCATGGGAGGGGGCGGCGGAGGTGCAGAGGGGCCTGGAGAAGCGACGGCAGGGCTGTCATTGCGCGAGCCACCGAGCGGCGAATCCTTGTTATCCATGGCCGAAAGCGGGCGAGGCGGACCCATTGTACCGAACAGGATAGAAGCAAGCTGCTTAGCAGAGCCGCCGCCTGGACGATCGTCATCCGAATCGGAGGAGCTGTCATCATCGGAATCGACCACGCTCCAGTCATCTTCCTCAGGGCGCGCACGCGTGCGGGCAGGCGCGGCAGCTGGTTCCGGCAGAGCGGTCTTGTTACTATCCTGCTGCGTGAGACGGTGGAAGGGGTTGGTTGAGACCTCGGTAGAGCTCGCAGGAGTAGAAATGGAGGGGACGTTGGGCGTAGCGTGGGATTCGCTGGCCTGTGCCATCTTCTTCAAGAACGGGTTCTTCGTCTCTGTGGCGGCGCCAGGGCTGGCCACAGCGGAGGCTTGAGGGCTAGTAACAGACGATGGCGGCGTGTTCGCGGAGGGGTCCGCAGCGGCAGGGGCCGGTGGCGCCGGTGGCGCAGCTGGCGGTTCAGCCTTGGGAAGCTCCTGGCTGGCGGTAGGCGTAGTCTCCTGGGGAGTTATCTCTTGAGGACCCTCATCGTCGGATGAAGAGGAATCCTCATCCATTCCCTCGAGCTGGAGCTGGAGCTGACGCTCGCGTTCCCTCGCTGCCTCGATTTCCGCACGCTGAGCAGCCAAACGAGCTTCCTTCTCCTTGGCGTCCCGTTGGGCCTCCTTCTTCTTGCGCTTCTCTTCTTCCTTCTTCAACTTGCCAGCCTTGACTTGCTCCTCCAAAGCGCGCAGGCGAGCAGCAGCAGCTTCCTGCTCCTTAGCAAGCTCTTCCTCCTGCCGCTTCTCTTCATCTCTGCACAGGGCATTAGCTTCAAGAAACTCTCCCGTTGGGTTTTGGTGATACTCACTCCAGAGCCTTCGTTTCCGCTTCTTGAGCCTCCTGTTCCTCACGAAGAGCACGCTCTGCAGCGTCCTGCTCGGCCCTCTTTGCTTCAGCATCGGCATCGTGGGTTTCGGCCTTCTTGTTCCTCGATGGGGGAGCTGGGGGAGGTTTCTTGCCCACTGCCTTGGGAGCTGGCGGTGGGACACCTTGCTCCTCATTAAGCCTACGTTGCCTTTCCTGCTCACGGCGGGCGTCTTCCTCCTCTGCTTTGCGAATACGCTCCTCTTTCTCACGCTGCTCACGCTCGGCCTTCTGTTGAGGCGTCTCACCAGAAGGCTTTGAAGGAGCGCGGAGGCCAAGAGCAGCCAGGCGCTCAGCCATACGCTGCTCAGCTTGCTGTTTGATAAAGGCAGCACGTTCTTCAGCCGTCTTATACGAAGAGTAAGAGGCACCGCTCGACGAAGCAGGGCGCGCCATAGGGGACTCAGAACGTGCCGGAGACTCAACACCCCTGGCACTACTAGGCCTTGCCGGCTCCTCAATACGAGGAACTGGCGATTGATATCTGTTACGTGCGCTGTCCCTGACGTCGCTACTTTCGTGTTAGCCAGAGGTTGCGTGGAATGCACGGTATTTGACTCACTCTTCTTTGCGAATTCTGGCCGCCCGGCTTTGCCTTTGCAGTTCGTAGATGAAGTCTTTGACTTCGTCTTCGACGCCAAGACCATCTTCCCACCTGCGGCGCTCATGTTCGCTGGACTCGGTCTGGGAACCCTCTTTGAGGCTGAGCTCAAGAGCCTTGCTGAATTCGGTCACACTCTCTTCGACATCGCGCACCATACGCTCATTGCCCTCCCTTTCATTGCGAATACGCGTCTGCTCCTCCTCCAGACGCTTGCCAGCGTCACCCGAGTCATCGGCAGACGCAGGAGCAGGTTTGCCAGTAAGAGCTGCAGAGCGCGCCTGCATCATTGCCTTGGCGCGGGCCTTCAACCTATCAGATTCAGTAACGGCGCCACCAGGACCAGTGCCAACAATCGCAGCAGCTGAACCAGGATGTGCTTTGGCGTCTTTCAGTCGGAAAAGCTCGAGCTGAGCGTCCGCAATAGCGCGCTCGGTTCGGCGCACCTGAGATGCCAATTCGGGGAGCCTATCGGTCAGACGACGCAGCTCACGCTGGAGAGCGCGGCGTTCCGCATCTGAGCCTCCAGACAACATGGAGTGGGCATTGGGATGAGTGTCAAGATCCTCCTGGAGACGCCTGATCCGGCGGTACAAGTCCTCGGCATCCTTCCGGTCCTTCCGGTCAAGAAGGTCTTCCTGCTCGGCACGGTTTTCATCACGGAAGTCCATGGCATCCAGAAGTACCTGCTTTTCCTTGATTTCCTTCTTGAGCTGCTCAATCGACTTTTCGTCATTAGATCTCTCCGACCCAGGAGAAGGGGGCGCGGCTGGGGAAGGAGAACGCCCGCCGTTTCCAATCCTACGCCGAGCACTCGATCTGTAGCCAACATCATCATCGTTGTTCTTAAAAACAGTGGCATCCTTGCGGCCTGAAGCAACGGGGCTCCCGCCACGGAAGGAGTGGTTCTTGAGGTAGCTGACACCGGTCTTCTGGGGTTGCAGAAAAGCGCCAGAATGCTTCCTTTCCTCGGCATCACGAGCGATCAAACTCTTCATAGTACCAATGGAGTCATTAAGGTTCCTAGTGGACGGCGGGACGAGCTCCGGAGGAAGAGTGTTCGGGACTGGGTAGCCATTCAGTTTACGATAGATCAAATGCATAGCAACGGCAAATTCATCTAGGTTGAGACGGCCGCGGTTATGGGGATCTGAAAGAGTCCAGATCTTCTCCAGGTCAGACTTGTCAAGGCCAGACTGCCCCATGATCTCGATTGCTTGGCTTCCCGTGATGTAGCCCTTGCTAAGACCATCCCAGGCTTTGAACAGCTGGTCATAGATCTTCTTCTCGTCCTTCGTGATGGCCCAGGGGACTGTTGCATTACCACGGAGTCCTTGGGCACTGAAGGAGCTGCCTTCTCTTCCAGGCTGTGGCATCAGCTGCTGCATCATGTTCTGAATGTTAGGCAGTCCTCCGGCGGGTGTGTTCACGAGCCCCCATTGTCCAGGCATTCCTGTCGGCTGTGCATTGAGCGGAGCAATCATGCCTCCGCCAAATCCAGTAGGCTGAGGCTGGAGCCCGGTAGGCTGAGGTTGCAGACCCCCGAGCATACCCTGGTTCATGCCAAAACCGGTGGGCTGCGGCTGCAGACCGGTGGGTTGAGGTTGGAAGGCTCCCTGCTGACCAGGGAATCCAGTCATCTGCGGGGCCAGACCTGTGGGCTGCGGTTGCAAACTAGACAGCAACTGGGAGTTGGAGGGCTGCTGAGGCTGGGGTTGCTGTATCGTGGGGACAGACTGCGAGCTGGACGTTGCGGGCTTCGAGTCGGGAATACCGAATGAGATGATGTCGACCATGCTTGAAACCTCATTTCTGACGCGCTCAGGCAGCTCGTTAGGCAGGTCCTTGCCGACGAGCTTGAGGTTGCAGAGGTACATTGCGAGGGCAAACTCGGGAAACAGAAGCTGGCCTGATTTGGTCGTGTCAGAGAGCGTCCTGAGGCGTCGTATTAGCGCACCGCATGGTAACCGCCATTGGCCCAAAGCATCCTACCATATATGTGCGAGAGCATCGCCGGACAGCTTCGATCGCATGAGTAGATCTCTCGCCTGGTCACCGGACATGGCCTGGCCATTTCCCACAGCCGACTTGAACAATTGCTCGAACTTGGTTTGGTCCTGCGCGGTTATGAAGCTAAGTCTGATGCTCGGGATCTTGGAGCCGGTGGGTTGAGGCGCCTGCGGCTGCTGGGGTTGCGACGAGGGCCCGCGAAAGGAGTCGGCCATCTGCGATGAGGTCAAGCCGGTGGGCTGGGGCTGTTGGGGCTGGGCGGGGGGCGGCATGCTCTGCTGGCCGGTCGGGAATGGTTGCTGCTGGGGTGGTTGCTGGAATGACTGCTGCTGCTGACCGGGAAAGCCGGTGAACTGGGGCTGGAGCTGGGGAGGTTGCTGTTGCTGGAAGCCCTGCTGCTGCTGGAAGCCCTGCTGCTGGCCTGGGTTAAAGCCGGTGAACTGCGGTTGCAGCGGAGCACCGCCAAAGCCGGTGGGCTGGGGCTGCAGTCCGCCAAAGCCTTGATGGCCATACTGCTGGCCATACTGCTGTTGCTGCTGCTGCTGCTGCTGCTGCTGGCCGGGAGGGCCGCGTGCAGAGTTGGCACCTCCGAGGAAGCTTTGGCTCCCCGAGAACATGGTTGCAAGCGCGAGGTGGCCGCGCGCAGAAGGAAGGTGGGAAGAGAGTGTAAAGGGTGGGTATGGATATGGGGAACGGAGAGAAAGACGCGGGAGGTGACAGCACGGGGCTGGCTCGAGGGATGACGACGGCGCCCAATGGCCCGGATGCGAGCAGGCGGGCGGCCCGTGCACACGCCCCCCCCCGGCCGCTGCAGCTTCAACCGCCCAAGCCCTCACTACTACCTGCATCCCATCCGTCATCATGGCTGCGCCGCAGAACGGAGACTCTTCGCAGGGCCACGCCGGCGATGCCGACCTAGCTCAGGTACGCCTCGCTCCCGCTGTGCTGCTCCTATCCGCGAAGCTTATCTTGCCCAGGCCTTCAAAGACCTCGCCCGTGGCGAGCAAACCGCTTCCGCCCTCGAGAACCACCTGGATGCTCTAGAGGCCAGGATCGAGGACCTGCTGGCAGCCGCAGATTCGCAGCAGAGCGCTTCCTCTCAAAACACCGCACGCCAGCAGCCGCAGTCAAGCAATAAGAAGCCTGCCACCGGCGATGCGCAAAGGGATTCCTGAGTCCCGTCTCTTGCGCGTCGAAATCATGCCCAATGGGGCCTTTTGCGAGAACAGCGATCGATATTTCGGGCGCCATGGGAGGGGCTTGGTCGGAGCACAGATCAGGCACAGCGGCGAATCAGGAGCAACCTCACGTTCATCTCATAACGTACCCGTGTTTTGCGCCACAGGGCGAAGGGCGGATTTAGCCGCACGCACTCACACCCTCTCTTGATTAAACCGTGTATGAAGACGCCCGCTTCCGCAGCAGCAATGTCGTAAAGCTCAAACAAAGTCCCTGTAAACTTCTCACCAGCCGAAGACCTCCTCCATATGGAAGGTACCATCGCTGTTCTTCTCCAACACGCCAACCTCGGTGATAACACCATCAATCAGCTCGGCGGGGGTGACGTCGAATGCAGGATTCCAGACGTCAATGCCGTTGGCAGCAATGCTCACCGTCTCGACCACGTTCAGATCCAGAGCCGTGCCATCAAAGCGCGGTCCCTTAACAAGCGTCATCTCCTTGCCCGGGCGCTCCTCGATCACGATTTCCTGGCCGGTCTTGGTGTGCAAATCTATCGTCGTCCGCGGGGCTGCCACGAGGAACTTGACTCCGTGGTGCTTTGCGTTGACAGCGAGCGAATAGGTGCCGATCTTGTTCGCAGTGTCCCCGTTGGCAGCAACTCTGTCGGCGCCAACAACAATCGCTGCGATTCTCTCGGGCTCGCCCTTCAGACGCAGCAGGGCCGCAGCCATGGAATCTGTCACCAAGGTTGCGGGGATCTTATCGTGTACGAGCTCGAATGCCGTCAGGCGAGAGCCCTGGTTGTATGGTCTTGTCTCGGTGCAGAAGGCGCGCTTGAGAGCACCGTTGGCACGCAGCGAGCGGATGACGCCCAGAGCAGTCCCGTACCCGGCGGTGGCGAGTGACCTGCAGCAATTAGATTGCACCCATCAGACGGTGGATCACAAAACAGCCCCATACCCAGTGTTGCAGTGAGTGATCACGCTGACCTGTCCGCTCTTGCCGGCCTCGGTGTTCTTCACGATCCACTCGGCGCCGTGCTTGCCGATGCTCTCGTTGTCCGAGACATCGTCAACAAGCATCTTCTCCGCAGCTTGCACGTAGGCATCCTTGACGGACGTTCCCGAAGCACTCTGCGCGGCCGCAGCCGCGCCGACCGTCTTCCTGAGCTTCCGAGCGGCGTCGGCGAGGTTGACGGCTGTAGGCCTGCTGGTCACTAGATAGTCGAGCTTCTCTTCGATGAAGGCTTTGACCTCCTCGGCAACGGAGGACAGCTCGTTCTTGGAGGCAATGATCTCGAGCTCGACGGCTAAGCCGAGGGCGGCGACGATCGCGATGGCGGGAGCACCGCGGGTGCGCATCTCCTTGATGGCGTGCCACGCATCCTGGGCGGAGCGGGCTTCGTCGTAGACCTCCTCATGGGGCAGGCGCAGCTGGTCGAGAATCTGGAGCGAGCCGCGCTCGTACTTGATTGCTTGGAGGACCATGGCGGGCAGTGCTGGTGTTTGGGCGCGGCAGACGCGAGCTTTTTTTTGGGTGGACGTGCCCTGGACGTGCCCCGCCTCTCGACAGGGGCTCTCCCCCGCCACTCTCAGCTTCATCATCATTCACCCAGCACCAGCAACAATGGCCGCCAAGCTCTCAATTGCGTCCACCCTGCCGCTTCTCGACAGTCCCGCCCAGCTCCCGCGTCTTGGGTTCGGCGTGTACAAGTCCACCGCCGAGACCTGTGTCCGCTCGTGCCTGACGGCCCTCAAGGCTGGCTATCGCCATATAGACACGGCTCAGTTTTACGCAAATGAAGAACAGGTAGGTCAGGCGGTTAAAGAGTCCGGTATCCCGCGCTCGGAAATCTACATCACTTCCAAGGTCATGACCGCGTCGTCCGACGTGCCCGCCACGTACGAGAAGATTGTGGACAGCGTCAGGAAGCTGGACGATCGGCCCGACGGCTACGTGGATCTGTTCTTGATCCACAACGCCTCGATCTCGGCAGAAGGCAACAAGATCATGTGGGCGGCGCTGGAACAGGCCAAGGCCGAGGGAAAAGTCAAGGATATTGGCGTTAGCAACGCCGGCAAGCGGCACATTGAGGCCATGAAGGACTACGCAAAGGTCTGGCCGCCAGTTGTGAACCAGATTGAGGTAGGCATTGTGCTCGCCCATGCGCTGCAACGCTGATGATGTTGCTAGCTGCACCCGTGGAACCAGCAGCGCGAAGCCGTCAAGTACAGCCAGTCGCAAGGCATTGTCGTCGAGGCCTACTGCCCCCTCGTCAGAAATTTGAAGGCCGATGACAAGACGCTGCTTTCCATCGCCGAGAAGCACAACAAGACGACCGCGCAGGTCCTAGTCCGCTACTGTCTGCAGAAGGACTGGGTCCCGCTGCCCAAGAGCGACACGCCCAGCAGGATTGAGGCTAATGCTGACGTCTTCGGCTTCGAGCTCGACGCTAAGGATATGGAGACCTTGGATAATTTGGACCAGGGTCCCTGGGGAGCAATCGTCCAAGCTGTAGATAACTGAAGGATGGGTGGTCGAGATAAATGCCTCTAGCCTGGTAAAGACGGGCAAATAATGGGGGGTCATGAGCCATTGCTAGATTTTCCCTAGCTAGAGTTGTGTTGTCAATAGAGAAAATTAGCCCCATTAAATTTCTATGTAAGGGCGAGCATGCAAATCATCTAAAGAAGGAGAAGAAAAGAAAGTCTAGGGTATAGTTATACCTAGGACATCCATTCTTTACGCTGGCCTTCGGCAGCGATACTACTACGTAATAAACTCTCGCCTTGAACTATTTCTTCTCCACGTGCGCTACATCATCAAACCATAATACAGTCCCCTCTTGCAGCCGATAGCTAGCGTTAATTTTTACTTATATCATTGGTAGTTCACGCTATCGTCCGGATGTAACTTGCCACATTCCTAAATCAGGAAAGAATTAGGCTGAGTGGGGGTGGGAGTGGAGGTAGGAGTGGATCTGCGTTGGGGAGGAGATAGTTATACTTAAGGCCTTACTATTCTTCACGCTGGCCTTCGGCTGCGATACCCCCCTGTAGATAGTCAAATGATAATGCCACGTGAAGAGACGGTGCATGGGCGGGCACGTCCAGTGCTTGTTCGGCCAGGCTCTGTATTTCTACCGCGACGCCTGGTAGCAGGCCCAGTCTGGCTAAGTAATGCCAAGGGTAGCAGGGCTTCAGATGCTAGCTAAGTTCGTAATCCAGAACATGCACTGCGGTGTTTGTGAAGAAGCCGTCTGGAACATGAAATGACTGTGTTTGAACACGAACCCAACTACCAAGAACGATGAATATCCATTGCTTCAATCAATAAACTCCATATCCCATTTTCAATCCAACGAAAGTCAGGTTGCCGTTTTTTTATCGATTTTGTCATCGATGTTGACTCAAAGACCCAAGCCACCCAGCGCAGTCGTGCAAGTCATATCACATAGCTTCGTCCCCCACCCTCTTGACCATGAACAAAGAATGTGAGAAATACCAAAGAAATGTTTGTGACCAGTGACGGGTCCATCTAAGGAGCCGTCGGCTCAAAATAGGCCCTGAAACCGGGCTCTTGGTCGAAGCCACAGTCCACGACCACCTCATAACAAACCATTAAGAGTTTGGGGAATCTCGTGGTCCAGTACCTGAGATATCCGTCCGAAAGCGGACCAACCTTGGCTTGCACATCGGGTGGCATGTCGTAGTAGTGATTCTTCTTGTTGCGCAAAGCGCGCAGCAAATCCAGCATCTTATCGCCATTGTACTTACGCTGCTTGCCAAGCGTATCGATGAACTTGCGGTCCAGCTTCGACAGGAAGTCTGGGAACTTGCTGTACGCATGGCTGGAGTTTGAGCCCTTGGGTGCAGAGCACATGACATCAACATTCCGCGCTTCCAGTCTGCACAGAGATGCCGACGGCGGATCACGCGGTTCAAATTCGAATCGATCCGAAACTTGGCAGAGGAACGTAAGGCGTTTCTCAGGCGACCAGAAGAAAGGATGCTGCATGACTTGCATAGCGGTAGGCCGGTCGACAGGGTTATTGGAGAGCATGCGAGATATGAGGTGGATCGGCTCCTCCGAATCGTCGCCCAGGTACTCAAGCTTACTGAAATTGAACTTGTTCTTCTTGATGTTAAGCTCACGGATCTGCATCCAGCCTTCCTCATCATCGAATGGGTGAGAGCCATTGGTGAGAACGTAGAAGAAGACGCAACCAAGGGAGAAGATGTCTACCGATCTCTTGACACCTTGGGTGACGGGATCGTTGGACGTTGACGAATCCCGCTGACTTGAGCTCATGCGTCCTTCAGATTCTTTCGGCTTGAGGATAAGCTCCGGGGCTTTCCAGCCAATGGTGCCCGCATTGTTTGTAGTACCAACGAGAGTGCTGACGTTGTCCGGAAGGGTCTTGCAGAGTCCGAAGTCCGAGATGACGAAACGAGGGCCTCCAGTCTGGTTTTTCTTCGGGTAAGCGATAAGAATGTTCTGCGGCTTGATATCGCGATGAATGATTCGCAAACTATGGAGGTGGTTCAAGCCGGCTGCAAGTTGGTAGAGTGCCTTTGGCACGTCGGCATTGATCTCATTGACCAATCTGATCTGTTGATCCGTCCATGGGTCGTCTGCTCGGCCGTCTTTGTAAAGATCCCAAAGACTGGCTTGGCAGAGCTCGACGGCAATGTAAAGAAAATTCTCGTCCTTCTGCTTGCAGAAATAGCGGATAACGTTCGGATGGTCGTCACTCTGGGTAAGTAGACTGACTTCCTGGTCGGCAAGCTCGTAATACTGTGGGAGCATTCGTTTAACCGCAACGTCACGCCCTTCGAACTTCCCCTCGAACACGAATGTACCTCCGCTTCCGCTGCCAAGCACCTTGTCGGTGATGGTCAAGTTGTGGATTCTAAGACAATCAGCGCAAGAACTCAAAATGACCCTCGCTACACTTACTGTTTGGCAGAGGAGAATTCCGACATGCTTTGTCCATTCGTGGAGCCACCATCAGCACCATCGGGTGAATCTTCACCAAATTTCTTGACGTTTGCGACAATCTTCTCCGTCTCTTCACCTTCGGACTCTACGTTGTTGTTCCTCCTGTTTTTGTTGCGCTTCCTACCACCACGCTGGCCACGGTGAGCCTTCTTCTTCTTTGGCGTCTCTTGTCCGTTCTCGCCCTCTTCAGCAGGCTGGGGCGAATCAACTCGTGTCGGGGTCTGACTGGGCTGCGAGTTGCCCTCAGTGCCGTTATCGGTTGGTACTTCTTCGCCGGGGACGGTGATTTCCTCGTCGCCCATCTGGAACCTCACCTTGCGCTCTTCTGGCGGTTGCTCGGCGGCGGGTTCTTCCTTTGGCGACTCGGATACCTCGATCTGTGGCACGCTTGGCGACACAGGAGGAGGATGGGGTGCATTGAACCGAAAGTTCTCCAGCGGCTTGTGGAGGGTTTTCTTCCAGTCGCCGCTCAGCGAAGCGCCGAGAATGAGGAAGAGAGTCGCCACCAAGAATGTCCAGACCGATAGGTGCCACACAGGAGCTTGGGCAATGGACGGTTTCGGAGGGGGGATTTCAGTCTGCACAGGCTCCGGCTCCGGCTCCTCTGGCGCACCGATAGGGAGGACATCCTCAGCGCCTCCAATCATCGGTATGGGATGAGCGGTGTGCGTCAAAGAGTGGACGCCAACAAGCAAAGGCTTGAGCGAACCTCGCTGCGCGTGCCAATTGACTGCGGAAAAGTCATTCCAGTTGAGCGTGTAGCACAGAGCCGGCGAGGCACCGTCGGTAACCGCGGGGTAGCTGATCTCAGACATAGCATACCAGCTGCCATTTTCGGTGCAGTTGACGAACACGTCCTGCTGGTATTCCTGGACCGTGGCAGGCCCAGGAGGCTGCGGAAGAAGAACCAGAGATGTGTCACGAGAGTTTGCGTGGAACGGTCGCACAATGTCGTAGACGCGGACAACAGGAGAGTCGAACTTGTTGTGGTAGACGTTTCGTTCCTTGTCTTTGGTGTGGTCCAGAGCGTAGATATTTCCGTCGTACTTGCTGTAGATGTACTTGTTGTCCATGGTCGACGAATACTGAAGCTGGAGATCGCGGTCCCTGTTGTTGGGGGCCCATTCGAAATACTTGATTGTGCAGATCGGGGTGCCCGTGTCTCTGTTGGCAATTCCGACCGTGTACTCGGTGCGACCGAGAGCCAGGGTCCCGATGGATTCGCACTCGTCCTCATCGATCCCCTCGAGCCCGCTGATCCGGCGGCAGCTGCCCTCGTCAATGACGGACGAGCCTCCAGAGCTGAATTGCTTCAGGATTCGGCCGGTCGCGGCATCGACCGTGTAAAGCGTGTTCTTCTTCTCTGCCGTGTACACAACTGGCGGATCGTCGCTTGCGTAGGGCGACAGCTCTTCGGCGAGCTGCCTCACCGTCAGATTCAGCTTGTGGATGCCGATGTTGGGGGCGGGCGTGGCAACGTAGAGATCGCCATCCTGGTTCGGCTCGACGATCCACTCCGGGCTGTCGTCCAGGATGTCGCCGCCTTCGGACTTGTTCCGCTGGTGGTAGACCATGTCGACCATGGGGCGGTCGGCGAAGAGCGTCCATCGCTCCTCGCCGGTGTTCCTGTCTCTCGCATAAATCTTGCCATCAACGGTCGCCAGAAGGACAAAATCCTCGACTTCCCAATCCTGCAGGGACCGCGCACGATGTCGCGAGGAGAGGCCGCCGGAGGGGCCGGCGGCCGACCTGGCAGGAGGTGCTCGAACAGCGAACTCGGGGTCTGCTGGAGCCAAAGTCGCAATGGCGCGCTCGTTCTTGGGAATGAAGGGCACGTTGCGGTGTCGGTAGTTGTTGAGGTTGGGACTGCGCTGGTTGGACCCTGGAGCGGCGGACTCGGACAGGGCGTCTAGGTGGGCGGATGACCACGGCCGATGGTCGGCCGTGTCGCGGAGGAGCTCCTCGCGAGGGGAGTTGCGGACGGCATGGTGTTGGTGGTGGCCGTGCTGCTGCTGCTGAGCGGAGGCCACAAAAGGAAACACGAGCAGTAGGGCGATCAGGGTCGAGCTCAAAGCGGCAGACGTCCTGCCGGGAGGCCGACGGCGCGGCATGAAGGTGGTTTAGACGATGGAGGACTCAGCCCGGCGTAGGCCTTTTAGCGGGGAGCAGACAGGCATGAGAAGGGATGGATGGGGAGGGTGGGCGGTCGAGACTGGCAGAAGAATGTAAAAGAAGGTCAAGGTCAGCACACGAGGAGGGTGTGGTGTGCGGGCCAAGCGCTGAAAGGCGAGCGTGAGACTGGCGGCAGGGGTTGGCTCGAACGAGGGAGGGGCCTGCCCTTGGCCGCGAAGGCCAACCACCACCCGCTGCCTGACGACGGCCCGCTGCGTGCGTGCCACGGTGCCTGACGCCGCCTGCTCGCTAGAGCAATGATGCGCACCCTATGTCGCAGCAAGCCGCTTGTCCCAGCAGGTGACGCGAGCCCGTCTTGCCCGCCGCCATCCCTTTCCCCAGCTCCGCCTACAGCCGTTTCAGGCGAGCCCTTGCGAGCAGTGGGCAGCAAAAAAGGCAGGCCTCGGACGCATTGCGTGTCGCCAGGCCCTTGCGGCGCGCGCAAGAATGCGAGGCACCGTCGAAGCAAGATATCTAGCGGCGCTCCAGGGGGCGCCTCTTGCCACCACGAGCGCCGCTACGAAAAAAGCCCGCAGTAACAACTTACCGCTGTGCGAGCGGCCCCGGCCTGGTTCGGGTGCACTAATTGCTTCCCCGCGGGGGCTGAAGATCGGCCTCTACCTAGCGCGCTGTTGGCCGCCGCAACAAAGAACACAGCAGCAATCATCACAGGAGTCGACACTTCTTTTTCCGTCATGTAAGGCATACCAGCAGGGAAGACACCCTGGCATGCAAAAGCTTGATAGCATTGCCCGCCCTGCCGGCTCCCTCCGTGAAGGCACACGCAGCGGAGAAAAGCCCGCAAGACATGTGGCTAACGAGTCGTGCTGGATATGATTGTTGTTGAACCACCGCCTCTTCAGCAGCTGGGTGTTGCACTGGTTCGCTTGTGTGATTCCATTTTCTGCATCCATTAAGGCATTCCTCCAAACAGCCCAAGCCCGCTGGCTCTGGCACAACAAGCTAGATCGTTTTATGCCATGGTTTCTACTGGTACATCATCCCGTTTACGGTTTTTGCGTGCTCGTAGCCAACATCCCTGCCTCCTCACATGCGGGTTCTCTGCCTCGGTGCGCTCCGGATGATGTTGTCAACCCTCAGCAGCAGCTGCCATCATGTCAGTCATGCCGAAATTTCATTTGGTGGGGTGACCGTCTAAGTACTTACCTCGGCGGCCTCGCTTGCCGACGAAACAACCGCGCGCTTGAGCTTGTAGCTTTCGATGACGCCGAGCTCCCTCATGTCCGCGATGCCTCCGCCAGGGGTCAGGAGGTCGAGTCCAGAGCCCGTCATACCCGAGTAAACAGCCTTCCTTAGCCTGGCCACGAGGTCGCTGGAGTCGTAACCAGCGTTGTCGGCCAGGATGGTAGGCAGTTGCCGCAGGGCCTTTGCGAAAGCCTCGACAGCGAGGGCCTTCTTGCCGGCAACGTTCTGCGATGCCTGCTCAACGGCCTTGGCCATGTTCATCTCTGCACAGCCACCTCCCAGCGTTGTCCTGGGCTCCTTGACTGTCTGGGACAGCACGGCGAGAGCATCGTGAAGGGACCTGTCGGCCTCATCCAGAAGCTGCTCGGTGGCGCCGCGCAGGACAATTGTGCAAGCCTTGCCGGCCGCGACACCGGAGAACCTGATGAGAGTGTCTTCACCAATGATGACTTCCTCGATAAGGTCGCAATGGCCAAGCTTGACGTTCTCGGGATGGTCAAAGGTAGAGGTGATCTCGCCTCCAGTGACAAGGGCCAGCCTCTCGACACCGTCGAAGTCGGCATGCTCAATGGAGCAGATGCCCGCGTCGGCAAAGAGCTGCTCGGGCCAGTTGTAGATAAGCTGCCTGTTGACGAAGCAGTTTATGCCGTGAGACTTGATCTTGTCCACCTTGGCCTTCATCTTCTCCCGCTCGGCCTTCTCCAGCTCGGCAAGCTTGCCGGTGCCGTCAACCTTCACTCTCGCGCCGAAGATCTTGATCTTGTCCGTGTCCATGGCAGTGTTGGCAATCAGAATCTTCGCGTTCTCGATCCTCTTGGGCTGGTTCACACCGAACTTCTTGTCCAAGATGAAGCCCTCTTCAAGGTACGAGTCCTTGAGCTTTCCACCGGCCTTCTTGATGATCTGGATGTGTGTAAGATCGCTGGAGCCCTGAAGCCTAAGCACGGCATCGACGGCAAGCTCGGCAAACTGGTCGCGGTCCTGGCTCAGCACCTTGGAGCTCAAGGTGGTCCTGGCGATGGCGATGAGGTCTTTCCTGAAGGCCTGAACGTCGTTGCTGTTGTTCACGGCAGTCTTCTCCAATGCCTCGAGCGCAGCGCGGCTTGCTATCCGGTAGCCCTCAATGATGGTCTGGGGGTGGATCTTCTGGTTGACCAGCTGTTCCGCCTCCCGCAGCAGCTCTGCGGCCAGGACGGCCACGGACGTGGTGCCGTCTCCGACCTCGTCATCCTGGACCTTGGAGATATTGACCAAGACCTTCGCAGCAGCGTTATCGAGAGCGATGGACTTGAGGATGGTGGCGCCGTCGTTGGTGACCATGATCTCGCCGGTGGAACTGAGGGGCAGCCATTAGCTTGGGTTCAAGGCGGGCGATGGCAGCACGCACGCAGATTGTAATATCTTGTCCATTCCCTTGGGGCCCAGGGTGCTCTTCACCAGGTCGCCCACAGCGATGGCGCCCACGAAGGCGGAGAGACGAGCATTCTCGCCCCTCTCCTCCTGCACGTCTTCCGCGAAGATCTGCGTGGGGTTCTGAGAGGACTAGGGGGCGCGTCAGCTGGAGCTGCAGGACTGTCGGGCAGATAGGATGCAAACCATCGTGAAGGGTGTGGCAGAGGCAGGCGGCGACTCGCAGGGGGTAAGTGGAGTGGGCCGTGTGTGCTTCTGGTGTTGCTCTCCCAAAAAGGACCCCGACGCGTTGGTCGGCGTGAAATCTGCGGGCAGGGCGGCGGCAACGTCTTGGCGCCGACTCCCGCGGCGAGCTGTGGAACCTGCGAGACGCAACCTACCTTGCCCGCAGCCCGCCGCTCCAGCCCCAGAAAACACCCCAGCGATTCTGACACCATGTCCAAGCGGCAGGCTGATTCGCTCGATGATGCAGTCCAGAGCGACTCGCCTGCAGCCAAACGAGCCCGCACCGAAGAGCTCGCCGACGAGAACGAGGCAGCTCGTGCCAATGGCTTGCCCATTCGCCAGAACGGCCGCCACACATCGCCCCAGCGCGGGCAGGCAGATGTTGCAGAGGAGGCAGGCGCACTGGGCGACGAGGACGACGAGCCCGCAGTCACTGCTCCGGCGCGCCAGGCAGCTCCGGCCGAGGGCTACAATGATCTTTACCTGGACACAATTGATAGGAAGGTCTTGGACTTCGACTTTGAGAAGCTATGCTCGGTCACGCTGTCGAATATCAACGTCTATGCGTGCTTGGTGTGCGGGCGCTACTACCAGGGCCGCGGGCCAAAATCGCAGGCATACTTCCACGCGCTGGACGAGGGCCACCATGTCTACATCAACTTGGAGACGAAGAAGGTATACGTCCTGCCGGAGGGCTACGAGGTGAAGAGCAAGTCTCTCGAGGACATCAAGTTTGTGGCGGACCCGAGGCTTTCGAAGGAGGAAGTAATGAAGCTCGACAAGGAACAGAAATCCGCCTGGGATCTCGTCGGCCGCAAATATATACCCGGCTTTGTTGGTATGAACAACATCAAGGCCAACGACTACTTCAATGTCGCCATACACGCTCTCGCACATGTCACCCCCCTCCGCAACTTCTTCATGATCGAAGACCTCTCCACCAGGCCCCAGCTTGCCCAACGTTTCAGCACACTGGTGCGCAAGATCTGGAATCCGCGCGCGTTCAAGGCGCACGTCTCGCCCCACGAACTCTTGCAAGAGATTGCCTTACGCTCGTCCAAGCGCTTCACCCTCACCGAGCAGTCTGACCCTGTGGACTTCCTTCAGTGGTTCCTCAACAACCTGCACCTCTCTCTTGGCGGAAGCAGGAGCAAGCCTGGTTCCAGCATTGTGCAGCGCGTCTTCCAGGGCAGCTTGAAGATTGAGTCGCAGCTCATCACGGCACGCGCCGACGCGGCTGACCGCCTCCGGTTTGAGGACTCCGAGGTGCAATCTGAAAAAAGTCATTTCATGATCCTGACTCTGGATCTGCCGCCTCGCCCAGTCTTCCAAGATGAGTTGGAGAAGAACATCATTCCTCAGGTACCGCTGACGAGAATCCTGTCCAAATACGACGGCGTCTCGGCGCAAGAGCACCTGAACTACCGCAAGCGCTACCGCCTGCTGCACCCTCTGCCGCCGTACCTGCTCTTCCACATCAAGCGCTTCAGCAAGAATAAGTTCGTCTCCGAGCGCAATCCCACCATCGTCACGTTCCCCACGCGAAGCCTTGACATGAGTCCTTACGTCGAGCCTAACCCTGCAATTCACCCGCCAGGTGAACCAATCTGGTATGACCTCGTCGCAAACATCACGCACGAGGCCGTCCGGATTCGGGACGACAGCGTCGAGGGGGAGTCGGAGAAGAAGGTGTGGAGAGTGCAGCTGCGGGATAAAAGCCGCGAGGACTGGCTCGAGGTGCAGGACTTATTTGTCGAAAAGGCGCGCGCGGAGACACTGTTCACGAAGGAGAGCTATGTGCAGGTCTGGGAGAAGCGGAGGGAGCCGAGAAAGGGAAAGGCCAAGGCGTAAGGCTAGGGATGCAGGGTCGCGTGTGGCGTTCAGAAAACGGGGGTATCTCTACGACTTTGCGGGAAAATAAGCCTCACTACGACGGCAGCATGGGGTCCCCAAATGGCGACAACGAATAATACAATCGGGAATGATGCATGAATAACGATGAGATGCATGACATGTACCCCGCGTTTTATCGCTTGTGACACTGCATGCTTCTGCAACTTTAATTCGGCCATACTCGATACCCAGACAGCTGGAGCCTTGCAAATGCGGTTGTACATAGGTAGCAGATTGGGTCTACAGTCGACTGAGTGGCCAGGGCCAGGGGTCGGCGCCAAGAGCGAAAGCAAAAAGCAATTCGCTTCGAGTCCAGCACACTAAGTCGACCGTCAAACATCTGAAGGATCGGGTTTTCTGTGTAACATGGGCAATCGTGGTTGGTAGTGGTGGGGTCAAGGTCGAGCCCGAGCCACATCAAAAACAACCGGTGAACGGATCCATCCCTACTCCCGACTTGCCTCCCCCTGCCTCGACGTGTGGCATAGGGAGAGCAGAACCAGGCGCTAAGTCTACCGTCGAACGTCGCGCCACCCCGGTCCAGTTATGTCATGCGCGCGAGACTGCAAGGCGTGTGGCTGTGGTTGGGTTCGTGTGCGGATGACCTGCAGCTGCCATGAGAGACCACGAGGCGGCCATGTCGTCGTCGCCGGTACGGGGACCCGCGGTACTAAGTCGGTGGTCAAACGTCGCATCTGGCCAGATCTTGGTCGTGCTACTCGCCCAACACCACCTTTTTTGCTGTTTACCCAAGAGCAGTCCTGCCGGATTGGTCTTGGAGCACCAACGCCGGGCCCGGGGTTCTTCTCGGGGACCCGGCGTTGGAAACCAAGCAGGCAAACAGGCATCTAGAATGACCATGAGAATACGGTGTTGCCGGGCAGCTGGCCGCTCCTGCGACTACTTTCGTGCTTCGGCGGGGTGTTTCGTCAAACGTCTGAAACGCATGGAATGCTGTGCTCGCCCCGGATGCGTGCAGATGCGAGATGAGGCAGCGTGGAGGAACCTCGAACGTCTGAAGGTTTTGGGTTTTTGTGTAACTTTACTTGACTGCTCAGGGCGTTGCTTGATTGGTCGGCAAAAGGGGTCGCTCGACGGAAACGGACACGCCGAGGTGGAGCGAAGAGATCCTTGGCCACGGCTCTGGTCGTTCGCTGCTAGCGCCCCATTCAGCATGTCCGGCTCGGAGATAGCAGAGAGATGCAAGGAGATCGGGGAGAGGCCGGTGACTGCCGGCATGGCGGCATCCGAACCGTCATGGTGCAATCCCCCTCCAGAGGGGCATTGCAGCCGAAGGCCGGCGCGGAGAATGGCCCTGGAACAAGGGACTAAAAAAAAAAAAAGAAAGAAAGAAAGAAAGAAAAACACACACGCATTTGGGTGGTTGGAGCTATCATCCGGACGTAAATGTGGAATTGATAACTATACATTCACGTCCGGACAATTGCCCGTGACATGAGCGAAAAACAAATTCACGCTAGCCTTCGGCTGCGATACCGCTCTGTATGTACAATAAATGAAAGACTCATGTTCGGCAAATGATAAGGTCCGGCATGCGGCCGAGAGATGAGCGCTCGTATATAGGCGTGCGGGCTGAGTCGGCCTCTGAAGCAACAGGAAGGCGTTATCCAGCGCGTGTAGGTAATTGCAACACAGCGGGAAGGCTGAGCACGTGGCGCCGGCTGCCCCATCTTGGCGTGGCGATAACGCTATCAGTTGTCCACGAGCCTGTCAACATGACAAGCGCCCGCAGACCGGCTCATCTCTCCATGCTCCCCGTCTTTCACCATGTCCGAGCTCCGCACGACGACGCGTCGCCCAACCCGAGTCGACATATATTATCGCGCGCGCTGGGCCGCGTGCTGCTCCTCTAGCTCCATCCTGTAAGCCCGGCTCACCCTCGCCTTCCCCCGCCAGCTGGTAACATGCCGTCCAAGAAGCTCCTGATGCCCTCGCTGGCCGGGCTCTTCACGAGCCTGCTGTCCTCGCAATCCGTTCTCGCCTATCCCCAGCACCAGCACGAGTCGGCCGAGCCTCGCCTGGGCGCAGTCGCCTCCGAGTCTTCAGAATGCAGCTCCATCGGCACTGACCTGCTCAAGGCCGGCGGCACTGCTGCTGATGCTCTTGTAGGCACTGTTCTGTGCGTCGGAGTCATTGGAATGTACCACTCTGGTAACCCCCGCCCACGGAAGAGGAGTCCTTGCCTTTACTGACCGCCTCCCAGGCATTGGCGGCGGCGGCTTCATGACAGTGCGCAGCTCCAACGGCTCCTATGAGTTCATCGACTTCCGAGAAACCGCTCCAGCCGCGGCTTTCGAGAGCATGTACACCAACGACACCGACTTGTCTATCTACGGTGGTTTGGCCAGGTTAGTCCCCCAGCTCCGAGCTTATAATGCAAAGCGTGAAGTTGATTTCGCCACCACAGCGGTGTCCCTGGCGAGCTGCGTGGCCTGGAATACCTGCACAATCACTACGGCAAGCTTCCGTGGAAGGATCTCGTCATGCCTGCCGTAAAGGTTGCGAGGCACGGATTCCGCGTCTCCGAGGATCTCGTCAAGTACATGGACTCGGCGACTGCAGGGCAGGACGACTTTCTCGTCAACAACCCGACGTGGGCCATCGACTTTGCTCCACACGGCTACCGCGTCAAGCTCAACGAGACCATCACCCGCAAGCGCTATGCTGATACGCTGGAGGTCATCGCCAACGAAGGCCCGGATGCTTTCTACACGGGCGCCATCGCGAATGCCACTATCGCTGCTCTGCAAGCCAACAACGGTACTATGACGCTGGACGACCTTCAAAACTACACTGCTAGGATCCGGGATCCGGTTTCCATCAATTATAGAGGGTACAAGTTGACCACCGGTGGTGCGCCGTCCGGTGGTATAGTCGCTCTCTCCGCCCTCAAAATAGTAGAAGGCTACAAAGATTTCGGAAATCCTGCAAACATCAACCTTACGACTCACAGGTTGGACGAGGCAATCAGATTTGCTTATGGCGAGGTGAGTAGCAGATCGTCCTACATGAACAATGCAGCTGACCAAGCTCAAAGAGAACGGAGCTTGGCGATCCCGATTTCGTCGATGGCATGGACGAGTACATGCAGCAGATGCTGAGCGAGAACACCACCTCGCAGATCCGCAGCAGGATCTCGGACTTCCACACGCAGAATGTGTCTGCTTACAATCCTGACGGGTTCGAGAGTCTGGAGACTCCCGGCACTTCCCACGTCGTCACAGCCGACAAGTCTGGAATGGCTATTTCTCTGACGACGACTATCAACCTGCTCTTCGGTTCTCAGCTCATGGTTCCGGAAACTGGTGTAATCATGAATGATGAGATGAATGACTTCTCAATCCCCGGTGCATCAAACGCCTTCGGCTACATCCCTAGCCCGGCAAATTATGTCCGTCCCGGAAAGCGCCCCCTCTCCTCGATTGCTCCCGTCATTGTCGAGTACCCTAACGGCACTCTTTACATCTCCGTCGGCGCAGCTGGTGGATCTCGCATCATCACCTCTACTATCCAGAACATCCATCACATGCTGGATGAGGGTATGACTGCGCCCGAGGCGCTTGCTGAGCCCAGGCTTCACGACCAGCTCGTTCCGTATTATGTGAGCTTTGAGTACTCCTACGATAACTCAACTGTCGAGTTCATGAAGGAACGCGGCCACAACGTCACCTGGGTTAGCCCTGGGCAGAGCACTGCTCAAGCTTTGAGGCTTCTGGGCAACGGGACTTTTGAGGCTGCTGGCGAGCCGAGGCAGAAGAATTCAGGTGGCTTCGCTGTATAGAAGGACTTAGAAGGATAAAGGAAGAAAGTAATTGGAAGAGAAAACAAATAAACTCCTGTCATTTACCAGTGCGGTCTCGAGGTACATGGCCTATAGGACGAATTGAACGACCTGCGTTTCGAAGCAGACGTTTAACATTATCCTGTCTACACTCCTTGTCTCGCGAAGGACGTGTCACGAAGAGAGAAGCGCAGATATCTCCCATCCACTCTCGCTTGTATGTAGAGTTCACGGGGAGCAAAGTTCAAGTGAGCGAATTGCCCTTAATTCGTGTAAAGAGGGCTAAATTGCGGGCAGTTAATTAGTCGACACCACTCTTACGCAGTGGCTCAGCAGGGGTGCGGAAAGCCCCATGCAGGAACTGGGAGCATCGACACGGCATCAGGCGAACACGAGAGACAACAAGCTAACGCGGGGTCGCGAATCGGCGCACCAGCCTCCGCTCGGCCCTCGACGCAAGCCAATCCCACGTACTATCCTTGCAACACCCATTACGGAGAGGTATTACATCCGAAGGCTAGCGTTAATTTGTTTTTTCGCTCATCTCACGCGCAGTTGAAGCTATCGTCCGGACGAGAAAAAAATTCTACATACACGTCCGGACACTAGCTTCAATTACCCACCCATATTTTGATTTCCTTTTATTTTTATTTTTTGAAAAAAAAAAAAAAAGAGCCGAGCCATGGCTACCCTAGATTCAAGGATGCTGCTGCTATTCTTCGCGCTAGCCTTCGGCCGCAATACCTCTCTGTATGTGCGCGTACCGGCCACCTTCGTATCTTTACGTGACTCGCGTCATACTCTTGCCAGACCTGGAGCGGAAAGAAAGGAAAATAATTGGGGGTGCAGATTGCATGATAGAACCGGGAACTTGGAAAGTTGGCGGCCTTGGCGTCGTTTGGATCGGGAAGTGCAAGGGCTGACGCGCAAGCCCCATCTTCTGCCATCCCGAAGATACTTGCTCGCTGGAGGCATAGCAGCGGGACCATGACAGGTCTGGCGGCTGTTCGACCGCCAGAACGAAGCGCGGGTGTGGAAAGTTATCCGCCATTGCTCGTTCTCCATCACTCCCATTTTCCACCCGCCAGTCGTGGACATCACAACGGTGTTTGACGAGCGTATCGGTGAGAGCGATCATTTATTGAGTGGAGGGGCCGGCATCAATATCGATTCGCTGCTTTCAGCTGGCTCCTCCGTTCCTGCAGAGCAGGGACCCGGGGTAGGGCGCAAGGTGTGACTGAGCGACGCGGCTTACGCTCATGCACGGTGCGTCGGGTGGCTGCTTGTCAACCCGCCGGTTCGGCTCGCGGCGTCAGGGATTCATTCGTGAGGGGCCGCTCCAGAGCTGCTCGACCGGTCCGGTGTTCGCGTTCGCTTCCCCCAGGCCAGAACATGAGTCCATGCGTCCGCATTCAGCTCACCTCTCATGCGCATGGTGCCATGGTCGATAGAGGCGAGAAACTTCAAAAACAGGATGGATCTGACTGGAGACTCGTGCAAAGCCGGGGAATGTAGTGGTGTAAGCGAATCGCATGGACAGCCCGAGGACCCGCTGCTTTACCATTGGCCCTGTCGAGCCACCTGTGTTGCTGTGATTACAAGGTTGCGGAACAGTGCTGTACTCTGTCCGTCATAGCCTCACAGTGCTAGCAAGAGGCAGTCCGTTCCTTCACTGGGCCAGATTACTGTGATTTACAATGTCTACATTAATCGTACATTGTTCCCTTACAGACTGTACACGATCTGACAGGATAAGTAATTGAGCGGAGCTGGCGTACCGTAATCCTCACATAGTTTCAGTCCAGCTCGTCGATACCAATGCGGGGGAAGAGCACTGTTTTCTTCAGATCGACTTTGCTGGTGCCGTAGTCGAGGTCCTTGCAAACCTCCGCGAACTCAAAGCTTCGTTTATCTTCGTTCACGCCGAGCATGTCCAGCAGCTCCGCTGATTTACCGGGCATGTATGGCTGCAACAGGATGGCTGCTATTCTCAGCGTCTCAGCGCAAAGGAAAATGGTCCGGTCCACATTGGGGCGGTGCTTTTCCAGGACAGCGGGAGCAGACTGCTCGGCAGCATGAATCTCCTGCTGGGCCTTGGGTACGTGGTTCCACGGAGCAGCCTCCTGGAGGTAGCGGTTGGTCTTGGGAAACATGGCGTTAGCGATTAGAGCTCGAAACGGAACACCCAACCAAAACGCACCTCATAGACAGCTTCCATGATCGTCTTCAAGCCGCCGCTCACGTCGAGAGCCTGCAATTTCTGTTCGACTGCACCAGGAAGATGCGTTAGGAGGTCAAAATGGGCTCGCGCCTTTGCTTGCTGTTCCGTGGCTCGCCTAGGAATATTCTGGGCGCCAGACGCCACCGCTCTCCTGACATCCCAGCCCTTCCCCTTCACAATCCTGCTAGCCAAGTTACCCAAGCCGCCTTGCAGTCCTTTCTTGTAGCGCTCGACGACATAGTAGTTGCTGTAGTTTGCATCCTGGCTGATGCCTCCGTCGTGGGCAAGGTAATAGCGCATTGCATCGGCCCCAAACCGATCGAGGGCAAAGAAAGGGTTAACGACATTACCCACGGATTTAGACATCTTCTGGCTGTTCATGGTCCAGTGGGCGGTTGTGAGGATCCGCTTGGGAAGAGGTAGCGACAGGGCCATGAGGAAGGCCGGCCAGTAAATGCAGTGGAAACTGGGGCAACGTGAGCGCGCTGTATCCGGTGGTGAAGACGACCGTGCTTACCGGGTGATATCCTTGCCAATGACATGGCAATCTGCAGGCCAGCCACTGGATTGCATCTTGCCCGGCGGCCAAGGATAGCCGATTTTGGTTGCGTAGTTGAGCAGCGCATCCAACCACACATAGATGGTTTGGGAATCGTCTCCAGGTACCGGGACACCCCAAGTGAGCCGAGATGTAGGGCGGGATACGGAGAGGTCCTCAAGGCCGGAGGAAACAGCCTGGACGACGTCGTCCATGCGGAACTGCGGGATGATCCAGCCCGGATTCTCGCGGTAAAAGTGCAGAAGCTGGTCCTTGAAGGCGGAGAGACGGAAGTGGTAGTTGATCTCGGTCGTCCACTCGACTTCCTTGCCCGTCTCTATCGAGGCCTGGCCCCACTCAGTCAAGCGCGCGGCCAAGGGCGACGAGTGCAACATACCATGATCTTCCGGCCGGTGGCAGGCTCGACGATGAGATGGACACCGGAGGTAGGGTAATAAGTCTCATCGCTGACAGAGTACCACCCCTCGTGCTTGGAGCTGTAGATGTAGCCCCTCTCTTTCAGCAAGTGCTTCGGCTCGATCAGCTACTGTGCCAAGGGCTCATGCCGGCAGCGGTTACGTACCCATGCATACTGCACGGCGTCTTTGTGGGCTTGGTCTGTGGTGCGAACGAAATGGTCATTCGAGATGAGGCCCTTGGCGGCCAGGTTCTTTTGCTATCAGCCCTGGCTGTTGGTGAAGAAGGGCAGCAAGTACCTTGAAGACGTCGGCGCCTTTGTCGCAGAAGGGGAGCGGCTCGCTACCGGCTTTTGCCGAGGCCTGCTGGATCTGGGCACGGCAAGGTGAGCAGCTGCAGACACCGGGGCTGGAGCGATGGGCCAACCTTCAATCCGTGCTCGTCGGTGCCGGTGCTCAGCATGGCCGTCCTGCCTTGCAGGAGCTGCCAGCGCTTGATGATATCCGCAAGGACCATGGTGGACAGGTGGCCGACGTGGGGGGCTGTTTTGTCAGTGCTGGGGCGCAGGCGGCTGGGGTCGGCGGAGAGCAATACCGGCATTGACGTAGAAGATGGGAGTGGTGACATAGTAGGGTTTGTCGGCGGGCGCGGCGGCCGAGGCAGCAATGGTGCGGCGAGAAAGCCTACATGTCCAGCTTGCGGCGAGGGCTGGGCGCGCCCCGGCGCGGGGGATTCGGGGTGGCATTGAGCGTGAGAAAGTTCGTGTCGCGACGCGAAGAGCGCTGGAGCTGGCGTGACGACACGGCGCCGAGCTTCGGCCCGCAGCCGGACGCCTCGGCCCGGCAGCAACGGGCTGCTGCCTGCTGCACCAATCTCTGCCCTTTCGTTGTCTTACTCGCTCGTCCTCGCAACACCGTCGAGCCGACCTGCGCTAAGCCTGTTCTGGAAATCTTATTGAGCACCTCATCCGGCCAACCTCGCCTCCACCAAAGGAACCTTTGTCGCTGCTGCCATGAAAGGGACCATGAGATGAACTCCATCTCATCTACACAGCGGTGACCGTGCCACGGGCGATGGGCCTTGTCCAGCCATTGGCTCTTCCCACGTGCTGCAGAAAGGCGCTCTCTGCGGGAATGCCATTCCTTTCAAAAGATTTGCTTATTGGCGCCTTATTGAGGGAGGCATCTCCTATTGAGCCTTGTTTATGGAAGGGGGCTCGCCACCACGGTATGCATGTACGATCGATCCTATTTAATCTTGTGCCCGCCAGGCCTACCAACTTCCAACAACCGACCAGGTCATTCATTCTACACGTACATCTTTCACCGACTTTCCAACATGAAGTCCTTTGCTATCCTCTTCGCCTCGGCTGTCGCCGTTGCCGCCACCGCTACCGTCGATTTCCCCCAGGTCAAGCGCGCCGCCGAGGCTGCCGCCATTGCCCTTGCCGCCCCTGAGGCCGAGCCATGCTCCGGCCCTGCCGACCTCTGCACCATGGCCAAGCGTGCCAACGACTTGCTCCTTGAGAAGGTCGGCGACCTCTACTCCAACTACACCACTGAAGGTGATCATGGTAAGTATCTCCCCCGTCTTTAAAAGACATCTCGCTGACTCAAACACTGCTAGACATCTTCGTCGTCAGGCGTGATCCGGACCCGGCCTTCTGTGGCCGTATCCGCGGTCAGCCCTGCCACAAGAAGCGTGAAGCCGAAGCCGACCCTGCCTTCTGTGGCCGCATCCGTGGACAGCCTTGCCACAAAAAACGCGAGGCCGAGGCAGCATTCTGTGGCCGCATCCGCGGTCAGCCCTGTCACAAGAAGCGTGAGGCCGAGGCCGAGGCTGATCCTGCCTTCTGCGGCCGCATCCGCGGCCAGCCTTGCCACAAGAAGCGTGAGGCCATCGCGAAGGCCGAGCCCGCATTTTGCGGTCGTATCCGCGGCCAGCCCTGCCACAAGCTCAAGCGTGCCGCTGAGGCTCTTGCTGACGCCGCTGCGATGCCCGCTTTCTGCGGCCGTATCCGCGGCCAGCCTTGCCACAAGGCCCGCCGCGACCTCGAGGATGTGTCCAACTTCGCCAACGAGCTGGTTGGCTTCGCCGAGGGCAGCGAGTAACCTGCCTTTTAGGAACAACGGATCCCGGAACCAATCACCATCACGATGGCTGCAGTCTTGTTTACTTGAATTTTCCCTCAAACTGAATCAGGCCCAACTCGTTATATTGGGATTCAACTTCCTCGTCCCGGAACGCAGTTCTCCATATCAATTTGTCTTTGCCATCACCATGGCGAAACCCCGGACTCACAGATGAGACCTGGCTTTCCTAGGACGGGGAAGATCCACGGGCGAGGCCGGCGTACATACATCCCATATACTTGGGTGGATAGCGTGACTGGCCTTAGTTTTTTTTCTTTTTCCTTTTTTTTGGAGGAAGGAATCTCATTTTTTCCCCACTCCGCTGTCGTATATTCTATTAGTTCTTGTTCTTAATTTCTGGTATAAGCCGTTCGATTATCGCTGCTTGTGTCTTTTACGTAGCTGCTTTCCGCGAAATGCAACTATAAGTGGTGACCCAAATGGACCGTGTCTTTGCGCCGGCTCTCGCCTAATCGATGCACTTGCCTGGTGATGGGCATTGCCCTCTTATGATTTATGGTGCCTGAGGGAACCGCGAGAACCTTCATGCAGCCCATTCTCGCACGGCTATGTATAGGCAGCTGGTTTTGAACCCACCCCAAGATTTCAGGACAAATAGCATATTATCTCACTTGACCTGTTTGGTCCTGTCAATACCCTCGTCCAAATGGTACGAGGCCAGCGATATCAAGATATGTAGCCTCAGTAGGAAAGGCCAACACCAAAAGACCGGAGAGCAATGTCACTCGACAGAGCTGAGTTGCCGCCGAAAGATAGCGCGAAGACCCGCAGGGCCCTAGAACAAGAGGTAGCTGCTTTATGTATTTCAAAAACGAGAACTTCAACCCACGCGGTTGGAGATCTTTGTTTGGGATAGGCGGGTGAGGTTCAAGTATTTTTTTTTTAACGTGATATATGAGTTTGGTTCAGGTTTGCTCCTGTTACAGGGGGGTATCGCAGCTGAAGGCTAGCGTGAAGAATAGTAAGGCCCTAGTACCTATACCCCAGCTCTTTCTTAGAAAAACAACGTATGTGAGTAGCTGAAGCTATCATCCGGACGTGAGTGTATAACTATTAATTCCACATTTACATCCGGGAGATAGCTTTAACTACCCATGACACAAGCAAAAATCAACGCTAGACATCAGCTGCAAGAGGGGACTGTATTCCAGACAATCACTGCTAATGTGTATGGCAGATCAAGGTTGCTTTGATCTAGCGCTCTGTTCGAGATTTCGGTTCACCATGAGAAATCCAGCAATGAAACAAGCGCAATCACGTGTAGACTCTCGACAGAAACTCAAATTGATTTTGATAACAACGCCAGCGTAAAACGGCAGACCCACAGTCCGCAACCAGATCGTATCGTCCGCCTTGGCAAACCTGCTTGGGAGCTTTCCAATTGTTGCCCAACTTGCGGCTGATGACCATGTGGCAGACGCACACTAAGAATCTTCTGGGCATGTGGCTCATCTCCGTGCCTATGTATACCCCAGTCGTCTGTGAACAGAGTTCATGCATCTATGCCCCGTTCAACCTCCTTGCCTCCCCACAATCGACGCTTTGCTAAAGTCTGCTTTGTACAGGGACCAAAGATGAGCCCATCACTGGAAGAGCTGCAATTGAATAGTCTGATGTCAATCGTATAGATTACTGCTGCTTCTTTTGCGCAGTAGGGCCCATCTCTTTGCTGAAAGCAAAATAGGAGACTTCGAGGCCGGCGACAGCAGTAACGCCGACGTAGAGGATGAGGAAAAGGACAATGCTAACAGAAAGACCCATGAAGATGCCTAGTGGTTCGTAACCAGTCAGAGTGTGGTTCGACAGCGCAAATGCACAGGGCGGCGCTTACCTGGCGAGAGGAACTGATACTTCTCAAAGAGAGCCACATCATCTCCAGTCTTCGCGCGGTCCGACAGAGCACGCTTCATCTCGGTGTGGAGAGGGAATGTGTCGTCCATCTCGTAGCCCTGGACTGGGTGCTGCTGTTTGGGGGGCGGAATCTGGTTGACCACGGGAGGGGTGGTGGTATAGATGACGGTGTAGCTCTTTTCTTGAACGCTTGACATCAAGGCGTCGAGGAACGAGTCTATTGTCGGTCAGATACGGGCTTCTTGGTGAGCATTCGGTTGTAGCTACCGTTCTCAGTGAGCTCGACGGTCCTCTCGGCAGCAGAGGTGGATGGAGCCACGAAGTCGAGCTTGATGACACGCGGAGAAGCATCGCCGAGGGAGATGTAATCATCTGGATGGGCCTGTCAGACCGACGTTCCTCCATAGTGCACGAGCAGACCTACTCGATGCGTCGACGTTCATCCGGGCGGCCTTGCACTGCCTCTGCACATAGTTGGCCACATCGTCGGCGTTGGTCCCGCCGATAACCTCGTTGATGGAGCCGGTGGTGATGGAGGCGTCGGTGTTGCGGAACTTGGAGCGCAGCCAAGGCGCAGACCACTTGTGCTCGAAGTCGGTAGACGAGACGCCAGGCTGGCTGACGACAACGTAGGTTTCGGAGGGACAGCCGGCGAGGAGCTGCTCGACGGACTGGGCGGCGGCAGCGGCGGAGAGGATGTTCTTGCTGGCGAAGTCGGGGATGGCGCTGCGAGGCAGGGTTAGCTAGCTTGCGCAGCTCGCAAGCTCAGGCGGGCAAAGCGACTCACGGGGAGGACGAAACGACGAAGAGCGGGGAGGTGCCTTGGAAGGCGGAGGCGGCGGAGATAGACAGAGCTATCGCGCCAACGGTTCGGAGAGCCATGATGGAAGTAGTCTGGGGTGCTTGTTGCTTGGGATGACCGCAGCGGTCCACCTGCGGTTGCGCTGGCTGCCCGGCCCGTTGTTTTTCCCGGATCGCGGCGATAAGACGGGCTTCCCCGACGCGTGCTCGCAGGCCACCATTGCTAGCGCGACGTCCAGGTCGTAAAACTGAGGCATATACGTCTAGACGGCAGCGGCATGGGCCTTGGTGCCCGGGCAGCCGGTGGCGGCGCAGCTACTGGCTTCGCCACAGCGCCTGCCGGTGATTGAGAGTGACTCAGCGGGCCGTGCGTCATAGGTTGCGCCGCAGCTGCTGCGACTTTTTGGAGCTGAGACCGCCATGATAAGAAAGTGCGTGCCGTTCCAAACCGCAACCGCACTCTCTCCTTCTTCACATTGTTCTAGTGGGCTGTTTTTTTGAAGCCCGCGCCCGCGCGTTCCTCCTTCCACGCTCGACACGCGCGGATAATTTTCAGCCGTTGCTCTACATCTCCCACCTGGATCCCTCCGCAACCCGCTTCAAAAGCAGCTTCCCTCCGCCTCGCCCGCTATGTCTGCTGAGGTCGCACCCACGCCTCAAGCCCCATCGTCGAACGGCGCGCCCAGGGGCCATCGCAACCGAAAGAGGCCCCAGCGAGGCGGCGCCCAGGCAAATGCCGAGCAACCGAACAACGACCAAACACCTGGGCCATCCGCCTCTCGGGGCAGAGGCGGCCGTGGAAGGGGCGGCCGGGGTGGACGGGCGAGGGACGCAACCCCGGCTTTGAGACCAGCCTCGGGAGCACCAAGCCCCCAGCCATCTTCGACAGATACATCGCCGGCTCCAGCGGCGAGCAACAGCAACGATGCCAGTCAGTCCAGACGTGGTCGTAGAGGCGGCCGCGGCGGTGGCGGCGCAGCCAGGGCAACTGCCGGGAGGCAAATCGTCAGGACATTTCAGGGAAGGCAGTTTGGTGGTCAACTGACATCGTCGGAAGACGTCCCTTCGACGCATTCTCCTCAGCTACAGGCAGACGCTCTGGAATTCACCCCAAGCCAGACGGCCACTCCCAAGCCCCCGAAGGGCCTGCAGCAGCCTCGCAAACGCCGCGCCTCACGATCCACCGCTCCGGACATTGCTACCCGCGTCCACGAAGACATCGACAATGGTCTCTACGAATGTGCCATTTGCACAAACGAAGTCCAGAGGAACTCAAAGAGCTGGTCTTGCCGGACATGCTGGACTGTCTTTCATCTTGGCTGTATCAAGAAGTGGGCTTCGAACGAGGGCTCTGCAGCAGCCCGCCAACAAGCGCAATCCGGCGATCTTCCACCTCCTCGCCAGTGGAGGTGCCCGGGCTGCAACTTACCCCAAGATGATCTACCGAAAACTTTCACATGCTGGTGCGAGAAGGAAGTCGATCCCAAGCCCCTTCCTGGGTTGCCGCCTTTCTCTTGCGGCAACACGTGCTCGAGAGATCGTGTGTTGCCGAAGAAATGCCCGCATCCATGCCCTGAGTTATGCCATGCTGGACCCTGTCCACCATGCACTCAAATGGGACCAGCCCAGCTCTGTTTTTGCGGCAAAGAATCGAAGACCAGGAAATGTCTCGACACTGACTATGACAGCGGTTGGAGCTGCAGGCAGGTTTGTGGCGAGCTCATGCCCTGCGGTGAGCACTTCTGCGAGCGAGCGTGTCACGAGGGGCTTTGCGGTGCTTGCGAAGTCCGCGTAGAGGCTCGGTGCTACTGTGGTCAGGTCGAGAAGATGATTTTGTGTTGCGACAAGAACGACGAGAAGGACAGCCAACGCACCCACAAGAGCGAGACGGGAGAAGAGGCTGTTGACTCGTGGACCGGACTTTTCGAGTGCGCTAACATTTGTTACCGATACTTCGATTGCGGAAAACATCAGTGTGAACAGACATGCCATCCGCAGGAAGCGAAGCCGACCCACTGCCCCCGCTCTCCAGACCTAATTACGCACTGCGGCTGTGGGAAGACCCCTCTCACAGACATCACCGCAGAGGCACGGACCGACTGCGATGACCGCATACCCAGCTGCGATAAGCCCTGCCTTAAGACACTGGCATGCCGTCACCCTTGTCGTCAAGTCTGCCATTCCGGTGACTGTCTGCCCTGCACGATGACGGTCCCCATCTCATGCCGCTGTGGAAGAACCTCGCTCAAGACTGTTTGCCACCAAGGGGTGGAGGAGAAGCCCCAGTGCATGAGAACATGCCGCGTCACCCTCAATTGTGGACGTCATGAATGCGGCGAGCGATGCTGCCCCGGGGAGTCCAAGGCTGCGCAACGCGCTGCCAACCGCAGAAAGCCTCGACCGCTCGATGCCGCCCCTCAGGTCCGGGAGGACAACTTCGAAGCCGAACACATCTGCACGCGTCCTTGTGGTCGTCTCTTAAAGTGCGGCAACCATCATTGTCAGGAACTATGTCATAAAGGACCCTGCGGCAGCTGTCGTGAAGCCATCTTCGATGAAATCAGCTGCAGTTGTGGCAGAACCGTTCTACAGCCTCCTCTGCCGTGCGGCACCAAGCCACCCCCGTGTCGCTTCCAATGCGAGCGCCCGAAGGCTTGCGGACATCCGCAAGTCGCGCACAACTGCCACCAGGATGACGAAGATTGCCCAAAGTGCCCCTTTCTTGTCGTCAAGCCATGCTTATGCGAGAAGAACCAGCTCAAGAACCAGCCCTGTTGGCTGGCGGAGCCGCGGTGCGGGGAAATCTGTGGCAAAAAACTCAAGTGTGGTGCCCACCGCTGCCGCAAGACCTGCCACAAACCTGGAGAATGTGAGGACGTCGGGGCATCTTGCAAGCAGGCTTGCGGAAAGGAAAAGGTGTGCTGTGGTCATCCTTGCTCGAATCAGTGCCATTCACCTTACGCGTGTGACGAGAGCAAGCCCTGCCAGTACAAGATCATGATCACTTGCCCATGTCAGCACAACAAACAAGAAGCGAAATGCTTGGCCACCAAAGACAGTGAAGGGAGCCTGAAGAAGTCGCTGAAATGCGATGACGAATGTGCGAGGCTTGAGCGTAACCGCAAGCTTGCCTTGGCTCTCAATGTGGATCCCGAAGCCCACAAAGATGACCATATCCCTTACTCGGCAGAGACGCTCTCTCTATATCAACAAAACGTCCAATGGGCTCAAACACAGGAAAGGGAGTTCCGCGTTTTTGCTACTAGCCCCGAGGAGAAAAGGCTTCGGTTCAAGCCCATGCCTGCCCAGCAGCGTGCATTCATCCATGCTTTGGCTGAAGACTTTGGTCTGGACTCGGAGAGCATGGACCCTGACCCTCACCGCCATGTAGTGATCTACAAGACCCCAAGATTCGTCTCGGCACCGACGAAGACTGTAGGCGAGTGCGTCCGCATCCGCTACAACCAACGCGCAGCCACTGCCACGGCCCCGGCTGCTGCTACCGATGCAACAAAGAAGCTCAAGGCTAGCAATGTCGTCGGCGATCCGTACAACGGCTTCCTGCTAACGAACTCTCGATTCGCTCTTACCATCGAAGAACTGCGCGCCGCCATCCGCCCTGTCACTGACTCCGCACCAGCGGTCCAGTTCGACATCTCTTTCCTTCCCAGTGACGAGGTCGTCCTGAAAGCCAGTGCCGCCCTCTCGGAACGCGACCTGGAGGCCACTCTCAAGCACATCAAGGCAGGCCTCGCCCGCGAGATCCGCTCACACGCCCTTGGAAGTATCCAGCTCTGTCGGCTGGACGCCAGCCTGAACATCCTCCGTCGCGAGATGGACAGCGCCGCCAATGGTGGGTGGAGTCAGGTTGCAGCCAAAGCGGCAGCGCCAGCAAGGATGCGTCCGCAGCAGACTACAAGAGCCGGTTCAAACAGCTTTACCGTATTAAGCCTAAGCAACAAGAGTAAGGAGAGCAGAGAGAAGAACAAGAAGAAGGCGGTTGAAGAGGCGGTTGATGATTGGGAGGCGGCGGAGGCCATGGAAGAAGAAAAGGAGAGGCTGGAGAGTGGACATGCTAGCAAGGTGGCTAGTGGTGCAGTTACAGAGGATGAGGCGGAGGGGACACATGCCGTGGCGGAGAATGACATGAAAGTCGAGACTCCCGGTTCTGGTGAGGAGGACATGGGTCCTGCAGAGGGGGTTGAGATCAAAGCTGAGGAAACTGCCACAATTTAAGCCGTTGCAAGGCGATGGTCTGGGGTATGGTATAGATGTTAGTAGTCTACTATCACTTGAACATCTATATAGGCCTTGAAGAATTCTTTATTCTCAGTTTCTTCCACGACGGAGATGCTACAGGTGCTGAATAGTGTTTATGGTTCTACATTCACACACTTCGCACGACTTAAGCGCGAGTATATACAGTCCCCTCTCGCAGCCGATGGCTAGCGTGGATTTGTTTTTTGCTCATGTCATGGGTAGCTGAAGCTATCGTCCGGACGTGAATGTATAATTATTAATTCCACATTTACATCTGTACGATAGTTTCAGCTACCCACCTATATTATATTTATAAGAAAGAGCTGAGGCATAGCTACGCCTGGGGCTTGCTATTCTTCATGCTAGCTATCGGGTGCGAGAGAGGACTGTCTATCGAGACTCTCTTCCAGACACGTGGCGTCGTCCATTACCACCTCCCACCTTCCTACTATCCCAGCTTGCAGCACTAGGGGTGGTGGTCTGTCTGCTTGATGAATACGTTGGCGTTCTCTAGCCTCCCTTACCCTTTCTGGGCCTATATGTGTGTTTAATACTAGCTGTGAAGTTAGGAGCCAGCCTCGCCACATGGAAGCAAACAGTGCATGCATGCTGCTACGTCAATACTGGACGGACAACACACCTGACTGTAATACTAAAAACCTTCTGCGGCTAGAAATATGTAAGGAGACTGGATAGTAGACAAACTCTGGTGGGGGGGGGGGGGGGGGGGGGGGGGGGGGGGGGGGGGGGGGACGAAGAGAAATTAAGTGAATTGGGGGTTTTAGGCTGAAAGGATCTCTAAGCTCTTTCGCCCGGAAGACATATGGCCAATGGAGCTCAGTAACCATAACTAATATGGAGTCGAATATAATAAAACGATACCAACATCATCAGATCTATTATATTGTTGCTTTAAACCTAAGTGCACCACCGGCTTTCCAAGATTAAACGACGCTAACACTTTTTTTTTCACTGCTTGATGCTGTCATCTCTTTTACCTAGTCTAACTTTTCACAGTTGGTACATTTCCTATCCTACTTAAGAGAGCAAGATACTTTTCTTTTTTGTTTAAAAAAAAAAGCCACTCGCTCCATTTTGCGTTGTCTTCGAATGTTCATCTGCCATGGATTTCATGCACGAATGCAAGGCAAAACCTTCATGAAGCAGTCAAATAAAGCCTTTAGGCCCTCCACAAGGACGTCTACGCCAAAGCCGACTCCGCTGTCCGATAAAGGAAGAGGATGTGGGGAAGTTGGAAATAAGACAAAAGGGCAACCAACCATCGAACCCACCCAAATTGAAAAGACGCAGGTCTCTTCATGCATTTTCTCTTTTACTCCGGTTCGAAGAAAGGAAGAGAAATCGACAAGCCAAAAGAGCGATGAAAACAAGAAGGATGCAAGAAGCCATTCACAAAAGCCATTTTCGAAGAACGCCGTCGTCCATGGTTGTGGGTTGCTGGAGTGGTTCGATGTTATCAAAGCGCATGGCTTATTTGCAGAACTCGTGCAAGTTTGCGAGTCGGCGCTGTGCTCGATTGGGGACTAGAAAAGGGGAAACACGCTTGGAACAACTTCGAGTGAGAAAAGGTCGCGAAGACTGTGAAGGCCGGTATCAGACTGAAAAAAAAAAACACGGTCTATCGGAGGGCCTGCGTATTGTTAGAATTCTCAGTGGCTAACGATATAGGAGTTGTGATTGAGTCTCACCAAGCTGTTCAACGTCAGCTGTTGTTGCTTGCCGAAGACGCCCATGAGCTCAGGAACAGCGTCCTCCTTCTGACTCGCTGCAGCGTGGGAGGAACCCCCTAGAAGCGATGGGCCGGCTCCCTCAGCAACTTGGTCTAGGCGGAAGAACTCCTTGGCCATGTGCTCGTCGCCATTCTCCATAAGATAAATCATGAAGTCGTATGTGAGCTGCCTGATCTCTTCTTGTGACAGCTTGCTCTTCTGAGCAATCATGTTGTGGACCTGCCTGATCGTCTCGGTCTGCTCCGGCTGCGTCGCGTCGGTAGTCGGTTGCGCCATTTCGAACTTGAGATAATCCTCCCAGAACTCACGGACACCGAGGTAAGCCTGGGAATTGCTCTGGAAGAGCTGGCGAGCGCCTGCCGCATCACCCTTGGACTTCCAGAGCAGCCCGGCCCATTTGGCGACAAGTGCGCCCTTGGCACTGTTGCTGGCCTCAGGTGATTCGACCTGCTCCCGGTAGACCTTGATGGCAGCATCGACACCATCCTGTCGCTTGGCAAGGTTTGCCCAGGATACAACCGTCTCAACATGACCGGGGAGATTGAACAAGATTGCCTCGTGTATCGCGTGCGCAATGTCGACGCGGCCAGTCATTTCCTCGAAGAGGGCGTAATGAAGCCGGACGGTCGGACGGGCGATGGGGACATACAAACAACTGGCACGCATGTAGATGTTGCGCGACTCCTCCTGGTGACCTTCCTGCTTGTTCATCCAACGGGCGTAGCGTAGCCAAAACCTGTCCTCATACGCACACGTGACAAGGCACCTTTCGTACAAGAACTGGGTTCGCTCAAAGCCGCCCTCAACCTCTTCAAAATCCAAGTACTTGTCCCAGTTGAGCAACTGAGCCTCATCAAGTTCAGTGACGTGGAAGTATGGGCGCTTGATCTCCTGCTCATAGGTCCAGCGCCGAGTCGTTTCCGTCTGGGTCTTGTGGAAGATCTCCAGATGATAGGCGTCGATCCGGGCGCGCAGGTCACGTTCGACTTCAATCTCGGTCTTGGCGCTTGAGGCTGGATCCATCATGAGCTCGCTGCGGAACTGGGTGAGCATGTCGGCAGGAACGAGCTCGGTGACGGGGCGAGTCTGAGCAAGCTGGCGGAAGCGCTCAAAATAACGAGCATACTGATGCATTGGGATGGCGATGATGCGCTGGAGGATGGCGAAAATCCTGTCGATGGATTCAAGGCGTTCTTCAAACTCCAAGTATTTGTCCCAGAAGGGATGAGCGAGGAAGTCTAGGCCGACGCATGCGGCGCCGCGCTCGAAGAGTCTGGGAACGAGGGTCAGCTTGCTCCGCGCCGAATGTACGCGGGGAAAGACGGAGCGGGTAGGGCAGCAAACAAGTTCAGTGTGAATTTTCGAGAGCACGGTTAGGGTGATCCAAATTCATGCGAGATCGGTGGAGGGAATGCTTCTGCTCAGCTGCCACTCGCGGCAGTTTCCAAAGACAAGACAAGGAAAGCGTCTGAAGACACAGCGTGAGAGGTCGCAACAGTCGTCGAGGTTGGCACTGAGGTCTCACCAAGCTCCAAGCTACGCCCAGGCCGAGGAGGAATGGGAGGATGACCGGAGGTCGGCAGTCGGCACAAGGCCGGCGAGACGGCCGTGGGAGCTGAATGTTGAGTACGGGGAAGGAAAGGCCAGCCGCTGATACTTACTCTCGAATCACGTCGGAGTCGTGATTGGTCTCGACCTTGAAGCCGCAGTAGTTGGCCCATAGGTCGACGGAGCTGGCAATGCTGGCAACGCCGCGCTCGTAGACCATCTCGGCGGCCTCGGTGCCGGCGATCGAGAATTCCAGGTCAGCGTACTTCTTCCAGTATCCAAAGAACAGCGGGAAGCGAGCGAGGAAGCGGTCGTAGATGGCGCGGGTCGCGGCGATGGCGTTGGGGCTCGAGTTGCGGTTCAAGCCTCCCTCGAGGCCCTCGGCGGAGCGGACGAGCTTCTCCCACGTCTCGAAGTCGTCAAAGTTGTCGAGCTGCAGGCACCAGCACTAAATTCAGCTCACCGACACTTTCCAGCGCGATGCGGAGGCCGGGGGGAGAGGGGACCTACGACTTCAAGGTTCAACTTCTTGAGCTCGGCGTACTCCTCGCCGTCAAGGAAGTTCAGGTCCGCCATGGCGTCCGGCTGTGCGCAGAGCGTCGGAGGGTGGCGCGCGATGGGGAGGGTGCAAGGGCGAGGACGCGGTTGCTGAGGTTGCGAGGTTGGAAGAACAGCAGGGTGATGTCGGGGCGTTGGCCGGGGCGACTCGAAGATGGCGGCAAAGCTCGAAGTTGCAGCAGAGCCGCACGGACTCGCGGGGGCCCAAGCCGCAGCTCCCTTGCCCGCCGCGCAATCTTCCGAACTGCCTCACGTTGATGCTGTGCAGCTCAGTCCGCCGGGAAAAAAACGAAAAAAGGTATCCATTTGAAGCCTACGTGGACATCGACACAGTCCGGAGAATGGTATATGTAGCTATCCGCCAGTGCGCTCCAAACGCCCGCCCTCCGATGATCGCATTGCTCTCATTCCTCTTCGTCACGAGGCCTTCTGGTCTTTCGCGTACTTCACTGTATCGCTCGCCGCGAACGAGAACGGACTCTTGGACATGTCCGGGCTGCGCGGGCTGATGGGCAGCGCGAACAAGTCGTCTTCGTGGTCGTCGTCCTCCGCCGGCGGGCCTGCTGGCACCACGAACCCCCCAGCAAATGCGTTCAGCGAGCCCATGCCCGCCGCCTGCTGCTGCTGCGCAAGGATCTCTGGTGGCGGCACTGCGGCCGCCACCCTCCGCGGCGCATCGTGCGCCGGCTGATTTTGCGCTGGCTGAGCGGCCAGCACGGCGGGATTCTCCTTGAACGCAGCGAACGACGACACGGCCACGTCCGACGACTCGGGCGACAGCGGGCCAGCGGGCGCCGGGCCCTCGTTTCTGGCGCTGCCCTCGCGCGCTGCCAGCTCCTTCTCGCTCGTCCCGATCTTCAGTCCCTTCAGCTTATCCATCAGGCGGCCACCTCCGGGGGACCGCGGGCTGCTCGGGCTGACCGGGTTGTCGTTCTTGGGCAGGCTGATGCTGGGCCGCGACGACACGCCGAAGTTCTGCTCGATCCACTCTTTCTCTTGCATGGCCATGACGAAGGCGATGCCCTCGACGTTGGTGCGCGCTTCGGCATCGATCTCCTTCTGCAGCGCCTGCAGCCGGCGCTTTGCCCAGATGGTGTGCAGCACGCCCTTCTTGCCCGCCTGCCGCGCGGTGGCGCCCAGCTCTGGGGGGAAGATGGCGGGCAGTGAGTTGGTGCGCCAGGTGACGGCGGGCTTGGAGGCGTCGGCCGGGCGGTGGGTGAGGGTGACGGTGGGCGGGACGGGCACGCCGGGCGGTAGGAGGAAGTACAGGCGGTTGATGTCGCTGCTCGTCTGGTCGTCGGCGGGCAGCACGGTGCTCTTACCTTCCCACGAGATGTGCCAGTCGCCGCGGTTGCTGCGCGTCGCGTCGTCATCCTCCCACTCGACCATCAGGATCTTGGTGCCCTCCTGGCCGTGGCCGGCCTCGAACTCGAAGCGCACCAGCGCGTTGGAGTTGGACAGGCTCGGCGACTCGACCTCGTCCTTGAAGCTGCCATCGGCGGCCGACGTGTCGACGGGGTTGAAGGGCGGCGGGGTGGGCGACGCTTGCGCCATTGCGAAGCCGGAGACGCAGCGCGGGCGGAGCGATGCGGAGTGGTGCTCGGTTTGGTCCGGCGGCGTGGACGGAGAGGTTGTGGCTGGTGGTATTCCCAATCCCAAGGGGCGCTGCAAAGAAGGGCGACTCGGTCTCTGGAGGTTACTAGGCGCGAACAAGCCGTGCCATCTCTCTCGCCGAAGCAACAGTCCCCGTCTGATTTCTTGGTGGATTTCTATTTTTGGCAATGCTCCGTCTTATGCTTGGCCCGTGCCGCTCATGCGTAGTCAGCCGCGCCGAGCACCAGCGACGCTGTAACATAGTCGAGATTGGGCAATTTTATATCTCCGCCGCCGGCCGCGCCGCCAATGCGCCGCGCGCCCTGGAGCAGCGCCGTGGGCAGGCAGCGTCGAGAGGCGCAAGGAGAGCCCGCAAGCCGGGCCGATGGGTCCAAGGGCTGCCTCCGGCTGCCTCCAGCAAAAAGCCGGCCCAATCACCGCCGCGCAGCCACCTTTTCCAAATTCCCGGCCGAAAAAGCGAACCCCTAATTGCCTATTGGCCCCCGCCAGTCACGTTTCGCTCGCCGGCCCCGGTTCTTAATAGCGATCAGCGAAGTCCCCTTCATTCGGAGAAGACCTCACTTGAAACTATCATTCCTAATTGCTCTCTCTCTCTATGTTACACGCATCGTAATCAATATCCCAGCCCCCCCATCCCCCCCTTTATCAGCACCAGCTTGAGAAATTGACGCCCGAATCCCCCAGATGCCTAGCGCACGAAGCTAAGCGCGGAAAATGCTCTGAACATGCATCCGAACTCATCAAGTCATCCGGCAATGCTCTGTTCTCCTGAACGCCGTAAGCCAGATGATGCACATGCTTGCTGTCTAAATGATGCGAGACAAGATTAAAAAGTGGGTATAAAGCGATGGTTGGAAAAATATGTGCAGAAGAAGAGAATGCGTGTGAGTGTGTGTATATGTATGTCGTTGATCCTGCAGCGTCCGGTTGCGGGTATCATTGGGTATATCGGCCGTCTCGTCGTGTATGTACTTCCGGGGTGATTGCTGAGGGGCAGCAAACGGACCAGGATGCACCGGAGGGAAGGCTTCTAGATCAACAAGAAGTCCCAGCCCTTCTGGTGCATCACGTCCCGCCAGTGGACGCTCCGCTTGTCCCCCCTCGACAGGTTGTCGTCATTGACGGCCCAGACGTCCTTCAGGAGCTCCCTAATGCGGCCAAAAGAGCCGACCTCGGCCGTTTCTCCCATAACAGCTGCGCGCTCTGCGAACATGGACCGGAATGCCGATCCCTCGAGCGAGTAAGACCCCGCAACGAGGAGCGGCCAGACCAGCGAGCGGTCGAAGCCCTCGGGTCCCGCGGGAATGAAGCTCATCGCCTCGGTCAGCTGGTCCACCAGGCTAACGCTCGTAGGGGACTGCCGATCAAAGTCGGGCACTAGGCTGCACAGGTAAATGCGGGCCGCGATGCGGAAGACCGTCGTCATGTTCGACTTCAGCTGCTTCGGACGGATGGCCCCCGTCGACGAGTAGCAGTTGTCGAGAGGACCCGACGACTGCTCGGTCAGGTTGATCTGGTCGCCGAGCAGCTTGATGTGTGCGCACAGCGTGACATCATCCATGTTCTCCATCTTCACCGCTTCGAGGCATGCAATCTCGGAAATCAAATACATGATCCGATCGTCGCAGCCCATGAGCTCGGCGAGTCCGGTCGGTGAGCTAGCCAACATCTTTTCGCGGTAGCAGTGCGCGAAGAGCGGGGACCTGCCAAGCATGGTCGCGCCCAGGATGTCAATCCAGGAGGCAAGAGTCATGTTGAAGGGCGGCTGCGCGTGGGGGTTGCCGTTGAGAGCGAGCAGGTGCTGAGGAAGCTCGAGCTTCTCGATCAGGCTCTGGGCGGCCTGGAAGTGCGAGTGCCACGGAATGTCGGGAAGCGTGTCGTCGGGACGGCCCACAGCGCACTGGAAGAAAATCATGGCGAGTGCCGCCTCAAGGATTTGCATGTGGTCGGTGTCCCTGCCCAGAGCCTCGCACAACTCCGAAATGGTCTGGTAGCGGTGGCGCACAATGTCGTTGTCAATCTGCTCGCCCTCGAGGTGCTCCGAGTTCTTCAAATGCTGGGCCGCAATGCTGAGGCAGCAGTGCAGGTAGCACTTGTTGGACTCGAGTGCAGGAAGAACCACATCCGACCGCGCAGAACCGTGCTGGTTGACCTCCAGGATCGGGAAGATCAGGCGAAGCACGTTGTCAATAAAATGGTTGAGCAGGTGCTGGTCGCCCTCCTCGACCTGGATGGTAGCCTGGTGCGAGGGAGTGAACGGTCCGTGCGGGAAATCGAAAAAATTGAAGTCGAGAGGCTCCTCGGTGAATTCCTCCTTGTGCTCGAAGAAATCCTGCTGGATCCAGTTTTCCGGGCAGGCCGGCAGGCCATTGAGTGCGGGCGGCTGGAAGGTGCTGAAGGTGGAGATGGTGGAGTCTCTCCGCGTCGGAATGTCATTGACGAACATCTGGCGCTCGGTCTTGATGTCCACCTCGTACGGGGGGAAGGGCTGAAATTGAGCGTACGAGTCGTACATGGGCTGCGGCATCCCGACAGAGTAAATGTGGGGCGGCGAGACATGATTGAAGTCACCGGAAAATTGCGAGTCGATGGAGGCTGCGCGGGTCTTGGAGTGGCCGTCGGAATAGGCATCAGAGGTTGGCAGGGAGTGGCAGAGGCTCGGCGGGGTGTTGGGGTTCAGCGAGATGGCCTGCGACGACTTCTCGTTGAGCTTGGTGCGCTTGATGATATTCTTGATCTTCTCCTTGTGGGCGCGACGGTGCTCGTTGTTGCTCCACCACATGGGCCTTTTGTACTCGCACTGGAGGCCGAGGTGCCTGCAGGCCTTGCAGCTCGGCTTGCCCTCATCGCACTTCTTCCTCCGCAGCCGGCATGTGAAACAGCCTATAACGCGGTCAGCGCAGGACGCGGCGACGCGACATTGCGAGCGACTTACCGGTGCGAGATCTCCTGTGCATCTTTGTCGAAGACTGCTTCGCGCTCGCGGCCATGTTGGTGCCCACCATGTTGGTCGAGGATTTCTGGACGGATGCCGACGTGGCAGACGACATCGGGAAGTACTGGGACGGTGTTTATAAGAAGCCGATAAAACAATGCAACGCGCAATGCCGCTAATGCACGGCGGGAGGGATCCGTAAGGGACTGTGAGGATCAAGCGGAACACTATTAGATTAATGATTGAAAACCAAAGTCTGACCCGCGGACTTTGGACTGGAGGTAAGAGAAACGAAAAGAGGGCAAATTATTCAGGCCGGTGCTGCTGCCTTCCCAGGACGGTGAGGGGGAGTACCTTATATGTTTCTTCTTGGGAGGAAAAGGCAGCTAATAGCTCCACATCTATTCTTAGAGGCCTGCAGCGGGCTTGCTCCGGAGGCTGGGAAAGCAAGCCCGAGTGCCACGGTGGAGGGGTGCAGGCAGCAGCGATTGGTGGTAAACGGTCGATTGGTTGCTCGTCACCCCGCCCGGGCCACATGCACGAATGCACGCTATTTTTGAGAGCCGCCGCAGCGAGCCGGCATGCGGCCCCAGCTCCAAAGAGGGGTACAAGCTCGGCGGGCGGACAGCTATCGACGGGCTATCTTCCCTGGGCAGATCCGCCACCGCACGCCGCGGAGGAGAAACGAGATGGGGTTTAGCCCAGCAGGCCCCCGACCCAGGGTTCTCTCTTGGGGCTTTTGCGGGAAAAAAATGTCGTGATAGTGATCTTACTTCCTTGGCCTCGCTTGAGTGGCTGCCGCCGGCAGCAGGATGCATCAGGGGAATACTTGCAGCGTGCGCTGAGGGCTTTGCGGGCCGCTCGTTACTCGAGATGATCAATGACGATCACAACGCATGAATATTGCCAATCCGGCTGCCGATGACGCCGCTGCTGTCACTGCGTGCTGTACCACCGCGCGGGAGTGTCAGCGGCCGAAGGAGGAAGGCCATGCTGCTCCGTGAGACGCTGGGGTGGCCTGAGGCGTGTGACCGAGTCGCCGTCCCGTGGTCTCGAGCCAGGCCGACAGAGTTCGCGCGGACACAGCATCTGGGCCGTCCAAGACAGCGGAGCCGTTGAGGAAGGAGGTCGGGCTTGGAAGGCGTACAAGAGCAGATTGGTGCGACCGGGGCAACGATATCGGCCGTGGGGTTGGATCCGGCAAGGCCTGGCGATGTTTCCCAGCCATGACAGGCATCGTCGGCTGGAAGTCCGTGGCAATCCCAGCAATCGTTGGCTGCAGCGCGATGTGATGGTGGTGCGTGGTGCATGACAAGCTCTCGCTCCGCTAGTTTAGGCTGGGGACCATGCGCCTCGGGCGCTGCCGTCTCTGCCAATCGCGCAGCCCAACGGGTGTGGGGTGCAAGGACAGAGATTGAGCTGGCAGGGACCAGGGCCCACCCACACTGGCTGACAAAAATAAAGACAGCTAAATGCCTCAATCGGGCGCACAATTGCAGGCTAATTAGCCGCCCGCAACCGCCATAATTAGCCCGTGCCGCTCAACCTCTGCGCGCTGGGCGATGGCGGCTGCTGATTGGCTGCCGACAAAATTTCCTAATATGCCCGGCTGACCTCGCTCGGCGAATGCGAGCTGAGAGAGAGGTCCCCACCTGACTCGACGCTCCCGTGACGCTGGTAAATTGGAGACGGCGGTCGACTCATTGCCTGAGCGGTGCGGCGCGCGCTCTTGTCGCGGCAGCGGTGGCTATCTGGCAAAAATCCTGCCGGCCCAGCCTCGTCGTTGAAAAGAGTCGCGGGGCGATTCTCGGAGAGGTGGAGCGATGGCGAATGGAGAGACGTAAATGGCGGGGTGCGCTGGCACCGAGCATGGGATCCCTCGCCAGCCCAATCTCCGGGCGAACGCTGCTTTTGCTCCCAGCGCAGAGCTGCGTGGCTGCACGATCAAAGCATGTGCACGGAAGCGGACGACGGGGCGACGATACACAGCAGAGATTCATCAAGGTGGAGCACGAGAGCGTCGTACCCGTCGCCCGGCGCAGGCGTCGTCCTGGCATGAGCGGAGCCGGTGGCAATCCTCGCGATGGACGCCCCGCCGGACAGATTTTTACTGTCTTGGTCGCACCGAGTGGATAGAAGTGGACTGGGCCGCATAGTGCGTACAGTCATGTGAGAAGATGGAGGAGGCGTTCGCAGGCTGGTTGGCCGCTCGCGCCGTCACCGCCGTCGGCTTCGGTGCTTGGGCGGTGCAACGTGAAGGAGCGGTCTGGACCCGGCACTCTGGCGCAGGCACGGTGGGCAGCGACTGTCGTCACAGGCGGGCGTCGCACGCAGGACGCGATCACGGTGGAAATTGGGTCGGCGTGGTGTTTGATTGAGGGCGCCGGCATTGGTGCGGGCAGCAGCAGCAGCAGCAGCAGCAGCAACAGCAGCAGCGGGCATGCACCGACACGCATTCGCGCAGCGTGCGTCCGAGGTCGAGTCTCGAGTCGCGTCGGCGTCGCGCGTCGGCTCGGGGAAGCTGCTTCCGCCATGAATGACGCAGGCACCGGCGCGGCGCTCTTGCGCGCAGCTCGCTTCTTTGGCAGCCGCAACGCCATTGCTGCCCTACGCATCCACCTCGCCCCTTTTGCGGTCTGGCGATTTTTCTGCTGCCACGCGCCGCACCACCCAAGCCGGTGCGGCTCCGGCGGCGCGCGGTCAGACCGGCTGCTGGCCAGCCGCGGGCGGGCCGCCGCCCAAGATCCTAAGTCACGCAAGCACGGCAAAGCTCGCGACCGCGGCCGTTGATCTCCTCGCGCCGCGCCCGTCGCGCAGTCCCTTGGCCCGCCGCCCGCAGCCCGTCGCCCCAGCTCGCGCAGTCTTAGCACGAGTCGCACACGAGTTCCAATGTTCCAGCACCCATGGATCGCGCATCGCATGCGCATGTACATGTAGTGACACGGGAGCAGCTGGCAGGAAACGGGAAGGCCATGGCAGCCACGCTGCACGCCTCGCACGCTCCTCGTCGTTCCCGCGCCTGTCGTGCCGAAGCGAGACGGGCCTTTGCGAGGATCCCTGGCGTGACTCCGCTATTGATACGCCGCAAAATGGCCCGTTTTGGGTCGTGAGGCGCGCCAGCCTCGCCGCCCCGGGCGAATGAGCGCGCGCAGCGGGGATCTTGGTTGTGCTGCCCTATTTAAGCGCCGGCTCGAGAGCCCAGTCAGCGCGCGCAGCACGCGGCGGCGGTGCGGATTGGCCGGGCAGGAGGCTTTCCGTGCTGGGCCGCGCGATGTGCTCTGCTGCGACCACACCGCATCTGCTGCGCGCCCGCAATTGGAGAGCCCGGCGTCTCATCCAGAGCGCGCCCGAAACCGTTTGACATACTAAAACCCGCGATGGCGCCCACCGCCCGCAGGGTCCGTATACGTGTTTCCGTCTTGCCAGCGCCTTGCCGTGACCCATGTAGATCTGCGCTCGAAGAAAAGTCCTGCTCCCGAGTAACTCACCGGTCCACGCCGCCCGCTCGCAGTCTCCTCCCAGCTGTGCCCCCGTCATAATGGTACGTCCTCCGGGCCCACGCGTTGCTGCTCGTCCTGACCGCATCCTGATGCAGGCGGCACAAACTCCCATCACGCCTCTGCCCCCGGGCGTGGAGATGTTCCAGCGCGGCAAGATGCAGTCATTCTTCGCTGTGCGCTCCGACAAGCCTCGGCCCATGTCCGAGGCCACCGAGATCTTCGACACCGACTTCGAGGACGAGTCGAGCGAGTTCGAGGAGGAAGCACAATCGCCCAAGTTCAGCTTCGAATCCGTAAGTCTTCGCCAGGCCCCTGGCCTGCGAGCACCCGGCTAACTAGCGCAGAACGACAGCAGAAAGAGCCAGACAACCATATCAACCTACGATGAGGTGCCCACGCCGCACTCGAGCCGGCACTTCCAGTTCGACCTGCAGCAGCAGCTGAAGCCCGTGGACGGGCCGAGGGGACCCCATCTCTTCCGCTCGTCCCTGTCCTCGGCCGAATTCAACTACGAGTACGCGCTGCAGATGTCGCCGCTGCTGCCGAAACACACGCCGCCCAGAGCCGAGACCGCCTTCCGCGCCGAGACCGCCTTCCGAGACGAGCCCACCCCAGTGCCCTTCCAGCATGCGTACGACTACTCCGACCACGACGATGACCACGATCACGACGACGATGACGATGCCGCCGACGTGCGGTTCTGGTCGGCGCAGCAAGTTGCCGCGTGGATGGCGAGTCTGGGCTTTGAGGAGACCATCATCGAGAAGTTCGAGAAGCACGACATCACTGGCGCCGTGCTCCTCGACATGCAGTTCGAAGATCTGAAGGAGCTAGAAATTTCCTCATTCGGCAAGAGGCATCAGCTGTGGAACCACATCGACGCGCTCAGGGGCAACGATGGCCGAGCCAGCCCCGTCCCCACTCCCTTCCAAGACATCAGCCGTCCTCCCACCGGCCTCCAAGCCTCGCGCAGCATCCGCGACAAGTCGCGCAACCGTGAGCGCTCCAAGTCGCGCCACCGACGCGGCGACTGCGAGGATGCCAACGAGGGCGCTATGTCGCCCGGCGGCCACCGCAAGAGGAGAGGCCGCAGGCACAGGCACGGCGACGATGTCATCACTCCCGCCGAGTCCGTGTCCATCGTAGCCATTGAGCAGCTCCTGCCAAAACCCCACAAGTGCGCCAAGGGAGAACGCTGCCACAAGTGGAGGAAACAGCAGCGCCTGTACCAGCGATTGCAGCAAGAGCACGGCTTCCCCATTTCGCCCGAAAAGGGGGGGCACATCTTCATGGCTGGAGACCCGGGCAACGCTGGCGCTGCGAACAAGGTCGTCGAGAACGTCTATCGCCCCACTTCCGATGCCCTGCCCTCTGTTGTGGCCTCGTCCGATCTCCTCGGGCCTGGTCAGATGCCTGAGTTCGTCCAGCCCACTGAAGAGTCTCTGCGCAACGTTGAATTGCGCGATCCGCAGGAGAATGTCAAGCAATTCCTGAATCTGCAGCACGTGGAGCCGCCGCAAACGCAGCACTACGCCTTCGAGGACGAGCGTTCTACCACCCCTCCTTTGGAACTGTTCCCCCCGCTCCAGCCACCCCAAGATACCCAGCCCGCGCACAACAACCTCAGAAATCTACCTAAATTGCAGATTCCGCGCGCAAATTCCGCACAGCCCTACTACGCCCCGCAGCAAGTCCATCCGCCGGAGTATGCCAACACCTTTTCGCCTTGCCGTGCGTCCAATGCCTCGCCCGGTCTCTACCGATTCGGTACTCCTGCGTCTGAGATGGACGTCCCGGTCACCCATGTCAGTCTGGGACCCGTCTCGCGTGACGCGAGCCAGTCCGTACCCCCGAGCATGCAGTATCGTGATCCCGTCCAGCGCACCAGCAACCTGTCGCGCGCCGCTGATTGGCAACGACCATCCTTCGCCTTGCCGCCGGTGCATGAGGGCGAAGTGTTTAGCCCTTCGTCCGATCCAGAGTACTCGGCGACGACTCTGCAAGGCAGCGCCGATGCGTCTCACGCGCCCCATGATCGCCAGCGGGCAAAGCATTCCGTAGCTTCATCTTCTGCTTCGGACAACTTGAAGCAACACTTGCTGGCACGTTATGAGGCGCAGCATGCACACGCACACCCCCAATATGCGGGCGTCAACCACCATGGTTGGATGAAGAAGCGCCGCACTCGCCTGTTGCGGCACGAATGGCAAGATCAACACTTCCGTCTGACCGGCACCCAGCTCGCCATGCACGCCTCTGACGTACCTGAAGCCATGGCGCTTAACACCATCGACGTGCATGAATACGCCGTCGGTTGCAGCTCGCTCGCGTCTAACAAACTAGCTGCCAAGCTCAGAGGCCTCAAGCTAGCCAACAAGAAGGAGGGCGAAGGCAGCGGCCCACCAGATGCTGCCTTTACTTTCCAGCTTGTGCCGACCGGCCCGCCCGACGCAGACAAGCGCGTCGTTAAAAAGGCGGTCGCCCACGGCAAGACTCACCACTTTGCGGTCAAGACACGCGACGAGCGGATTGACTGGATGCGTGAGCTGATGCTTGCCAAGGCACTGAAAGCCAAGGGCGAGGGCTACGAGGTCGAGGTCAACGGTAACGCCATCTAAGCGCCCACCTCTGTCACATCCCTAAGCGCGCCCCGTTGGCCCCACCAATGCTCTCATCTCCGCCCTTATCTCCTCGGCCTAACTTGCTCGCTTTTATTTTCCTTGTTGCATTTACCTCCTGTGATTTGCAATTCGTGCTTATCGTGTTAGCTTACCTTGCACTTCTTTCTCAGCATACTCTGTTGCCTTTATTATTTCGTTTCATTTTGCCTGTGTTTTCAAGCAGATTTGTCTCTGCTGGTCGGCTATATACCCTTTACGCGTTCTGATTGGTTTTCCCACAGTTCGATGAGTACCACGACCCGTTACGACTCTCTTCTTCACACCCAACAAAGACCGGCATTTCGATCTCGGGATCTCTCTTAAGTGCTTTTCGGTCATGACCTCTTTTTTTTTTCTTATGTCTGCCTCCGCTTCTGTACATCCACACCCCCTTGTTGGCTAAGACTGGCATGGAAGTTTTGTCATTTGTTAGATAAAATAAGGGGAGACGAGAGATGAAGCAATTGTGGGGACAGCAGCGATTGCTCTGCTGAGCTGTGTGGTAGTTTGTAGGTAGTCCATTAGGTAGTACTTAGCGCAGGTAGCTGGGGGAAATGAATGGAAGACTTCGAAAACCGGATCATGTACCACTTCGCGATGGCTTCCCGCTTGATTTTGCTCAGTGGCCTGGTTTCGTATCGTACCCGTTCTGACACGAGTACTCTGAAGACGGGTAAAGCAATTCTCGTAGTGCTCCTGTTATTACTACAATTCTCTACGCGACTACTGCACTTGAACCGTTGGTTTTCGCCTTGAATTGACACTCGAGGTCGCTTTGTGCGTCGCCCATGTATATTCAGCACCCCTTCAAGCTTGCGAGGCCAACAAGCGGAAGGCAATCCTTGCTTAATAAATGCTTACACGTTCAATCAGCGCGCTTGACGAAAGATTTGATGAGAAATTGCATTTGCCATCCGCCCTCAGCCCCCGCTTCATGTTCTATCTCTTGTCCTATCCTTTACGACTGCTCGATCTGAAGCCTATCGAAGCGTTATGGACTCGGATACGAAAAGGACTGCACCTGAGTCATCGCGTTGATTGAGCTTATCATTATCTTTTTCGGGGTAGCTTGAATGGTTTTAGTGCTTCTATCATTGTAAGGCCAGAAAAAGAAAGAAATAAAAATGAAGACGGGGACTTGCGTATTTCTCCGCGCAGGTCGTACGTGAGAAGGCCCGATACCAAGCTGGAGTTAATCAATTATTTCCGGAGATGGAGAGAGAATGACACCTAATTTGCCCCATCGGTTGATGTCTTAGGGAAATTGAAGCCGTGCCGGGACTGCAGCGGCGCGCCTGTCCGTAGTGATTGGCCGGAGTATCTAGGCTGTGGCTGGATCGTTGAGGAGTGATCAGCACTTTGACCATCCTCCTCAGCACGCATATTGGCGTATTTGTCACGCTTTTTGCAACCGAGGAGACCCCACACTCATTACGTTCACTGGAGGGCGCCTTTTCCGTGTAATCCAGCCGACCATGCACGAGGTCTGCAAAGTCTAAACAATCCCTGCAGTGCGGCTCTAACAGTCCTCCAGACGCCTTTCGTTTGTTCCTTCCTTGGGGACTAAATGTTTGTTGGCAATTAGAAAGGAAAGGTAGTAGTCAACAGTGCTGTGTACGATACTTCGATCAACAGACATTGCAGCTTAAGCAAACCAATTAGGAGCCTGTCTACGAGTGCGAACGCTTTCTCTATCCAGAGGAAACTCGCATCCTTGACAGTTCCGCGTGTCAATCGGCGCTTCGAGCCGAACCAATCGCGGGCATTCCACTTTCGCCTCCTCGTTTCCAGGGTCTCGGCCGCTCCGGTCATGTACAGTCCCCTCTTGCAGCCGATGGCTAGCGTGGATTTGCTTTTTTGCTCATGACATGGGTAGCTGAAGCTATCGTCCGGACGAGAATGTAGAGTTAAAATTCTACATACACGCCCGGACGATAGCTTCAACTACCCACATGTGTTATTTTTCTAAGGCAGAGCTGGGGCATAGTTATGCTATGTTCTAAAGCCCTGCTAAGGGCTGTAGTAGATTCTCCCTCCTTGATCCCGGCTTCTTCACCATGTTATGCGGAGCTACTGCTGCTGCTCGATAGTCGAGCTAAGCGTTTAGTGTAGATAAATTCCGGGTTGAGGGCGGCGGTTGCTCAGGAAGGATGGTGGTGAGGGGATTATGGAACCATGGCCGCGGAAGCTGATAGCGGAGTTGGCGGTAGTCGCGGTAGTCGCGGCTGAGAAGAGAAAGAGGTGAGAGATGGCGTAGGTTAAAATAGACTTAATATAATATTTTGTTTAGAATTATAAGGATAAAGACGAAATAATAATTATAAGTATATATTACTACACACCCGTTGACCGGTATCTAATAATACTTAATAAGAACCTTCTTCGCTTACTAACCCTTATTAAGTGCTTAGTTATAAATATAGGTTACGTTATATAGTTTAAGTAGATGTATATAAACAATATATTAATTTAGACGGATTAGCTCTTTATCTACTCTAATAGTATAAGTACGTGGGCTCATAGATATTTAAGAAGAAATACTACCGCTTAATTATTAAACTAGAAATTAGAACTACGAGTTAATTCTTACTATACTATCGTATCAGAGGTAGTCTTTCTTTATATTAATACGTTTAAAGCGACATATACGCATGCTAGACTATAGCAGTCTAGAGAGGGTTCGGTTTTAAAGCTACGTATTATTCTAGCGTCTTTATCCCTACTAAACAATATTCTAATATAAAGCATTATTTCTCTAACTAATACTCCGAGCAGGGTGAAACGTCTACAAAACAAGGGAACGTAGATTATAGGTCTAATGATGGATTACTCTGCTCGGGTGTCTTTAATCCTTGGGTTTTATAATAATGTAATCGCTGACTTGTAGTACACTGCTAGTAGATCTTACCATCCCGTTCTAGAGTGTACTATAATTAGAAGATCAGGAGCCAGGCGGTACAAAGGCGATGGAGAGCTGTATAGAAGCATCGCAAGTGAGCTCCGAAGAGGCTGCTCATGAGTTTGGCATGTGCCCATCGAGACTAAATATTGCTCGTGAAACACTGGGTCATGGCAATTGGATGATTGGTAAACGTGATCGGCATGCCGGCGTTCCATTTAGAGAGCCAAGTGGTTAACAACTCGCGTACGCAAACCGTGTCTGAATCTGCTTCAAAGTGTCACGGGTACTGTAGAGACCGTGGGTATCATACACTACCGCCTGTGGACCCTGGCTGCATTTGAATATTTATCGCCAAACACTTCGCACCTGGTCCGCTGAGGTAGTCGCCCTATGAAAGGCATGATCTGTCTGTGTACAATTACTTCTTCTCATCCCACTCCGTGGTGGTCCCAAGGCTGATGATGTTTGTTTGAAGTGAATGCCTAAGACGGAAGCGGGCCGTGAGTCAGAAGTGCAGGCGCGAGTGGAGAGCTCGCTCTTTCCGTTACAAAGACGCAGGGACGGAAAGGCGCTAGGCGTCACAAGACGGTTCGAAGTGCCCAGATATTTTAACTCGAGGGTGTCGCAGCTTCCACCCCCACCACCATCCACCGCACCCCACGTCAAAATGAGTGAGGCAACCCCGACCCGTACATGCTGTGGCACCATTGATACGTACTTGCAGAGCTGCGCAACCTCGAGAAGGTCGACTACAGAGGTGAGTCGGCACGACTTCGCCGGAGTGGCCTCAGCTGATTAATGTGCAACTAGAGACGCGACCCAAGAAGGAACGCAGTACGTGTGCCACGGTCACCTCCACATTGCCTGCAGACGCTGATGGGGGTGTGTGCCCGTAGCGGAGGGGGAGGCCGCTGGCCAAAGGCGCACCGCGAGCGGCCGCGTCACCAAGAGCGTTCCCACTCCGCCCAAGCGCCGCCCAGGTCGTCCGCCAAAGAGCGCGTCCAAGCGGAGCCCAAAGCAAGGTCCTGGATCCACGTCGGCAAATGCCCTCAGCGTCACTCCGAAGAAAGCCTCGAGCCGGTCTATGAAGCGCGAGTACCAGCCGGTCTCACCCATTGTGAAGATCGTGAAGAAAACTTCGGTGGAATCGGAGCACCACAGTGTTCTCATGCACAAGTTCTGTACTGCTCCCCAGTCGGCAACGACGAACGAGTGCTGACATGATGTCCAGTCAGAGCCCACGAAGACGAGGTAGCCCACATCCCGAAGAAGAAGCAGCGCAAAGCACTGGGCAAGCTGGTAGGCAATCCCTCCATGTTCTCGACAAGCACCTGACACGGTACATAGTGGCGCGAGTCTCTGCTGAACCCCAAGAACGCCCGCGCGCAGAAGGAGGGTGCTCCTGAGACTGAAGACATGGAGCAAGCGGGCACCGAGGATAGTGCTGGCGAGGGTGGCAGCGGGTGAAAGTCGGCGGGGTGCTTGCTCAATTGGCTCGTACGCGAGAAGCAAACTCCGGTTGGCGTTGAGCAAGGGGGCCAGGTCTCACGGGAATTTCAGAGAGATAGGGAAACAATGCAGTGAGGTATTCGGCGTTGGCCTGTGCGGCATGCATATGCAAGGCAGGTCTTGGAGCAGCACCGTCAAGCAGATCGGAGCAGAAATTTCGGTCGGCATGTCTCCCATCATCGACGCTCTCAGCCCATCGCCATCAATCAAGACGACCCGACGAGAAGAAAGCTTCCTATCCAGGATTATTGTTCTCCAGAGCCACGTTGCCACGTAGGCAACTGGCAACACGCCCGCTGTGGAGGAGTTAAAGCGGTGGTCGTGGCTGGCTCTGTTGGCTTTTGATCTGAAGAGAGAAAGAGGATCCAAGGCAGGCGGGCGTTTTATGGCCGTGTGCGCGGCCCGGGCCGTCCATTGATCCGCTCGGCTTATGGTGGAGGCCATGGACCCACGGCAACCGCAGCAGTCTGCTGCCACGCGAGCGTGTGGCACTCGGCGATGCGCGAGGCCATGGCGTATGGATGCGGCAATCGGCACCCGCCCCTGTGCCCAGCTCTCCCGGACACATGGCTGCGACAGACGGCGTGTGGCGCGGGGCGAGGGCTGCGCTGTGGGCGAAGCTCGTGTGGAGAAGCGCGGCCGTGACGTCTGCTGCGAGCGGCTCTGACACCTCCGGCCGCTGAGCAGCCGCGCTGATTGGCCGGCCACCCCATCTGGATCCTTCGACGGAGACGGACTCCATTCCGACTGCCCACCCATCACCCTGCAGCCGCATTGTGAACCATTGTTTTGCTCTTGCACGCGCTTCTCTTGCGTGAGCCCCTCCGCTGCTGCTCGCGCGAGCGCTGCCCTCGAGGCGCCCCAGCCCGCCGCCCGCCAGCGTCTCGCCTCTGCTTCTTGCCTTCGCGACCACAGCGTGCATCCGCGAGGGCGCGCTCCGCCACGACGCTTTTTCAATGTCATTGCGCCGCCATGAGCAGACCAATCCTCCCCTTTCCACCGCCGCACCGAGGCAGCCAGCAGCCCTTCCGTCTGTCGCCTCCTGACCCTCCTCCGCCGCCGCCGCCTCCGCCGCCGCCGCCTCCGCCGCCGCCGCCGCCCAGCAAGCCGACGTACGCGAAGAGAGGCCGCATCACCATAGTCGCCTGCCTGCCCTGCCGGAGACGGAAAACCAAGGTTGGCTCCCCCGCGCGCCCCCCTGCCTCCTCTGCTGTGAGCTGATGGCTGCGCCCCCGCCAGTGCGACGGCAAGCGGCCCGCCTGCTCGCAATGCCGCGGCCGCGACGGCCAGTGCCAGTATGACATGACCGATGAGCAGCGCCGGCTGACGTATCTCCGCGAAAACGTCGAGCACCTCGAGCGCGAGAAGAGCGAGCTGGAGTCGTTGCTGCTGACGCTGCAGCGCGCCAGCGAGAGCGACGTCGCAGAAGTGATGCGAGCATTACGTATGGGCAACGATCTCCACACCATTGCGCGTGACGTTCATGCCGGTCGCTTGCTCTCAAAGGCCCGGGCGGTGTCATCTCCGCAGGACGGCAGCAGAAGTGGTTGTGAGCACGACGCCTGTACCACCTTGAGCGCGGACTGGCTTGGAACATCTGCTGAGGCTCGGTGTGTTTCCTAGATACGAACGTCCCGACGGCCCTGCGCTCTCCGCCGCAGCTCGAACAATACCAGGGCCTCGTGCGCGCCATTGCGTCTGCCCAGCCTCCGGAGCTCAGTGAGATTGTGCGCCGCCTCCGCGCTGGCCACGAGCCCGCCTCCATCCTGGCGTCTGTCGGCTCCGATACCCTTGTCCAGGCTCTTTCCTGCGAGCCTGAGAGCACCCCGGGGATGGAGGCCGAGTTTTCTGGCCGAGAGCAGTTCGGGCTCGTCAAGGGGGCCGGCCCCAGCGGCCCGCAAGACGGGCGGAGACCTCTAGACGCGCTGAATTCGCCGGTAAATCGCTGGACTGCCGTGACCCAAGACCATGACTGGATAGAGCACCTGCTTTCCCTTTACTTCTCCTGGCAGCACCAGTTCTTCCAGAACTTCCCGGAGCAGCCGTTCAGAGCGGATATGGCCTCCGGGCGGACCAATTATTGCTCGGAGCTGCTTGTTAATGCATTGTGTGCCGCAGGATGTCTCTTCTCCAGCAGTCGACGGGCCCGGCGTGACCAGGATGATCCTGGCACGGCCGGTCTGGACTTTTATGAGGAGGCAGTCAGGCTGTTGAACGAAGAACAGGCGTCAACGCTGACAACGACTGCTGCCCTATCAATTCTATGCCACATCGAGGGCAATTTCACCCGCCTCAGCTCGCAGTGGCAGTACAGCGGCCGCAGCTCTCGGATGGCTCTTGATCTGAACCTTCATTTGCGTAGCGAAATAGCCCCAAAGGATCTGCAGAGTGCCGAGGTCATCGAGAACAATGCCTGCGCCCATGTCTTCTGGGGTTGCTTCATCACAGATCAGTATGTCTACTATACGCTCGCTCTGTCTCTTCTGCTCTCTCTCGACGTCATGGCTACTGGCGTTTGTTTATCCGGCATTGTCCTGCTTTCGATCCCGGCAGTTGGGTCTTGGGGCGCTCAAGCCGCCGAATGCGCCAGCTACTGACGATGCAACCAGAGTCACCAGTTTCACGCTTGGACGAATACCCTTGATACCAAACAACGCCATCACAGTAGATATTCCGCCGGTGGACCCTGCTAAAGACGAAGCTGAGTGGATCGCACATGGTCAAGTGAACCAGCCGAGGAAGAGTCTAGGGTCAACTACCTTTCGCCAGGTTATCAGCCTTTCCAAAATAGTCAACTCCACTCTTCAAATGTTCTTCGCTCCTTCGAGAACGATAAGCGGAAGCTTATTGTTAGAGGAATACAACAAATACATCCAATGGTTTGCCAAGCTGCCTGCCACAGTACAGTCTGTGGAAAATGCGCCGCCACATGTCATAAGCTTGCAGTAAGTCTTGGAAGCGCCTAAGCACCCACTCTACATCAATACTCCCGGACGCAGCCATGGCACGAACCGCGGCAAAACATTGCCAGGGGCGGCTGGCGTATCATCGCTTGCAAGAGTACGAAATGCCCTTCAAGTGTAGGACTACCATCCCGTGCGACGATGCATCGATCGGCTATGTTGGAGGGCGGTCTCGAACCGCCCTAGGATTATGCAAATAAGCTCTTGCCTCTCGACACATCAGGCAGCCGATCAGTGCGACGGGATGACCTTCACCACTTTCTTGTTCACGCAGCGCCGCTTGACGTTCGAGAGTAGTTAACACCATGTCCAGGATGTACTACCATGCTGCGATCCTCCTCCTCTTCCGACCGTTTCTGAAGGCCAGATTCACCGAATCCAATGTTTCTCCACGGGAAGTGTGTCGACAGTCGGCCAATACAATCTCGTACCTCTTCGAAAAACACCGACAGCTGTTCGGCCTGGATGGTATTTTCACCTTCCAACTTCACTGCCTGCTGACCGCATGCACCATCCACATCATCAAGTTGCCTTCGATATCTGCAACAAGCCATCTGGCCGCTGCATGCAATAGCTTCCAGGACCTGGTCAAGCACAACCAATGGGCAACCAGCAGCCTCGACATCATCCGCAGTCTCGTCCAAAAATGGAAAATCGTCCTCCCGTTGGAAGTTGAGCATGCACTCTACCGCGACCAAAGCATACTACCAGCCCTCTCTGAAAGCACATCCATCGAAACAAACAACCCATCGGATGCGGACTTAAACACACAAGGTGGCGCTAACCTCGTCGATCGCGGTCGCACCCCGATATCCACCCTGCCCTCGTCTCGTCCGGAGAAACGCGAGGCGCGCTTCCCCAGTCCACCTGCCGGATCACATATCCTGCCGAAACGTCAACGCCTTGCTGCGCCGCACTTCCACGACTGCGAGAATTCCACTCAAAGCCCGATCAAAGACACGTTCAGCAGCAACCAGCAGCCGCTCTCCACCACGGGCGCCCCAGCAGCGGCGATAATGTCGACAGTCAATTCCAGCACAACCGCGACCCACCAACAGAGGATGATGCGGTACCTCTTCGCGCCTTTTCCACATCAACCGGCCCCGTTGCTGGGACCAGTACATACCAGTACCAGTCACAACGGCTGGGAAGACGAGGACGGGACGGACCGAAGAGACACATGGACCGAAGAGTTGCGTAGGGTAAGTCAGGGTTTCGACGGGTTGAACTTTGTGGCAGATGATGGGTTCGATCCATTCATGGGATATCAAGGTGATCGATTTTGAAATCAACTCGGCCAAAACGCCGCTTGGGAGCTTGGAAGACCAAACAAGTGACGTAGATGTGTCTTGTTGCGATATCTTTCTTTGTGAATCTTCCTATTGACCATTTTCATTCTGTAGCAAGTCTGATTTGATCTTTGCCTTTGGGGTCTTCAACCATTTCTTTTTCTTGGTTGGATGTAACCATTATCTCCATCGCCCTGTCCACCCCAAATGTTGGCACTACCTTCAGATGTACAGCAACAATAAGAATCTGTATAATATACAAACACATGGTATTATAGGGGGCCGCTTTTCGATGTTTTACTTCCTTTTCGTGGCGTTACATCCCCGTTTGAAATTGTTCTTCGCTGTCTCCAAGTGGGCAAATTGCTAATGAAAAGTGTATCTATGTATTACGGTTTATCTCTTCTGCATTGGCTTCCGACATGTGTGTATATCTTCCCCCACCCCCGCCGGTTCTTACCAACACTTCTGTTCTGAGAAAGCATTGATTTTCGGGAATTTCGGTACCTTCTTCTTTTTCTCTCTCTCCATCTTTGTCTTCTCAAGATGGGAGTGGAACACAAAAGCTTCTCTGTTTTCCTCTCTTTCGGAGTTTGCACAAATCAACATGATGCATCAAGCACTTGGTAACTTAAGTTCTATGGTGGGTAGTTTTGTGCTGATTGGCTTGATAAAGGGAGTATGCTGACGTACTTTCCGGTTAGTGTGTTCTTCCCTTTTTTCTTTCTCTTTTGCTTGCACATTCTAGCCGCTTATGAACTTCCTTTGAAGGTCACGTCTAGCCAACTCGTTAACCGACAAATTTGAGGGGTAGTATGCGCTTTAGGCTGGTGGGCTCTGGACTGATGTCTTGCTAGAACGACCAACAGTGCACCATGGCAAGACAAGCGAAGAAGAGGCGGAGGGGATAGAGAACGATGGTGGAGAAAGATTAGGGTGTTGTCCAAACGAAATGCACGGTAATCGCCCATACGAGGAAACAATAAGCAATGTATCAGAATTATACTACTTGTCGAATTATTAACCATTTGCGAACCTGGTCCAACCCGCTAAACTACTGTTCTCTCTTATTAGTCCTTGAAGGGACGCATAGGCTTTTTTTTTTTTTTTGCTAAAGGCAAATAGTGTGTGTAGTATGGTGTAAATGTGAAGTGTTGTAGATGTGGTGCAGCATAATGCAAGCGTGGTATGGTTTCGGTGTTATATTAGCTTGTCGAGCTCACCGAGTATCTGCTCTTCCTTTCGGATGGGCCTTGTGGTAAGATCACATCCGAGCGATTCAACTATAGCATCGTAGGTGTGAATAGCTGGGCGGTAGAAACTGTCATCCGGGCGTGGATGTAAAACTACTAATTCAACGTTTATGTCCTGATGATTGCTTCGGCCCAAGTTGGGCAGATTCGGGCGCGCTTCAACCAATTCCTCATCCGCAGCACGTATCATGACAGCAAATCCTTCATGGAAGGGGCATTTCTTTTCTTGAATTCCAGGACATCTCCTTAATAGATTTGTGAGACTCTGGTTCCGACTATGGACTCACTAAACCGGATGGTTATACACATGTCATGAAACGCCGATCAATGCCCCTTTCCTAGCAAGCATCTTCATATTCGTCAATCACCGCCGTAGTTTGCAGCTGCAATTGAAACCAGCACCTGCCGTCTACATGAGAGGAAAGCAGCCACTTTACGCAGGGAAGACGGGCGCCTCGTCGTTGAATTCCTCCTCCTTGATGCCTTCCTTGGTGATGACCTTGACAACCAGGCCCTTGAAATCAATGGGCAGCCTCCTCTTCAGCTCGTCCGAGCACATACGTAAGATCTTCATGCCCTGGTCTAGGGAAATGTCCGGGTGGTGGTGCTTGTCGAGGATGGAAAGGCAGTAATACCTGTGTGCATCCCAAATGTCAGTGATTCGCAGATTTTTGCAAGATTTCATAGCGTGGTAGTGTTCGAAGAATGGAAGGAAGAGAAATGGCGTACTGAGCATAGCCGTGCGCAGCGTACGGAACGGGCGCCAGAGCGGCAAGATAATCGATCCAATAGAGGCTCGGCTTGTCGCTGATGGGATCTAGGCCGCCGAGTAGTAGGTTGACGGTGTAGGGTCTCCGCGAGCGCAGGGCTCGTGCAAGCTCGCCCCGGACGAAGCTCGCGACGGCCGACGGGCCAAGGTCGGTGTCGTTACGCATCGAATACAGCTGGATGTTGGCTTGGATGTACTCTGCGAACTGGACTGCAGGCGTCGAAGGAAGTCGCGGTCAGTATGAAGTAGAGCTGCGCCAGTCTCGCTAGGACGGAAACGCACCGGTGTCTCCCGCCTCGCCGGAGAAGGCCAACAACGTGTGCTTGTTTAGCGGTCTGGTCTTGTCGTCGGTAGCCTTGAGGATGCTGGCGCCGCGCATGGCGGCCTTTGAGGCGGCGATGATGGTGAAGTCCTTGCCAGTGATGCCGAGCAAGACCTCCCTGCAGACGAGTTAGCGTGGTGCAGCGGCGGCGATGGGGCGATTGGCACGCACATGTTGGCGGCGGTGGAGTGTGGTTGTTCAAGGTTCGACGGTTGTGACGGATGATCGTGGTAGGAGGCGGGTTGAAGTGCAAGGAGAAGAAGGGCGGGGGGAGAGCGGATGCAGCAGCAGGTGGGTTGGCGATGGCTGGAGCTGTGGTGTTGACGAGAGCTCCAGCTGCCTGGCCGCGCGCGGAGCTTCGCCGGGCCTTGTCACGTCGGAGCTTGGGACTCGCCGACGGGCAAAGTCTTGGCGCGAATTCTCGAATTTATTTCTCACCCTCAAGTACCCGCCGCCTGCCTGCTTGTCTACGCCACCCCTACCAATTGCGCTGCTCCGTTCGGCAAAATGTCGTCCTTCTTTACGACCCCGGCGTCGCAGCGGAAAAGAAAGCGCTCGCAGACCTCCGCCCAAGCCCCAGAAAAACGCAATCGCAAGCACCGCGAGGACTCCATCTCTAGTAGCGATTCCGATGACAACCAAGAGAGCCGGCCGCGCGACAACGAAGACCATGAGAGTGACCACTCCTCAGACGCCGACGACGAAACCGCCGCAGAACGCCGTCTGCGTCTTGCCGAGCGCTACCTGGAGAACATCCGCGAAGAAGTCGACGAGGCCGGGTTTGATGCGGCCGAAATCGACAAGGACCTGATCGCGGAACGGTTGAAAGAGGATGTCGCCGAGAGCAAAGGCCGCGTTTACCGGCGCATAGCGTCGAGCGTCGATTTCCCCTCCGCGACCCATGCTTTCTTCCGTAGAGACAACCATGCCACTACAGCAATCGCAACACACCCCCCCTACGCATACACGGCCACCAAGGACATGTGCCTCATCAAGTGGTCGATACCTTCTCCGCTAGATCCCTCCATCCAACACCCTTCCAACCTGACTCCTCGAACCACGCCTTCCCAGGTTGTTTGGACCAAGGGCAGCAAAAACTACGCAAAGGACCCAACCTACCAACATCACACCGGACCCATACTATGCGTAGCCGTCTCTCCAGACGGCAAGTTCGTCGCGACTGGCGGAGCGGACAAGAAACTGATCGTCTGGCGGGCCGAGGATCTCACCCCTCTGAAGGTCTTCACGCAACATCGGGATGCGGTTATTTCTCTCGCCTTCCGGCGCGGCAAGAACCAGCTGTTCAGCGCAAGCGCCGATAGGACAATCAAGACGTGGAGCTTGGACGAGCTCGCTTACGTCGAGACGCTTTTCGGACATCAGGACTCGGTGATAGATATCGCCGCACTTGCGCAGGAGCGGTGTGTGAGCGTGGGCGCGCGGGACCGTACGGCAAGATTATGGAAGGTGGTCGAGGAGTCACAGCTCGTCTTCCGCGGCGGCGGGTCGAGCGTGACCAAGACCAACCGCTCGGACGGAAACAGCAACAGCGCAAAGAGCGGCGGCTTCGTCGAGGGCAGCATCGACCGCGTTGCGCTCGTCGACGAGGAGACGTTCGTCACGGGCAGCGACAACGGGGCCATTTCGCTGTGGTCAATCCACAAGAAGAAGCCCGTCTTCACCGTCCCGCTGGCCCATGGCGTGGACCCGCCCATGCGCCCTGCCGAGGTCTACGCCGACGCCGAGATCGACGACGACGCCTGGATCCCGCCTCCGCAGCCCCGGTGGATCACGGCGCTAACCACCATCCCGTACACCGATGTCATTCTCAGCGGCAGCTGGGACGGCTGGGTCAGGGCGTGGAAGATCAACAAGGAAGGGCGCAGGATTGAGGCGTTGGGGACCGTTGGCCGTGATCGGCAGCGGCAGCAGGACGGCGCGGATGTCGACGGCGATGCCGTCATGACCAATGGCGCAGCCGACGATCTGCAGCCCGGGGTGGGGAACATCAGGGGCGTGGTGAACGATCTGTCGGTTTTCGAGAGGGGTGACAGGGGCAAGGACGGCATCTGTGTTGTCGCGGCCGTCGCGAAGGAGCTTAAGTTGGGCAGATGGAGAAAATACCCCGGTAAGAACGCAGCCGTCGTTTTCGAGGTTAAAAGGAACGTTGGCGAGATGGAAGAACACGGAGAGGGGGAGGAGGAGTAATGGCAGCCCGGTACAGCAAGAAAAGTTCAGGCGCGGAAGAATCTATTTTTCAAAGATATTTCCAGCGACTCATGCGGGTAGGAACCGTAAGAGCACATCAATACTACTTCTACTTTGCCCTCTCGTAGACGAGAGGAGCAGGCTGGTCGCACAATGGCTCTGGTGGGCCGAGAGTCTAAGCTTCTTTTCCTGCGCTTCACGTATGCTCAGCGGTGCATCTTTACCCAGTGATCTGTTTACGCCACGGCAGCGATTCTAGGAACTGGCAGGCGTGCTCACTCAAGCACGCGGACGCGCGGATGGGCTTGATGGCAGGCTCGCCGAGCAACGACAGGGCGGCCAGACCCAGGTACGAGTGGTAGATGTCCGGAGGGTCGCCGGGCACCTTACCAAAACCGCCGACCAGGTGCTGCGTCTTCTCCAGCAGGTAGCGGCGGGCAGTGGATTGCGAGACGAGGTGGACCTTACCAAGCATCTATGAAAAGGGAGGATCAGAACATGAGTCATTATGCCAGGCAGGTTACGAACCGATAGAGATGCGCACACCCACCAGGCGTAGCAGGTGTCGGCGATCTTGTTGCAGCGGCCGTTGAAACCTGCCCACTGCAGGAAGTCAGGGTCGCCTGCGGCCGTGGTTTGGCTCGGCAGGCCGTGCAGCTTGACACCGGCCGGCGTCTTGGCTACGTCAGGCTCCTCGTCTTCCTCGTCTAGCGCGAGCGTTTGCCGTGCCACAAGCCACCGCGTGGTGAGCTCAGGGTCAGCCAAGGGATGGGCCGAAACAGGGCTGCCTGCATTACTCGGGAGCCGACCGAGCATAGCTAGCGCACCGATGGCACAGTAGGTGAAGCCGGCTGCAAAAGATCAGAAGAAGAAACGGGGCAATCGCAATCAGAGAATGGGCGAACCGTGGGCTTCGTGGTAGGCGGCTTCGGATATGCCTCCATCGTATGTCTGGAGGCAGTCAGTAGCTAATGGATGATGGTGCGGCTAAGCAACAGCACATACTTCCGACGCGCGGATGCACCGCACAACGGCGTCGACATCAATGTCTCGCACGCCGTCGACGTCGCCGTCGACGCAGCCGCGCAGGATCCAGCGCACGCCGGCGGCGCAGTAGATGAAGCGCGTGTCGTGGCCGCCCTCGATGCGGCCGCCTTCGCCCAGCGTCTCGCCGAAGCTGCCGTCGTCGGGCCGCTGTAGCCGGGGCAGCCACTGCAGGCACTCCCGCCGCTTCACGCGCTGCAGGTCGTCGCCCAGCACCAGCAGCGTCTGCAGCGCAAAGTAGGTGGCGGGCAGGTTGGCGGGGTCCCAGTGGCCGTTGTCTGCGGAGCGCGCGCCGGCCAGGTCCATGGCGGGCGCTGCGCGGAAGCCACCGTCAGGGTGCTGGTTGCGGTAGACCCAGGCGATGTAGTCCTGCCGCTCCTGCTCGGTGCAGGATTCGCGCACGGCGCCCAGCAGGTCGAGGGCGGCGACGATGAAGAAGGCCAGGGTCATGCGGTTGCAGTCATTGGACGTGTACAGGTGGGGCAAGTACGTCTTGAGGCAGCGCTTCCAGTAGGTCAGCTGGCGCGGCGTGCTCAGCTGGGCAGCAGACATCGCGACGGTGGTGAGCAGTGGGCCGGGCGGATAGGGCTCTCTGGGCGGAAGAGATTTAGGTGCGATCGGCGCGCACGCAGGAGAGCAACGGCGAGCGACGATAAAGTGTATATTTAGATGAAAAGCACGTCCGAACAGGTCCAAGCTGGGGGGGCTGAGTACGTAGTAGTTCGCTTAGTGCTGGTTGCCAACGGGCTTCTGAATCGCAACGGAATACGGGCAGTTGAAGCGACATGAATGTAGTAGAGGGTGGATAAGGACGAAAGTTGAAGCTACGTACCGACTTTTGTTGTAGAAATACTCTTGCCTGCTGGGAGCGGACACCGATCTCGTGTGTTTCAGGAACTTGGGCAGGACTAGGCGCGTGCACGCGAGAAGGCGGAAGTGTCGCCCTCGTAACCGCCGTTCAATTGCAGCGCTCGCCAACACCCTTGAACTCCGCAACACGACATCCTTCCCCCTAAACTAAATGCACCCAACGACGAACGTTTTGACTCTTCAACTACTCTCGCTTCCTCTCTCCTCGCCGCCGCTCCACCGCCCGCCCGCGACCCTCGTTCTCTCCCTAGCTAGCTGATTCGCGGGCCGGCCAGCGCAGCAACATGTCCTCTGGTTTCGCAAATTCCTTCTGGTCCGGCGACTACGCTGGAGGTGCGCTCCCCCGCCGCCGCTGCCCCTGCGAGTGCTGACAATCCCGCAAGGCCTGGGCGTGCTGTTCGGGAAGCTTCAGCAAGGCGTCCAGGAAAACGAGCAGGTCCTCACAATAGCCCGTCTGCGCGCCGAGGCCGAAGAGGCCTACGCCACGAAGCTCTCTGAGATCGCGCCTGCCACCGACCGCCTGTCTGGCGGGTTTGGCCGCGACGATGGCGCCAGTGTGCGCAAGGTGAGTCCGCGATGCGCTCTGCTGCCCAACCGCGCCGGCGCCGCTAACCCGCCCCACCCACAGGCCTACGAAGGCGTCCGCACCGAGATGGAGCAGGCTTCGCAGAGCCACAAGAAGATCGCGTCCAACATTCGCGAGCTCGTCGTCCAGCCGTTCGGCCGCTGGTGCGAGGCGCACGCTGCGCGCGTGCAGAACTCGCAGGACGACCTGCAGGCCCGGATCAAGGTGCACGACAAGCAGGCCGAGGCCGTCCGGAAATTCCGCAGCCAGTACTACAACAAGTGCCGCCTGGTCGAGGATCTGGAGGAAGAGGACAAGCTCGCTTTCCAAGACCCCAGAACCGAGGCGCAGAGCCCCAAGAACACCCCTACCGTGAAGATTTCCGAGCCTGAGGATGTCGAGGATGAGCCCATCGAAATCGGCGACGAGACCTACCACCCCGAACAGATGAAGAAGATCCTCTCCCACATGCTTGAGAACATCAAGCTGGGCGAGTACAAGCTCCCCATCATCGGCACCTACCAGAATGTCGCTTCCGGCGCCGACATCACCGACTACATCCAGAAGCACATGGGCGCAACGAGCGTGAGCTACGCCGAGAGGATCGGCCAGGATCTGTGCTCGCACGGCTTCCTCAGGCTGCTGGGCAACGTGGGCAGCACCTTCGCAAATAGCTCCAAGATGAACTACCAGTTCCGGCCCAAGGTCTTCCAAATCACCGGGATTCCCGAGAAGAAGAAGCCGCTTGAGAGAGTGTCGTCCGTCATGTCCTCGGACAGCAACACCGCCGACTCGCCATCCAGCGCTGTTGGCGAGTTCCTGTCCGGCTGGAATCCCATGAACACTGCCCGCCCGGGCGAGACTCCGGCCGAGAAGCTGCGCCGCGAGGCCCGCGAGGCAGACGAGCGGTACAAGGCTGCCGTGAAGAAGCTGGATTTCCTGCGGTGCAACTTGGAAGAGTCGATGGTAGACCACTTGAAGTTCATGGAGCGTTGCGAGTTGGACCGCCTGAAGGCCATCAAGGCCGTGATCCTGGACTTCTCGGGCGCCATCAGCAACGTCATGCCAACTTTGCAGAGCACGATCGACAAGATGATGCTCTTCCAGGAGACTGTCCAGCCTCTGGGCGACCTGAGGTATCTCCTGGAGAACTACCGCACCGGCCACTTCGTCCCCAAAGTCGTGACTTACGAAAACTACTACAATAATGTTGATGAGCAAACCTTTGGCGTTGATCTCGAAGCCAGGGCCCGCTCGGACCGCAAGCGGGTGCCGATTATTGTTACCTCGATTCTGACCTTCCTCGACAACCGTAAGCACTTTGCCCGTTCTTTCCTTCTTTTGCTGAGATTCTAACTTGGGCAGACTACCCCGATCTCGAAGGTGATGAAGCACGCCGTGGAATCTGGCTGGTGGACGTGCCTTTGGCGGCAACCCACAAGCTCCGGGCCGAGATCAACACCGGCAAACCCTTTTCCCACGAAATTCTCGAGCAGTATGAGATACCCATCGTCGCTAGTGTTTTGAAATTGTACCTCCTGGAGCTTCCTGGTAAGTCAACCCCAAGTCTTGAGGGTTATGTAACCAAAGCGCTGACGAGCGGCAGATTCGCTCGTCTCATCTCACGTTTACGAAATTGTCAAGACCATCTACAGCACGACTGCTCCCTCAACGAGCGAAGATGCGCGTCTTTCGGTCATCCAGTCGACCCTCGGTCAGCTTCGCCTTGCGAACATTGCCACGCTCGATGCGATTACCACTCACTTCGTCCGCCTAATTGAGCTCACTTCCGCGGACGAAACTTATGTCGCCACCCTGGCAACCACGTTGTCCCCTTGCATTTTGAGGCCGCGCCAGGAGAACTCGCTCACGATGAATGAGCGTTATTCTTACCGCCTGATCCGTGACCTGTTCGCCCACAAGGATCCCATCTTCGGCGAGCTGAAGCGCGCTTCGGCCCTCGCACACAGCAACTCCACCTCTGCCCGGCCGCGGGCAATCAGCACCGACGAGAGCAACCGGCGCATCCACATGGAGGAGCGCGCGCGGGCCATTGCCTCGCGCAGCCGCGCGTCGAGTCCCGCGCCAACGCCACGTGTACATCGACGGGATCGTAGCACAGGAGGACCGGAGACTCGCTTTCCGATCGCTACCAGCAACACCAGTCCTACAGAGCGTCGTGGAACTGGAGGAAAGGCACGCGATTCCCTTGAGGTCCCCGGGAGTGCTGAGAGCTCGCCCATTCTCAATGACTCCCCCCCAAAGCCCATCGCGACGAACGGTACTGCCGCCTCGGTTGCCAGTACAGGTTCGAACAGGGACAGCATCGCATCCACCACCATCTCCGCTTCCAATCGGGACAGCATCACGTCCGACGGTTCCTCTACGCCCACCAGTGCGACTACGGTCGAAAAGAGAAACTCTCTCGGGCGCTCCAGTGCCGCTGCCTCCCGATTCCCCAGAAAGTCCGGCAGCCTGGCAAGACAAAGTCTGATCGGCACCGGCAAGCGCGACAGTATGGGCAGCCTGCGTGACGTTGACGCCACCTCAGCTCCAATCGAGGATGCTCAGGCCAGGCCCGTGGGCGTCGAGCTCGTCGATAAGCCAATGGATGACTAAGCATGACAACGGAACGGAATTCGGTTCAACAAGATATTAGTGGCGGGGTTATGATTCTTGAAATGCGTCAACGATGCATGGAACGTCATACAGACGAAGATGATAAACTATTTGATATTGGTTTTTTTTTTGCACTTCTCCCACCCTCCGGTGAGGCTCTTTTTGGAATTTCTTTTTTCTCCCATGGGCGATAAGGTGGAATTTCTTTTCTTTTTGCACTTTCCTTTGCTCTTAGTCACAGATGATATCATACAACCCTTTGCTATTGTATTATAGGCGCTGTGCGAAATGAGCGTAAACGGGGGTGATCTGGTGCTGGGAATTCAAAATCATGGATACCCCTTGCCGTGGCCACGCTTGCTATTACTGACTGCTGCCTTGTGATATCTTTCTAATTGTCGTCGGGGTAGTATATCAGGCTCGCGGAGGATACTGTCTATAGAGGGGTACGGTAGTCGATCAGGGTCTAGAATATGTTGTATGTCTCAGTCCTTTTTTTTTTTCAAACAAAAAAAAGAGAACATATATGGGTAGTTGAGGCTATCATCTGGATGCAAATGTAGAATTAACAATTATACATTCACGTCCGGACAATAGCTTCAACTACCCATGGCATGAGCGAAAAATAAATACACGCTAGCCGTTGGTTGCAATACCGCGCTGTGTGAGCGATGAGACCCAGTAATCTGTTCGAACGCTGTGCGTGTGTGCACGTGTGACATTTGTGCCTGGCTGCGTGTTCAAATTTCCTTGCTTGTACATATCCACTCAAATGATTAGTTTGTTGCTATTCGAGGATTACTTGTTGAAACGTGCAGAATACATGAACACCTTCATCAGCAGAGGCATGCGCTACTGACTCCAGACCCTATCTGCCTACTCTTCCTTCCTTCCTACGCCTACACCGCCCAGCACTCCCCCGGCCAACCCACCCAAGCCTTTGCCAACGCCACCAACGGTGCTACCTAACCCACCTACAATATCGCCTTTCCCCAGCCTCGTCACGCCGTCCCCAAGGCCGCCGGTGATGCCGCCGACCGCATCGCCGAGGCCCTTGCCGACGCCACCGACGACGCCGCCAACGGGACCGCCGAGCGTGTGCCCGACACCGCCCGTTGCGCCCTCAAGCGCATCGCCAAGCCCTTTACCAGCGCCGCCAACGGTGCTGCCCACACCGCCAGTGAGCCCACCAACGGCGCCGCCGATGTCGCCCTGGCCCAGGGCAGACGTGGTGCCCGTGACGGCAGAGCCAACGCCCTTGACTGTGCTGTTGGCCGCGTCACGCACGCCGCTCGTCGTGCCCGTCAGCGTCTTGCCCGCCCCCGACGAAATGTGTGAGACGGGCTGGCCAACGCCTGGGGGGAGGCGATCCGCCGTCTTGGAGACGCCGCCGGTTACACCGGAGGTGAGGGCGTTTGTAGCACCTACAGCAGTCGAGGTCGTGCCGGTCAGGGCCGATGTGGCTGTGTTGACGCCGGCATTGAGGGCAGACGTGGCGGCGCCCGTGGTTGCTGTTACCGGGTTGCTGCCGCGCGTATCAAGCTTACGGGGGGCCTTCTTGTTGCGTTGGGAGGGTGGTAAGGATTCTGGAGCGATCGTGACTTTCTTTACGGCGGCGGGGCTTTTCGTGGAGGTTGTGCCGGCAGAAGCGGGGTTAGCTGTTGTTGCTGTTGTTAAAGGTTTCACGGCTGGAGCTGTGGTCTTGGAAGTTGTTGTGCTGATCGGTGTAATCTTCGGTGTGACCGCAGGTGCAGCGGTCTTCGGTATGGTCGTTGATGCTGGCACGGCTTTCTTCGTACCTATGGGTGTACGAGGCTTCACCATGTTGGTGGATGATCCAATTGCCGGTGTTTTCTGAGTTGCAACGGATGTAGACTTATTGGGGCTAATAGGGGCGTGCGAAGAGGCCTTTGCTGGTGCGGTAGTCTTTCCCGACGCTCCCTTTTGAGGTGTGGCAGTTTTTGCAACACCGGCGGCCACTGTCTTTTTTTCTGTTCCTGTCGAGGACGTGGCTTTATTTGTTGCAGCTGAAGGCGGGGATTTGGTAGCGGTAGAAGGGATAGCTTTCTTGGCCACAGCGGGAGTTTTCGGCTTTGCCGTAGATGCGGCACTTGCTTTGGCTGCTGGGGCGCCCGCTGCTTTTGTTCCTGTACCGGCGATTTTTTGGATGTTTGCAACCCCGGCTGGTCGATATTGGTCAGTCTGAAAAACAGGCAATTTCCCAATGGTGGAATGACAGAGTAGGGGCACAGGGTAGTGGTTGTGCATGCGATATTTCGCCAGAGCCCAGGATCATCCCCTTACCTTGTAAAGCCTCGTTCTGCTTCTTCAAGTCCTCGAGTGTCGACATGATGGGGGTACGTAACAATATGTCCAAGCCGTGTGGGAAATACTCTGCGAAGTGGGAGCCCGGTAAACTTTGGAGCGGGGGAAATGGACCCTCTTGAGCGATCCCGTCTGATCCGCCGTACGTCATCGCACATCCCGACAGGGGTCTTGGCAAGATCTGAGTCTGGAACGTGAGCAGCCACAGCGCAACGTCGACAGGGATCCTTCTCGCAAACTCGCCTATTCTAGCCCGTCGGTGCAGATCGTCAGAGGCTACGAAAGGTACCGTGAACTTGTTTTTTCGCCCATGCCATGGATAGCCGAAGCTATCGTCCGGACGTGAATGTGTAACTCCACATCCACGTCCGGACAATAGCTTCTACTGCCCACGGTCGTTGCTTCTCGTAACGGAAATTTCTGAGGTAGTCATGCCCCTCGGTAGAGGTAACGCTTTGTGCGCGTGTGCAAGGCCACAACGTTTTGTTTCCGGGGATTTGTGCTGGACGGCGTGCGACGATAGCATGATGATTGCTCTACGCTTGGAGCTGTCATTCCAGTCTCGTCGTGCATCGGCCTTTATCGAGCCTGACCCCAACCGAAATACTTCTTTCCAAGCACAGTGACAGCTATGCATTCGATTCCCGATAATCCAAGGCCAAGAAGGATTTGAAGAGCGCAGCACAGCCCTACTCTTCCTACGAATATGCCAAGCTTTGCTAGTCCTGGGCCTGGAGCGAGATCTGTTCTCGTAAACGCAGGCCACGAGGGTGAGAGGATTCCGTTTGCAAACAAGGGAAGCCGGGCCTGATCCCCCCGAGGATGCAGCGACTGTAAGCATGAAACCGCAATCATGCGGAGGCCCACTGCCTTCAGAGGCAAGAGAACCCAATCAGAAAATGTCAAGTTGACCCATGATCCCAGCATCTCTGCCGGCTCTTCTGCGAGCTGCGTCACACGGTGGGTTCGTTTACGGCTGCGCGCCGAGCTAGGCGGCCGCCTCTGATGATGCTCGTTGCTCCCAGTCTCGGTTTGCTGGTTCCGGCGAGTACTTGTGACGCCATTTTGGAGCTCTTCGGGTAGAGCGATCTCCAGGCTTACTACTCCTGAACCTTCGTCACGGGAGGCAATCCTCACTGTTGCGTCTCTCTCATCATCATGGTGTCGATTCGATTCGCTTAGAGAATGTGGTGATGTTGAGGACGTGTGCCGAGTATGGCCGGAAGGTGTCGCGGGGGTCCGTGGCTGTCCGTCTGCCTCGGCTGGAGTATGCTCACCGCGCGTCTCGCGGATATCAGCAGAAGTACGGGTGTCAGCATTTTGCCCATTACCGTGGTTTCTCCGCGGAGTTCTATCGATGACATTTCCGGTAGCTCCCGATGCAGCGTCTATGCGCCAGCTCCAGTTGAGGCAGGTGAAGAACCAGTTCGACCAGGTGTGATTGGTTTGCTGGCTATCTTTGGCGTCCTTTTCAAGGAACCTGCGTCTCTCTGTGGCCTCGTCGGCGGTGTATTGGTCTGGATTGTCAGGGGTGAGTATGCCTTTTTCCAACGGCTCATACATGAAACGCTGGATACTGGCCATCGAGCGCCTCCAGGCGATGACCAAAACCACCGGCGAGGCTGAGAGAGCGCTCAGCCAGCCCGTCACACCTCCGAGGCGGAGATGCTCTGGGACTGCAACGGCCTGAAGAGGCGACGATGCAGAGAACGGGTTGAAGGTTTGCAAGCGTGGCAACAGTTGCGATGGCGGAGCCAGGAAGAGCCTCTGGTAGGCAGCATGAAGGACGATGGGTGCAAAGGCAACCTCGATGGATATGGCTATGCTGTATTGCGAGGCATTAGGCTCAATGCTCGGCGATGTGAGGAGAACTCACAGCTTTCGGATCCAAGGTTTCCGTCGGAGGATAGCCACTCGGCTTTTCCGCGAGAGGTTTGACCGAAATACGGCATCGTCGACGAGCGAAACGATGAAGGAGGCCCACAGATCCCCGTCGTTCATGATCATGGAAATAAGCTGGGCAGGGAGTCCAGCAAACAAGAAGGCGGCCGACCCTTCGGACCTCAGCTGGGCTCCGACCAGTTCCCAGAACGAAAGCTCGAGGGGATAGTCATAGGTCTAGTGCAAGTTAGAAGCCAAGTCCGGGATTCTCCAGGGGCGCTACGTACAAGCACGCGGTCTTGCAACGCGCCCACCCACCAGGTGCCTGCATAACGCGTCAAAGTGCCGAAGATGGCGACGAGGGTGCCGCTGAGATCCTCGGCTTCAACCTGCTTCATGACAGAGGGATCCTTGGGCGGGGGCAGCGGGAATCCGGCAATGTGGACGCGCTTGCGCTCAACCACGCCTACTGCGGCAAGAATGTCGTTCTGAGCATCTCTTAGGGCTCTGCCCAAGGCGCGGGCCCTTGGGTTCACCGGATGGCCGCGCTCGTCATATTGAGGTGTCTGATCCTGGGGAGCGGACGTGCTTCGATTGGGGGGGAGCTGCTCTGGAGACTCATGTGACGACCGGCCCTTTGTGAGGCTGCGTCAGGTGAGGGTCAGGGAGCGCACTTGATGGCAGTACTCACGAGAACGAGCCTGGTCAGGAACACATCTCTGCCCATTCTGATCTACGGTCAAGGCCGTGAAGGGGAGCGTGAAGGGACGAGCGCTGGCAGAGCGCATGTCGTGATGGCGGCCGGTCAGCACTGGACGCATGCGAGCGAGCGGCCGCAGGTTTCCTGTTACGGGCTAGTGCCGCTCTTATCGATAACCACGCTTTCGAAAAAGTTGCGACGTCGATCCGCCTCCATCACCCCCCGACACACTCCCCTTCCACCAAGCCATGGCGCAGAGGGCCGCCGTGAAGACGACCTTCGAGGTCAGCCGGACCATCCAGCCCATCTATGTGGGCGGTAGTGTTGCTCTGAGCCGCAACGGCCGCATCCTGGCGACATGTCTGGGCGAGGATGCACTTTTGACCGATCTCGCGACCGGCACTGAGCTCGGCCGCATAGAAGGCGTAAGTCCTGGAGTCCGCTGGCACGACATATCCTCTGTATCTGACATTGACGTGCAGAACAGGACGGAGAAGCTCTCACTTCGCTATGTTTGACTCCCTCCGGCTCCCATCTCATAGTCTGCTCGCGCTCGCTTTCCATGCGCATATACGCCTTGAAGCCCTCCGACTCCGCCGACGCCCTCATCGACGCCGAACTCACCCGGACTCTCAAGCCGCACTCCTCGCCAGTCGTCGTGTCCACTGCCGACCGCACTGGCACTCTCCTCGCGACTGGAGGCGCCGACGGAACGGTCAAGGTGTGGGACATCCGGGGCGGGTACACGACCCATAACTTCCATGGCCATAGCGGCCTCATCGCTTCGCTGCGCTTTTTCGAGGCGCAGGTTCCAAGCGCCGAAGCAGAAAAGGCTGGCAAGAAAAAGAGAGAGTCCAAGGCCGCCGATGAGACGGGCGACTCGACCATTACGTACAGGCTAGCATCAGGTGGAGAGGACGGAAAGGTGCGCATCTGGGATTTACACAAGCGCAAGAGCATCGCTGCTCTGGACTCTCATGTTTCTGTCGTGCGAAGCCTCGATTTTTCTGCAGATGAGAACGCTCTAGTGTCCGGGAGTAGGGATAAGACGGTAATGGTCTGGGACGCTCGGACTTGGAAGGTCAGAAGCACGCTCCCCGTTCTCGAGGAGGTCGAAAGCGTCGGTTTCGTGCAGAATGGTGGTTTCATCTACACTGGCGGCACGAACGGGAAGCTTCGGTTATGGGCACTTTCTGGAGGAGAAGTTACCGAGGAGCAAGAGCCGGGCACTGAAACCGAGGGCATTGTCGACATCATTCACCACGAAGGCCTCCCATACCTCCTGACTGTCCACGCGGACCAGACCCTTGTCCTTCATTCCAAGGCACCTTTGGCAGAAATTGGCGACACCGGAGCTGTCTCGCCGCTGCCGATACTCAGACGGATATCCGGTACCCACGACGAAGTCATCGACCTGGCTTATGTTGGCTCTGACCGTTCGTTCTTGGCCCTGGCAACGAATGTCGAGGACGTTCGGATCATCTCTCTGAAATCGCAAGAAGCAGCCGCGGACGACCAGATTGGTGGTGATTATTTCGGTGCTGACAAGGGTCTTCTCAAAGGGCACGAGGGCATCATCATTTGCCTGGACGTCGACTGGTCAGGCCATTGGCTGGCTACTGGAGCGAAAGACAACACAGCTCGCCTTTGGCGACTGGACCCGGAAAACAGTTTCTGGGATTGTTACGCCACCTTCACCGGCCATGCCGAATCTCTTGGCGCCATTGCTTTACCCAAGACGATTCCGCAAGTTGGCTCGGCAGCATATGCCGATCCCTTGGACCACCCGCCCGCTTTCATCGTCACCGGTTCGCAAGACAAGACCATCAAGCGATGGGATACTTCGAGCATTAAGAAAGATGTCAAGAAAGCTTCGCGCGCGACGTGGACCCGCAAGGCTCACGACAAGGATATCAACGCAATCGACATCAACCATAACGCGACACTATTTGCCACTGCCTCGCAGGACAGGACTGTCAAAATCTGGTCTGTGGAGACTGGGGAGACGGTCGGCGTGTTGCGAGGACATCGCCGCGGTGTGTGGACCGTGAAGTTTGCGCCAAAAGACACGCCACAAATCAATGGTAGCGGTAATCGCGGTCTCATCGCGACGGGGTCCGGCGACAAGACGGTCAAAATCTGGAGCCTCACAGATTACAGCTGTCTGCTGACGCTCGAAGGCCACACCAACAGCATCCTGAAGTTGGCATGGCTCCCTCACGTTCAGACCGGCGACTCCCGCGACAAGCGCGGTGCGGAAGTCGCATCTGCCGCTGGTGATGGTTTGGTCAAGGTCTGGGATGTCAGCACAGGTGAGGTGTCGTGCACGTTGGACAATCACACTGACAGAGTGTGGGCCTTGATCGTCAATCCCTCGACCAAGACGCTCGTGTCAGGTGGCGGTGACAGTGTCATTACCTTCTGGGAGGACACGACCGAAGCCTCCATGGAAGCCGCTGCCAAGGGCGAGGCAGAGCGCGTGGAGCAGGATCAGCGGCTGCAGAACTACATGCATGCAGGAAACTGGCGTGAGGCAATCACTTTGGCGATTCAGCTCAACCAACCTGGCCGCTTGCTCAACCTGTTCAAGGGCGTCGTGGAAGCCGAGGAACAAGAAAAAGGCAGCTTGACAGGAAACGCGGAGGTTGACGAGGTATTGGGAAGCCTGGCGGACGAGCAGATTCTAACGCTCCTTCTGCGGATCAGAGACTGGAACACCAACGCAAGGACGGCATCGGTTGCACAGAAGATCCTCTGGGCGCTCATGCGGTCGTACCCGGCAGCGAGACTGTCGTCGCTGAAGGTAATAGGTGGTGTCCAGTCGAAGAGCAGTGTGAAGGAAGTGATGGATGCTCTAGGAGCCTACACGGACAGGCACTATAAGCGCATGGATGAGCTTGTTGATGAAAGCTACCTGCTCGACTTTACACTCAGGGAGATGGATGAAGTTGTCGGGAATTGAGAGCAAGCAAGCAGAGAAGGTCATTCACGGCATGTTTGGAATCTGGCGTTTTGGTGCGTGAAGCCGCGGAAAGAGAAAAGCGCTGTTCTTTGGCAAGTCTCTTAATTCTATATGTACAGCTGTTGGGGCGAATTGGGCAATGTGATGACTTTCTTCTGTCCAGAAAGTTCTAATGCAGCCAGATCATGCCATGAACCCCTCCCTCATGCCTTTTTTTTTTTTTTTCAATCGCAGTCAAACATCTTGGTGGTGCTGACGTTCATCCGGCTCCACTTCCTTCCGGTTCGAATGCTGTTAACGAACTGCATGGGCCAGTACACATGGTAAAGCCACCACCATGGCAACGGATCCCACAGCTCGAAAGTGCCGTCTTTCCAGAACAGAAGATGTACAAGGAAATCTCGAACGGACTGGGCAGTGTCGCGAACGGTAGCCTGGCCGGTCAGCATCAGAAGGACTGGCAGCAAGAGTAGCTGCACTAAATCGTGTCCGATCCAATAGTACTTGGAGGGCTGCTTTGGCGTCACGATATCCCTCCTTGGCGGCTGGCCGTTCTGCAGGACGGCAAGGTACTCGCCAGCGAGTTCCATGGAGCCGTTGAGCAGCACGTCTGCCGTATGAGCACGTGGGTTGCACTCGATTGGGTACAAGTTGATGCTCTCCGGGTCCGTTTTCTCGATGTCATCATGCTTGACGAGGAAGTCGAAGCTCAAGTGGCCAGTGAAGTCCTCGCCACCAGACTCAGCCTGCCTTTCCGTGAAGGCTAGCATAGCGCGCGACAACGGCGCATCTGCCGAGAGGGCGCGGTAGTGCATTAGTAACTCCGCTGACGGACACGCCAGGAATGCACGCACGCAGCCGCGCACCACGAGGGCATGCGTGCAGAATTCGCGGCCTCTGACGAACTCCTGCACGATCCACGGCCGCTCGCTGCTGACGCCCAGCCGGGCGACGTGCTCGCGCGTCTCGCGCTCTGTCGAACGAGGCAGCAGCGTCAGGTCGCCGCGGCTCTTATCATCCATGCCAACGCTTTTCGCGATGAACTTCCTGCTGCTTCTTCCCTCCTTCTCACCTCGCCAGTCGGATAGGCCCACGCATCGCCGTAGTGCCGCCACCATCGCGTCGGCACTCTCCACCTTGCGTGTTTCCGGCACACGTAGGCCCAGCCGCCGCGTGCGCTCCATGAAGGCGTTCTTATCGTGCAGGTCGCGAACGTCGGCAACACCGAATTGGACGACACGGCAGCGCGTGCGCTTGGCCACCACCTCGGCCGCAATGCCGTCCTCGAGCGCGGACGCGACGCCCGAGCAGCTAATCCACAGCGCACAACGTTCCGCCTTGACGATGCGAAGCAGCGACGCTATGTATGGGTCCGCATCGCCCGAGGTTGTGGGCGGCGACAAGACATAGAAGCACGAGAGCGAGCGCGACATCCGCCCGCACGCCAGCGGGTGGAAGTCGGCGCCGATGATGCGGTGCGAGGGGTTGTGGGCGTGCAGGAGGCGGGCGAGGACGAGGGCCTTGGTCATGGAGACGCCGGTTATGAGGATGGTTTGCCCGCCGCTGCCATTGCCGTTGATGATGGTGTCCTTGTGGACGTTCGCGGCATTCTCGCGGCGGGACGTTCGGAGAAAGGGCCGTAGGGCGCAGGCGGAAAAGAGGAGGAAAGTGTCGAGCGGAAGGAAAATGAAGCTCAGAAGAATGAGAAGGAGGTTTTTCGGTAAGTGGTTGTAGAGCAGAGAGGGCATGGTGATGCTGCCCCGACTGCGAGGGAACGATCGAAAAGCAGCGAAAAAGGTGGTGTTCAGCGAATTGGCGCGGCAATCGGACGGTGAGAGAAAGGCCTAGCTGGAGTGCTTGTGTGACGTGAAAGGGTCGCGAATGCAGTGTTCACTACGTCATGGATACGCTGTTTTGGGCGCTGCACTCCAGTCTTACTAAGACGGACTGACATCGTGATACCTAATTGATTACTGCGGTGGTACGAGGCCGGTTCACTCAGCATTGTAATAAAACCGGGGAGTCGGACCTCTTGTCCGCACGCATTTGTTCACACTTGTATAGTGCATTCATATCCGAATGGATGCTTCAACTCCGTTGCAATACTATTGTAACGGACCTCATACACGACCACGAGGCGGATGCCAGCGGGGTAGGCCGTGATTTCCTAAAAAGGAAAGCGGGGCAAACGCGAAGTCATGTGATGCGTGCTGCTCTCAGCTGGTCTTCCTGCAAAGTCTGTCCGATTTGTTCAGGTTAGCCTTTAGGTATCCGTTACAATGCATGCCTCGTCCACGCCCCGATAGCCCGGCGATGCTCCTAGTCTAACTCTGCTCTCCGACGCATCGCGTGATCTCCACACCATCCTAGGGTGAATGTTAGTGAGGCTCCCCAAAAGCTTGTACGGATCGCGAGCCTACCTTTTCACCAGTGGGTTCAAAGCTGTCTACCAGCTTGCTCTCATAGACCAGGTTCGGGTTGCCCTTGCGGGCCGTGTCAAGTTTGGCCTCCCCTTCTCGCGCGAGATACTGTTTGGACGTCCTTTCTGCAAAGCGCTTGTCGACGCCATCCGCGCCCGTCGTGCCATTGGAAGTCGCGGCTGACCTCTTCTGCTCCACGCTGCTCCGAACATACTCAAGGTACGGCGGATTGCCTGGTGTGACGACGTTGTCGGCCGCGAGGATGGAGCCGGGCGTGATTAACTTGAGCTCTTCGCACAGCTTCAAGTCAGTCGTATACGCCGGCTTGTAGTGGTCGAGGAACATCAGGTCGATGTGCTGCAGCTCTCCCGCCGCAAGCAGCCTCTTTATTGAGGCATCACTCGATCCAACAATCACCTTGACAACGTCGCTCAGGCCCGCAAGGTCCACCAGAGACGCGATAACGGCAGCGAACTCAGGATTCCGCTCAAGGCTGAAGTAGCGCTTTCCGCCGGCTTTGCGCACAGCATCGCCGAAGAGGATGCAGGAGTAGCCGACGTAGCCTCCTAGCTCTACCTGTTGGTCTGTCAGACTTGCAGCAGCGGCTTCTTTTGCGGCGACTTACCATAATCTTGGGCTTGACCTCAGCAATCAAGTCGGTGACTATCCTGCCCTTGTCCTCGCCGACATTCATGAGGTACCTGGTGCGTGCGAACTCATCAATGGCGGCCAGAACGCGCGCCGGAGAGCCGCGGATGTCGTCAATGTCGGGTCTGCCATAGACAAAGTGCAGGAGTTCGACCTCGCGACCGTCGTCGAAGAAAACCTCCTCCTTCTCCGCGTACGCCTTGGTCTTGTCGAAGGGTGCCATGCTTGCGGGGGATGAGGAGCAGGGACGGCGGGCGCTGCTGCTTTAAAGACGAGCAGCGGGAATACTTGCTCCAAACGCGACAGGCAGCTCGGGCAATGGAATCCGAATTGCTTGCAGCCGACCCGAGGCGGGAATGCTTCAGCGAGAAGGCTGCGCGAAACGGCAAGCGAGAGGAGAAGTTGAGGCAGCGCAGCGCAGCGGACGCGCAGCTGCGCATCGCGACGACAAAAACGTCGCGGGCGGGAGACGCGTCGACCTGGAGCTCGTGCGGGGGAGGGGCACGGCGCAAGGGCCGGGCTGGCTCAGGAACCCGACTGCGCATCAAAGATCTGGCGCTACGCGATCTCACCAAGGGCCCGATGCCCCTTGTGGCAGCGTTGAACCGCCAGCCCCGAGGCGATCAGCAGCCTGCGCCTCCGTTTCCGGCAGGCAAGCAGGTGCACCGGGCGCGCTAGGCGTCGTGGCCCGCGTCCCAAAAAGCGCGCTTTCGTCCCAAGTCCTCGATGTCAACATCATGATTATTCAAACCACACGCCTCCAGGCTGCAGTGGGACCCACCGGCATCGTGCGCCTCGTCGACCTCCTCCCGCGAATGGCGTGACACTAGGATCTCAGCGCCAGCCCCGCCGCAACCAGATCCGTGGGCTGGTTGCGCCTGCACTGACGACATGCAGAGCTCTGCGCGCCGCCGCCAGCTGTGCTCTCCTACATCATGACTTACTCCATCACGTTTATTCGGATCATGCTAACGCACTTGCGGCTTCGCACGCCCGAGCATTTTCGTTTTCTGAATGCACTATGCACCCGAACCCTGCTTCCACTTCATGGCGACATCGACTTCTCCCGACAGGTCGCCAATCATCGCCCCGCGGTGCTCTTTTCTGTGGATTCGGTGACCGCTCTTTGTTGTTCACGCGCGGTGTTTGTCCATGTCCTCGGCATGGTCAGGCGCGTGTCCAGAGCGGGCCGCCCGGCGTGTGCGGAGGGATACAAGAAGCGTCAGTCTTCCGGTTGACTGCCCCTGCAGTAGAAACGGGTGCTTTCGTTTCGTCCCCTTGCTCTTTTACTCAACGACTCTGCAACATGTCGGACATGAAGGCAACCGTCGCCGAGACATCGGCTGGTTTCCACGTCCAAGGGTGGGAGAAGATCGAATATGACTTCACCTTCCTGGACGGCGTCTTCGACCTACGCAACAGCCAGCTAGCTGCTTGCTACGAGCGCTGGGGTCGCTGTCTCGCGGTGATGGACTTCAACATCTTCGAACTCTATGGTGTGCAGATGCAGCAGTATTTCGACCACTACAGCATCGACCTCAAGGTCCACAAGACCATGATCGGCGAGAAGGCAAAGTCAATCGACACCTTCTTGAGCATCGCCGACTCCATGACCGACTTCGGTATCATGCGCAAGGTAAGGACCGCCGCGCAGGGAAGAGCTGACGTTGTTGACATTCCCTCAGGAGCCGGTGCTGGTTGTTGGAGGTGGCCTGGTCACTGACGTTGCCGGGTATGACATTCCGAATCGAGGCTGGCGACCGTCGAGCTGACCAACCCCGTAAGGTTTGCCTGCGCCGCATACCGCAGGAACACGAACTACATCCGCATTCCCACGACGGTCATTGGTCTCATTGACGCCTCTGTCTCGATCAAGGTTGCTGTCAACTACGGCAACTACAAGAACAGGCTTGGTGCTTACCATGCCCCCATGCACACCTTCCTCGACTTCAACTTCTTGCGGACACTGCCGAAAGCCCAGGTGCGGAACGGCTTCGCGGAGCTGATCAAGATCTCGACCTGCGCGCATCTCGACACCTTCAATCTGCTCGACAAGTATTGCGAGGAGCTTATCAACACCGGTTTCGGTTGTATAGATGGCGCTCCCGCAGAGGTCAAAGCTGCGGCAGACAAGATCAACCGTGCTGGCATCTATAAGATGCTGAAGCTCGAGACACCCAATCTCCACGAGATTGGGCTGGACAGAGTCATCGCCTACGGTCACACGTGAGTCGCTCCTCAAATCTCGGGCTTGATGGCTTGCTGACCTCAACAGGTGGTCACCGCTGCACGAACTGGTGCCTGAAGTCCCCCTTCGGCACGGACATGCCATCTCCATCGACATGGCGTATTCTGCTACGTTGGCAAACATGCGAGGCCAGCTCAGCGACGCCGAGTACCGCAGGGTCCTAAACCTTTTCTCGCGAGCGGGCCTGTCCATGGACCACGCCCAATTCGACGAGGAGATTCTCGAGAAGGGCACCAAGGCCATCCTGAAGACGCGCGACGGCAAGCTTCGGGCTGCGATCCCGAGCCCTCTGGGCAGCTGCGTGTTCTTGAACGACGTGTCCTACGAGGAGATGGTCAAGGCGCTGCACCTACACAAGCAGGTGATGAAGGAGTACCCGCGGCAGGGCGAGGGCATCGAGGCGTTCGTCGACGCGAGCGACACAGGATACACCATCAACAGCGCGGCCAACGGAGCGTCGAGCCTGAAAAAGGCGGCCGACCCGGCGGACGGGGTCCCTAACGGCGGCGGGCCTGTGCAGAACGGGTACACGAGCAAAGCATCGACGGCGGTGCGCAATGCGGCAGGATGTGACGGGATTCTCAATGGGGTAAACGGCCACGCCAACGGCAGCAACGGCGTCAGCCACTAGGCAGCGGCTGGGCGCATGCGGAGGGTGCATGGTTTTGGCGGCCTGGAAAGGTGAGGGCAAATGAAGCGATCGGGGAGATGTATTTCGGTTGCCCCGAAAAAGCAGCAGCTAGTAATGCAAGCGTGCCATCAGGGCAAGAGTCATCTCCGCGTGCCGGTCGGGTGGGCCTCAGTATCTGTCAGCGCGATCAACGATTGCCGGGCGCGGGCTATCACACTACCCATCACTATCACGGGAGATTGACCTACTACGCGGACGAGGTGATGCAGCGGCAGCTCCTCCCGAGCCCACGAGCAGGCAAATGCTGGACCCTTGCGCGTCCCTTGCGGCCGTTGGCTGCGCAAGGCAGAGGGCTGGCGGCTTGGGCCCCGTGCGATGCCTGCCGCAGCGAGTCGCCCGGCAACGGGCTGGCGGGCTGTGATTCGGCGGCGCGTGGGGAAGATCATTTGTGGGCGCGCAGCAGCCGGGAGCCCCTGAGAGGCGACGGAGAACAACAATGCTGATCGCTCCCGAGAACGAGGGCGCGCAGACTGGCGTGCGGCGCGCGCTGCTCCTTTTCCTCGCACCGCGCGCACGTTGCCTGATATTCGCCTTGCCGTCCCATCGTTCGTGTGCCAGCTAGCCTGTCGCTGCCGCCGTGTCATTGCCGTGCCAGCGTGCGTGCCCTGTGCGCTGTCGGGCCACTGCCTTTCGCAAGGAGACCGCGTCTCCACCAGAAAACCACCTGGACAAGCCTTCTCCGCGCCCTCCAACTCATCCGCATGGCCCTTGCAGCCCGTTGATCCAGCAACGAGCCAGCAGAGTCCGCCGCCGATGGCCGCAGAGCCAACCCACCAGGGTACCGACAACTGACCACGTCCGCGTCAGTCACCGCACATCGGCGCCACACCGCGCGCTGTGATTGTGCCGACTAAGCATTCCTACCCGCCCACCATGGCCACCACCACAACCACCACGCTGCCGCGTCCTATGAACCCTCCCACCGGCCCACTGCCCGCCCTGCCAGTTCCCAAGACGCGGCGCGCTGCAACCGCCCGCCCCGGCCCGTCAAGCCCGGAGCGCCGCATCTCCACCGCCTCCAACCCGTCGCTGTCCCGCCCACCGCCCTCACCCCGCCTCTCCTCGTCGTCGCTCCCCATGAGGCCCCAGAGCAAGCACGCGAACTCCATGCCCCAGGCCCAACAGCCGGCCGCACCCGCGGGTGGCCCATCGCCGCACAAGACGCTGCGCAAGACCATCAGCATAGGCTCCTTCCCGCAGCCGCCCAAGAGCAGTCGCCAAAGCCACCCGTCGAGCCCACTGTCCGCCGCCACCACCCCGGACGGCGTCACCACCGACCGCAGAGGCTCGGCAGGCTCGCTGAGCGTGCCCGGCGGTGGCGCCTTGCGCAAGCGGCCTAGCATCAAAGGCCGTGGGCCTTCGGCCATCAAGTCTCCCCTCACGTCGCCGAGCGCCCTGACCGAATTCTCGCCCACCGAGAGCCGGAGTTCGTCGGCCAACGGCTCCTACTCGACCGGATTCGAAGAGACGGGTGGCGAGGAGGACAAGGGCAGCAAGTCGCCCTCCTCGGACAAGGATTTCGGCAAGGATCTCAAGGGCAATGTCATTGTGAGCGTCAGAGTGCGCCCCAATTCTTCAACCAGCGAGAACACGGGCCTGCAGGACTGGGAGCTTGATGGCAGGCGAGGCACAATCACATTTAGGGGAAAAGATGGCGGCACCTTTCAAAGCGGTACGTGCGCTGTCTCGGGTTTTGGAGTGACACAGATCGGCTGACGCCTTGCAGACAACGTGTTTTCGACGCAGGACAACAACGCTAGGGTGTATGATGCAGCAGCTAAACGATTGGTGCGTAGGGTAATGGAAGGATATCACGGAACCGTTTTCGCGTACGGAATGACGGGCACAGGAAAGACGTTCTCCATGCAGGGAACAGCAACATCTCCCGGTGTGATCCCATTGGCCATCACCGACATTTTTTCATTTATTCGCGAGACGCCCAAGCGCGAGTTCTTGCTCCGGGTTAGCTACCTGGAAATCTACAACGAGAGGATCCACGATCTTTTGTCAGACCCGCCACCGACAGGACCAGGCGCACAGGCCATCCAGCAAGAGGAAATCAAGCTGAGGGAGGACAGCAAACGAGGCGTATACGCCACTCCGCTAAAGGAAGAAATCGTCCAAAGCCCAACCCAGCTTCTTCGCGTTATTGCGAGAGGCGACAACAACAGAAGAGTCGCCGGGACTCAGTTCAACGCTCGCAGCTCGCGAAGTCATGCTGTCGTCCAGATTGTCGTCGAGAGCCGTGAGCGCGTGCCTGGAGGCGTGGCGCTTCAGGATACCAAACGTACTGCCATTGCGCCCGGTGGCGTCCGCGTCTCCACGCTGAGCTTGATTGATCTTGCCGGGTCTGAGAAAGCAGCTGAAGATAAGGAGAGAAGAACCGAGGGTGCTCACATCAACAAGAGTTTGCTTACGCTTGGTACCGTGATTGCTCGCCTGTCCGAGGCGAAGGACAAGAAGGGAGCAGACAAGGACAAGCACTTGCCTTATCGTGACAGCAAGCTGACACGCTTGTTACAACCGGCCCTCTCTGGAGGCTCGCTTGTCAGCATCCTGTGCACAATCTCAATCGGGTCCACGGGAACTGCCGCCTCCATCGCCACGCATGTCAACGAAACCTTGAACACTCTGAAATTCGCGTCCCGCGCGAAGAACAACATCGTCAGCCATGCCAAGAAGGCAGAGGAGGCGCTTCCCGGCGGCGGCGATGCCGGCAGCCGAGCTCTTTTGGACCGATACCGCATGGAAATCCAGGAACTCCGCAAGCAGCTAGAGAGCAAGACAAAAGAGGAGGCTACGGTTGTCAAAGAGGTCAAAGATGTCGATATGGCGGAAGAGAGGGCAAGGGAAGCCGAGGCTGCGGCCAGGCACGAAGAGCAGATGCTAGAGATGCAGCTCGCGCGAACGGCCTTGAAGGAGCGTATCGAGCACCTCAACCGCCTCATTCTCAGCTCCAAGTCGATCGGTGTCAACTCTGGCCGGTCCTTTTCGTCCATGGGCTTCCAATACCGCAACTCGATAATGAGCAACAGCGAGCCCCACACGGTATCGGCGCGAACGTCGACAGCGACTCTGGAGGTGCCGCACTTCAACAGAATGTCTTCGGGAGGCTCAGCAGCGCCGTTTTCTCCTTACGCGACACAGGCGCCGGGCATGCCGTCAGACCACACTTCCGAGGAAGACGATTCCATTGGCGAGAATGGCGACGGCACGGCAACCGAAAGCGCACGGGTCCGGGCTCTGCAAGCAGACCTCGAGGACAAGAACCGCTACATCGCGACGCTGGAGAAGCGGCTGCTCCAAGCACGGAGGTCCAGCCACTCGCGCGTGTCCATGGCGCTGGCAGCTTCGGTACACTCGGCCGAGGAAGGCGGGGTTGAGGCTCTGATCAAGGAGAAGGACGACGAGATTGCGGACCTGCGAGCGCGGCTGGACGACAAGGACCGGATGCTGACGGCATTGCGCTCGGCGGCAAGGAAGCGCGACGTGGCGGATCTCACCATCGATACGTCGATTGAGCGTCGAGCGTCGATGGGCCCGCGAACGCCAGGGCACCGGAGTAGGGGGAGCACCGGGTCGTCGTACCTCACGCGGCAGTCGGCAGCCAGTCCGATCGCGCTGCCGTCACCACGGTCGGAAAAGAGGTCTCGGGACGTGGAGGACATTACCAGGATGTTGGATAACATGATATCCGAGCAGGGCGACAGCGGGCAGCGGCCCGTCAATGCGCGGAGGGCGAGCATCGCCAGGATGGCGCTCGAGGGCCGGGGGATGTCGTAGGGTTTTGTTGGTTCGTTGATTTTGGCGACGTTCATGCGGCGCATCTGGTCTTTTTTGCTTTCTGTCGTCTAGATACCCTGTTCGCCGTCCCATTGGACGGGCACTGTCGCATTTCATTCTTAGGGCTGTTATACACGCGTTTCACGACGGGGCAGGGCGGCGGCGCGTTGTGCGGAGGGAGGGGATGGGGCCAGGCTTGTGTAGCTTTTAACAATGGAGAGGCCTCAGGAGGGGCGGGGTCGGCTGCAACGGGTTTCGTCTTGGGTCGGTTTCAGCGCAGGCGAGGGCGGCTGGTCGTTTGATGAAGCAGCCGCGGACGCGAGCTCCGGCTCCAGGCCCCGGCGCAGCGCCACCACCTCTGCTCTGCTCTGCTCCACCACCCCTTCGCTCATTCTTACTTCACCGGCGCCATGCTCTCCTCCACCCGGTTCCATGCACGCGTGACACTGCCCGTCTCAACTGCGCTTCCGTTCTAGCCACCTGCCGGTCCCAGGTGCTTCAGCCCTTCCTTTTCCAACCCGCAGCCGCCCGCATTAGCTGCGCAACCAATCCGCACTTTTGGCCCAGCTGCCTTCCTCCGCCATGCTTATTCCCTCTCCCCACTCGCCCAGAATGCACGCCAGAAAGAACCACCACCTCTCCATCAACTCGCCGGGCTCGTCTGCCCTCCCGCCCAGCGGCATCCTGACCCCGCGCACCCCGCGCTCAGCCCGCGGCGACCCTCTGCGCGATCCGCTGCTGCTCTCGCGCTCCCCGCCGCCCTCGCCAGGACTGCCGCCCGCGTACCCAAAGAACCCGAAGCGATCGCTTCCCAGCTACTCGCGCCTGCTCCGCAAGCTTCTTGTCATCTTTTGCGGCATCGTCGTCGTGGGATGGCTCGGCGTGCGTCATTGGTCGCACTCTCGCACCATCTTCTACCTGGCCCCGGACGGATCCGAGTATGAGATGGTCGGCGACAGCCTGCTCCCGGACGAGCCGTCGGTTGTCGCCATGACGGACCAGACGGGCAGAACCAGATGGACCGTTTCCATCCCTGCCGACTCGGAATTCCCGCTTGCTCCAGCCCAGTACAAGGACCTGTGCGACCAGGCCAAGGAAGTGGCCGCTTCGATCCACGGCAAGGGTGCCCACCACAAGGGCTACTACTACATCGACCCCACCTACATTGACGTCCACCACGCCACCGAGCAGGGCCTCTTGCCAGATCCGAAGGGCACTGCCAAGATGGTGTCGGCCGTGGGCCTGGATGACGGTCTAATGGGACCAGGCAATACGTACCGAGGCGAAAGAATGGACATCTGCGAGACCAGCTTGACCTTTGTCATGGAGACCTCCGACGCCGGTCTGGGAAAGACTTTGATGGCCATGTGGATGGCGTATGGACTTGCGCGTTTGGAGGGTAGAGCTTTCTTCGTTGACGATACGAGATGGTACGCCTCACTGCGCTAACGTTAGTTGCGATTCATGTCACTGACCTATGCTTTAGGCCCTACGGGAACTACACGAGCTATTTTCAGCCTCCGCCGACCCCGTCCTGTCTGCCGCCAATGACGAGCCAGGTTGTTCCCTGCCCCCACCATGCCAGGCATTTGATGGTCTCCGCCGCCACCATTCGCACCACCTTCGGCCACGCTTTCGTTGAAGAGTACGAGGATCCCCGCAAGATGCAGGTTCAGCGCCAGCACAAGATTTTCGGCATGCTGCGTGATGGGTACGAGGCTCTCTTCCGTCTGCACGACGATGACGCCAACTACGTTCTGGAGCGGACTCGCAGTCTCTACGAGCCTGTCATCGAAAAGGGCGGCGTCAACATTGGACTCCACGTGCGTCGCGGCGATCGCCACCCCTTCGAGTACCAGTATTCCAAGGACTACATTCCGTTGGACCGCTTCACGCAAGGCGTGCAATACCTCATCGCTGAGCACTATGGCCCGTCTTTACCAGGAAACACGACCGACGGCGCCAAGGTGGAACGCGACGCTCATGATGCCCCGGTCAAGTCCTTGCACACCCCAGCTGCCGCCGCAAGCCAACAGGAGCACCCGGACCTCTTGTCCCTGACTTCATCCCAAGCTGTCCTGGCATCCGACGACCCGGACGTCTACATGGCCCCCGAAATGGCGGGCGTTGTGCGCGCGCAGGACCGCATTGTGTTGGCCAGCAAGAAAACACTGGAGGCTTCGGGTGCTCGAAACAAGAACCGGTACATTGACGAGGTATCGGGCTGGGAAGGCGGCTTCTTCCGCGATGTTTTCTGGTCGCTGGGCCGCTCGAACGCCAACAACGCCGGCACCGCCAGCGGCAACAGGAACGATGAGCCGAACGAAGCGGCGCTTAAGATGCGCGAGCTCGTCGGCCGCGCGTACCTCCTCGACCTGGCGGTTGTCGCGAAGGCGGATCAGATAATGTGCACGCTCAGCGCTACCGGCTGCAGACTCCTGGCCGTGATGATGGGATGGGAGCACGCCATCGGGCAAGGCGCATGGAAGAACGTCGACGGCGAATTCCATTGGAGGGGTATAGACTGGTGACTTCAACTACTGGAAATCTGGAGGTTGGAGTTACCGTGGTAAGCGACAGGTAAAAGAACAGGAGGAGGATTGGGGTCTGCCTTCCATCTTCAAATCATCATCATTATACCATTTTCAGGCGCGGGAACTCAAACATAGCGTTGCATTGCAGGCGTTTTCAACATCCTCTTCCGTCTTTTTTTTTTGTAGGGGCCGTACGTACAACCTTTTCCTCCTTGCGCTCTTTTCTAAACCTCTGTGGGGTGTAAAGGAGAGGAGACGAGGCGTTGAAAGAAAGGAACTGAGAAATACGTTCGTCGGCCGTGTACTGATACCCCATCCCCATTATCTCGGCACCAAGAAATACAATTGCGAAGCCTTGGTTACTCGAATTTGTGTCTCGTTATTGTACGTGCCACTTGTCAAGAGCAATCATATGCCGTGGAAGGCAACATGATTGATGAATCCTGCGCTTGTTCCAAAGATTAGTGACGAGAGTTGACGATCGTAGTGATTGTGTCGGACCACCCGATGTTTCCCCCTCATATGCCTTATTTATTATCTTCTAAATTTACTATGCCTCGATTTGCACTCTTGTCAGCCTCAAAGGAAGACAATCGTGTTCGAGTCTGCAACCTCGTTTTCCGTCTGTAACTTTAGGTGGTCCAATATCAGTGTCTGAATTGCCCTCGGTCTAATTCTAGGCACACTACAAAGTACTTTACCAGTTTCAAATTTGGTTCATCAACTTGGAGAATCAACCCCGCTGTCTGGACATCTTCGTGTAAACTGCATCCAAGCATCTTCTTCGACTCCTTAGCTGGCAGAATACAATACCCCTTGCCTAATATGGAAGGGTACGATATTTCGTAATCCACTCTGGTATCTAGGCCTTAGTTTGCCGAATCTGCATGCGGAAGCAGCTTGCTCCTCACTCCTTTCGGTCGCACCATGATCGTAGGGTCTCTATCTAAGCATATATTCTACTTATCAACTCCCATAATTCTTGCCTTCATACCAAGTATGCAACCAAACTGTAATAGCCTTCAGATTGTGCATTGTGTACACTTACATCCACACTATCGTCACGCCGCTACCAACACCACAAACCACAATTCCCCGAATTTCCTGAACACTGACAATGACCACCGTTGTCCCGGCAGCAGCTGCGGCAGTACTTCCTCGGGCCAATGCTCCCAATGGATGTCCCCTCTCTACGCCAACTTGACCTTCAACACCCCATCCAGCGCGTCTGTTGCGCCCTGCACGAGCAAACCTGCCACGTCCGTCACCCACTCCTTCTTCTCCCCTGACTCGGTGGCCAAAACCCGTGTGATAACCGCCTCGCCAGTTTGACCCTTCCTTGCACCTTCGACGAGCTTGTCGACACCGTTTTCGCTCAACCTGTTCGTCCAGTCCAGGGCGGGCTGGCGGACAGCCTTGACGAAGACGTCGGCGACGATGGCCTTGAGCGTGGCAAGCTCCTTGACGGGAATCGCCTGCCACCACTTCTGCGCTTTGTTCTTGGCCAGGCGCGTCGCTGCGTCACAGAGTCGGGTGGAGGCTTGCAGGAACTCGGCGATGAGGAAAAGAGTTTGAATATCGTGCTGCAGTGGGAGGATATGCTTGGCCTTGCTGTTGTTCAAGGACAGCGCCTCGAGCGCCTCTTCCACCCCAGAATTTTCCTGAACGAGGTGGGACAGCCAGGTTTGTAGGTCCGTGATGGCAGCTGATATATCGCTGACATCAGTGCCGGTCAATGACTTGCTGGCGAGCGCACGCAGCTTGACCCATCCCGGGATGAGTGCCTTCTCGGCGGGTGTAAGCTCCGCCAGGTCCGACTCGGACGGGTTATTAGCAATCTTCTCAACGTTCTCGTTGGCGATGTTGAGGCGGCGGGCGTGGCTGCTGTCGGGACCCGACGATAACGACGAAGACGAGATGACCGTGCACGTGTCGTCGATGAGCAGGTGCAGCGCAAGCCAATATCGGCCCGGCGGCGGCCCGGACGAGAGGAGGTGCTCGAAACGAGACGTCGCAGAGTGCTCGTAATTCCACATGCGCTTCAGATCGCGGTTGTCAACGAGGCCATCGAGGTCGTCGTCTGCGATAAGCTGTCACTATCTTCCGTAGGAGCAAACATGGGGGGGCTGAGTGCTGGATTCCCGATGAGCTTAAGACGTACCTAATACTTCGCAGTGCAAGTCATCGACCGCTTCGCCTCTGATGCGAAGAGTTCTGCGTCTTTCGATAACAGAGAATTTCCTGCTCAGACTCTTGGCGAGGTTGTTCTTCAGCTCTTGAATTTCCAAGAGCCTATCGTACTGCAAAGCGTCGATTTCAGCACCAAGGAAAGCCTGGAGGGTGTGCAAAACCCTATCGGCCGTCTGGAGGATCCTGTCGAGTTGCGTCAGAGGGTCATTGTTGGCTCTGCTATGTTGCTTTGAGCGGTAGTAGAACGGGTGAGTGATGGCCATCCGGGTGAACATGTGGTGGCTGAGTGTCTCCATCAGTATCTCCTTGATCTTTAAACTAGACCAAGCTTCCATGGCCTCGCTGAAGTTACCCAAGAAGGCTACGAGACGGGCCTGGAGGAGTCCTGCTTTACGGCTTTCCGGGGCGTGAGACAACAATTCTTTCATCACAATCTCGGCCTGGACCAGGTAGTCCAAGGATGACTCGAGGTAGAAGAGCTTGACCAGGGCCATTGTGGCTAGTGCACAAGAATCCTCGCAAGTTGCAACATCCTTACCCTTGGCGAGTTGGTGAATGTCGAGAGACTTGACCACGAACTCTTCCAGCTGCTCCTTGGTAGCCTTCTGATCCCTGGACAGTGCCAGCTGGTATTCCAGTTTCAGTATGTTCGCCTTTGTCCGAAGTGCTTGCGCTTGTTGTTTCGGAGCTCCTTCTTGGATTGTCTGATTTTGATCCTCGGCCAAGTTGGAGCACCAATCCAAGAACTTGGACTGACTGGTGCTGTCGAGTCTCTCGACATAGGGCGACACGTCCTCAAAACAGCACTGCTCCTTGGAAAACACCAGGATATAGGCAGTGCAGTTCTTGAACAACTCGTCATCATCCTTGGACGACACCGATGCCTTCGGCAGCAGGCGAACGCGGAGATTCTCATCAGCGTACTTTTCATGGATTTCGTCAAGTTCTTTGTTCATGTCACCCGTGAGCCCAGCATCCGAAGCCCTTGGTTAAGTCAGCACGATGGAGAAATCAATAGTACGCAGCAGACTTACGCTTGGCGTGTTAGCTCGCGGTGTGAGAGGTGAAGCGCTCGCCATAGCGCATAGTCGTGGGGCCACAGGGAATACGATGTCTTTGCCGCTTCGTCGGGAGTGTGAGTTTGCTTGAGGGCAGCGGTGCAGAAGTCCCACAGGTGTTGCCACATGGCCGCCTCCTCCAGAACCTCCAGCTTGGTGCGAACGAAGGCGAGGTCGCAGACCACAAGGGGCGAGAAGATGCCGACAACTGGATGGTCAAGAATCTCCAGCATCTCCTTCAGCATACCCTGCTTCCGGTAGATCTGAAGCACGAGCCGGAGCTCGCGGCGGGTGGTGACGGCGTCGACGGTCTTTTCGCCCTTCATGCCTTTCGCAGTAGCCACGGAAAGCGTCTTGGAGGCAAGCATGCGCATGAATTTGGCATTCCTGTCGTCCTTGCCGTCCAACGCATCTCCGGCCAGCTGCTGGACAGCAGGAAGCGCAAATATGTACTGCTCATCCTTGGGGTACTTGTTCTTCAGCGTGACCATGGCCTGCATGCAAACACTCAGCAAACCACTCAACAAATGGGACCCTGCATCGTACCACTTGGGCGTCTTGCCAGTCATCCATGGAGGCGGCACTCTCGAACCACGTGACCAGCACGTTGCCATCGTTGGTGGCCTTGAAAGCATTCTGCCACAGGGCTTTGCGCTTATCGGCGGTGCTCGCGCGCTCGCCCAGGCGGAAGTAGATGGCCCTCAGCAGGTCCTGGTCGGTGATGGCGGGGGTGCTCTCGGCCAGGCGGGCCAACTGGTCGAAGGCCTCGTCATCGCGGCCGAACTTGAGGTAGACGGAGGCCTTCCAATAGAGCAGGTAGGGGTCCTTGGGCCGCTTCTGGAGCTTCTTCTCGCATTCCTTGAGGGCCTGCTTGATATTGGAGCCGGAGAAGTGGACCTTGTCGTTGATGGAGCCCACGCTGAGGGAGGCCATAATTGGTCGTGTGCGGCGCACGGGTGCATGCGCAGAAAGCGAAGGTCGTGTGCGCCCAAAGTCGTTGCCGCACACTGGGCTGCCGGTGGTGGATGGCGGGCGCTCGCAAGCGACGGCGGCGGAGGTGGAGGGGATGGTCTTGGCGAGTGTCCCGGGCGAAAAATAACCAGTAGTCCGGTGGAGCACCTACTTTGTTCCAACGTCACCCGAGTTCATCCTTTGCGCACGCTATCTACCTGGAGCTATTTTCCAACTCACGTCCGCTTGACAAAGCAAATATATTATTTTGAACGCCCGCAGCAACCCCACCGGCGGCGACATGTACCACGCAGCGCGTCGCGTTGGCCACAACAATGCATGGCAACCGTTTCCACGACGCCAATCCTTTTGATATTTCCTAACCCATGTGAAACAATACAATACCGGCACCGAGTGCCTCACCACAACGACTTGCCCTCCTTCCGCTTGGCCTCTTTCCGGGCCTCCATCTGCAGTCGGGGACATGCGTGTCAGCTCGCGAGGAAGACGAGGGGCGCGTCAGCAACGTACCCACTGCTTCTTGCAGTCACGATATGCCCTAGCAAAGCCGGTGTTAGCAGAGGGAGGAGTCAGCTGGTCGGTGCGTGGCGGCCAGAAGCGCGGCGAGAGCGCTCTCGCCCCTGCGGGAGGAGCGTACTGGAAATAGTCAGAGCACATGTCTCTGTCACCGCCGTTGCGGTGAAGACATCGGAGACTCTTGGAGGCAGCCTCCTGGCACGGATCAAAGTATTGACTGTACTGCTTGCTGCGCGACGTGTGATCAGCAGTGGCGCAGTGAGGGCCGGGCCGGGCAGCTGGCCCGGATGAGGAGCTCCTTACCCGTCGAAAGTCGCGGCGGCGCTCTCGGTCCAGGGGGTGTCCGACTTGCCGTCACCGGCCATGGTGGATGTGCGGGGTTGGGTGCGAGAGGGCGGCGCTATGGGGACTGGGCGGCGGAGGAAGTGGTGCGGCTTGATGCGAATCAACCCGGCGATCAGCCGGGGGCGACTAGCCCCGAGATGGTTTGCCGGTGCGTCGCCCGCCGCCGTGCGCCAATGACGCTCGTCTTCCCCGCGTGTGTCAGCGCGTATTGAGCCGGCCGACGCAGGGCGCATGTGCTCCCAACAGGCGCCAGATTGATCGCTCGCTGGATGCATCTCATCATCACAGATCCGCGTGCCGTCGGCGTAGCGAGCCAAGACGCCGGGCCAGTCTGTCTCTGGGTGCTACTCGCACGCCCGTGGGCAGCGGTCAACACGACGACGAGCACCCACGTCGGAGCAGCGAAGGCGAAGCTGGCTGCAGCTACTAAGTATACACGCCCGTCCGCGTTGGGGCCACCGGGGGGGCCAGCACCGCCGTTTTCATGTCAATCCACGCGTTCCCGGTTTGGGAATGCGAATCCCGCCCAGCGCTCGTCCCAGCCTCGCTGCTGCTTCCAACGGTCTCCCATGCCGTCACGGTCCTAGCCCTCCACACCTCCCTGACGCACCTCCACTTTTTGCGCAGTGCGGCCACATCATTATGATCCGTCCGCACCGCCCGGTTGCGCGCACCCTTCCGGCCAGGCCACGCGCTGCGTCGTTCATGGCGAGCAGGCGGCGCGCAGCGGCGTGTCGCGGCGTTTCCGTGACTAACGTGCCCGCCCTGCCGGCGCCACGGTGCTTGATTGAGGCTGTCGTCGCTAGTGCCTGGGCGGGTGTCGCGAGGGCTGCGAGGTCGGCCTTCCTGGAAGAGAAGTCAATTCCCTCGCAGGGAGATCGTCTGCCGGCCAGACGCTCGGTACCGGCGCCCTCAGGAAATCCGCACCACAGTCATCATGCCCAATGGCCGCGACAAGACGGTCCGATGGCCGCGATAAGGCATCTCGAGATAATGCGCATGCCAATCCGCCGTGGCAGCACCGCGATAGAAGGGCCATCCACGACAATCGCTCCACATTTCGCGTGCAAAGATAGTGCTCCTGTCCAGTCGATGGCCACTGGCCAGGGACCCGGCTGAGTCGCGCCCGTGGACCGCTTGAGAACACTTTCGCATGATCCGGGGTCGATGCTCGTCCTAATCTGGCGCTTTCATGAGAAGGGCCTACTCGGGGATATAAAGACACCGGGGCGTCCGCCGTCCTGATATCAATCAGCCTCGAGCTTCAACCCATAGCTTTGCCCAAGTCTCTTTTAGAGCATCACAGCCTTATCACAGCCCCCTTAGTCCTCCCATCAAGATCATCGGTCTTGGCTCTTGCTTCCTTCCACGCGTGACTTCTTCCATCAGTCCAGCTCTTATTGTAAGCCTGCGAATTTCCCTCTTGTCACATCCCTTATCGCGCCGCCAAGGCTGACTCTTTTAGATCCACAATGGCAACAGTCGCCACTCAGCGTACCGCGACCCTGCCGCGTCCTTCCTTCACGCCCATCATCCAAGATGCGGTTGTTGCGAAGAAGGCCTCTGGCATTGAGTTCAAGCCCTCAAAACACCTGGGCTACAAGGACCCCGAAAAGATCTGGACAATGGAGGAGATCGGCTACTCCAAGGACCGCGGTGTCTCGCCCATCGCCGTCTCCCAGCCCTTCCAGCTCTTCACCGAGGAGGCCGTCCACGAGATGAGGAGAGAAATCTTCAAGCCCGAGGTCATGGAGAACTGCAAGTACAGCAGCAACATCGCCGCTTGCCAGCTTAGGGGCTACGCTCCCAAGTCAGTGAAGCTCTTGCAATTGACGCGTGCAAGTTGCTAACGACATCCCAGGTACGCCCCGTTCACTTACGACGCTTGGAACCACCCCGAGACGCTCGCCGCCATCTCCAAGGTTGCCGGCGTCGACCTCGTCCCCGTCATGGACACCGAGGTCGCACACATCAACTTCTCGGTCAAGTCGGAGAAGGAGACCAAGGAAGAGCTTGCAGTCATCAACAAGCAGAAGGAGTATTACGACGCGGACGAGGGTATCGCCGGCTGCCCCTGGGAGGATGACAAGCCGGTTGTTGGCTGGCACACTGACAGCTACCCCTTCGTCTGCGTGCTGATGCTCAGCGACTGCACGAACATGGTTGGTGGTGAGACTGCCCTGAGGACCGGCCACGGTGATGTGATGAAGGTCCGCGGGCCGACTATGGTAAGCCAACCCAACGCATGCTGCACCGAGGCATACTGACGCCTGAGATAGGGTTGTGCCGCCATCTTGCAGGGCCGGTACATTACGCATCAGGCTCTCCGTGCTCTGGGCGCGCAGGAACGCATCACTGCCGTGACTTCGTTCCGGCCTCGCTCACCGTTCGCACGTGACGATTCGGTCCTCACCACCGTTCGTCCCATTTCCAACCTCTCTGCGCTCTACTCGGAATTTGCCGAGTACCGCCTCGCCATGGTGGAGGAGCGTGTGCGTGGGCAGCTCAAAGAAGTGCGCGAGAAGAGCCGTGCTGGCAAGAAGTTTGCCACCAAGGACTTCAAGAAGTTCCTGGCCGAGCAGATTGCCTTCCTCCAACACATGCAGAACGAGATCGTGCCGGACGAAGAGGTGCGGGTTGGCTACATCGAGGAGGTTGACTACCCCGACTGTGTCGTCGGTGCAGAGGAGGCGCCGTCGCTCAAGCGTACTCGCGTCGAGTAAGCGGGCCGGCATTTGTAGCGTCTGGCTTCTTCACAGCGGTCGGGTTCAAGCGGAGTAGCTTATGGTTTGACGAGTCACGCAGCCTTTCGAAAAACGTGCGCATTCGAGGATAATACGTAGTCGCTTAGTTGGGGGGGAACTTTTGGAAGGGTTTGTTGCGCCGGGCAAGACTGCTCTGGGCTGCAGGACTTGTAGTGGTCGCTTTGGACATTATTGGCGCATTTGGAGTTCTCAGGAGTTGCTCTGGATAGTTGTTGCTGTTCGCCTGCGTTGCACGTCCGCTGCATCCGAACACTAGACATGGCTCATGATCACGGAATGAATCGACTCTTTTGAAAGGACATGATGTTGATGGAGACGAAACTAGCCCGCGTGCACAAGCTTGAGTAGGAATCTCCCATGGCGTCCAGATGCATCCGCCCAAGCTCTTTTCTGAGGGCAACGCAGCTAAGCCTGCCAGCCGGCCGAAAGAACGGAACGAAAAGCCGGAACGTACTAGGAGCTCCGTCCACCGGTCAAGCCTCAAGTGCGGTTCGCGCGAAAAGCGGTCGCGGGTCGTTGGCCGATAAGAGGCGCTGTCTCCGACGATAAGGAACGCGCGGAGAGCAGGTCGGTGAGGGATGGACGAGTGGAAGGGCGCGGAAGCGGGAGGGTGAGGCTACGGCCGTCAGTGGCGCGCCTCGCACACGCTCAAGGTTTGCGCCGAAGGCGTCTGCCGGTGGGGAGGACGGGCAGACAGCGAGCTTGTGAAGGTGGTGAGCAGGCAGGCGCTGGGCGGGCGGAGAAAGAGAGCGGAGTAGGTAGCTAACGGCCACGGGCGCGATTTACTACCGGATTGGAGGAACGCCAAACAAAATCCTTGGCCACCCTTACCAAAATCGTGAAAACCCATCTCTTGCATAATACTGGCCATCATCGCGCAGGTAGTCACATGTGCGTTGCTACGGTATGTAAGCGCTGCTTTCTATTCCGGACGATGGCTTCTATTGCTCATTGTTCTTCGCACTAGCCTTCGGTTGAAATACCCCATCGTAGGCTAACCCACTGCTTTACGTCATTCCTGCGCTGTGAGCTCATTGACCACGATATCAACCACGGACGTTCTACAGCTTCCGCCGCAGCATCGCAAGAACCGGCGCCATGCCATTTTCTCCACGCTCGCTCCAAGCTATCCCCACATCCTACGCAACCTGCTCCATTGGCTGCAGCCCGGAGCACACGCTGCCCAAAAGGCTCGATGCCATTGCCGCCGCCGGGTTCCAAGCCATTGAGCTCTCTATGCCCGACATCCTCGACTTTGCCAAGCTGTACCTCAAGAAAGACGTGGGCCCAAAAGATTGGGATGACCTCTGCGCCACGGCCAAGGCCATCAAGGTACAGACCGATGCCAAGAACCTCAGGATCCTGATGTTGCAGCCATTCTCCAATTTTGAAGGCTGGCCAGAAGGCACCCCAGAGCGCAACGACGCCTTCGAGCGAGCCAGAGGCTGGATTGAGATCATGGACGCCTGCGGCTGCGATATGCTGCAGGTAAGATAGGCGTCAGGAAAATCAAACCGGATGCTGATTGAATCAGGTAGGGGCTTCCGACACTCCGGAAGACAAGATCGGCCTTGACCGAAACCGCTTCGTGTCAGACCTCGGCGAGCTCGCCGACATCCTGGCCCAGAAGAACTTCCGGCTCGCCTACGAAAACTGGTGTTGGTCCACCCATGCTCCGGATTGGAAGGACGTCTGGGACATCGTCAAGAAGGTCGACAGGCCCAACGTCGGTCTATGTCTTGATACCTTCCAGACCGCGGGTGGCGAGTGGGCCGACCCGACCACCGAGTCTGGCCTGCTCGAGGGAGCATCCAAGGACGAGCTGGAGAAGAGATTCCACGAGAGCTTGGACGAGTTGAGCAGGTCCGTACCGAAGGACAAGATCTATCTGCTGCAGGTTTCGGATGCCTACAAACCAAAGCAGCCCTTCAGCAAGCATGTCGACGAATCAGGCACTCGCCCACGAGGCCGCTGGAGCCATGATTTCAGGCCGCTCCCGTTCGACGGCGGCTACCTGCCTGTTGCCGACGTAGCCAAAGCAATCTTGAAGACACGCTTCAGGAGCTGGTTCTCCTACGAAGTTTTTGACGGGGGCCCAGACGGTAAGGGCCGGAGCTATGACCTGCAAGAGTACGCGAAGAAGGCCATGGAGTCTCACAAGAAGCTGCTCGAGGCCTGTATTGAATAAAAGATCAGGATGGCTGTTGGTAAGTCCAGTAGTATTGCTGGTTAATGGGTGGCTTCCTGATGTAGACGGTAGCTCAGCCGAAGGCTAGCGTGAATTTGCTTTTTGCTCATGTCATGGGTAGCTGAAGCTATCGTCCGGACGGGAATGTCGAATTAAAAAGTCTACATACACGTCCGGATGATAGCTTCAACTACTCACATATGTTAATTTTTCCAAGGCATAGTTTTCTAATGCCAGGAGCAGGCGTGTTCACGCCAGGCCCTTACGGGCAGCGGCCAGAGCGCCGGGACGAGCCCAGGCGATGGCGGGTGAAGTTAAAGATTATTCCGAATTTCTCATTTGCATGCAGGGACAGAGACGGGTTCCTTGAAATTAAGTGGCATTGACCCTATTGAAAGGAAATCATTTTTGAGAACTCTGAGCTATGCCTTTCCGCAGCCACGCTACCTTTAACACCATGATACGTGATCAGACACGTTCTCACTTTACAACTGCTCAATACCGTTCACGATAGCATCGAGTTCCACGTCACTCGCTCCTTCCAGCAACTTCGTCACGGCGCCTGATCTGTTTCCAATCAGTCAATAAATATCTCCACAACGCGAGGGCAGGACAAGCACTTACAGACCAACCACCTTCCTCCTCATCATCGCCTCCTCCAGCTCTCTACTCTTGACGGCCGCTAACTCCAACACAGAACCCGGCACATTCGCCAGCCGTGCCACATTGAGACCGTAGCTGCGGTGCGCGACGCCCTCGCCGACCTCGTACAAGAAGGTGATTTCCTCCCACTTGCCGTCCGCCTCTTTGCTCTCCTCGAAACGCATGTGGACGTTCTTCAGCTCGCCTCGGTCGAAACCGTCCGCCAGCTTAGCCAGGTTCTGATAGTGCGTGATGAACAGCGTGAGCGCCTTGACGTCGCGTACCATGTAGTCCAACACGCCCTGCGCGATGGCGACGCCGTCGTGGGTGCTGGTGCCGCGGCCGAGCTCATCGAGGATGACGAGAGAGCGCGGCGATGCCTGCTTGAGGATGTCTGCCGTTTCGGACAGCTCGACCATGAAGGTCGACTCGCCTGCCATCATGTTGTCGAAAGCACCCATCCGCGTGAACACGGCATCGAGCATGCCGAGTTTGGCCGAGGCAGCGGGCACGTACGAACCGATCTGAGCCATGATGCAAATAAGAGCGACCTGGCGCACGTAGGAGGATTTGCCACCCATGTTCGGCCCGGTGACGAGCAGAGCGCGGGTGCCGTCGGTAGAGAGGGAAACGTTGTTCGGGACGTACGAGTCCAAGAGGAGCTGCTCCACCATAGGGTGCCGACCTTCGGAGACTTCAACGCAGGCGTCTTCGGAATACTCAGGCTTGACGTATCCCGGCTGATTGCTGATCTCGGCAAGCGATAGCAAGCAGTCCAGCGTCGCCAGGGACTGTACGCAGTCTCGGAAGGACTGATACTTGGTACCTATCTCAGAGAGTAGGTTCTGGAATGCCACATCGCAGGCAGCCGCCAAAGCTTCTTTGTGTTGGTCCCGCTCCCTGAGGAGTCGCATCACCTCTGGTGTATGGAAACGGGAGAGCTGTTTCGTGCCGCTGATCTTGGCCCAAGAAGCGGGCACTTTCTTGACCTCGCTGTTGCTTACCTCGATCAAAAACTCGATGCCCGCCTTTGTCACATACTCAACCTTGGACTTCTTCAGCGCCCCAGCAATCTCTTTCTTGTGCCCTTGGAGATCATGTTCGACGCTGACAATGCCAACTTTGTGATCCGTGATTTCTTCCGTTTCGTGCTCTTCTCTGAAGAAGCCGTATTTGTCATCGTCCCTAGCTGCCTGGAGGTTGAGTCTGTCCAGGTAACTGACGACGTCCTGACCGATCGTGGGCAGGCTCACGATTGCTTCTTGGAGGATCGGCGATGAGAACCCAGATTTCTCTGGGGATTGGACGTGTGCATACTCGCCAGCAATACGTTGCAGGGCTTGCAGCACAGCCAGCAGCTCTGGCCGTGTACACTTCTGATAGTAGATTCGAATCAGAGACTTCTCCAGGTCCGTCTTCACCTGGGAAAGCAAGTGCTTCAGCTTCTCCATAGCAACGACATTTTCGCCACTGCGGAGCTCCTCGACAGCGTCGATACGTTCTTCGAGTTTGGCCTTGTTAAGCAAAGGCCTTCCAACCCACTTGCGTAACAGTCGCTGGCCAAAACGGGTCCTTGTTCTGTCCATAGTCCAGAACAGACTTCCTTTCACAGCTCGATTAGTCTGATTCTGGTATATTTCCAGACTGCCCAACGTATTACCGTTGAGAAGCATGTGAGACCGGGCGCTGAATGCTTGGAAGTTCTTCGTCAAGTCGAAGACGTGTTCCAGACCGTACTCCGTCATGTGGGTGATGAGTGCTGACAGACAAATAGTGACATGCTCCGAAAGCTGATGAACTTTGTCCAAAACAGCCGCCGCGGAATCGGTATCACCCTCTCCGCTCTTCATCTTGTCGGCATAAAAGCTCGAGATATGGCTGTACGCCTGGGCAGCCATCGTCTTCGGCTTCTCCACCCATTCTACTCGTGCTTGGTCACCAAACACGTTTCTCTTCGAGCCGGACAAATGCTGGACGATCTTCTCCGTTGCGTTGGAGACGTTGCCGACAATGAGGAACTCGCAGGGTGCAATGTGCAAGAGCCGAGTCTCGATCTCGCTTCTCATGAATCCATCTTCGAAGTCGTCATAGATAACATCACCTGTCGCAGGCTGGACGGCAACGATGCCCACATGGACCTTTTCATCGGTGCTCCAGCCCTTTGCGTTGGTCTCGGTCAAGCAGAGAATATACCCAGTTGCCGGAGAGTTTGGGTTGGCGTTCGCACCGGTCCCCTGAAGGCCCTCGACGTCATCGATGTAGGTGGCTTTCGTGTACAGGTTAGTGAGCTTGCGGACGAAAGGAGCATTTCGATTATCGCCGGCTTTCTTGAGCGCGGCCGTTTCGAGCTGTCGGACCACACCGACCTTGTGGCCTGCTGCGACTAGGCGCTTGACATGCACATGTAGCCTGTGCGTCGGAAAGCTTGCACCAGCAAACCGATTCAGATGGGCTTCCGAAGGGTGCTCATCGAACCTCAGTTTGCCCGGGACACAGAGAATGCCTAGTTCCTTGGCAGCTACCCTTGCATCCTCTCCAAAGAAGCGGAATTTGTAGCCCACTTCAACTACGAGGATGGTGTCCGGATGCTTTTGTTTCAGGCTGATGATCTGCTTCTCCATAGGCGTCAACTTGGCCCCTCCCTTCTTCACCACCCCCTTGCCTTTGGCTTTCGACTTTGCCTGCGGCTCCTCGTCCTCGAGATCCTCATCCTCGCCGTCCTCACCTTCACCGGCGTCCTCGGTGACGGCACCGTGTCGCCTCTTAATCTCCGCAATGCTGTCGGGCCTGCCGAGCTTCTTGACAAACCTTTGGTGCAGCTTCTCCTTCATCCTCCTTGTCTCTTCCGTGTCCGGCTCCTGGTTCTCCGTCTGGACGGGTGAGCTCGAGAAGATGAATCTGGACGTCCTGTCGGCCCCCTTGAAACTGCGTGAGCCATTGAGGCCGGCCTCGCTCACGCTACCCAGCGATTGGCGCTCTTCCGGTGAAGGTTCGCGCGCATCATGGTCAGGCGCGTAGTCGTCGTCGTCTTCGTCGTGGACGGTTCTGCGGGCTCTCTTTGCCGCCGGGCGAGTTACAACGCCATCTCCATCGCTGGCTTGTGCACGCTTCAAGGCGTTGGAGAAGCTGCGTCGAGGCGCTGCGGCGTCGTCATCTCCATCGTCGGACCTTTGGCGAGCTGCCTCACGCTGAATGGCCGGTGATGGTGACGATTTTGGCTCTGCGGGCGGCTTCGGGGTCGACGAAGGTTTTTTGGAGAAGAAGCTCGAAATTGTGGCTTGCTTCTTGTTCTGTGACGCAGAGAACGGAGAACTCGACGGAGCCATTGCGGGCGGCGTTGCGGATGCGGGTGTGGTGCTGCGACGGCGGAGTTCTGGGGGAGACGCGCAGGGACGCGCTCTGACGCGCTAGGTAGCAAACCTCACTTCTGGCCCGTGCGTCGGCGGCAACCACGACTACCGGTCGGCTGGCCAAAAAGGCACAATTCACAATCTAGCAACTAGATCATCACTAAACATATAAATGCATGTCTGACTGACTAGCCAGCTAGCCGCCACGTCGCGCATGTCGCTGCGCTGGCTACTACTAGCCATACGTAATACGGGGTCGTAACAAGCCTCACGATAGCTAGTATAAAAACGCCGTTTAGCGTTGTATCGCACTATATCAATTGTTGTATAGTAGCGGTTGTACTTCCTTACTCCCTTATTTCGAAAATTTAACTCCCCCCTTTCGAGAAACCAATGCCCCCCAAATATAGAATTTAACACCCTGAACAGATAGCATTAAGGGAATATCATCTATTAAGCATAAAGATAATAGTATATAATTATCTAAGACCGTTACTCGTTATCCTCTACTAAAGATCTCTATCAAACAAAAAACTAGAACAGGCATTAGATTTCAGAGTAAACTGCGCCAGTAAGAGAAATAAAAGAAACTCCAAACTCCTAATAAACGTCCGCTCGCAGAAGGCTCAAGCCAGGAACAGTTTAGCCAAAAGCCTATCGAAGAAGACTGACATGTCCTTCGAATCTCCTTCTTGCCGTGCAAGGCTGCCCATCGTTTCTGGCATCCCCCAAGCTTTCCTCCTTACTCCCCCTGTTGCCATCTTCATTCCCATCACTTTGAGTGCATACCCTTCCAAGCCCTTCCGCTGGACCATATACGCTCTTGCGTTCCGCAGCGAAGCCTTCAACGAAGTTACGAACCATGCGGACACGGAGTCCTGCTCAGACTGCTGCCTTCTGCGTTTCGGGAACGCCGACACCGGGTCCAGCCCCTGCAGTCGCGTGCAATGACACCCACGAAAACATACGCGGTAAAATGAGATGAGGCGGTCCACAGACTCCTCATTGATGGTCGACAGTGAAGATGCAGGCTCGCAATCATCGCTACAGTCATTAAGAGACGTTGATGAAGCCGAAAGGCCTGAAGATACGAGGTAGGCTGGCTTCTCCGGACCGTAAACAACTGGATTGGGTCTCGTTGGAATGACCACCCCAGTGGTGCTGCTGCTGTTGTTGTTACGTTCTGGGTTCGAGGCGTCGAACTGTACGTGGTAGGGCTCTTTTGCAGCGTGGTACTGAACGCTCTCAACAGCCATACAGAGAGTCGCCAGCGTTGCAAGCACAACCGGCCAGTCGGTGCAGCGCCGGGCGAGGCAAATGCTCTCCAGACGGTTCAGTGATTCGCGGAGGAGGTCCTGGGCGAGATGCGGAATAACAGCGCCTAGTTGACCCCGAATGAAGCATGGCGTCATGGTTCGAACGTCCCCGGCATCACGGGAGAAAGTGAAGAAGAGCGGCACGAAAGGGTCCAGCCTCGTGTTGTCGCTAATATGAACCAATACCAAGAGTTTAAGAGCGGTGCGGAGAAGATGCCGGTGTGTTATCTGGAGAATGGGTGAATGGGCGATTCATGGAAACTCAAGTGCGGCATGGGGGAACACGTACGTCTGCGAGATCTCGATAGAATATGTAGACATGCTTGAGGACTTCAAGCGGTGAGTTGAACAGCGGAAACTCGCGAAAATGCTGCTCCTCGTTGACCAGCTTCGATAGGTGTTCATCCAGTTCGTGACGGAGATTAGATGTGTCTGCAAGGACAGCAGGGAGAACCCTATGGTAGTCCTGACGCGGGCGGCTGCTCAACGCAGTCTGATTGGCGCCGGACGGCCACTCGTAAACGACGTGGCTGTGAAACAGCTGGCTGGGTTGTTCCGGAATGACCCTGCGGACTTCTCGAAGCAACGGAGGACCGAATCCGAGCACGATATTGACAAATGAAACATTGGACTCGATTTTGTATGACTCAGGGCCGAAGTAGGTGTCAAGTGTTCGTTCCATAGGACACCATCCCAGTTCATCTGTTGTTTCGGGCAAACTGTCAGCATCTCACACTTACGGGCGATGATCTGGCCACTCGGCTTAGTGTCGCGCTTGGGCAAGTGTGACCAGTAGGAAGCCAATAAGGTGAGTTGTGATCTTTGCCAGTTCCAATTCACACGGAGGAAGTGTGGAGGGACGTCAAAAGCTCCCCACTGTCTCTTGTCCTTATCTCTGGCCCCGCAGTCGTGCACTTTGGAGACGATGATGAACCAATAGACCCACCGGAGAGCATGGAGGATGCCAGATCCTCCAGAGTCTTGCCACGGCAAGGCTGCCGCACGAGGTCGGACCGGAAGTGCTCAATACATGCTTTGCACGGGATTCCAGGGTCGCACTGTCAGAAGGTATGACGCGTCAGGGATGGTTCCAGAAATCCAAAAGAAAAGCACAAAAAAGCGGACCCCACGCCTCGTGCCGTCTAGAGAGAGAGAGTCATGTATCTCACCTTTTCTTTCCGTTGCCTGCAGCTTTCGCATGCTTTGACGCGGCGCATGAGAGCCGCGTCCTTCTTCTGAGCGGGCGTAAGGGGGTTTTTCCGGCCTCTCGGTTTCTTTCCGTTCAGCGGATGCTCGGCCCCGTGGATGAGGAGCTGGCCTGGCTCTCCGCTAGGGCGGAAGTGGATGAAGCTGAGCGGGTTCTTCGCAGTGTTGGACCCAATGCTCGAGGGAGCACTGCGCTTAGACTGATCGACGGTCAGGCGTCTCGCTCTGTGTGTGTGCGCTGGCCGGGAAGACTGCGGCGGAGGCTTCCAGCTGGAAACCTGCGGTTGAAGGGGAATCGGCAGGGCATGCTGCTGAGGCGGGGCCAGGTTCTCGTTCTGCTTGTGAGCGGTATACAGCACGTCGAAGCCTCGGTCAGAGTTGAAGGATGATCCGGTGTAAGCCAGGCTCGGCTCGGAGCAGAACGAGTATTCCGAGAAAGCCTGGCGGCTGGATTGAGGAATGGGAATGCTGCCGACGGAGCTGTTGGAGGAAGACTCGCAGGACGCGATGTCGACGGGCGTGGTGCTCAGCAAGAGAGGGTTGAAAGGCTCCGAATCAACAGTGTTGCAGGAAGCCACGAGGTCGTCTGGGAGCAGATCCAGACTGTCCCATTCGCGCAGGCCCTGGGTGAGGGCGGACAGGCCAGCGGATGCAGGCATACTGGGGCACGGCTGCAAGTGGACCGAAGGTGAGGTGGGAGAGGCATCGTGAAGGAGGCTGAAGCCGGGGACAGTAGGCGACATTAGGTCGGGCTGGTCGCCAAACTGGTTGCCCATGCCGAGCAGGCCATCGAGGTGGCTGTTCCAGTCAGGCTGGTCGTCGGCGGCGAAGTCAGGTTGGAACATCTAAAGGGCCAGCCTTCGCTGATCGTCAGCTGCTGCGGGTGGCAGGACACAGTTGGACGTACAGGCAATGGTTTCACAGTCGGTGCTTGGAAGAGTGGCTTCAGGCGCCAAATTAGAGGAAGGCCGCGAAGCCGCACATTGATATAGGCACCCGTGGTGCGGCTCTGACGGTTGCCTGCTCGGCGGCCTCCGCGCAACGTCGTGCCAGTCGGCGGGCACGAGCTTATCACGTTGCAGGCCGTGGCCAGTGAAGTCGGCGGATCGCAACAGCCTCGTCGCACCAGATCGGCTTTCCCGCCTCCCCGCGCGCTCACCGGTCGAGGCGTGCAGGGCGAGCGGCCGCCGGCCTCAGATACGCACATGCAAGGCGGATTTGCTGATGGAAGCTCGCTAGAACGCGCGTGGAAACCGCCATCCTTCCCCGCACTCCCGACACAGCCCGCCTGACCTCGACGCATCCGGCCTCCACGCCATGATCGTTCGCAATCGCTCGCCGTACGTGGGCAGTTGAAGCTATCGTCTGGACGTGGATGTTGAATTATTAAATACACATCTACGTCTGGATAGTAGCTTCAACTACCCACGTACGCGGAGCTTAGTTGCTGATTAGTTACCACCATTCGCATCAACTATGCGTCCACTTGCCATCCGTCGCCCACGAACCCCGGGAGCGCAGCCTTGCCAAACCCGCTGCGCCCCACGTCATGCAGCTCCGATAACGCATCCCGCCCCACAACCCGTGCGCTTGAGCCGCTGCCCAGCTCTCGAAGCGGAAGCATCTCCTCGCGTGCCGATGCGAACATTCCCCCAGAGCTTGCTTCACATGCTTCGGCTACAGCTGGCTTAGAGCTGTGCATCTGGTCCCGGAGGATTTGGATTTGTTTCTTGATGACACGCCAGAGCTCGTATCTCTCCAGCGGCGAGCCCGCGCCCTCGTCCTCGGAATCCGATGACTCGCCGTCTTCTCCCGAGTGCGCCAGCTGCAGCAGCGTTGCTACAAACGCTTCCTGCAGGTACGCGAACGAGAAGTCGTCCGTGATGTCGGCAATCGCCGGGCAAAGCTTCTCGGGGAAGTCGATCGTCTTCTTGCTCTTGAGCTTGTCCCGCCAGTACTGGCAGTAGAGGACCCGCTCATCCTGCCCGCAACATCAGCAACGCCATGCCTGCTTTCTCGGCGGCAAACCTACCCTCGACGGCAGCGGAAAGAGGTATTTGCGGTCGAACCGGCTCGGCCGCTTGGTGAGACCGGGATCGAGTTTGTCCACTGGTCGGGTTAGAGAGTCGGCGTGCATCCGAGGTGCTTGGGCTTACGGTGGTTGGTGCTGGCAATCATGAGAATGCCGTCGTTCGAGGCGAGCCCGTCGACTTCGTTGAAGAAGTAGCTTCGGCTCTGTTCCGTGACGATCGTGTCAATGTCCTCGAGAACGAGAAGGCACGGGCTCGTCTGTCTCGCCAGGCGGAAAACGTCGCCGAGCATCCACGTGTACGGAGCGCTCTTGACGTACAGCGTTGGAACCGACGGATTGCGCTCGGAAAGCTCATGCATCATGGCTTTGATCGAAATCGTCTTGCCGTTGCCCGCAGGGCCGTAGAAAATCAAGCCTCGCTACGCAACATTAGCACACAAACAGCCGTGGGCGCCGTGTCATTACCTTCCATGGGACGCCGTAGTCCTCATATACACCCCGGTTGTCAAAGAATTTCCTGGATACGTCTCGGAGCGACTTCTTCATCTTTGGGTCCAAGATGACCTTGTCCCAGCTCGCTTTCTGAACCTGCTTCCACAGCTCCGAGCTCCTGGTCCAGTACCCATCGTAGACGTAGATCGCCTTGGACTGGGACATCCAAGTACCAATCGTCCTGAGCAGTGCGTCGACGACGGACGAGGGCGACGAAGGAGTCTCGCCGCCCACGGGCTCCTTCAAGACGTATTGGAGGTTCGAGTATCCGATGGTGACGACGTACAGGATAAAGTCCTCATTTCCCCATCGGTAGTGGTACTTGGCGAAAAAGTTGGCCTGTGCGATCGAGACTGACGACGACGGACCGCCGCTGCTGACCCCCCGCCACTGAATAACAGGCTCGGACTCCCTGTCTAGCTCCGCCGTGGCGTGGCCAGCGGCTGCGAACTGGAGCAGCGGGCAGTTTTCCGCAGGGATGGTGGTGACGATCAACTGCGGATGCTGTGCACGCAAGGCCGAAACAAGCTGGACGTCCAAGTCGACCGTCTTGCGAGCCGTCTGCGAGTGGTATTCATCAAACAGCCGCTCGCCACCGGACTGGGAGATGATGGAGAAAGAATCGTCGCCCGCCATGTTCGATGGCGACGGGAGATGGCGTTGGAAGATGGACGAGCCCCCACCTTCTGTTCTGGGAAGCTGGTAATCGGACAGCAGCACAGCGGGCAACGGACAACGGACACCTCTCTTATACGTGTTGGCACCTCGTCCCACATCCGCTCTAGGCAGACACTTGCGGATTCGCGTGATTGGCAGCGTGGGCTGAGACCAACACACGCTGGTCGGTGGATCTGCAGCTGAAACGCGGGGCGCAGCGCTTCTTGCACATGGTATTTTTGGGCAAGCTGGTGGCCTGCTTGTTCGCGCGCCGTTCTTGCGCGGAGCGTTGATTTGTTTTCGCTCATGCTTTTATTCTTCGCGCTAGCCGACCCCGCGAGCGCATGCGGTTGCCTACGTAACCACGGTGAGAGCAGATGTGGGGTGCCACAGTCGCGTCAAAGCATGCTGCACGTGAGACTGGCCAAGGCAGCATTCTTCCATAGGGCCGAGGGGCCGGCTGTTTGGATAGAGATGAGCTTGTAATTGCCGGCCACAGCACTTGTGCAGATGACGGGCAGCATGGTGTAGCAGTGCATGTGTCGCCCGCCGCGAGCGGTAGGCTGTGACGTTCCCGCCAACGGGAGCAGCGCCGCCCGACGTCGGAGCAACTCAACGGCCAATCGGTGCCGCGTCACAGCACGTCTGGGGGCGCGGGGGCGGTTCAGCCTCTCGAGGCTCTCTGGCGATCTGAGCCAGGGTGTAGGCGCTACGGCTGCTTGGGGGCAAGCCGAGGGGAGAAGGCCGAAGGCGGGGCGCGGGCAGCCAATGGCAGGGCGCCCAAAGCGGGCCACTTCAGCACTTTCGGGGCCCCTGTGCAGCCGTGCTGATACGTGCACGTAATTGTAGCCGCTAAGCGCAGGACGACGCGAGCGTGAGCCTTAGGTCTCGAGCTGGAGCAAGCTCAACACCGTGTGTTTCCCCTATGCGCAGTTATAGACGGGCGCCCCGGGTAGTCACGGCACCAGCCAGTTTCTGGTTTTTTTCCTCTGACACGGTGAGCCCGACGCTTAAAAGGGGGCCCTCCCGCCTTTTCTCCCGGCTTCCCACCTTTCTCTATCGCATATCAGCCCCCCTCCGCTGCATCCCAGCTTTCTTTTCTTCGCCCCGCCCATCGCATTGCTCCCGACCACCATGGCCCCCTCCGCAGTCTCTGCCACCAACGGCACTGCTAGCACTTTCGGCGTGCACGCCGCCTCCTCTTCGGCCGCAATCCATGCCGAGCATGAGCATGCTGCCCACAACTACCACCCGCTGCCCGTCGTTTTCTCCAAGGCATCGGGCGTTTCGGTATGGGATCCCGAGGGAAAGTGAGTCGCATCTCCGGCCTTCGAGAAAGCCGTCGCTGATCCAGCCCAGGCACTACCTGGACTTTCTGTCCGCATACAGCGCAGTGAATCAAGGCCACTGCCACCCCGAGCTTGTCAAGGCTCTCACCGAGCAGGCCTCGCGGCTCACTCTGAGCAGCCGTGCCTTCTACAACGATGTGTTCCCGCGCTTCGCTGAGTACATCACCAAGACGCTTGGCTTCGACATGGTCCTGCCCATGAACACGGGTGCCGAAGCCGTCGAGACTGCCGTCAAGGTCGCACGCAAGTGGGGCTACAAGGTCAAGGGGATCCCCGAGAACGAGGCCCTCGTCTTCAGCGTGCAGGAGAACTTCCACGGACGCACTGTAAGTCTCTCAACGTGCTAAGAGTAGGACGCGGAGATTGATCGGATGCTACAGTTTGCGGCCATCACCATGTCGACTGACCCGGAGTCGCGTGAGAACTACGGTCCCTACCTGCCTGGAATTGGCAGCTGGGACCCGGTCAGCAAGGCTCCCATCCGCTACAACAATGTCGACGATGTCCGCAAGGTGCTGGAGGCCCACGGCAAGAACACGGCTGCCTTCCTCGTCGAGCCGATTCAGGGTGAAGCGGGTATCGTGGTGCCCGACGACAGCTACCTCCGCGAAGTCAAGGCGCTGTGCGAGAAGCACAATGTGTTGTTGATCTGCGACGAGATCCAGACCGGTATCGCCCGCACTGGTCGCATGCTCTGCCACGAGTGGAGCGGCATCAAGCCCGACCTTGTTCTCCTCGGTAAGGCCATCTCGGGCGGTATGTACCCGGTGTCGTGCGTCTTGGGCTCGAAGGAGGTCATGCTCACCATCGAGCCCGGCACGCACGGCTCGACCTACGGCGGCAACCCTCTGGGCTCCGCCGTGGCCATCAGGGCTCTGGAAATCATTCAGGAGGAGAACATGGTCGAACGCGCCGAGAAGCTGGGCAACATCTTCCGCGAGGGCCTGAAGAATCTCAACAGCCCGATGATCAGCCTCGTTCGGGGCAAGGGTCTGCTCAATGCCATCGTCATTGACGAGAGCAAGACGAACGGGCACAGCGCGTGGGACCTGTGCATGCTGTTCAAGGAGAAGGGTCTTTTGGTAAGTGGCAGAATCCGCCTAGAAAAGCATGTGCTGACACGAAGCAGGCCAAGCCCACTCACCAGAACATCATCCGTCTCGCGCCGCCATTGGTCATCACGGAGGAGCAGATTCAGCAGGCCCTGAACATCATCCGCGAGGCAATTGATGAGCTGCCGCAGCTGAAGGGAGAGAAGGAGGAGCGGGTCCTTCCTCCGGGTGAGAAAAATGTGCACATTGGCGTGGACAACTAGACGGGCAGGATTGGAATCTCTTTCCACGCTCTGGACGACTTGATGTTTCTGATACCCTGCATACACCATGAATAGGCGCGGTTGGTAGCTCCTCACATTAGACGGCTGGCTCACCGAAGGATGGCAGAATAGTGAATGACATGCTTGAAATCATTTTGAGTAGTGAGTGCTGGTCTTGATCTTGTGCGGAGGCGTGTCGGACAAGTTGACTATCAGGCTTGACGTGCGTGCGGCTGCGTTACAGAGGGGTATTGCACCCAAAGGTTAGCGTTAATTTGTGACGAATGACCAGCAGGTAGCGTAGAATATATACGACCAGATGACTAATCACCAGCACACAGCAAACGGAGTGGTTCATGGAAGAATCCGGCCGATGCTACATCAATTTGTTTTTCGATCATGTCATGGGTAGTTGAAGCTATCGTCCGGACGTGTTTGTACAATTTTTAATTCGACATTCTCGTCCGGACGATAGCTTCAACTGCCCACGTATTGTTTTACTTTTTCTGTTTCTTTTTCTTTTAAAAAAAGAAGCGCTGAGGCATGGTTACCCCAGCCTTCGGCTGCGATACCCCTCTGTATGTGCGGCTACGTGGTGGTGCTTGTCCTTGGCGAGGCTTCGGGGACCGGTCAGCCGTTCGAAAGCTGCCGGCCAGACAGCAAGCGCACAGACGAGTCTTCCTCGACGCAGGACGCCATCTATTTTCGTATCCTCTTAGCACGTATTCGCGGACAAGGCGCGGATGCAAGGCCGGGTGCAGCCTTCTTTGTTCCTTTCTTTCCTCCTTCACAATCCTCGTGGAGACGGTTAGGCAGGCAGGCTAGCTCCTTCCGTGCAGCGGATTCGGGGATTCGCAGGGCTCGGACGGGAAGGTGGGCATGTGGGGAATAGTGGATTGATAAGCGCAATCGCTCCGTCGGCGGGCGAGAGGCCGATGCAGGACACACGGGCTGCAGCCTGAGTCTTGAGGTCAGGACTCGCAGCCCGCTGACCAATGACTGTTGGTTTGTATAACGGCGTCATGGACGAAATATCCGGCCGGCGTTAGGCGTAGCTCCATGCGCTCGAGTCCTCGCATCTCCACACATAATGCCGCCTGCCGCCCACGCTGCCGTCATGGTTTCTCCTTTTGCTCGACCTCACTCTTGCGTCCCCGTCACCACCTGAAGAGAAATGGGCGCGGCCACGGACCGCCCTGCTGCCACGCTTAACTCCGGGCCCGTCGCCACCGCAGACGAGAAGGTCCCTCCGCCCGGCATCGAGAAGAGCGCCAGCTACAGCTCCAACACGTCGGCGGCCAGCGACGACGATGTGGACGCGAAGAGCTCGTCGGCGCCGCACGACGGCTGGCTCGACAGGGCGAATCCGCTGAAGAGGAGAAACAAGCCCCCTGTGCCCACCGAGCGTGACGTCTCGCGAGAATATGGCGCCGGCTTCTTCAGTCTGCTCACCTTCCAATGGATGGCCCCGCTCATGTCGGTAAGTTGCGACGCCCTTTTCTCTGCAATTCGGCAGGGCCTGACCCGTTTGCGCTGCAGGTTGGCTACCAGAGAACCCTCGAGCTGAACGACATCTGGCTGGTGAACCCCAGCCGCAGCGCTGATGTGCTGTCGGCCAAGCTCGTCGAGTCATTCGACCGCCGGCGAGCTCGTGGCGACCCGCGCCCGCTAGCCGGCGCCCTGTACGAGACCTTCAAGTTCGAATTCTGGCTCGGCGGCGTCTGCCAGTTGGTCTCCAGCATCGTCCAGGTCCTCTCGCCCTTTACCCTACGCTATCTGATCAGCTTCGCCACCGAGGCCTACTTCGCCCAGCAAGCAGGAAATGCTGCGCCCTCGATCGGCCGCGGGCTTGGCCTCGTGTTCGGCATCACGGGTATGCAAATCCTCCAAAGCTTGTGCACCAACCACTTCTTGTATCGAGGAATGATGGTTGGCGGCGAAGCCAGGGCTGCCCTGATCTCGGTTATTTTTGACAAGGCCCTGCGCATCTCTGGCAGGGCAAAGGCCGGCGGCAAAGCTCTGGATGTCGCTCCGCCCGCCCACATCCAGCCCGGCTCCGAGGCTGAGCGAAGGTGGTACGAGAAGATGCTCGGCCGGAAGAAGCAGCCTGCCAAGGGCGGCCCGGCCAAAGGCGTTCCGGTCAAGGGCGTTGCTGGCGACGGAACTGGCTGGGGCAACGGCCGCATCATCAACCTGATGTCTGTCGACACCTACCGCGTCGACCAGGCCTCCGCATTCTTTCACATGATCTGGACTTCTCCGATCTCCATCCTCATCACTCTGGCGCTTCTTCTGTACAATCTGACCTACAGCGCGCTTGCTGGTTTTGGCCTCTTGGTCATCACCTTCCCGCTCCTCGGCAAGGCCATAAAGAGCCTGTTCAAGCGCAGAGTCCGCATCAACAAGATCACCGATCAGAGGGTGAGCCTGACTCAGGAGATTCTCTCGTCCGTGCGTTTTGTCAAGTACTTTGGCTGGGAAACGTCTTTCCTCGAGCGCATCGACGCCATCAGGAACAGGGAAATCCGCATGATCCAGAAAGTCTTGGCCATTCGCAATGGCATCAATGCTGTCGGCATGTCGATGCCTGTCTTCGCCTCTATGCTGTCCTTCATCACCTATTCGCTGTCGAACCACATGCTCGACCCGGCCCCCATCTTCTCTTCTTTGGCCCTCTTCAACTCACTCCGTCTGCCTCTCAACTTGCTGCCGCTGGTCCTGGGTCAGACCATCGATGCCTATTCTTCCATCAAGCGGATCCAAGAATTTCTTCTTGCCGAGGAGGCCGACGAGGACATCCGATGGAAGGACGACATGAAGGATGCCATTCTCGTCAAGGATGCCGATTTCACCTGGGAGCGCTCGCCTTCTCAAGATCCGGATCAGATCCCAGGCAGAGGCCCCAGGAGCCAGAAGCAGATCAAGCAGGAGAAGAAGGAGGCCAAGGCTGCGGAGAAGAAGGCCGCAAAGGAGGCCCGGAGGAGCGGCGATGCGCACGATCCCTCAGACCCGAGCGGGCCAAGCACGCCTGAAGAGAAGGAACCCTTCAAGCTTCGAGATTTGAATTTCTCAGTGGCTCGCAACGAGCTCATCGCCGTCATCGGAACCGTAGGATCGGGGAAGAGCTCACTTCTCGGCGCTCTGGCTGGAGACATGCGCCGGACTTCCGGAGAGCTCATGCTTGGTTCGACTCGGGCCTTTTGCCCGCAATACGCCTGGATCCAGAACGCCACCGTCAGGGAAAACATCATCTTCGGGAGGGAGTTCGACCAAGAGTGGTACGACCGGGTCGTTGATGCTTGCGCGCTGCGGGCTGATTTTGATATGCTGCCCAACGGAGATCAGACCGAAATCGGTGAGCGGGGAATTACTGTGTCCGGCGGCCAGAAGCAGAGGATCAACATCGCGCGTGCGATTTACTTCAATGCGGACATCATTCTCATGGATGACCCTTTGTCGGCTGTCGATGCGCACGTCGGCCGCCATATCATGGACAACGCCATCTGCGGCCTGCTGGAAAACAAATGCAGGGTCCTGGCTACTCATCAGTTGCACGTCCTTCACCGCTGTGACCGCATCATGTTGATGCACGACGGTCGCATCTCTGCAGTCGGTACCTTTGACTCTCTGAAGGCAAGCAACGAAGATTTCCAAAAGCTCATGGCATCGACGGCTGTGGAAGACGACGAAAAGAAGAAAGAGGAGCCCGACGACGAAGACGAGATCGAAGAAGAAAAGAAGGACGTGAAAAAGAAGGCGCCCAAAAAGCCTGCTCAAGGGCTCATGCAAGCTGAAGAGAGGGCGGTTAAAAGCGTGTCCTGGAGCGTCTATTCGGCATACATCAAGGCGTCTGGCTCTATCCTCATTGCTCCGTTGGTCCTCTGTCTCTTGATCATGTCGCAGGGCGCCAATATCGTTACAAGCTTGTGGCTTTCGTGGTGGACGTCGAACAAGTTCGGGTATTCGGAAGGCATTTACGTAAGTCTGTTGGACGCATAGGATGCGGGATCTTACTGACCACTTTCCAGATTGGTGTTTACGCCGCTTTGGGCTTTACGCAGGCGCTGCTGATGTTCATCTTTTCCGTTGCTCTGTCTGTGTTTGGCACCAAAGGCTCCAAGGTCATGCTGCATCAAGCCATTACCAGAGTCCTCAGAGCACCCATGTCGTTCTTCGACACCACCCCCCTCGGCCGGATCACGAACCGTTTTTCCAAGGACATCGACACCATGGACAATACTCTCACGGACTCTATGCGCATGTTTCTCCTCACAATGGCCATGATTATTTCCGTCTTCGCCCTCATCATCGCGTACTTCCATTATTTTGCCATCGCCCTCGGCCCGCTGTTTCTCCTCTTCATTTTCTCTGCTAGCTATTACCGAGCCTCTGCCCGGGAGATCAAGCGTCACGAATCTGTGCTGCGTAGTACCGTTTTCTCACGCTTCACCGAGGCCGTCTCGGGTGTTGCTACGGTAAGGGCCTACGGCCTCCAGTCGAGATTCTCCAAGTCAATAAGGGAGGCCGTTGACGACATGGATTCGGCTTACTACTTGACCTTTTCCAACCAGCGCTGGCTTAGCACACGTCTTGATGCCATTGGCAATATGCTCGTCTTCGTTACCGGTATCCTGGTTGTGACGCAGCGCTTCGATGTCAGCCCGAGCATCGCTGGTCTCGTTCTATCGTACATTTTGTCCATTGTCCAGATGATCCAGTTCACGGTGCGGCAGCTTGCTGAAGTCGAGAACAACATGAACTCGACCGAGCGCATATACCACTACGGCACACAGCTGGAGCAGGAGCCTCCCCTCCACCTGAGCCCCGTCGCACCCACCTGGCCCGAACGTGGCGAGATTGTCTTTGACAACGTACACATGCGGTACCGTGACGGCCTTCCGCTCGTCCTCCGCGGTCTCAACATGCACGTACTTCCTGGCGAGCGCATCGGCGTCGTCGGTCGCACCGGAGCCGGCAAGTCATCTATCATGAGCACTCTCTTCCGCTTAGTCGAGTTGTCGGGCGGATCCATCACTATTGATGGCGTCAACATCAGCACGATCGGTCTCAAGGACCTGCGCTCCCGCCTTGCCATCATCCCGCAGGACCCTACTCTCTTCCGCGGTACGATACGTACCAACCTCGACCCTTTCAACGAGCACACAGACCTTGAGCTGTGGGGCGCGCTGCGCCAGGCCGACCTGGTAGGCGCGGAGGCGAAGATGGAGGACAAGACGCAGCGGATCCACCTCGACAGCACCGTGGACGAGGAGGGACTGAACTTTTCGCTGGGCCAGCGGCAGCTGATGGCGCTGGCACGGGCGCTGGTGCGCGGGGCGCAGATTATCGTGTGCGACGAGGCGACGTCGTCGGTTGATATGGAGACGGATGCGAAGATCCAGCGCACTATCGTCGAGGGCTTCCGCGGTAAGACGCTGTTGTGCATCGCCCACCGCCTGCGCACTATTATCGGCTATGACCGCATCTGCGTCATGGACCAGGGCCAGATTGCGGAGCTCGACAGCCCGTTGAGGCTCTGGGAGAAGGACGGCGGCATCTTCAGGGGCATGTGTGAAAGGAGCGGCATCAGGAAGGAAGACATCGTCGAGGCGGCGGTGGAGAGTGGTGTGTTGAAGGAGTGAACCGGGGAGACCCAGCATGAACTGACGAATACATGAATGCACGATGGCTCCGACTTCTGGCCCCTTTCGTTTATCATTCATAGCATAGATTGGAAGGTAGTTGGGGGGCGTTGGGTTTGCGCTACAGTGCCGGTACACATGCATATGCATCCATTCATAACTTTCTCGTGGCCGATGAAAGAAACCATGCCATTCCTCATTTCTCTGGAACATTGTTGCCTGTCTGAAACCTGGATTTCTGAGGTCTACAGAGTGGTATTGCAGCCGAAGACCATCGTTTCATTATTCGCCCATGCCGGGGGTAGTTGAAGCTATCGTCCGGACGAAAATGTCGAATTAAAAATTATACATTCACGTCCGGACGATAGCTTCAGCTACCCATATATATTATTTTTATAAGGTAGAGCGGGGTTGTAGTTGCTGGTAATAAATTATATAATAGACATGGAGCAGAAAGCATACCATAATATAGGAAGGACATCATCCCTTACAAAGTAGATTACTTCCTACAGTCCCCTTATATAGCTGATAGCTAGCGTGGATTTATTTTTCACTTATATTATTAGTAGTTAAAGCTATCGTCCGGACGAGAACGTCGAATTTTTAATTCTATATACACGTCTGGACGATAGCTTTAGCTACCCATGTATGTTATTTTTATAAAGCAGAGCTGGGGCATAGTTACGCTGCATTCTAAAGCCTTGCTATTCTTCGTGTTAGCCATCGGCTGCGAAAGGGGACTGTATGCAGGGAAGACCTCCGGCTTGAAACACTAAAAATCCCCTATCTATTCTCATATGTAATGTGTTCGTAAACCGGGTATAAATACACTAACGCCGTACACGCTCTCTCTTTTCACAAGCTCTCGACTCTTAAATTTCCTTTGCGGACCTAGAGCCTGGTTTCTAAGAAGTCGGCTCCGCTTCAGCATCAGGCTTCACGGGGGTTCTGAGGATGGCCGGTGTGCTGCCCCCGGGTTTGCGATAGACTGCTTGCATCCAGCACCTGTACATCTTGAGCCTGCGTTGGCGGTTGACGAGCATGCGGCGGTCCACGCCGATCGACTCAATGTCGAAAGTGGGGACTTCTTCGAGGGCCGGCGCCTTCTCGTCAAGCCCTAACCTCTCCATCTGCTCGGCGGCGTCTCCACCATTGGGCTCCTTTTCTGCGAAGAGCGTCTTGAGGTTGCCACCCCAGATCTTCTCCAGTTCCTCCTTCTCGAAGAAATACACCCTCGTGCCATCTCCGCGCACGTAAAAGTTTTCGTCCAAGTACCTGCCCTTCTTGAAGCGCACCTGCGCCAAGTCGCCGCGGCCGTAGTCGCGGAAGAGCACGTATCCGCCGGGCTTGAGCACACGGTAGATGTTCCGCACAGCTTGGGCCCACTGCGAAGGAGCCAGGGCGGAAAAGATGAAGACCATGAGCACCACGTCAACAGTGCCTTCCTGTATGCCCGGGGGCAAGCTCTGGTCTCCTTCGCCGGCCACGTCCCACACGTCGGCCTGGATCTTCACGCCATTGTCGTAGGCTTCATTCCTCCTCATGACGTCGACGGCAGTTTTGGAAAAATCGCAGGCGTGAATCTTGAAGTTGGGGTTCTCGTTGAGCTTCAGGATGGGGAAGGCCGTGTTTCCCGCACCCGCGCCGGTTTCCAGCATGAGCGTTGGCGGGCTTTCCTTTCTCGTCAAGGCTTCCAGCACGGGGAACTCCTGGAACAGCCACTTCCGGTTCTTGAAGAAGTTGCTCTGGTTGTTCTTGTAAAACAGGTTCCACCACTTGGCCGGATCGCCGTTGAAGCGCTGCTTGTCAAAGTCGGAGACGGGGTTCTCGCGCTGTTGCGAGTACTGGCACTCGGCGAACTCTCTGTAGGCGTCGTCGACCTCGACGTGGTCCCAGGCGTTGAACTCGAAGATGTTATCGCCCTCTTCCAGGTAGCGCGAGCCAAACTGGAAGGGGTCGCTGCGCTTCTGGTTGTTGGACGGGTCGTGCGAGCGCGACGAGGCGGGCTTGCGGACGGGCTCGATGACCGAGTTCGGCACGCCGTAGGTCGAGGGCTGCTGCTCGACGGCCGGATCAACGGTCACGGCGTAGCGGATGTGCTCCATGCCCTTGGAGAGCTGGCTCTTCGGGGTTTTCTTGCTCGAGCGCGCACCCGCAGCGGGGGGAGAAGGAGAGGGGCTGGGCTGTTCGGTCATGTTGGCGGTGCTGCAGGTGGATGGAAGAGTCGAGACGGCGGAAAATACCTACGTCGAACCTTTATCGATAAGCCGTCGACGCTAGCGTCCAGGGTCCCAAGTGACAAACTGCCGACACCCATTGGACCGTCGTGACGCATGTTGGTACATGATGGGGAGCACCAGCTAAAACAATAGAGCCATTGTAACGCCTCCTCCAGACCGATCGCATGCTCTACAACCTCAGCGCCCACCCACTTCCACCACCATGAAGGCGCTCCGCATCGCAGCGCCTGCGCGCGCCACCACTCTCTTCCGGGCCCCTCGCAGCGTGCAGCAGACCAGGTCATTCTTCCCGATCCCCTTTCCCGGGCTCGGCAGCTCTGCCTCCGCTGGCTCCGGCGCTTCGTCTACCCTCACGGCGACGCGCACGCTGCCCTACCCGAGCGCTGCCATCTACAACATCATCGCCGACGTGTCGGCGTACCAGACCTTCCTTCCCTACTGCCAGCGCTCCGACGTGACCAAATGGTCACGCCCGGACGCCGCCTCCGGCACGCGCTGGCCCGCCGAAGCCACGCTGGCCGTCGGCTGGGGCGGCATCAGCGAGTCCTTCGCCTCCAAGATCTACTGCGTGCCCGGCGAGATCGTCGAGGCCGTGGGCGGCCGCTCGCGCACCCGCCTGCTGCCCGACCAGATCGCCCACCACGACGTGCCCGCCGAGAACGAGGCCACGGACGGCCAGGGCGGCATCCTCACCCACCTGCTCACCCGCTGGACCGTGACCCCTCTGCCCTACCACCCGCCGCGGGCCGCCGCCAATCCCACCGATCCGCCAAAGTCCGCGTCCGGCCAGGCTGCGAAGCAAACGCAGGTGTCGCTCGCCATCGAGTTTGCCTTTGCCAATCCCATATACAGCTCGATGATGACGACGGTGACGCCAATGGTGGCTAACGTTATGATCGAAGCGTTTGAAAAGCGCGTCGAGAAGCTTTTGGATGGCCCGGGCTTTGGGGGAACGAAACACAAGCTTCCGACTGAGGGTGTACTGAACTACAGCGGGCCATTAAAGCGGTAGAAGAGCTTCTCGGGGGGTGGTGATTGTTGCCCGTGACCGTCCAATCGTAGGTCGAGACGAGACCGAACCGCAGGTGAAGACGCGCATATGTCGAGAGCGTCAACAGACGAAAGCAACGGCAGGAGACGGCCCTCGAGTCCGGTCGATCTCGAGGACAAAGGAATTACACCAAATCAAGGCGTTGATTTTTTTTCTTTCTTTCTTCGTTTGCTGCATTAAAACACCAGGACCAACTCTACCAGTAGAGCCCAGCCCAATATCTTCTCCCAGAAATTACCCGCTAGTCAAACGCATCAAGCTTCGACAAGACGTACAAGAAGTGAAGGAAGGTCGTGAATATAGTCACTGCCGGTTCCCAGAACCAAAGCAACAAGCCGCCCAATATGCTCATCATAGCCTCGTCGTGAGGTCCCGTACCCGCAAGATTAAAAGGAGTGAATGAATGCCGCCAATACATGCTTGAGTCATAACGTCGTTCAATGCCATACAATATCTTACCTGCCCGTCCTATATCCTATTACGTGGGGAATCTGCAGCGTGACCGGCCACTCCCATGTTGCCCCATCCTTTGATTTGGTCGCGGCTCTCTCGTCCATAACCGGCATTTTCCATCAGCCGCGTGAATGTCGTTTCGCTTGTCAGAGGCCGCTCACCAGGCACGCGAATGCCGGGCGGTGGCGCCAGGAAGCCCATGCCGCTCGGTTGATTCGAGCCAGTCATAAGCACATCGATCGTCTCCGTGGAGCCTGTCCGCGGACGCTCGCGGTTCATATCACCGCGGGCCGACAGGCTTTGCGAGCGACGCGGCCCGAGGCTGAAGTTGCGTGTCGGGCCCATGGGTTGGCGACCCCCTGACGGGCTGCGCGTGGAGCTGCTCCGTTGCCGTTGCGGGCCGCGAGGTGCTGGAGTCGGCGTGTACACACTAGGGCTGACCGAGCCCGATGCCATTGGTAGCGCAGGCGGCGCCGGATACTCGCTCAGGTTGGACTTTGATGGTCGCGAGAAGAGGCCGCGTATCCGAGGGGACTTTGGGGACGTTGCAGCCATGCCGCCGCCGGGGCCGGCCGTGAGGTTGCCGTACGGCTTGCTTGGGCTGCGCTTGGGGATGTTCGGACGAGCATAGCCATACGGGTTGAGGGGCGTTGCGCTTCCCGAGGAGTGCGACGTGTTCGTGGTGGTCATTGTGCCGTTACGGCCGAGCCCGCCGGCCTTGTTGATCTCCTTCATCGGGGAGAAGGGTGACCCGAGAAGAGTGTGATCGATGCTCGCGTTGCCCGGCGGGCTAGCGGCGTCACGGCGCAGGAACTCGGTACGAGCGCCGAGGGCAGGGTTGTAGATCGGGTCACTAACGGTGCGGGAGACGGGTCCGAAGTCGCCGCTGTAGCGAGGATTCTTTTCCGCTGCCTGGCGCCTCCTCCAAAGCCAGATTCCCAGGGCAGTAAGCAGGATGCCGAGCGCGATGCCGCCGATGACCCCACCGGCGATGGCGCCCTTGTTAGAACCTCCCCCGTGCTTTTCGCTCAACGGGGTAGCCGACGCGGATGTTTCTGCCGGGCCCAAGCCAGACGTGACGGATCCACCGGTCGGAGTCGAAATGGAAGTGGACGAAGGCGCAGCGGATGTGGTCGACGATCCGCTGGTGTCATTGGCCGAGATCATGGCGCAGAGACCGCTCTGGCACTTGTATCCCAGGGGGCAACATTCCGAGCCACACGTCTCCAGCGTGGCCGTGAGGTTGGTCGTGTGGATGGCGTTCGAAGGGTGCAGAGTGGCATTCTGTTGGTTGATGTCGCAAGTGATGGGTCTGATGAACTTGCAGTCTTGGCCCTCGGGGCAGCATATTACGGACGTCGCCTCGCCGCCAGCGCCGCTGTCGTCGTTCAGAGCGGTGCATGTAGTGCTCGAGGGGCAGCAGAAGGAGCTGGGGAAATTGCTGCCGCACTGTGAAAGCGCAGAATCGCCGCCGCAAACGGCCGCGTCCGCCCGGCGGAGCAGGCCCGTGTCCACGGCGAGGGCGAGGGCGGAAGCTGCTGGTACTGCGACGGACACGATGCAGATGGCGGAAAGTTTCTTCGGGCCCATTCTAGGGTAAGGACGCCAGTCGGGCGTGGGCGAGAGAGAGAAACGCGCAAGAGAAACGGAAACAATACTGGCAAGGAAAGACGGCCACACGTGACGGGGCGCGTAGAGAAGAGAAGGGAAGTGGGTGGACTTGGAAGTGGATTTGCAGCAAACAAGGGAAAAGCAGTGAGCCGGCCGGCGGCTGGAGGATATAAGGAAGCAAACTGCCTACCGTGACGCTGCCCGGTTTTTCGCAAGAGGCGCGTCGAGCCAGGGCCATGCGAGTCTCAGCATGGCTCAGAGCAGGCCTGTCGAGGCGCCGAGAGGCGCGATGCAGGGCGGTGGGCCTCGGATGCCCAACGCAGCAGCGCGCATGGTGGGTGGCTATGCGGGCGCGCTGGCAGCGCGCGTGTGAAACGCAGTCTGGGAGTGTTGTAGGGCGGGCGCGTCGCGGGCAAACGGTTGGCTGAGGGCGCGCGCTGGCGGCGGGCGGGAGAGACGGTGGAGCGCTGGCGGCGGCCCGTGCGCTCGACTCCGGAGCATCATCTGCGCGCTGGAAAAGTCGACGGCACGGCTGTCTTGAGCGCCCGCCCTCCCCCTCCGCAACCCAGCGCGCCATGATCCTCGCCCGCCTTCTCCGGCCGCAGCAGCCCCTGCGCGCCGCCCAGCGCTGCACTGTACGGAGCTTCCCACAGCCCAATTGACCGCCCGCGCGCCCGCCTGCTAACACCGCCAGCAGCGCCTCGCTCAGCGCCGTGCCATCCACGAAGTCCCCCATCTCGCCAACTACGACGAGCGCTTCCGTGAGAGCGGCATCCCAGAGCTGCTGTCGCCCACTGGCTTCAACACCGCCTGGTCCAAGTACCAGCAGCTGATGGTGGACAAGCTCAATGAGAAAGTCGCCGGTACCACGCCGCGTCCTCGCGACTGCAGCTGTGCGCTGACGTCCGAACAGGCACCGCCCTCGAAGATGACTCCACCCAAACCGTTGCCGTCAAAACCGCCCGCGAACCGCTGTTTGCCTCGACCTTCAACTACGCCTCCATGGCCTTCAACAACCACTTTTTCTTCCAGTCCATCGTACGTGCCTCGCCACCGCCCTCGTCCTTTCCGTACTAACGCGTCGAGCAAGACCGACAGGGAGACGTCCATGTCCAATGAGCTCGCCGCATCCCTGACGACATCCTTCTCCTCGCTCGACATCTTCAAGGCCGACTTCCTCGCCACCGCCGAGGCCATGTTCGGCCCGGGCTTCGTGTGGCTGGTGTGGCACAGGCAGAGCTACGCCTTGAACCAGGGCTCGTGGAAAATCGTGCCCACCTACCTTGCCGGCTCGCCGCTGTCCGATGCCCACTGGCGCCAGCAGCCCGTCGACATGAACACCCAAAACGCCCACTCCGCCGGCGGCCTCTCCGGCGCCGACTACGTACGCCAGAACCAGATTCAGAATTCAGCCGGCGTCACGGGCCCGCACAGCGCCGCCGGCCAGGCCGCCCGCAATCGCGCCCCTGGCGGTGCCGACATCATCCCCGCCCTGTGCGTGAACACCTGGGAGCACGTCTGGGTGCCTGACTGGGGCATCACCGGCAAGAAGGACTTCTTGGAGGCGTGGTGGAGGCGCATCAATTGGAGCGAGGTGCAGTCCAGAGTCCCAAAAGAGGCTGTGGGCAAGATGAACTCCTGAGCGATGTGCTGTAAATGCCTCCACTCGGTAAAAGAGGGGGGGCGTCACCAATAGCAAAGGCGCGGGGAAACGCGAGGAAGAAGGAAGGCGACTGTGCATTGCATGTGTAAAATATCAAAAGTCCTGGGGCGGCCCTCCACGGTGTTCACAGAGGTATTTTCTACTTTTCCTCGGTCAATCGGGAAACAATGGGCTCCACAACTTGGGCCAGAATTAGGTACTTGGTCACCTACACGAAAATGGATTGGAAATGTACACATCTGAGCCTTGCTCGAACCACCACCCTCGTCGATGCCAAGGTGAGCGATAAGACAAACAATACGAGGTACCATTGGCAAATTCGGCTCGCGAAATGGGGAAATGATTGCACAGCTCCAGGCCAATGACGCACATGCCCTCAAGAACCTGACACAATTCAACAGCCCTGTCACCCCTCCATGCAAGCTATTCGTCGCCCTGAATGTGTTTCAGCCACAGAAGCGTGGCTGCTGCCGAATTCTGATCAACATGCACCGGAAACCTTCCCCAGAGTCCATAGTTGGTCAATTATACACTCAGGTGTTGCTGCCCGACAGGTTTGGCCGATCATGCAACATGTATGCACTTCGGACAGGGAAAATTGGTTCAAGATGACGGAGTCATTCTTGCATGTATACAGGGGGATATTGCAGCCAACGGCTACCGTGAATTTATTCCTCTCTCATACCATGGGTAGTTGAAGCCATCATCCGGATGCAAATGTGGAATAATAATTATACATTTACGCCCAGACGATAGCTTCAGCTACCCGTACATATTCTGTTTTTTTTTGTAAAAAAAAAAAGGAATTGAGGCATGCTTACGCTATGTTCTAAGGCCCTGCCATTCTTCGCGCTAGCCATCGGCTGAAGCACCCCTCTGTACATGCATGCACGGGCAGGAAATGAAGCAGCTAGGGAAGCAAGTTTGATCTCATCATTATCCTTTATCCAAGCATTTACATGCTCCGTATGCCAGTCCAGACACACTTTCATACACCGTTTGCGCCCCGGTATGCCACCCACATAGCCCATTGATCCGCCCCAGAACACCGCGCAATGCCCATGCCGAAAAAAAAAAGAGAGAGAGAAAATAACAATCATTACACACCAGTCAGTCTGCATGTCATCTTCGATCTGCGTATTCAAGCAACATCTTCTCCGTTGAGCAAGCCCCTTAGTACACCGCTACCGGGACCATCCAGCGCGCCGCTCAACTCCTTCAAGCCGACACTGCTCGAAACCCGCTTCTCCTCCACAAGGCCCGCGCTGAAGCCCCCACCACCGCGGCCACCTCGCTTGCTCGGCGTTGATGGGACAGAGAAGCTGCCACTTTTGCCATTTCCCTCAAGCGCGGAGATCAACGACAAAGTCTCCAGGCTGGCAACTACATCGCGGAACTCGGTGCTGGTAAGAGGGTGCAGAACATTGTCCCGCTTGCAAAGACTAGCGTAAGCGTCGTACAAAGCCTTAATCGTGGGCGCAGCTACAGCCGCAGATTGGTGCCGTGACGGCGTAGAAGGAGGCACCATGGCGGCGCCATCACGAAGCTTCTTCTCGAGAGCCGAAAGTGCGCAGAGAACGGCCTTTTGTTGTAAGTTGAGGTTCTTAAGGCGTTGAGTGGTTCCGTTGCTAAAGACAGCGGCAGTAACGCGTGCCATGTGAGCAATCGTCGCGCGGGGGGCTGTTTCCACCCTTAATTTTGAAAGGGAGGATGCCACAGCTGAATGCCGAGAAGTCTTCGTGGGCGTCCGAGCAGGCGAAGAGAGGTTCATGTTCTCAATGAGAATGGTCTTGGACGGCGTAGCAACTGGATCCGAACTCTCCTCCGCCGACTTCCTCGCGTGCTGCTCACGTGTATCCGACTCAATCATATCAATGGCCCTTCTACAAATGTCGAACGCTTTGCGGAGATCCCCCGTCTGAGCAGCAACCTTCTTGGCGAGAAACTGGATTGCCGTCGGGTGGAGGAACGGTATAAAGTCGGCCGAAGCGGTGGTGTCGGTGGGAAGGAGGCCCTTGAGCTTCGAGTTGATGACTGCAGCAACCTGGGAGGCCGTGTATGGCATGAAGGGAAGAAGCTGAGGCTTCAGGCCGCGAGACTTTAGCCTAGGGAGGAAGCGATCGGTAAAATCTAGAGCGTTCGCGATGCCCAGAAGGATGAGGCTCGATTTTGGCCGCATGGCCCACTCGAAGATGTTGTAGAGCAACTCGAGATCCAGCTCGAGCAGGTAGTCAACCTCGTCCAAGGTGACCACATAAGATACCTCACGCCTGAACATGATCTTTCGTAGAGTCTCCTGTTCTGTGCCCTCCAAGACATCATCCGCCTCGCCGATTTCCTCCAAAAGCTTGACGTAGAGCTCGCTCGCGCTCTTTGCGCTCATGCAATTGATGTACGCCCTCTTTACCGTGGCGTCATCAAGCTCTTGGCAAACCTCGCTGACCAGGGCGCTCTTTCCGGTGCCGGGAGGGCCGGATATGTACAGGCATCCGGACTTTCTGGGACCGACGCGTGAAGACACGAATTGCTGCAATTCGTCTCTTTCTTCTTCGCGACCGATCAATTGGCCCGGCTGAGAACCACGGATGAAGAGTTGGCGCGCGTCGTTGTAGATGGTCGTGGCAGAGGCCCGCGGCGTCGTCGGCGTGCGGGGAGTGCGCGGCGTTAGAGGTTTGCTCGAGACCGACACGCGGTGACGGGGGGTCACTGCGACTTTATTCGCGCACGCGTCGCGGTGCCGAGGCGTGGAAGGAGTCGCGTCATGCGAAGTCTTCGCGTCCGTGCTCACGTTGACTTTGGCAGTCTTGAAGTGCGAATTGATCTTTGCCGGAGACAGCGCGACCCTGCCCTGCATCGCGCCATGTTTCGCCGGGACCGTAGGACTTCCTCTCATGCGCTTAGCGGGCAGGTCCTCATCGGCGAGTTCGTCGGCTCCCAAATCGACATTTTTCGGGGTGCGCGGCTTCTTCGGGGTGACGAAGGGATTTTCCTTTTCGCTGTTGTCCAGCACTACAAATTGGCTGTTTCTGGTGCATCGCGTCGTGGTTTTCGAATCTTTGTTGGCTGGATACGGATCAGTCACGCCTCGAACACGAGCGCGTCTTTACGGAAGAGCTTACCTGCAGAGGGGACTGCACTCCTGGTGCGCTTTCCAAGGACCGAAGCCGCCATTGTTGCTGCAACGGAAGGCGTAGGTAAGCTTTTCGGCGAGTTGTGTGGAGGAAGGTGGTGATGGAGAGATGAAGAAGTCGCGCTATCGCGTCGAGTCGCGAGCTTCGCGCGTGGCGGCAAAAGGCCGGAATTGATTTTTAGCGCCGAGCGGCCACCAATCATCTACCGTTCCATCCCCAACACTCCTCTACAGTTTATTTTTCGCTCACGCCATGGGTAGTATCGTCCGGGTGTAAATGTGGAATTAATGATTTTACATCCACGTCCGGACGATGGCTTCAACTACCCATGATATGAACCTACTTCGACAGTATATCTCGAAAGGCCAGAATAATTAAGCCATCTCTACTCTTTTTCTACAGGATCGTAGCCTCGTGGTGTGAGAGGTTGAAGCAATCATCCAACCAATTAAGAACACCATAAGTGAGAACCTCTGCCTCTCCATCATCCATATGTACACCACATTTCTTCAGCCAAGATTTTCCTTTTCTCTCTTCAGCTCTCCTTGCCGTTTGGCTGAGATGGAGTGCAGTAGCTGTTCGTTCAAGTTACATCTCTACAATGTACCTACGGGGGCTTTTTTCGTTGATGAAACCCGGTGGGCTCCGGTCATTGTCACTAGCCAGCGTCCCTTGTATCGCACCATCTCGAACTAACGCGAGAAAAGAAAGAGGAGTGAGATGCAGCAAGGGCGTTGAATGTCTGAGACAAGGCCTTGCTGAGACCTGAACCTCGGGCCAAAGACGTGAGACAGAGACGGATGCGGCGGCGTCGCGACTCTGGTGGAGTGACGGTGAGCTTTAGTGGAGCCTCGATCAGGAAGCTTTCCCAGTGAGCGAATGCAAAGGAAAGCAAAAAGGGTGAGACACGACCACCAGAAGCGACACTATTCTTTTTCCTTCCGTGATTCAGATCAGTCGTCCCTCAGCAGCTCTGCCTCCCTCTTCCTCCTCTCGAGCAGACGCTCGGCGAACTTGGCCTTCTCGTCCCTCAAAGTAACGTATGCCTAGAAGCCAGCGTCAGCACAGCGTATGAACCAGCCAGGGAAAGGGGGCCATACCCAGAACCAGATAGTGCATTCGAAGAACCCCCACGTGAAGACCAGCCTGTTCTTCAAAGGATCGCCGACGCCGTGGTTGAAGAGGCTCTGGCCAGGAGACGGCTTGAAGGCGTACGTGTAGCCGGTCAGGCCGATAAGGAAGGCCAGGCGGAGCGGGATGTTGTTTGCCCAGTAAGGAAAGGCAATCTCCTCGTCCATGGACACGGCGATGAGGTCGGAGAGGCCGAGGAAAGCGAGGATGATGGCAGCAAAAGCGGAGGCGGAATTGGGCTTGAGGAATTGAGTGGGTTCAGGCTACAGGAGATGCATCAGCGTGGGTTCCGGCAGGGCGCAAAGGGAATTTTTACAATGCGCATGGCTTCTCCGAACAGGAGGACCAGGTTCTGCTCCGCGACGACGCGCGGGGCACTGAGAAGGTACCATGCGAGGGTAAGGTGGAAGAGGCACAGGCCCCGGACAATGGCGAAGGAGGAGATAATGGCCATGGTGGCGTGGTGGTGTAGCAGCCGGCCCCTGGAGCTGGAGCTGCCTGGTCGTGATGGATCGTCACAGGGATCGCCGTCTTTCGGCCGACGTCATGCCGATCGCGACTACTTAGGTTGTCAACTCCATCCCACCTCTGCCGTGACCGCAAAAATGTCCAGCGCTAAGAGTGACACCAGGAGTCCGGACGCCATTGCTTCCCAGAAGAGGCTTGCGCTGCGTCGCGCCGCTCGCTCTCCGGCCAGCGTCTTCTTCAACTTTGTCGTGTTCCCCGCCTTCATCCTCGTGACACTATGGAGCTATCTGCAGTACGACTTCAAGTGCCTTCTTACCCGAGACTGTACAACCGTCGAATCCCGCGCCATCAGGATTCTCAGAGAGAACCCGTTGATCGGTAACAATTGCAGTCGGGGTTTCTCGTGCCTTTGTCGCTGATCGCGTGCAGATGGCCACAATGACTTGATGATAATGCTGAGATACCTGTATCGAAACCGCATCAATTCCGGCAATTTTTCCTCCAAGTTCGAGAATGGTGGTCTGGAATACCATGTCGACGTGCCGCGCATCGAGGAAGGACTGAGCAGCGGCGCGTTCTGGAGCGCGTTCTTGCCCTGCCCTTCCAACGCCACCGACTTCTCCGACGAGGCTTACGCCCCCAGTAAGTCCCCTGTCCTCTTTCATCCCGTGCGTTCCTGACCCCAATCTAGTCGTCAAGGCAACCCTTGAGCAGCTTGATCTGTATCACCGTCTCGCCGCCAAATACCCCAAATACTTCACCCCCACTCCTGACAGCGCCTCCGCTCTCCGCGCCTTCCGAGAAGGCCGCTACATCGCCCCCGTCATCATTGAAGGCCTGCATCAAATCGGCAACTCCATCCCAACCCTCCGCCTTTTCCACCAGCTCGGCGTCCGCTACGCTACCTTGACCTGGAATTGCCACAACATCTATGCCGACGCCGCCGTCGTCACCAACGAAGAGGGCCAGGCTGTCCGCAGCTCCCCGTACTGGGGTGGCGTGTCAGCCGCCGGCCGCGACCTCATTGAGGAGATGAACCGCATGGGCATGATCGTCGACCTGGCCCACGTCAGCCCCGACACCATGCGCGACGTTCTGGCCGGCTCCAAGGATGGTAGCTGGGCCGGCAGTATCGCACCGCCCATTTTCTCGCACAGCTCCGCATACGCCCTCTGCCCGCACCCGCGCAACGTGCCCGACGACATCCTGCACTTGGTCAAGGAGCGCAACTCCATCGTCATGGTCAACTTCAACCCGGGCTTCATCTCTTGCACTGCCTCTGACTCCGGCACCGGCATCCCGGACCTGTACGAGCCAAACGTCACGCTTGCCCAGGTCGTCAGGCACATCAAGTACATCGGCGAGCTCATCGGATATGACCACGTGGGCCTCGGCACAGATTTCGATGGAATCGAAGGCACGCCCAAGGGCCTGGAAGACGTGAGCAAGTTCCCCGACCTCGTGGCTGCGCTGCTCAGCGAAGGCGTCAGCGATGAGGATGCGGCGAAGATTGTGGGCAGGAATCTGCTGAGGGTGTGGGATGAGGTCGATCGAGTCGCGGCGAAGCTGCAGAAGGAAAGGCCGCCTTTCGAGGACGGTACCTCGGATTTTGTCAAGTCAATGCCGGACTGGGCCGATGGTACGGATTTGTTGTGAATGGAGAGCTCAGTGTGCTGACATCGGTCGTTGTCCAATAGATTCTACGTTTTTCGGACAGTACCGCAAGTTGCTAGAGAGAGCTAGAGCCAGGCGACTAGCTTGGGTAGAGGCGCATGCGTGAACGATGGTTAGCGAACCGCCATCCAATTTAGCAAGCATGCGTGTGAAAAACCCCCCATCATAGAATCTGTCGAATCTTCCTCAACATCGCTCACTCTGGAAGGAGAATACCGTCTGCTCGATCATTTCCTTGCATGCTTGAAAGCATACGGCATGCTCGGCTACACGCACAATCTAGACTGCCTCTCGATTGCATCCAAGCTTTAGCTCGCCCTAGGCTATTTCCTCAACTACATGCCAGATAAACTTCACGCTGCGCTTCAAGTAACACAAGTCATGGGTAGCTGAAGCTATCGTCCGGACGTGTATGTAGAATATTTAACTCCACACTCTCGTCCGGACGATAGCTTCAACTACCCAAATACCTTTTTTTTTTAACGCAGAGCTTGGGCATAGTTACGCTGCGTTCTAAAGCCCTGCTATTATTCGTACTAGCTATCGGCTGCAAGAGGGGGCTGTAGAGGCTTAATTACTACCGTAGTAATATAGATTTTAACTGATGAGGTAGACTCTATCTCCTCCCTCCCGTTTTCTATTGGCGCCTACTTTTCTAACCCCCTCACGAAATATCAGCTTTGATCCCTCTTAAATACCCAAATTGTTAAGACTCTAGAGATGTCTAAGGACCTTACTACTCGTCGTATTACTAACCAGCTAACTGTATAATCACCGCGAGCAACCACTAGCGCGAGCAATTATCGCCGGTTCTAGCAAATATCGCTATCGGCTTCAGCAATTGCTAGCTCGAGTAAAAAGTAGTATAAACAGTCATATCGACGAGTAAAAGTTATTTTTTCATGGGGAGGCAATATAATAACAAGGGGGGTCAGAAAAGTAAGCGCCTTTCTATTTGCTACTACTCCGTGTGCTGTTGGCGAGTACTTAGTCATCTAGCAGCGTGTGTATTCTACGCTGCCTACGCATATTCTATAGACCATTCTACGCATTCTTCAGGTTATAAGCCCGACCCGCTTCGGCGCATAACGACCTCGCGCAGGATCCTGTAAGTTTTAGACCCGGCCGCAGCATTGCAGCTCTCTAGGTGCTGGAGTTCCTTATTACCAAAAGGAACTTCCTTTGGTTTGAATTGACGGGACAGTGGACACTGGAGACTGGACCAGAACTCACGCCGTGATCGACACCCCTTGCCCGCGATAACCGTTATCGCCAGCGGCTAGCCGTTGCGACTACCTACCTACCTTCGCTTCACCCTCCCGCCATAGAGGGTATGAGCGACATTTGGTAGCACAGCCTTCTGTGCAGCAACGATAACGATTTGCAATATCTTCATTCAAGGGTTGCGGCGTTTTGAAAAGTGTATATTTTGGTGAAGGGGGTTGGATTTGGTTGCGTCCAGCCGCTCGAGTGGTAGCTGGGCTTTTGGATACGACATGGGTTGTATTTATGTTTTGCCCCAAAAAACAATAGCATTCAGCTACAATACCCCTCTGTATTCACTAGCAGATCCCTGCAGTCTCTAAGCCGGGATATTTACTGACCTGTATTTCTTCAGTTATCAACCCACCTAGCCACATGCTGTACACACCCCATGGGTCTGATTACTCTTCTTCACTTTCGTCATCCTCGGTGCAATCGTCGCTGCCTTCTTCGTCATCATCTTCATCATCGTCATCGTCCTCTTCATCGCCGTCGTCCTCCGCCTCGTCGTCTTCATCGCCAGGCTCAGGCTTGAGCCCGTAATCGTCCTGGAAGGATGCCAAGGTGCGGACTTCAGGCTTGAATCCCACGGACTCGAGGTTCTTCTTGAGGTCCTAGTTGAGGGCAAGCGGTCAGCAAAGAGCATGATCTCACAGAAGTAGATGAAAGGAAATAGAGCTGGCCACTTACTTCCTCCATGATCGTGGCGCAAGTGACGACCACGTTCGCCTTACCCGGCAGGAAGACGGGGAGCACGAATTCCTTTAGCACCGCTTTGATCTCGTCCACGCCCACTTCGCGCACTTTTTCTAGCATACCCTTGCTCCAGTCCTTGGGGATGCCCTTGACGACCTGGTTAACGAAGCCGAGCGTCGCCGCCGACACCATGGTGGGCTGCTCGTCCGCGAAGCCTTCGACGATAGTGCTGATGGCACCCTCGAGCGCGTGTTTCTCGAACGGTCGTACGCCCGAGATGAAGTCCTCAACGACGCTGCGGCTGGTACTGTACGCCTTGAACGTGTCAGGCGACCGGTAGATGCGATAACCGAGGAGGCCGGTGTCAGTGCCGCGCGCGAACGACGTGCCGTACGCGAGACCAGTGCCACGCACAGCGACCCAGAGTGGTCCTTCGACCGCCTCGAGGTAGGCAAGCGCGACCATGAGGGCGGGGAGCGAGGGGTGCTGGTACGAGTCGGGCCCACGCGCGGTGAAGAGCGCGTAAGAGGAGTCGATGGTGGGCATGGGGACGATGTAGTTGAATTGACCTGGGTTCTTAGCCGCCTCGCTGAGGGCTTCCTTGCGCGAGTCCAGCGGTGCAAGCGACTGCTTCGTATCGAGATCGGCCACGAAGGACTTCCACGCCGATACGGGATTGGAGAGCTTGGATACGTCGGCGACGACAAGAACACGCATGTTCGAGAAGCGCAGCAGGCTCTTGCGCAGGTCCTCCAGGCGGCCGATGACGGCATCAGGATCTTTCGCAAGCAGCTTGTTGATGCGCTTCAAGTAGAGTGCCTTGACCAGCGTGTTCTGCGTACGGCTAGATGAGATGGATGCGTAATGTAGCATGGAATCGACGGCATAGGCCATGTCGTGGCCACTCCGCTTCTCGTCCGGAATGTCGGCCAGCATCTTGGTGAGAGTAGCCTTCAGCCGTTCCACGTCGAAGACGCTACTAAAAAGAATGTCTTTGAGCCACTTAATGGCAGTCTCGTACTTCTCGCGCTCGACTGACAGCTTGACGCGCAGGAGCTCGGAGTTTCCAATAGAAGATCCCGCATCGATCCGGTAGGTGACAGTATCCTTCTCAAGCTCTGTCACGACCTGTTCGAATTCCACGCGGGCTCCGTCGCGCATGATCGGGGTCGTGAAGAAGTTGTTGATGTAGACGGTGAGAAGGGGCTTTAGTTGAAGGGGAACAGAACCTGTGCAAAGGACGAGGCTCACGTGGACAAAGTTGGTGGGAATCGATTCGAAGTGAATGAATAGCGGGATGTCGCTCTTGTCCTCGTCGACGTGCCTTTGGATGTCGTTGTCGAGGCTGCCCATTTTCTTGGCGAGACCGGAACGAGCAGTCGTTGTCGGGATGAAGTGAATCGACTCGACTCCAGGAACCTTGAACGACTCCAAGATTTCAGGAGGAATTGGCTTGTCGTTCTCGGCCTTGGCTTCCTCGAGCTTCTGGGCGAGCTTCTTCAGCCCTTCTTCACCGAGACGGTCTCGTTGTTCCTTCACGCGAGCCTTCTCGTCACTCTTCAGCTTCTTGGAAAGCTTCCGCGAAGGGACGCCCAGGATGGACACATGATGGGCGTCTGCGAGCCACTTTGACAGAAACTCTCGCCACTGCTTGTCGGTCCACTTCTTCAAGGCCTCAAACACTTTCAGTGAATGAAGGCCGTCGTAGAGAGTTGAACCGTCTCGCTTGCCGAAAAGGTGGTCTTGGATGATGGCGTCGGCGAATCTATCGAGCGAATTCTCCGTTGTGAGCATGACTTGTTTCTTCAACCGATCTATGCAATCGGACATGTACGTCATGTCGACGGGCTTTGACGCCGCCTCCTTGAGAATCTCGAAGAACCTCTTCTCAACCTCCGAGAGTTTTTCGGTGGCAACGGCGCTGAGTGTGAACCACACGACCGTGTCCGGGCGGTTGTCTGTCTGGTAGTAGACCGCGCTCGCAATCTGCTCCTTCTCGACGATGACGTTCTCGAGGAGTGAAACAGAGGACTCGGCCAGATAGGTCAGGAGCACGTCCATTGCCGTTCCTATGCACGTTAGCATACGAAATCAAGGACGGGCGAACGGCTGACCGTTGAGAATGTCGTTGCACTTGGGGCCGAAGAATCCAATCAAGATCTCTCCTGTAGACTCGTCGTCTTCGGGAAACTCAACGGTGTCGATGATAGTCTTGGACAAAGGAAGCGTCGGGCCGGAGTCGACCCACGGTCTCTTAAAGGGTGCGTCAAGTGGAGGCATGGCGTCCACGATGCTGTCTTCGAACTTGTCCAAGATGGAGAGCAGATTGTCGTGGTCCACTTCGCCCGTGATGACGAGGCACAGGTTCTTGGGCTGGTACATGTCTTTGTGGAATGCGCGAATACGGTCTGCAGTGAGCACGCGCAGCTGCTCCATCATGCCGCCCGTCTCGTAACGGAAGCCGTTGCCCTCAGGGTAAAGGAGACGGCGGGCCTGAAGCTCCATGAGCTCTCCCTGCGTGTTCTGCACGCCTTGCATCTCGGAATAAACCACACTGTCAAACGGTTAGGCTTCCATGCGTCGTGGTTGCGGAGTACGTACCCGGCATCCTTGCCAGTGCCATCGATGTGATGGACTTCGGTGTAGCAGCCCTCGTCGGTCAACGTCGGGAGCAAGACGTGTTCGAGGTAGACGGGGAGCTGTGGCAGCGGCGTCAGTGAGGGTCGTCGGGACGCAGTGGAGTGCAGGGGGGACAGACGATCTGGGCGAAGCCATCCCAGCCTGCGGTATCCAGGGTGTAGGCCGTATGGTCAGTGGCAGTCCAGGCGTTCGTGTTTGAGTAAGCTCTCGTGGCCAGACGGTCAAGAACGCCCTTGTACTTGTAGCTTCGCGAGCCCTAGGGCGGCATTAGCAGACTCGCGGTGTTGGAGTGCACGCGGGGCTTACCATGAAGCAAAGATGCTCCAGGGTGTGCGCTGCGTCCGTCAGCACCGGCACGCCTGGTTTCGGCAAAAATCTCACACGCTTCACCTACGAGCACCTGAATCATCATGAATCTCGGTAGCAAGAGCGAAGTAGCCGTTGACCTTGGGGCCTTTTCGGTCAACGACGACGACCCTCATGCCAGTCCGCGTAGACTCATACTGAGAGAACTTGGCGGGAGCATAGTCTGCTTCAAACTGCTGGACAGTCCTGAATCGAGGCTTGTTCTCGACTAGGCCCGGCATGATGGCGAGGCAGTTCGGTGCAGCAACCAAGCGACGGAGAGGCTGCAGGAGGCTGGGGCCGGAGTCAGAGCAGAACGAGGGGAAATTGAAGTCATGGTGGAGGGGACGTGATACCGAACAGAGAAGGCCAGCAGAAGACCGAAGGCAAAGACACTGGGCGGATGGTCAGCGGTTGCCGTGCTCAGCCAAACGCGCGCGTGTCACCAGAAGACGCCGGCTCGCAAGGTGGTCGCTCGGTTGCCGTGCTGGGGCCGCGTCGCACTAATCAGCATTTCCCGATTCGGCGCGCAGATGGAAGACGGGGGCCGGGATGCTGCAGGAGCCGGTGGTCTGGGGATGGCACGTACCGGACAGGATGGCACAAGGTCGTAGGCGCTGCGTGGAGAGAGCGAGAAGGCGGATGCTGGGGCAGTCACGGGCGGCCGTGCGGCCGGGCTTTTTGCGCCGTCTGACGTCGGAGCTCATGCCAGCAAACACCACCCAACACCATGCCGCCCATTCTGACGCCCCAGAAGCTCGGCCAGGTCGTGCTCGAGTCCGTTGAGCACGGCGCCTACCCGGACAGCGAGCATGTCGCCTCGGCCCAGCTGCCCCGCGATGCCTTTCCCACCTTGCTCGCCGGCATTGAGAGGGCCCGGACTGAAGTCAAGGCGCGTCGCCCTCCCCGCCCCGGCTTCCCCGCTGCCTGCTGACGCGCCTGCAGGCTGAGATCCGCGCCCTAAGCCGCGCTGCCGCCCCCGACGTCGACAGCTGGATTGCCCAGGCCAAGCAGCTGCAGGCCGACATTGAGCGCTCGCGCGCAACCGCCCACGACATTGTCCAGCAGGCCGAGGCCGCAAACACCCTCCACGCCGGCGTCCACGACGCCTCGGGCAAGGCCGCCCTCCTCAAGAACGAGCTCGCCTTCAATGACACCCTCACTGCCACGCTCGAGCGCATCAAGCAGGCCTCGCTCCTGCTGGACGGCGCTCAGAATGCCGCCCTCGAACAGGACATCCTCGGCGCCCTGCAGAAGGTGCACCAGGTCGACGACTACATACTGCACCTAGGCCCGTTCAGGGACACCAGAGTAGCCGGCGTCTTACAGAAGCGCGCGAACCAGCTGCGCGACGCTCTGGCAGAAACCGCGAACCGTGCCTGGGGCCTCCTGCTCGCGGCTGACATTCCTGCTCGCTCCGTAACCGTCAACGACCAAGTCGACAGTAAGTGTGCGCGGCCCGCCTGCAGCGTGCTGTTCTAAACCGCCGCAGATATGACCCTGCCCATGGTGGTCGACGCCCTCTCCCGTCTCGGCACCCTCGACGCTGCCCTTCTCAAGTTCCAGAAAGCTTTCGAGCATGCGATTGTGAGACCTCGGTTGACCTCGAACCGCAAGTCCAATGCTGTCAGCATCGCTGATGACACCATTGCCGTTTCCTCTGGTGCAGCACCGTCGGACGTAGTGACCGACGTTCGGCACATTTGCGAATTTCTTAGTAAACGCCTACCAGCGTCCATTTCTGGCCCTGTGTGTGAGAAACTCCTGCCAGGCGTCGTTTCCCGGCTCATTGCTGACTGGCTCGATCCCTCGATACCTGTTTCGCTTGATCATCTTGGTTCTTTTCAAGACACCTTGTCATCAGTATCCAGTCTCGCGCGCTATGTCGAGGACCTGGGTTGGCCATGCAAAGAGCTTCATGAATGGGTGGAGAAGACGCCGCGCAACTGGCTTGCACGCAGAAAAGAAGACGCGTTGGCATCTGTGCGGGAACTGTGTTCTCAAGGAATTCGACACAAGAAGGAAGTGGAGCGCGTGGAAACGCAGATGGTGTCCCGTGATGATGCGATCATGGCGGCAGAGGCTGGCGAGGAGGCTGACGAAGGCTGGGATGCGTGGGGCAACGACGAGGCCGAGAAAACATCAGAGGCTGCCGAGACCAAGGGGAAGCAGGGGGCATCGCACGTGGAAGAAGAAGAAATGGATGCGGATGCTTGGGGTCTGGATGATGACGCAGAGTCAAAATCCGAGAAAGGCTCGAAAGGCAACCCTGAGGAGGAAGACACGGATGCTTGGGGTTGGGGTGATGATGACGAGGCTGCAGACATGCCGAAGGATGTTGCATCGCAGGAGCACTCATCGAAGCCGAATGGGGAAACGGGACGGTCGGGGGCTCAGGAGAGAGAATTAACGTTGCGGGAGAAATACACGGTCACAGGCATACCAGACGCCATCATGGAAGTCATTACTCGGGTGGTCGCCGATGCTCAAGCCCTCGCTCACCCGAAGTAAGCTCCCCTTCTTTTCAGTGCATCCATCGGTTCTAACAATTTGCAGCTTCGCCGACTCCCCGGTTGCGCCGGCTGCCGTCGGCCTTTACTCCATCCCGACGCTCATCTTGGCCATGTATCGAGCGACCGCACCGGTTTACTACGCTAACGACGCCGCCGGGAACATGTTGGCTTACAATGACTCCACCCGTTTGGTGGACGAGCTGCGTGATTTCCTGGCGAGACAGGCCAGATCAGATGAGTCGTCGGATCTGCCACCATCGTCAAAACCGTCAAGCCGCCTACGCCTTGATGCTGACTTGAAAGCCATTGAGAGTTTCAGCAAGCGTGCATACGGCAAGGAGATGGAGTCACAAAGAACCATCCTCCGGGACCTGCTCGATGGAGCTCAAGGCTTTAACAATTGCACAACAGCGCCTTTCGCCGCAGAGTGCGACAATGCTGTCTCGATGACGGCGGACCGGATCAGGGATGTGGCCGAGCAGTGGACAGGCGTGCTATCACACTCGGCGCTCCTGCAATCGCTGGGGTCCCTTCTGGCGACGGTGCTCAACAAGATGATTGTCGACATCGAGGACATGAGCGACATCTCCGAGGAAGAGTCGAAGCGCCTTCGGGAGTTGTGCAACCGCGTGTGCGAGGTCAGCGACCTGTTCAAGCAGCCAGGACAACAAGGAGACATGACTGGCATCTACACGCCCAACTGGTTTAAGTTCCAGTATCTTAGCGAGATCCTCGAGGGCACCCTGGCCGACATCAAGTACCTGTGGACCGAAGGCGAACTAAAGCTTGAATTTGAGGCGGACGAGGTTGTGGATCTAATCGAGGCGCTGTTTGCAGATAGCGACCATCGACGGCGGGCCATTGCAGATATTAGGAGGACTGCGCGGTGACTCTGAATCACGGGGCCCGAGTCGAGCAGGAGAAATAATGTCTGTCGTGAGATCATCATTCGTTGGTGTTTGCCGGGTATGATCAGTGCGGCACCATGCACATACCTGTGACGAAGCTCTACTATCACCGTAGTTGCTGGTGACGAATCATACAATGGACATGGACTCTTACGAGCGGACAGCATACTATAATATAGGACATCACCCCTCATAAAGGTAGATTACTTCCTACAGTCCCCTCTTGCAGCCGATGGCTAGCGTGGATTCATCATTCGCCCATGCCGGGGGTAGTTGAAGCTATCGTCCGGATGAGAATGTCAAATTAAAAATTATACATTTACGTCCGGACGATGGCTTCAGCTACCTACATATGCTATTTTTCTGAGAACGATTTGAGGCATAGTTACGCCTGTGGCCTTGCTATTCTTCACGCTAGCCATCGGCTACGAGAGGGGACTGTATCAAAAGGGAACCTAAAATTCGGGGGTATGACGTCATGGGGAATCCATGTCTGCTTGGTCGATCGCTTCGCTTTCGAGGGTGTGCTATCATCGGCTGGCGGCGCGGGGGCTTTGGCTGCTCTACTGGGGGTAGTGATAGGTGAGCTGAGGTCTAACGAATTGGCATTTTCGGGCACACTCGGGGTGGTCATGGTGGCAGGTGAGGCAGGACTGGGGTTGTCGATATCCGACGGCCAATCGAAACTCGGGGTGGCAGTCAGGACTGGAGCGGGAAGCGAGCTGCTGCTCACTTCACCTGGCTGTCCAATATTCTCGTCAATGTCCATGGGTTGGGTTGTGTCAAGGTGATGTCTGAGGGGCCTGTGCTCGAAGCGGGCAGCGACGTGCTGCTCTCTTCACGCTGCTCTTCCATCGTGGTAGCACCGGGCTCCCTTTGTCGCGTAGGGTCGCTTAAATGCTCCATCGGTTTGGTAGTGTCAAGGTGATGGAGGTTGGGACCCTGGTTCGCAATTATGCGCCATCAAGACACGCTCATGCAGGGTCCACCCACGAATTTGGCAGTCACAGTCACACTTCCGCGCGCAACGAACACGGCGCAAACCACCTCCGCGAACGACCGATGCCGTCCGCCACCGCGACGCCCGGGGCAACGCCCGCCTCTCTGTCGCCTTCCTTCAACGCCTACCGCATCCTCTCCCTTCCCTCGCCCTTCGCGTCTTCCTCCACGCCGACAACCCTATCTTCGTCGACAATCAAGGCCGCCTACCGCCGCGCCCTCCTCACACACCACCCAGACAAGCTACCAGCCTCCGCCCAGTCACACTCAGCCGACCCGGGCAGCGCGGTGCCGTTGAATGGCAATAACGCAAGCAAGAGCTACACCATCGACGACGTCACGCTCGCCTACAAGACACTACTCGACCCGGCCGCGCGCGCGGCACACGATCGATCGTTACGGCTGAATGCCAAACCCGGCCTCACGGCGGGCGGCGACACGGGAGCAGACGAGGAAGAAGAAGCACAATGGCGGCTCGGCCTCGAGGCTGTGGATCTAGATGACCTGGCGTACGACGAGGGCGCGGAAGGTGGCAGCCGGTGGTGGCGAGGTTGCAGATGCGGCGAGGAGAAAGGATTCGTGGTGGATGAGGAGGCATTGGAAGCGGCCACGGCCACGGCAGGAACCGGAGTTGGGGAGGTGCTGGTGGGGTGCGTTGGATGTAGCTTGTGGATTCGGGTAGGGTTCGCTGTTACGGAGGATTGAGTGAGCACGAGTGGCGGCTCTGGCTTTAAAGGTTTACGACACGGGGATTGCGAACCCGCCTGGGTGTTGGAATTCGAAGAGAGAATATACTGACATACACACACACACACACACACATATATATATATAAAGAGATAAAGGGAAGTCTCGTCTAATAAACCCATATCGATAGCTTCAGCTACCCATATATGTTGTTATTTATTTATTTTATAAGGAAAAAGACGAAGCATAATTATCCTTTGTTCTAAGGGTCCTGCCAGCGATAACCTTCTGTGGAATGCAAATAGTAGTGAAGCTAGGGGCACTCCGTAAATGATGAAAGGAACTCGGTATTATCTTGAGTGGCCGAATGTTGACTTGGGTGAATTCGTGGGGGTATAACTGTTCCTATCTGTTTGCCAAAAAGTAAAAAAAAAAAAAAAAAGACATCACGTCGCGGTTCTTATCTAAAGAAGACCCGTGTTGCCCCGTTTCGCTCTCGCTCTCTTTTTTTTTTTTTCTGTTGTCATCACAACCCAAACCGCAACAGCAATGGATATTGCATAGAGCTCCTACACTATGGCGTGCACCGAAGACGGCACTACCTAGTTGTGGTTGTCTAACTGTGTCTTACGAGAAGAAGAGCTCCTTCAGCTTGGCGGCCGTGTCTTCGGGGCTGGTGACGCTGTGGCCGATGGTGCGGGGGTCCTCGTAAATCTCGTAGTCGTTGCCGCCCTTGTACGTCTTGTCGCCGAAAAAGTGGATGGTGGTATACTCGACGCCGCCGGGCAGGTTCTTCTCATTCTCGATGTGCTGCAGGCAGTAGGTCTTGTCCCAGCCGGAGGGGAAGACGTCGAAGGAGATCTGGCCGCCAATGCTGAAAGTGAGGCCGTATTCGGGGAACGCCTTGCGCAGCTCGTCAACGAACTTGGCGCGCACGCCATGGATCTTGTCGTAGGCCTCGAAGTCGTTGCGCTCGGCGACGCTGGCGTTGCGGCCGATTGGCGAGACGTTGATCATGCCATTGCGGAACTCGACGAAGGTGCCGCGCTTGACGGGGATATCGAGGTCGGCGATGTAGCGCAGGCAGAAGTTAACCAGCGGCTTGTACTTATCCTCACCCAGCCAACCGATGAACGAATCGGACGCCAGCGTCTTGCCCAGGCGGATGGCCGTCAGGCCGTTCTCGGCGAAGCAGAAGTCGAACAGCGTCGACACGTCCGTCTCACGCGTACCCAGCTGCTCCTGCTGCTTGGCCAGGTCGGAGCCGCCGACGAAGCCGATGGCGACCTTGTGTCGGAGCTCCGAGAGGAGCTGAAGCATCTCCGGAGACACGTCCTGTTTTCATCGAGAGGGCGGGTCAGGAACGGCAGAGCAAGCAGGCAAGGAGATGGAGACTCACCCGCCTGGCGGGCGTCAGGGTGCCGTCGACATCGAAGAGGCAGACGGTGTTCTTGACGGGCCGCTGGTCCAGCGGGGGGTAGGCGGAGGCGGTCTGAGCCATGTTGCTGCGAAGTGGTCGGGAAAGGAGCGAGCTTGAGGCAGAGGGGGGGATTGGAAGGAGTAGAAGAAAGAACGTCGGTGGAAAGAGGCTTACGCAGCCGCAAAACGAAGTTGCTAATGTGGACAGCTTGCGTGCCACGGGCAGCCCCTCGCGCTGTGCCAAGGCCGGATGCGCGACGCGGGGAGGGGCCGCCGCGCCGGATCGTGTTTGACGCGTTTGCACTTGGTTGCTTCCCCCACACGGTGCGGGGCAGCGATGAGATCCAGATCCTCCATTGTGAGAACAGCGCTGCTAGAATACACAATACGAACGACGTCATCGGTCATCAACACCACAAACGCCCTCTTTCCCCTCTTCCGCATCCTTGTCTTACAGTCTCCATACCCCGCAGTTACTTGGTCGCGGTGCCGGCGCCTGAGCCGGTTCCAGCCCCCGTTCCAGTAGCACTGGACGGATTCGAGCCGGATGTTGCGGGCCCACGCGTGAAGCTGCGCAATATGAATCAGTTGGCAGTTCGAGAGCAGACAAGGTGGCACTCACTCGTTCCACAGCTTGCCGAGGAAGCCGGGAGCTGGCCGCTGGTCGGAGAAGCTGGCGCGGGCAGCAGACGCCCGCTCGTTGCCCGCGTCCCGCTTGGCGGCTTGCAGAGAAGCGAAGCGCTCGGAAGCGGACGACTGGATGGCGTCAGCTACACCTGAAACCACCTGACACGCAGGATTAGGGACGTACGCGGCGGCGGTTGGTGCCCGTGTTTCCGCTGTCGGCCATGGTGACTTGAGTGCTGAAAGGTTCGAGTTTGGTGGTACAGCAGAGCGTGGGAGGATGCGTTGAAGGAGAGAAGTCAAATGGGAGAAAGCCTCTTATTAATGGATTCCCCTCCTCTCACCAGCGACGGGCCGCTGCATTCTGCGGTACCTGTCCCCCAGCAGGGCCACGCGAGCGAGCCGATGACAGTCTCCTGATGATGAACACATTACCCCGCCGTTTGGGACGCTGGCTCGGAGCACAGGCGCACAGGAAAGGGTAGCTTGCACAAAGTCTGCGCACAGCTTGGGACGCCGTTCGATGCCCCGGTCCGCTGCACTTCCGCCGGCGATCGTCAGCCCCCCCGATCAAGCTAAACGCGAGCAACGTCATTGGCGACGCCCAGTTGCGAGGGAACAGTAGTATACAGGGAGTAGCTGGAGCGATCGAACGTTGACTTATTAATAATTATACGGTTACGGCCAGCCGATAGCTACTTTGCCGCCCTTCCAGCCTCCCGCGATATCGACAGAGCAAAGCTACCCCGGTCGTTCTTCCTAAGACCCTGCTAATCCTCACGCTAGCCGTCGGCTCGAGCACCCATCCTTAGAGCACCGGACAAAAGCGCTTACGTTCACATGCTAGCACCAGCCGTCTCCGTAAGTGGCTTGACCCCCGGTCACTTTGAAACAATCTCTTCGTGATTGGTTAGCGGGTATTTGCGGGGGAAAGCTTAGGAGGAAACAAGAAAAGGAAGATCGACACCGACATTGTGTGGCAGGAGTCAGTTTCCTGTCATGTTGGTTGGGGGGTTAAAGCGAATGTTTCCGACAGTAGGATGAAAAACTGGCTGTTCTGGTTCATGGAGGGCGCGGGCAATTCTTCTCCGCCACTCTGCACCTGCGTGAAGGAAAGCAAGGCGGAATAAAAAGCGACCAACAGGATCTGCGCAGTACCATGTGGCGCGCGACCGTACGGAGGGGCACCCGGAGCTGAATATGCTGGTGTGAAATCGTGAAATCGTGAAATCCTTTTCTTTTTTACAAAAAAGAAAGCATATTGTAGGGAGCTGAAGCTGCTGTCCGGACGTATATGTAGAATTATTAATTCAACGTTTACGTCCGGACGATAGCTTCAGCTCCCCCCATAACACAGATTACAGGTCAACATCTCGCACGGGTCGGATCCAACTAATCTCACGCATTGCTACGGATAAGGTAGGAGAGTCGTGCTGAAAGGGAAAGCCATTCCGCATTCTCCAAATGGAGACTAGGAGGGGAATCTATGGGGCTGCTCCACGTCATGGCCAGCATTCCCACCCCCACACCCTGTCCCATCCCTCCCAATCATCCCTCGCTTCCCGTGTCCGCAAACGGTCTCGGAGCTGCAGAAGCCAGGAACATTCCACGTCTGGTGGCGTCCACATCCGGCTAGCCCAAGGGTCCATCGGCCCGTGGTCTGCGCACCTCCTCTCATTTGACAATCTTGCACACCAGGTCCTGCGCGTCGACGGAGTCGCCCTCCTTGACGCCTAGCGAGCCAATCTTGCCCGAATGTGGTGCCGAGATGACCATTTCCTAGACGCACCGTCAGCTACTCGTTTCGCCAAACATAGTTTTCGACTTACCATCTTCATCGCGCTGAGCACCGCGATGGGGTCACCCTTCTTGACATCCGAACCGTCGTGCACGCGCACCTCAACCACCACACCAGCCATTGGGGACCCAACTTGGCTGCTGTCGCTGCTGTCCGCCTTGGGTCGGCTGGTGTTCTCAATGGCTGCGTGCTTGTCGTCAACAGTGACTTGTCTGACCTCGCCGTTCATCTCGTAAAACACCTCGCGCTGGCCCGTCTGCTCCGACAGCGGTCCAATGGCAAGGAGCTTGAGGATTAGCACCTTACCCTTCTCCAGCTCGACGTGGAACTCTTCGCCGATCTCCGGCCGAGACAAGAAAAAGCGAGTCGGCAGCACCGACAGGTCTCCGTACTTCTGCTGGAACTTCTTGAAGTCCTCGAACACCTTGGGGTACATGACAAAGCTGGCAATGTCCGTCTCGGTTGCACCGCCAAATTTCTCCTTGAGGTCCTTGCGGACCTTGTCAAAATTGACAGGCTCCAAGTACAAGCCGGGGCGCTTGTCCATCTTGCGGCGCTCACGCAGAGCTTGTGTGCGCAGCGGCTCGGGGAAGCCTCCGTACGGTTGGCCCATGAGACCCTCGAAGAACTCCAGCACCGAACTGGGGAAGTCGAGCTGCGGGGCTTTGTTGAGCACATCATCGTAGCTGAGGTTGTTCGAGACCATGAACTGAGCGAGGTCACCCACGACCTTCGAGGTTGGCGTAACCTTGACAATGTCGCCCAAGATATCGTTGGCCTCCTCATACGCCTTCTTCGTGTGGGCCCACTTCTCACCGAGACCCTGTTGAGAAGCCTGGAAAATGAGGTTGGTGAGCTGGCCACCGGGAATCTCGTGCTCGTAAACCTCAGGGTCGGGGCCAGTGAGCCCAGCCTCGAAGGGAGAATACAACAGACGGAGCTGCGCCCAGTAGGCATCGAGGTGACGGATGACATGGCTGTCAAGGCCAGGGTCGTGAGGACCGCCCTCAAGAGACGCTAGGACAGCGCCAATGCTGGGCTGAGAAGTCATGCCTGACAAGCTGTCAATGGCAGCGTCGACCGCATCGGCACCGGCCTGGGCGCACGCTACCATCGAGGCGACACCAGTACCAGCCGAGTCGTGCGTGTGCACGTGAATGGGCAGATCGGGGTACTTCTCCCGGAGGGCACTGATCAGCTGGGTGGCAGCCCTAGGCTTTAAAACACCGGCCATGTCCTTGATGCCAAGGACGTGAGCGCCCATCTTGACGATCTTTTCGGCAAGATCCATGTAGTATTCGAAATTGTACTTCTTCTTGGGGTTCTGATCAGAAAATGTCAGCCTTTGCTCTTTTATGTGTTTCCGATAGGCAGAGAAGGTCCATCTCATCGATCGACAGGAGAAAAAAAAAGAACCATTTACATACCAGCACTGTAGAAGAATAATAGTTAGCCAAAAATTCTCTTACGGAAGCAGACTAGACTTACTGTCACCACTGTAGCACAGCGTTCCTTCCGCAACGCCGCCGGCCTTCAAGACAGCCTTGATGCCAACCTCAAGCTGTGCAACATCATTGAGAGCGTCGAAGACACGGAAAATGTCAACTCCGTTCTTCTTCGCCTGCTCGACGAAGTGCTCGATGGCGTTGTCCGGCAGTGAGGAATAAGCGACACCATTGGCACCTCTAAGCAGCATTTGAAAGGGAATGTTCGGGACAAGCTTCCTCATCTGCCTCAGCCTGTCCCAAGGATCCTCGTAGAGGAAGCGCATGGCCACGTCGAAGGTAGCTCCACCCCAGCACTCAAGCGCCCAGGCATTAGCATAGGCATGGCTAGTTTCCTTGGCAATGTTGAGGATGTCGACAGTCCTGACACGAGTGGCCAGCAGGGACTGGTGAGCATCACGCCAAGTGGTGTCCATGATAAGACATCCTTGGTGCGCACGAACAGCTTTGGCAAAGGCTTCAGGGCCCTGCTCAACGATGATGTTTCGCCAGCCCTTCTGACACGGCTGAGAGACGTCGAGAGTCTTGCCGTCGTGAGTCTTAAGCTCGGGAATCTGGATGTCTCCCTTGAACTTGGGCTCACCAATTTGACCCTTGATCTGGCTGCCGTTGACAGCAAGATCGCCAAGGTAAGAAAGCAACTTCTGAGCACGGTTCTGGCTGCCCACCAGGGCAAAGAGCTCGGGAGTGTCATCGATGAACGTGGTCCAGCACGTTCCATCGATGAAGACAGGGTGAGTGAGCAGAGAAGCCAGGAAAGGAATGTTAGTCTTGACACCGCGGATGCGGAACTCAACGAGAGCACGGAGCATCTTCCTCCGGGCAATTTCGTAGGTCGAGCCATGGCAAGTGCACTTGACCAGCATGGAGTCATAGTGGGGAGTGATGACGGCGCCAGCAAAGCCATTGCCACCGTCCAGACGGACACCGTTGCCACCTGCAGAGCGATAGACCTCGATCTTGCCAGTGTCGGGCGAGAAACCCTTGGCAGGGTCTTCGGTGGTGATGCGACATTGGATGGCGAAGCCACGGGTAGAAATGCGATCCTGAGTCAGACCAAGCTGAGCCAGAGTAGCACCAGCGGCAATCTGAATCTGGGCTGCAACAATATCAATCCCAGTGATTTCCTCGGTGATGGTGTGTTCAACTTGGCTGTTTCAGTCAGCAGCTGCCTAATACGGCAGTCCGAAGCTCCGGGCTCACTCACATGCGAGGGTTGATCTCAATGAAATAGTATCTGTTTTGCTGATCGACAAGGAACTCGGCGGTTCCGGCGTTGCGGTAGTTTACCGATTTGGCCAGCTTGACCGCATCGGCAAGAATGGCATCGCGGGTCTCTTGCGGGAGATCCTTGGCGGGCGCAATCTCGACGACCTTCTGGTGACGGCGCTGGACGGAGCAGTCACGCTCGAACAAGTGGACCACGTTGCCGTGGTTGTCGCCGAGAAGCTGGACCTCGATGTGCTTGGGCTTGTCGAGGAAGCGCTCGACGAAGACGGTGCCGTTTCCAAATGCGGAGCGTGCCTCAGAAGTGGCTCGTTCGAACGAGTCCTTCAGGCTCTCCTGATCGCGGACCACTCTCATGCCACGGCCACCGCCGCCGAAGGCAGCCTTAATGATGATGGGAAAGCCATACTGGTCGGTGAAGGCCTTGACCTCCTCATACCTCTCTACCGGGTCTGATGTGCCTGGGACGACGGGGACGTTGCACTTGATGGCGAGGCGGCGGGCCGAGACCTTGTCTCCAAGGGCGTCGATGGTGCTAGGAGTGGGGCCGACAAACTGCGGTCACGATGGTGTCAGCAGCGGGCTCGCGACGTGTAGCGTTGCATGTGCGCGGGTTCCACAATTGTGTAGCTGCTGGGCAGCTTGGCGGCAGAAGGGCGTCGCGGCGCGCTAGCGTGGTGGAGAGCTTGCTTTTTTCGAGTCATAGGGCAGGGCGGGTGCATTTCGCCCTGTTGGCGAAATTGGTCACTTACTATCAGGCCGGCCTTCTCCACGTTGCGCGCGAATTCGGCGTTCTCAGACAGGAAGCCATAGCCCGGGTGGATCATGTTGACATCGTGCTGCAGCGCGATCTTGATGATCTCGTCGCCGGCCAGATACGCGCCGACGGGCGTGTACTGCCCGCGCTTGCCGATGACGTAGGCCTCGTCGGCCTTCTGCCGGTGCATGCTCAACCGGTCCTCGTAGCTGTACACGGCCACGGTGTGCAGCGACAGCTCGTGCGCGGTACGGAAGATGCGGATGGGAATCTCGCCGCGGTTTGCAACTGTCCGCACGTCAGCTTGCCCGTCGTCGTCGCCCGCCGCGGGCAGCCTTACCCAGCAGCTTCTTCAGCTGCATGATGGAGCTATTGGCGCGCAGCCGCTGGTGCACCGAGTTGCGCTTGTCAATGTGGTCGTCGTCCGCATCCTCGACGGCCGCGCCGGCCTGGATGACCGTCTTGTCGGCCATTAGGTCCGTCATGCTGGCGGCTGCAGACGGGTCCAGTGACAGGAGCAAGGGCGAAGGAGGGCACGCAGAGAGGGCTGATGGGTGGAGAGGGACGGGGAAATGGAAGTCGGCGGGCGAGGGCGTGGTGCGGAGGGCCGCCTTTATGGCAACTGGAAGCTATGCAGGTGGGCTGAAGCTTGGGCGCGAGCCAGAGCTGCGGCATGTGAGCTCCCGCGCCATAGTTTGACCCGCGATAACGCGCGGCCCGCAACCCGTGTCCCGTAGGAACCTCGCTGTCTGTTGACCGCCGGCGGAGCGCTCGTCCGGCGGGAGCGCTCTTCCTCGGCTGAACGCAGCAGCAAGAGTCATCGCGAAGGAGGGGCAGTTCGGGCGCTCGGCCTTAATTCGCACGCGTGCCTCCCACGCCGCTGATCGCCGCATGGGGGTTCCTGCGATGGCGGAGAAAAGATATCTCGACGGCGCGTTTGCTAAACCAGACGCCTCATTGGCCTCCGCCAACCGCGAGGCCGCTCCGTCACGCGCCCCGCCGGCCACGCCGTTGCGTCAAACTTTCTCCTCCGCCAACGCCCCGGCCGGCGACGACGTGCCGCCGTTGGCCTTGGCGCAGCTCAACACTTGCACGCGGCATACAGAGGGGTACTGCAGCCAAAAGCTAGCGCGAAGGATAGCAGCGGGCAGCTACGAACAGATGGATTTCACAATATTCCTGAGGAATTATTCGACTTGTGGGGGTAGTTGAAGCTACCGTCTGGACGTGGATGTATAATTGTTATTATACATCCACGTCCAGACGGTAGCTTCAAGCCCCCATGACATGAGCGAAAAAAAAATAATTCACGCTAGCCTTCGGCTGCAATACCCCTCTGTAAGAAGCAGATGCAATTCGAAGATCCCCGTCCGGGACCGGAAGATTAGAATACAGCATAACGTCTTTTCGCACAAAATGCAGAGCCCCAGCTTGCATCGCTGTTCATCAATACAACAACTGTACCGAGGCCAGAAACCCAAAGCCGTTGCAAAAGAGAACTAGCCCCCCCAGGCCTGGAACGATCCCCCGCTCACATGCAAAACCCTCGTGGACCCCGTAACCCATTAGTAGAATATGTCGTAGCCTCTTAACCTAGAATGCACGGTAGCCCGTCGTCTGAGGCGCAATGCCGTTGGCCTGGCCATACGGCGCTGGCGAGGGCGCGCTCGGGCCCTGCGTGAGCATGAGACGAGACGCTCCGAGTATCGGCGTGTTCTCCTCGTTCTTCTGCTGCGACTGCTCCCTCGTCTTGCGCTCCTCGTTGTCCTTCTTGAGCAGTTCAATGGTCGCCGCCTGCTGTGCCAAGAAGTTGATCATGTACGGCTGCCAAATATTAGCTCGGCCCTGACACTCCCGTAACCTTATGGCACTCACCATCGTAAAATCGTGGAGACCGTTGCGCCAGGACACCTCCAGAATGACATCAGGGCGGATCAGGTCGTAGCACGCGTAAAGCATGCCAACGTAGCACTCGCGGCTGCCGATGTCGACGAACTGCAACAGCGTCAGCCGGGATCTGGGGACGGCGAGTCACATTACTTACATAGCGCAGCAATTCTTCCACCACCTCCGCCTTGGCCGACAGGGCCGCCGTCTCGATGGCGTCCTTGAAAAGCTTGTCCTGCTTCGAAAGTGCGATCGACTTGTCCCAACGCTTGTTCTTGCGGTAGATGTTGGCAGCGATTTGCCTGAAGAAGACAAGATCGTGCTTCTCGAGGCGCTGCGCGAGCTCAACCGCATCGTAGTTGTCGTAGTTCTCGACCGAGTCGCGGAGAGTCTTGTAGTCCTCCTCCTCGATAAGCAGGTCATTGATCGCGTTGTTAACAGCCCTCTTGTTCTGCGACTGGACGTTCAGCAAGAACGGCTTGATGAGAGGAATGTTGTCCGACTTCTCAAACATGCGAACAACACGGTTAACATCGATCCTCGGCGTCAACGCCTGAAGGAGATCGGTAAGCAGCGATGGCTGCTCCTGGAGGTAGAAGTTCAACGCGCGGTAGTAAATCTCCAAGTTGGCAACCTTGACGACCGTGTCCTTGAACGAGTGGTGCTCCCAGGCATCCGCCGCACGCTCCATCATGGCCAGAGCAGCGTTATCCGGCTCGTCGTAGTGGACATACAAGAACACGAGTTCGGGCCAGAGGTGAGCCTCCTCGCAGGCGCGGATCATCTTGGGGATGTTGATACGGGACCAGAAGAGCCGGAGGTGCTCCATGACGCGCTCGGGGTGGTACTTGGAGAGAGCGATACCCAGCTCGGTGAACATTCCCATGTGCGCACGTTCAAGGCCGAGGCCGGCTTCGAGGAGAGCAATGAGCTCGTCGAAGTAGCCGTTCCTTTCGTACTGCTTAACGAGATCCGAGAGCTCTTCGGCGTGGACAATAAGGTTCAGGCCGCAAATCTGGGCGAGACGGAACTCCTTCTTGGCAACGCAGGCCTCGTTGACCTGTTTCCACACCTTGGTGCTGTTGGCCTTGCGAGCGCACTCGACAGCAGCCTGGTAGTCCTCCAAGTGCACAAGGGTGGTCGCAAGCTTCGCCCAATTGGAGATGCTGGTGAAGAAGATCTTGGCAGCTTCGTGGTAACCCTCCTCGTAAGCCTTGTCGCCAGAGGCTTCCACATCCGCGACGTTGGTCGCGCGCAAGAAGTCCTCGAGCTCAGCGAGCTGGTTGGTACGGGCGAAGCAGAAGGCCAAAGCGGTATCGATCGGGGGCTCACGCAGGGTCTTGCGAGCCATCCTCAGGAATTTGATCAGATCATCATCCTTGCCAGCATGCGTGGCAATCTCAATGACCTCGTTGTAGTTTGACGCGTCCTGAGCTCGGATGTACGACTCGATGGAGTCGGTTACACGCAGACCGTCCAGCTGGGCTTTGGCGACCTTGCTCCAAACCTCGGGCAGATCGACACGGTCGGCATACTCCTGGGCGCGGTCAATGCTGACGATGTGGTCAACAAGGACGTTGACAGCCTCGAGATGATTGTTGTGCTTCTTGTGGATCTCAAAGGCCTCGTCGTACATGCCCAACTCAATACACTGCGCGGCGATGTCGTCCGGAGTGTAGTTTTCAAGCTGCTGGATGTAGCCCATCAAGCGACCCTTGTCCGACTTGGCTGCAGTGAGCATAAGCAGGTTCTGCAGCGTCGGGTTATCGCTGAACGTGGATGGCTCCAGAATGATTTTCTCCAAAAGCTCGATAAGCTCGCCAGGAAGATCGTTGCCGATGAAAGCCTTGACAGCGACCGAGACCTTATCAGGCTCCTGAGACTCCGGCACGGCAGTGGCGATGACCTGATCCACCACCGACCTCTTGAAGAGGTTGTTGGCGCTCAACACGTAATCCCAGATTTCGGGATCGGACCGCTCAAGCAGGTATCTCGCCTGGGCTTTAAACATCGAGTTCTCGTTGGTGATGTTGATGAGCTCAAGATCGTTCTGGCCCTTCTGGTAGGCGATGAAGGCCAAGCTGGGGTCACGGGCCTCGCAGTATTTACCGACAGTGAGCGTGTCGTACTGATCGTTCTCACGCAAGAACTTCTCCGGGTTGTTGTTGCTGTCGATGTAGATCTTGGCGAGGGCGTTGTAGACAGCCTGCTGCTGGTTGCCGCTGGCGAGAGTAGCCTCCAGGAACGGTAGCAAGAGCTTGAGACGGTTGCGGGTCTCCACTTCTGCAACGAGCTCATCGATGGGGATCGAAGCAGGGTTGACTGACTGCAGCAGGCCCTTGATGATGTTTTCATCGCAGTCTACGTCGAGAAGACCGCCAATGACAGCCGGGGTCCTGGACGGATTCACGCGCTGAACATAGACCTCGATGGACTTGAACTGTTGCTGTTTGTACAGGTACAACACCAGGTCGTGGATGAAGTTGAAGCGGTCGCAGACAATGATGAGCGGGAGCTGCTCGGTCAACCTGGCCTCCTTGAGGAAGTTCTTGACCTTTTCCGGGTCGAAGAAGTTGTTCTCGCGGCAAATGCGCTCGACTTCGTTGAGCTGGCCCATGGCAGTCGCAGCCTCGATGTACTTGAAGACCACATCCTTGTCCTCGCTAAGGTTCACGATTCCACCGAGGTAGAAGAAGAGGCCCTCGGCGGTGCGGTACTTCTCCAGCAAGTCAATAATGCGGGTCGGGCCGAGAAGATCGGAGTACTTCTGGGCAATGCGAATGACGGACTGCAGATTCTGGCGGATGTTCGTCTTAAGCATCTCGTCCAAGCAATCGATGGAGAGCTCGACAGTCAGGTGACCAAAGTAGTTTATCAGCCATTCCTCGGGGAGCTTATCCGTGTGGATAATGATGCGCTTGATTGCGGCCGGGTCGTCGTTGTGCTCCAGCGCTCTCGTCAGCAGGCCGGCGTTCTCGCACAACTGGGCAATGCGCGCCTTGTCGTAATGAGAAAACATCTCGTTGCCGAGAATGGCGTCTGCTACCTGAGGAGCGTTGAGCAAGTTCATCTCTAGCAGCTTCGTCTGGAGGTGGCCCTGCTCCGGGAGGTTGGGCGCGAGGACGTCGAGCAAGAAGGCGGTGCACTGCTGAACCATACCCTGAGACTGGAAAATGTCGACGACACGGTCGATGTCGATCAAGGGGCCACTTTCCTCCTTGGCCAAGGCGGTCGCGAACTCGGCGCCCTTCTCCGGATTGACGCGCACAATGTGCTGGAGCAGGACGGTGAAATCGGGCGTGTAGCCACTCTGCTTCGCATACGGGAGAATCTCATCGAATCGGCCGAGCTCCGCCAGCGCAGCTACAACCTTCTGAGACGAACCAGCCTGCTGGTAGATGGTCAAGGCCAGATTGAGATCATGCAGCCTGACGATGTCTCCAAGCTGCTCCGAGCACTCCAGCTTGCCCTCTCCCAGCCATTTCTCCAGAAGATGCTTGCGGCCCTGCTGAAGAACAGGCCGTACCAGCTCCAATGTCTCGAATTGGTTCAGCTTGCCCTTGTCCAATAGCATGCCGAAGTATTGCAGGATAACAGACAGCTGGCCCTGCTGGGGAGGAGCCTGCTTGAAGCGCTCGATCGTCTGGGGTGTGCGAAGGAATCCACGGGGAGAGTTGGCCGCCGTCTTTGCCGCCTCGGCGTACTGGCCGGATGCCAAAAGGTTCTCAAATTGCTGCTGGTACAGGTTATCGGCACCAGGCAGACCGGCACGCGAAGCCAACCTGTAGGCCAGCTCGGCGTTGGCCGGGTTCTGCAGCAGGTAGGGTATCACAGTGTTTTCGTCGAGAGTGACGGACAAGACTTGGCCCTTGCGGTTGATGCCAATGATGCCCGCGGAGTCGGAGTCGGGTGCGGTAACGAAGATGGTGTCGCTAGAGATGCGGTTCATGAAGATGCAGGTGCCCGACTCCAAGTCGTACAGGTGGATGAAACCATACTTGGTGACAAGGTAGATGATGTTGTACTTCTCAGACACCTGCATGGCGACGGGGAAGTCGTTGGTAGCCTCGGGCGGGAAATAAACATCGACGGCCTTCTTCGCGAAAGTAGGGTTGCCAGCCTGATGATCAATCTCCACAACGTGCAGCTTCGCACCGGTTGCGGTCCTAACAGCGAAAGTGAAGACTTTGGTATCGGCGGGCGCACCTTCCATACGAAGCGTGCCAAAAGCAGCAGCGTGTCCCTCGATGTTTTGGCTGATGCCGCGATCTCTAGAGTAGAGCTGCATGGCTCCGACCACACGGCCCTGCTGCTGGGAAATGCCCACTATGACAGACCACTTCTCTTCGTCGTTGACCCGATAGTTGATGATTTGGCAGCCCTGTCCAATGTCAATTAAGCCCGCTTCCACAGGTATCACGGTATTATGCCCACCGAAAGGTTGGGGTTCCGGTCAAAGATCTTGACCGGCGTCGCCTGGTTCGGGTCGAAGATGTTCCAATGGTAGACGGAGTTCTCGGTGACGAGGCCGAGGCTCGATTCGCTATACCACTTCCAGAACACGACATCTTCGTTCATGGTGGTCGACTTCAGCTTCGCCTTCTGCGCCAAGTCGAAGATCTGCAGTGTCCGCTGCTGGGCCTTCAATGCGATGATCTGCTTGTTGTAGTGCATGATGGCGCTGTCGGCCTTGATGGGCCTCCGGATGATGTTGTTGCCATTTTTGAGGTCGATTATGATGACTTCGGGCGAGGCGCTCTGGTCGGCCTGCTGCCTGACGCAAATGTACGAGTCGGACTCAAGGGTCTGGCGAGCGAGTCAATTCCAGCCCACGCGACGCGACGCGGCTCCGAAGCGCGGGACTTACACATGAGTTGAATCCTATCGAGGTGGGCTGCTGTGCGGTCAGCGCGGCGCTCCGGCCAGACGTGTTTGCGCGAACGGGTGACGTACGAGGATGTCGACTTGCGACAGCTGCAGGTGGTCAGCAATCAGCAATGGCTCGGGAGCGGCGCGCGAATAGCAGGTACCTGTAGCAGCTCGGAGAACTTAATGGGAAGCGGTGCCATGGCTGCGAGTTTGTGCGGGTTCGTTCGTTACGCCAGCTCATCAACAAGAACCAACGCCACTCGTTATTAAGGAGAGGGTAATCGGAAAGGAAGGGGAAATCCAGCAAGCCGGGGCGCCGAGCTTGCGGGTGCGCGATCCAGAAGGAAAATGTAGGGTGGAAGTGAGGTGGTGACAGTTGCGAGGTCAACTCTTGTCAGGAGTTATGATCAAGCTGGCCGTGAGCTGCGGCCAGATGTCGCTGCCGCTAAGCCCAACGCGGCGCTAGGGCTGGCCAGGTCGTCATGGCACCCGCGCAAGGCTGCGCCCAGCGTTCACCACCATGTCGTCTTCTTCAGCTTTACGGGCTCGCGCGCGTGGCGCAGATCTGCCTTTGCCGTGTGCGACCAGCGCTTGATCATGGCATCTCCGTGCAGTGCGAACCCAGCAAAGAGACCCCCGCAACTTTACGTTCCTGCCCTCGCCCAGCAGTGTGAGGACCATACTGCCTCATCTCTGCTGGCCCAGGCCCTGTAGCAAAGACGAATCTCAGGGCGGAATTGATGGACCTCCGAATTCACATGCCAGCAGAGATTGCTGTACGCCGCACCTACAGGCCGCTTTATGTGGAGAACAGCGAGGATCGGGCTGCGTCAGAGTCTTCCCCAGACGTGACAAAGATGCCTTTGCGCCAGACAGTTACTACACAAGGCCGTTTTGAACGAACGTCCGGCAGTTCTCCCCCAGCTTCTTTGTTCAAGACTGCAGTTGGACTCGGCGATGGTCACAAACATTCATTGCTTTGGTAGGGCTTTGTCACATGCTCCGTCTATGTGCCCGGCGACAAAGGCCGAGATATGCAGAACCATGAGGAATGACGGTGACGGCATTATTCTTCGAGCTAATACTTCTCCGGGAGCGCTTGTGCTGCACAAGTCTTCGCCGGCCCCAAGACCAGGGAGTGTCGTAGACTATATCTAGTCAGCTGCTGAATCTTGAGGCATGCACGCTCGCCCGACGGCGGAGCGCGTTAGCTGCTCTTATTTTGGACGCGGCGTCAGCGAGAGACCGACTTCGGCGCGACGTGCTGAGATCGGCTTCCGCAGAACGAGCGAGCGACGTGGAGTGTTTCAGTGGACGCAGGCAACAGGCACACGGTGGCCGTCTGCACGAAGCTGCACGAAACGACAAGATGATTCGGCGCGACGCAGCGCGGATGCACGAGAAGGCGCACAAAGTGTTGGCGTGTATAGGCGAAGCTGGGGTGTGAGAGCGCAGGACGCAGCCACGCAGCGCAGTGCAGCCCGAGCCGGAAAATTAGCGAGGGGGAGGGCACCGGCCGTCAGAGCCTGAACAAAGTCGCCCTCAAGCAACCCACCTTCAATTTCCGCATCCACCTCTCCCAACTGCCGACCGCACGCGCCCAAGAGACCGCGTCTGACGGCCCATCCTCACCACCCTCGCCTGCACTCCGTGACACGATCTACACGCGTCCGCAACGCCCAACACCATGCCGCCATCGAAGTGGGGTACGTCATGAATCACGAACCACAAAAACTCCTGTTCGCCGAGGATCGCCTCGCGCCACAGGTGCCGGCCCGTGGACAAGGCTGACCGCTGCTGCTTACCTTCAGACGACGAGAGCGAGGGTGAGGGCAACTCGCCTGCGGCACCCGTCGTGCGCCGGGGCAAGTTTGACGACGAGGAGGACGAGAACGATGTAGGCCTGCACTCGTGCCCGCGTCCGCTTTCCCTGTGCAGCATGTACTAACCAGCCGCAGGTCCTTGACTCCTGGGATGCCGCCGAAGACTCCGAAGTCGAGCGCGAGAAGGAGAAGAAGGCCGCCGAAGCCATGGCAAAGGCCCAGGCTGATGCCAAAGCGAACCACAAGACCAAGAGCCAGAGAATAGAGGATCGCATCAAGGAAAACAAGCTGAAGAAGCAGGCAGCCGCGGATGACAGCGAAGAGGAAGAGGACGAGGCCACACGCCGCGCACGGCTGCGCAAGTCCGAGATGGACTCCGACCTAGCGGCAGCCGAAGACCTCTTCGGCGAGCTGGCTATCGGCGGCGGCAGCAAGCGCTCTGCCGCGAAGCCCACCCTCCTGGCCGACCCGAACGATGCGAACAACACCATCGACCTGTCGACGCTCAAGATTTTCAACCCGAGCACCAAGGATGACTTCCACAAGCTCCGTGACACGCTGGCGCCACTTATCGCCGCCAACAGCAAGAAGCCGCAGTATGCTCTTTTCCTGCAGGAGTTCTGCAAGCAGATTGCCAAGGAGCTCCCCAGCGATCAGATCAAGAAGATCTCCAGCGGTCTCACTACGTTGTCCAACGAGAAGATGAAGGAGGAGAAGGCGGCGGAGAAGGGCGGCAAGAAAACCAAGGCGGCGAAGACGAAGACGAGCTTGAACGCTTCACGCGACGTGGCGTACAAAGCTGATACTGCAACCTACGACGACGACTTCGGCGAGTAAGTTTTCGCGGCAGCATCGAAGCTTGGCTCAAACTGACGGTGCATCAGCGACGATTTCATGTGAAACCAATTGCGGCTCGCCCTTTTACACCCCACCTCCCCCACCTACTCGAAGCGACGTACATCAATTCAAGATGCCGCTGCCGACGCAGCGCGAGTGCGAGTCTGCCTCGCGGCGGAGCTCGTCTTGCGCTCATGAAACGGCCCGCAAAGCTCTCACGCCAATCCGGCAGACTAGTGACAAAACTCGGCAAGGCTGCCTCGTGTGCAAGAGGCGTGCGAAGCGGCGGGATCGGAAACCACAGCCTCGTAGGGTACACGCGGTTGGGGATGTTGGAGACGTCTCTGTCGCATTTGCTCCCGGCGTTTGGATGTCGGTTATACCTGCACAAACTCAGACCACGTCCTTCGATGAATAGCCACAACTCTTTTCCTCATCCACTAGCTCTAGGGTTCTTTGGGCATACATGGGTCTGTCTGGTCGGCACGACTTTCGGTTTTCATGTATCTTACTTGGGTAGTTTCAAGGAGGAGCAATGAGAACAGCATACACTTCTTCCTCTGCATTTCCATCCAGACTTCTACACGGCGGTGCGTCAGCTCTTCGCCTCGGCCTTCCCTCCGGGCTCGTAGATCGCGGTCGGTACTCGAGGCACGGCTTCGTTTGGTACAGATGTGCAGCTTGCGGCCCCGCCGCGCCGTTCAATGCAGACACTACGGCCGTGATCCACGCGAGGCTGTAGGATGAGACCTGGCAGACGACCGCGCCGCGCCGGGTGGTCCACCACTTAGAAACAGCTGCTATGCTTTTTCAACTCATTTTCCACCAATGATGCCGGCTACACTTCCTCATGAAGGCACTTGCCGGAGTGTTTGGAGAAGGTTGACGCGTTCGCGGTTGGGCTGTGGCTGTGGGCTGGGAGACAGCGACGGACCAGAGCTTGGTGCCCGCTGAGCAAAGCAGCCTAGCCCCCGACATGTTTGTATGAGATAAGTTATGCAGGAAAAGTGTGTGTCGAATGCTTCCTAGCAAGTTTCTCCCTATAAGAAGCGCGAAGCACTCAGGCCAAGCTATGCCTCGATGCACCGCTTTTCGCCTCCTCTACATACCACCCACTCAGATATAAGAAGAGCCTGCACCAATGGTCGCCCTCATCGAAAACCACGCTCTCGAGACGAAGCCGTTCATGTCCCTTTCGCCCAAAGCAGGGGCTGCGCAAGAGGCAATCAAGGTGCAGGGCCGGCGATATGCGAAGCTCAGAGATGAGGCCGGCGACATTGACGTCCTTCGAGACATTTTGAAAAATATGATTGCTGATTCAGAGAAGTAAGTACTCACCACGTATCCTGTCAAGTCGCCCGCACACAGATCTAGACCTGTCTTTCGTCGGCCGATACCCTTCTCGACCACCCCCGTTTCCTATCACGGCCGTCGGTTCTTCAAGCGGAGATGTATACCTGTTCTCTTTGTCCGCTTTACATTATTTACGTTTCCTTTTTTCCATATTTAACTTTAGGCTCGCCATCTGGCGAGAGATCATCTCGGATCCGGGTTTCACATTTCATGACCTTTCGCCTACTCTCTCACAAGCGAGCTTCTATTTTGATCGCCTACGGACGCATCATTTGGTGCTTGCCCCCCCATCCTCACACTAGCGGGCCGTTGCTTACCCTTTGCGAAATTTCGGCCTTCTCCACATCAATGCAATGCGCCCTTCATGCATTATGCACATTGCAAATACACAGTTCCGCTTTCATTTTCACAATCACATGTCGATCCACGTCGCTCTTTTCCCATACTGTCCATCTTTCCCCACGGCTTCTCTTTAACCCAGCGCGCCATGTCTCACATGGAAAACGGCCTGGCTAACTGCGACAGACTCATGCACACTCTGGTCCAGCAGCAAAGCACGGCTTTAGCCGAGCCCTTCGAGGTCCATGAACGCCGCATCGAGACACTGCAAGCCAACATCGCTCAGTACAGACTACAGTCGCTACATCTGGAGCTCGACGATGGCGCTCTGGGCAACGAAGGCTGGGACGAGCAGGAGAGAAGCTCGTGGTTGAAGCTTTGCGAATGATGATGACAGGAGGCCGGGGACCTCTTTCCTTCTCCCTGGATTCCTTTGCTTTGTATATCTTCTTTCTCATTTTCTCTCCTTTTTGCCATGCTTCCGCCCATTCTTTCTTGCCATTTTGCGGGGCTGGCGATTCACGAGGCGGCTACCTCACCCGTTCTTTGCACGACTTTCGGTGGCAATACCATGTGAGGGGGTTGTGGGGGACATCCTGGTCAGGTATAGTGACGAAGACTACGTTCCTTGCGAAGGATTAAAAGAGACGAGAATGCGGCGTCTTTTGCTATCACTCGCTCGAGGCCACGGCGCAAGGACAGGCCGTTGGCACCAACAAATCAAAGAAATCCTTCTGAGAACTGATTTTGTGTGCTCCACCACTGAGATGGCAGCTGGTATCCGAGAAAATGATGGGGGGGGGGGACAGCGGATTGGTCCCGGTTTTTTTCGATGTTCCTCAACCTACCTCCGCAACGCCGTGCCCATGCATGAGCGATAGCGGATACCCGATATCTGACCCGAAGCTCTTTTCTTGACGATCCAAACCAAAACGCCTTACCACCAGGTCTCCGACCACACGCAGGCCTGGTACCGGTACCTTTAAAATATAAGAGCGAAATTTCGCGCAAGGAAGGCCTACTTCTCCGGCGCATCTGGCAATCTCTCGATCACGTACTTTCCCCGGGCTACGGACATGATGGGAATACCGGGTACTTTGCGTATCCTCCGCTTGAGGTCGCGGTCGTTCGTGGCCACAATGTATACCTTGTGCTTCTGGACCCTGTCGACGATGCCTGACGCTCGATCAGCGCCGAGCTCTGGCGTGAGCTGAGGAAGCGACTTACAGTCATCTGCATATACGCCCTTGTGGTCGCATTCAAGGCGCTCCCACCGCTCATCGCGAGCTATCCTGAGCGCAATGCGATATTTCGGACCCAGCTTCTCCAATTCCTGATCCTGAATCAGCGCGCAGAGCTCCGGCGCAAGTTTCTGGGGAGGCGACTTACAGCCATCACGCAGGAGGTGATCACCGGGGTACATTTCGCGAATAATGTATCCATCATCGATGGAAGCAGCTCGAGCTTCCGCTGGACGGTGTGGGAGAGGAAGTTCTGGGGATATGGTTAGCGGGCAGGGCCTGGTGCAGCTGGGCGCGGCGCTTACGGTATCCACGAGGACTGAGCTATACGCTTCGCGTCAGAGAGAAATTCCACCCGATGGTTCACGCGATGCACTCACTAGGGAGGGACCAGTGCCGTATTGTACTGGAAAAAAAGCGAAGACGAGACCTGGGGCACCTCGCGCACGACATCGTCAGGTTTGGCCTTCTTCTTCGCCTGCTCGGCGTCGGCGGCCAGCTGGTTTTTCTTGAGACGGGCGTCGCGCTGGCCGATGATGCGCTTGACCTGGGCGAACTTCCTGGTGCGCTTCTGGACACCCATGGCGACAGGGGAGGGCGGGGGCAAGACAGCAGCGGTGGAGGAAAAGTGAAGGACTATTTGTTACCTTATCGCTATCGCCGGGGCTCGGAAAATTGGACGGGCCGGTGCCATACTCGGGTGCCAGGCACTGTTTACCCAGCGGCCCCTGCTGATCGCGATGCAGCAAGGCACGATCCGGGGCCCTGCAGCCCAGTCTTCCTGTTGTCCCACAGCGCACCGCCAGACGCTGCATCCTCGCTCTCGGCTCCGTGCATTGCATTGCCAAAAGCACTCTGCTCGTGCAGTGCCGACGCGTGAAGAATCCGCCCTGCGTGTTCGCTGAGCCGGCGCATCACGCGCTGCCGAGCCACGCGCCAGGCAAGAGGCAATACGAGATCGTTGCGACGCTCCCTTTGTCTCCTCCACACGCCAAACACCGACTTCTTCAGCTTTGCTTCTCCCGAGTCGACGACGATCCTCAACCCGCCCGCCCACCATGCGGTCCGTCGATCGTGCGCCCGCTTGCGTGCAACTCGCTGACCTTCTCCAGGGCCCTCTATGCGCTCCTCTTGCTCCTTGCGCTGCTCACTCTCGCCTCCGCCCAGAACGACGCCACGACCACTGCCGCCGCAACCACCGGAGACGACGCTGCTACGACGAGCGCCGCGACGACGACCGGCAGCGGTACCGCATCCTCGGAAGAAAGCAGCACCACCAGCGACTCTACGTCCAGCACACAATCGGCCGCTTCCACGACCGCCGCGGCCGCCACGACTGATGATGCCTCCTCGTCCACGACCTCTGCCTCGTCTTCGACCCGCAGCTCCGCTACCACCACCCTAGGCAACACCGCCACATCCGTCCGCTCCTTGACTGGCCTGCCTACCTTGGCCGGCGCCGGCATTCCCACGGTGATTGTGCCCAATCTTTCGAATGCACCCTTCATGCAGAAGTCGACCTACCCAGAGGGCACCGTCTTCATCTGCGTCGCCGCCATCCTCGGCTTCCTTGGCATGTGTATCCTGGCTTGGCGTGCTATGATCGCATACTCGCTGCACCGCAGCGTCAAGAAGGCGGCCATGGCCCAGAGCATGAGTGACAGCAAGACCATGCGCGGTCCTGGTTCCACGTACGGGCCCGGCGGCGCCATGTACAACGCAGTGGGACACGGAAGCACCCTATCCTTGGATCATCTCAAGTCCTCCCACGGTGCTTCGAAGTCTCCGCTGGAGAAGACGCGCTTCGTCCCCAGCCAATCGTCGCTCTTCTTTTCTCCCACCGCCGACAATCCGAACCGCGTCTCGCACTACAGCATCTCGGGCAATCGTTCCTCGACCTACCTCCCTGCCGGCTACTACGCTGCGGGCAATTCGGCTCTCAGCCCGACTGCGAACAACTTCGGAAACCCGCGCACCCGCTCCATGTATTCCCAGCACTACCTCGGTCCCTCGCCGCCCGAGTCTCCCGGGCTACCGCCGAGTTCGCGCGACGGCCCTTCGCACATCCCACACAGCCCGCTTGAGTCAAGGCATCCCAGCAACTCGTACAACAACGCATTGTACCCGCGGCCCTCGGGAAGCCGTGGTAATGATTCATCTGCGGGTGCCCGTAGCAGCGTTGCCGGCACCGTGGCCGGTGCAAATAGCACGAGCACGATAAATCTGACTGCTCCGCCGCAGGGCCGCGCACCCAGTGCCTACCTCGAGGATTTGTTTGAGAATGGCACAGATCTCCCAGGGCCTGCCCCAGACCACTACACGCCAAGGCGGGGCCGGCGTGAGAGCGGTTCGCGCTTTTGAGCTGCGCGCTCTTCATTTTTCCACACCGTTTTCTAGAATGGCGCATGAAGGACATTAGTGCAATGGGTCTGTCACAAATTAGACGCTGGAATTCAACAATATACCATCATGCATGTCCGCTGGCGGTTGGAAAATAAGCGGCTGCGTCGAGCGAGGCACTCCATTACGTGAGTCGGGTGGGTTTATTCATTTTGCATCTTTCTGCAACCTCCTGCGTGTGGCTTCTTCTATTCACGACTTCCCATCATCATTGGTGTTCGGTTGCCAGGGTTAATAAGATGATCGGACGGGATCGAGCCTGGCCAACGAGTTATTTGTGCATATTTTCCTTCGATTTATCCTAACGTCTTATGCGTAAGGAGTACACGCAACGTGTGTAAGATACCATTGATCATTCTAATTTGTACATGGAAGCAAGGAACGCCGTAGGGTGGCGACATGACGAAATGATTATGTTTTCGATTCGTGATGCTGGCGTAGTTGCTCTGATGTTCAAGGGAAGTGGCAGAAACTGCACAGTTCAGTTTTGGAGCATGAACTTGGACATGTGCATTCCCGAGCCAAGCCATCTGAACCATAAATCCGCTTCTCGCAGCTTGTGACCTTGTGTCGCCTCTTGTTTGTCCCAACATAGTGAAGAGGCTGTCATCAACTCAACAGACTTTATAGGCAAGATTGGGATCCTACGTGGCATTTATTTTGGGATGTGATTTCACGTAGTAAACTCATGGGTGCTGTAACAACGGACCTGCACTTTTGCATAATGTCGTGAAACGATCGTTCGGGTGTCTGCAAAGCTAATATGTGAAATGCAACGTTTTCCCACCCGATGTAGCAATGTTTCTCTGGAGCTCTATCTACCTACTTATATTATATAATGTACTTTCATCGCTTGTAAAGACTCTGTCTAAGTGCAAACTGCTCTCAACTTCGCCTGCTGGGTCCAATATGACACCGAAAACCTGCTGCCTCATCGCCTCTTTCTCTTTCTACCCACAAGCCACTACCTTACGTCCATATTCCAACTAAGCCACGCACGCTTCGCTTCTAGCCGGAGTCTATGCTTTGATGAAATCTGAGCTATTTCTTTCTTGCCCTTTTTTTCCGACTATCCGAGCATAAAGTAAACATTTAAATACAGCCACAATGAACTATGAAAGAGCATACTCGGTAGAGGGTATGGATACATACATAGGGCAACATATTAATGCTAGTTTTCCAACTCAATATCCACGACAATAAACATAAAGTTAGACTTTTTTAAGTCCGGCACCACCGGCTTGTACACAACCTTCCATGCAACTTGCGGGTAGTACAACTCACCACAGTAGTTAGGCGCTAAATCTTTCGTTTCGTACTCCCTTTGAGATCCGATAAAGCTGGCAAAATGAAGCGCTAGTGGATGTCGTAGCATGTGCAGTCATTCACGATGGATACTTTCAATAATCAGGCGAAGTTTGTTCCCATGTGTCCGTAATTTGGCCTCCAGCTGAACCGGCTGGCTACGAAAACACTAATAACAATACAGGCCTTCGCTATTCTCGTTTGGCCAGTTCAATTTCCGTCAAAACCTGTCCTTTTCTTTTGGAAAGACTATGTATGTAACGGGAACGCCTTTCTTGCCTCATTCTTCCAAAAAGCAGTGAAACAGTAGTCGTCAAGGCAGTAGGAGGATACCTCATACAAAAATACAGGAGGATAAAGGCAAAACGCACATTGGGAAGCCCGAGTTCCCTGTTTTGGTTTCCTTACTCCCTAAGGATAGGGGATCCCGAAGACGTAAAAGGAACAGGCTGCCTCAATTTCGAAATACAGCCAACGCCCGAGACAAAACAGCGAGACTGCAATTCCCCTATCCGGTTTCTGGTGAAACGGTGACCCCCCCTCCAAAAAAAAAAAATTAACGCCGTGAAAGGAGACAAACAAAGTCATAGCAATCGTGACGGTGCCCAGGTAGTTAACCCACGATCCAGTGCGGAGGACATCTCCATGAGCCACAGCGGGCCGATGGAAGCCAGCAAGCAGCCGCGAAGCAAAGACGGTCGCTGTCTGAAGACAGGGAAAGCTTCCTACGACGTTCATGATGTAGCCAACCGGGGAGAGACAGACTGCAGCGGTTGCAAATAAACAGGTGCAGGCTATGATGCTCAAGTCGATGGCCTAAGTAGCGGGCTGGAGGATACGAAAGGTCGTTGTAGGAAGCGATCTTTGTTGCTTCCCATTTGCCTTGGCGGAGGGTAAGAGCAGCACGTGGAAGCATGGTGAACGTCAATGTGGTGGCCCGGCCCGAGTGCGCAGATGCCGTGGGGTGTTACGCACGAAGCGTGGTAGTGATGTCAGTCGTCATTCGTGATGATGTTGGCCCGGCAAGCACTCTAGTCCATGTAGAAGTCACCCTTCAAGATACGCTCCTGGAAGGCATCGGGGGCCTTGGCGACCTTTGGTACCTCGCGAATGGGCTCGGCAGTGGCGATGCTCTTAGCCCGGTGATGCATGGGCGGAGAGACCCGGCCAGGGCTGGCAGCTGAAATGGAAGAGCGCTCTGCTCGGGTACGCATGTTCTCAGCGAAGTTAAAGCCATCTGGACGATCGCGGCGTCAGTGAGAGCTCAAAGATGATGGAAAACAATCACATGGCCCCCGTCCTCGCGCCGGAGAGCGAACGACGGGAGCAAGGAGTAACAGATGTCAAAGTCAGCGGGGGAGAAGGGACTGTACACGTAACATGCGGCAAGGGCAGCGCAGAGGGAATAGAGGGCAGCGAGCAAGACAGACCTCGACCCTTGGTCGCAGTAATGTTCGAAGACGGGGTAGGAGACTTGAAAGAAGCATTGGGGCGAGCTCTACCATTGGCAGATGTGTTTCCGCTCCCATTTCCCTGCTTCACGTCGCGAAGCGCCCGGGCACCAAAACTCAGCCTGCGCGCAAACGGCGACGTAGCGGCAGTGTTGGGCGGACTGTTGGAGCTGGACGTGTCGTCGTCGTCGAATGGGCTCTCGTTGAAGGAGCCCGAGGTGGCAGACGAAACGCTCTCGCCACGGCTCCGCATGGTGCTGAATGGAGAAGGCTGGCTGGGCGAGCCCGACAGACCGAGGGTGGTCAGTGACAGGCGGCGACGGTTGGCCTGGGCGGCGGCAGTGGTGATTGGGCCCTGATAGTTCGCATTGCCGTTGGCGTTGGCGTTGTTGTTGGCGTTGTTGGGGCTCTGGCCGGCGGGCTGGCGACCGAACAGGTCGGCGAAGGCCTGGCCGGCAAAGGACGAGCGGCGGCGCTCGGTGGGGGGAGGCGAGCGGGGCGGCGAGTTCGTGTCGGACATGGCGGAATTGGCGGATGCGAGGCAGATGGCGCTCTGATGGGGCGGACGGGGCGTAGGACGAGGGCAGTGGTTTGGCGGGCCCGGCAAGGGGCAGGCGCTGGCTTATAACGCGGGCGAGGGCGTGTCGCAGGGCGGCAGGCAGCGCCGATTACGTCAGGGCAGCGTGGTGGGGAGAGCAGACGATGCGGTCGCAGGGCGCAGGGCAGCGGCAGTGGGGAGCGCGGGACTGCTGGCACGAGTAGCTGGCAGGGGAGGCGAGCGGGAGAGGGCGGTCGAGGAATGCAGCGGGCGGACGAGGAGGTCGTGGTAAATAATGGAGCAGGAAGGAGCAGCCACGACTGGCCGCTAGGGACCGCCGATCGCTGCCGGGTGCGGGCTAGCGCTCCCCGCGCTTCGAGCACGCCCCCGTTGGCGCGCCGGCCTGGCATTGGCTTATCGCTCCGCTGACTGCGCACACCAGCTCTCGCGGACCGACCAGGAACACACCACGCCCTTCCCCGCCCGCCGCTGCACACGGCGGCGTCGCAGCCAGGAGGCATCATCCCTTCGCGGCGAGCGCCCACGTGAGCCAGCCAACGGCCTTTGTCCGCTCGCCTCCAGCTGCCGCGGCCACAGCCCTTATCACGTCATGCAGGGCTCAGACGCGTGTTGGGCACGGCGCTGTGCACGCCCTGCGCACGCTGCCCCTCCCTGCCGCCCCGTGGGTCGCCGGCGCCCCTAACGGGCGATGCACGGCGTCGGCCATGCGTCGGCGGGCGTAGCTGGCTGCTCGATGATGCTGGCAGCGGCACGCCGGCGAGTCAGCGCGCGAGCCACCAGATCTTCGCCCAACCCCGCAGTTCTGTGCACCAGGAGCAGTAAGCTTGCTCGGCGTCCCTTGCGCGCGCCTCCACGCCTCTGCGTGTCGCCCGGGCCCGTAGACGGCGTGCCTTAGCCTGCCTAGGAAAACTGGAGCCGGCTCACGAGATATCGCATCACGCTATCGGCGAGAACGGCTGCGTCTCAACTTGAGCAGCATGCCTCGGTGGTTCGACCGTCAGCCCATTCTGTCAACCTCCGACGTCTCCACTCTGATCAAGCCATCTTGAAGATCTCCGGCCCGGCCCGCCCATCTCGATGCTTCTTCATGCGTCCTGATGCTCACGCCGACCTATCGCGCGGCAGTCAGGAGACATAACCACCAGTCTCCTCGAAGCCCACCCTGTGTTTTGGTCCGAGTCGCACAACGCTGCTTGTCGAGCCTACCCGAGACCTTCGAGGCTCTCACACATGGCCGCGTGTAGGGCTAGATGGGTCCCTGTCTAGGCCAGAGCCACAAGTCATGGCATTATCAAACGCGTGTAGGCTAAGCAGGCGAAACATGCACCGAGTTCGAAATCAAAAGACATGGCGAAAAAGGAAGAGTGCTTTAGAATCCGCGTGAAGCTAATGTACACTGTGCAAGTGAAGACAAACGACTGGTGCTCTAATCTAAACAGCAAACACAAAAAGGACAAAATGAAACGACTGATGCAGTAGAAATTCTAATACAGGAACATGAACGAGTGGTGGGTTGGCAGTGAGCCGTCGGGTCTAATCGATCGTCTTCGCATCATCTCTACAGTCGGAACGGGCTCGCTTGAGCCACCCATGCATCGCCTACGGCCCAAGACTGGCCTTTTCCAATACTCGATTGAATGTGGAGGCGAAAGAATCATCCTCGTCGACGCGTCGCCAGCATACACGGATTGAATCGAAACTGGGTTGGTGGCTCTTGAGTATGCTCGCGTGCATGGCATCGAGGGTTCCAACGACGAAAAGCTGCTGCCCTCGGACAAGGCGGACATAAAGATTTCCCATCGAGCTATCATTCCCTCCTGTTTGTTGGGAGTTGCCGTACATGTTGAAGTCCCGGGTCACGACACCAAAGAGGATCTCAAGAAGTAGGCCAGCCATGTACCAGACATGTCCAGGCTTGCGAGCACCCCATTCAATGTAGAGGTTGGCGATGTTATCGGCGTGTCCACGGAGTTTCTCGGCATATTCGACGACGTGGTTCGCTCCTTGGCGGTAGAGGGCGTTTTTCAGCGCATCGAACTCCTCGAAAGTCTTCTCGTATTCGAACTTCAGCTTGACGAGTCGGGCAGAAAGAGTAAAGTCCGCGGTGAGTATAGCGTCTAGTTGAGGGCCGAACTCGACGTTGTGCAACAGTAGCCCTGTGAGTCTCTTGAACCCGGACCACACATCTCTGAGGATCTGCTCATTCCTAGCCTCAAAGATCCGCACAGACTTGCCGAACTCATCCTGGCTCTCCTTGCTCGGTTCGAGGACCCAATGAAGCAATTCCAGTCTGTCTTCAAGAGGCCCCCCGTCTTGGTTCGCGCCGCCAGCTCCCTGACCAGCGCTGCCATTATCCGGGGATAGTGCTGGGCGGAAGTTCCACCCACGCCATCTTATGAGATTCTCGATCTTGATGGTGTCGATCACCCTGGCGGTGGACGGCAGCTGCTGGGGCGGTTCATCTTCCCCTCTGGCTGTTCCATCTGAAAAGAGGAAGACTTTGCGAGCAATGTTGAAGCCCGATTGGGAAGCGGTGAGCAAGACTTGATCCATCAGCCACAAGGCGTGCTACGACCACTAGTCAGCAGGGAGTCACGAGAACAAGTGAGGTTTTCGCACCTTGCAAGGAAGATGATCTCGAAGAGGATCTCGAGGCTGGCATTCACAGAGTGGCGCAGTATGCTCCTGGCTCACAGTCAATCCCCAGCAATTTGCTCCATCTCTGACGTAAAACATGTAGTCGCGATTCATGGTGGTAAGCGCAAACCCCACCACCTGGAAGTTCCCATCCGCCACCAGTCCTTCTCTGGCATTTTGCTCTATGGAATCGTGGACCCGATAGGCGAGGCCTGAGCTTGCCACGATTACGTCGTTCATTGCCATTGTGGGCTGGTTATGGGTGCAAGGAAGAGTGAAGAGACGATAGATTGAGGAACGGGGATAGTACGCAAGGTAGAGAAGAGGTGTAGAGAACCGAATCTGGAGTGGAAGTGGTGATGGGTACTTGTCTGGATGTTCTACGCCAATATATAACCTGCCAGCGCCAGCTAACTTCGCCGTAACAAATGGTGCAAAGCGAGGGAAGTTGGTCGAAAGATAGTCCGCCTAAGCCTCTCCATCAAAGTGGCGCTTGACGGTGTGGAGAGTGTCGCCAGCCGCGGCGGCGCGGGTACAGGGCGAGTAGCGCCGCAGGGCGGGGTCCCGCGCTCACAGCAGGCGGCATAGCTCATATCTGCCATGGCAAGCAAGAAAGAACAGCTCTGCGTTGCATAAGAATCGCGGCGGGTATCGGAGATCACCAACGATAGCTCTCGGCGTGCAGGCGGCGTCGACAGATTGCTTTGCCGCATCGCGGCGGGCTGTGGCGTCTGGAAGCGGCATCTTTGGAGCCATGGCTTCGCGGATTGGATGCTTGCACGGCGTCTGGGTCGGTATGGCCAGGCACCAGTTGCGGCACGGTTCCTCTGAAGAGCACTGTGATGGCGGGCACACGATTAACGGCAGGCATACCCCAGCCGCGATCAGATCGGAGCGGGTTGGGTGTTGGCGCGAGGAGAGTGTCGTCGAGCGTGGAAGCCGTTGCCAAGCGCATCTGGCATGGCTGTGCATTTCCGGTGGGGCTGCGCTAACTATTTTTGCGCCTCTGCTTCACTGACAGCCAACTCTTTTTTAATCTTGCAACCCAACACTGCTCTACTTTTCTGATGAGGCTTGCTCGAGTCCGCGCCCGCCCGTCTGCGGCCACGAAGCGCTTAACTACTCTCCGTCTATGGGACGTTTGTGAAGACAACGCACACAAATAGATCTGCTCCATGCTATCCTCTGCCTTGCGCAGATCACGCCAGATACGCGCCGCATCCCAGCCACATGCTGCGAAAAAAGCTCCGAAAGATCAACGCCCCGTAAATGCAATGCTGCCTGGCCCTGAGAGTCCCTACGGTCTGTGGCAAGACTCTCGCCATGCCTTAAGCATTGGAGCCGTAACGCCGCACCGTGACGGCAAAAACCCGAGAGGAGCATCGAGGCCGCTGAGCCACCTTCGTGCCGTGGCCTGCACGGCGAGGAAGATGGAGATGCGCCGTCATGAGCGGCGATGAGGTGGGTTGGAGGGGGCAAAGATCACCCAAGCAGGACACCCTCTCGCAAAATGATCAGTGAGACGCAACCCTAGCCTGCAAGAACACATCAACTGACGGCCTATCGCATGCTGGCTGGGGAGACTCACGCTGGCCAGGGTTGCTTACCGCGAGCTTCCCCCAGTCCGAGACCCCGAGGCGTACACCGACGTCTCGCGCGAGCTATCAAATGAGCTCTGCTCCTTGGATTTGCCCGATTCGACCATGTGGCTCATCGACACCCCTCCCCAAGGAAGGCCTGACAACTGCCGGCCCGGATATGGCTCACAGTCTCCGGGCGCCGGCAGACTGTAGGCACCACCGGCCAACTGCTGGTTCGTCGTGTTCCTCTCCTTTTCTTCGCGCTCGTCCTTCGCTTTCTGCCCTGTGCTACATGTTCAGCGAGTGCGCGGAGCTTCCACTCGGCATGCTTGTCTTACGGTATTTCCTTTGAGCCAACTTGTTCTGGATCTTGCGCCGCTCGGTCGGATCTTGGATGTGCGCCCAGTCATCACCGGGGGAGTGCCATGACCCTTCGCTCGAGGCTGACCCTGCGCCGCCCGTCTGCTGTCCTTGGGACATGGTGCCGTCGTTTTGCCGGGAGGTGACAAGCCGAACGCCGGGGAGTCCTGGGTTTGCATGCGGCGTGGAGAGCGTATCCGATCTGCTTCATTGAGAGGCACAATGCTGCCGGGGCGGCCGGGAGACAACTACGGCTCAAGGACCACGGCGAGGAAGGAATGGTATGCGCCGCAGGCTCGAACATGCATGTGGCGCTTCGAAGTGTGGCCGTGATCCCCAAAGAGGCAATGCGGCGTTGGCGGCCTGGGTGGAATCAATTCGACGGGCTGAAGGCGTAGACTCGCCCTGAAGATGACTGCGGACCCAGCTCGAGGCCCCATCTTATGAGAAGTGAAGGTGGACATGAGTAGCATTCACGTCAGGGAGGAAACGACAGCGTCATCCGAGCTGCGAGCCACATACGGCAGGCCGGGCGAGGAAGGCATCGTGGCAGCCGTAGGCAGCACTGGCGGCGGTCCGGGGGTGGCGAACACCGACATCGTTACCATTCACCCAAAGGCGGAAGGAAAGACGGTCGAGCGGCGTAAGGCGGAGAGACTGCAGCACCAAAGTCCAACCCGTCCAATGGGAGGCTGGATGGCATAGGGCTGGTGGGAGGGAGAGAAACTAGGCAACGGCCCCAATGTTCTCGAATGGCACGGGGGGGACGGCGGGTATGCAAGACGCAGCGAGGCGCTAGGTCCGAAAGCATCCTCCCGCGAGCGGCATTCTGCCAATCTGGGGGCGCATCTGACGAGATACGTGATCAGACGCACAGGTCGGGAGTCTGTGTACGTGGATGACGGTCCAGGAGGGTGGTCGTTGGCCCGCGGTTGACGCAAGACAAGCTCCCGTCTGCATGGCGTGGGTCCTCGGGAATCCAAGGTACCTGCATTTCCTGACTGCCGTCTTGCCTGCATGCGCCGCAAGGCGCTTTTCGGCATGTCCGCAGTCGCACAGGTCCAGCTGATTGGAGCACACGCTTCACCACGTCCATCGACGCGCTCACGAATGCTGCGGCCAGCATGCTGCTAGTCGCGAGAGCTGAGCGGCGCCGGGCCATGGCATGGTGAGCAGGACGATGTCAGGACAGACGCCCCATGATGCCCCATCCGGCGGACGAAGGCTGCGGTCAGCTCGCCTTCACCGACGCGGGACGTGGGGGCCAGGCAGCAAAGATCGACGTCTACGCCGCGCTTCGTCGGTGAGAAGCAGCCACTGGCTCCGCGGGGCGGTGGGGCGGTCTGCAGCTGCCCTACTGAGTGCTGCCCGCCGGCTCTCATTGGCTACCAGTCCTCAGACGCTGCCCAGGTCACCGCTCCCAGTGCTTGCGGGCGGCCCGCGCCTCTCCAGCCTCAGGCAGCACTCTCTCCTGCCACACCACAACTGCATCTCTCAGCAAGACACCCAGCCGAAGCCCCGCACCTACATACCTACGCTCCGGCGTCGTTCTCGCTTTCGCTTAGGAGACGACCGTTGCCCCGCACCCAGGCAAATGGCATCCGCAGCCAGCAAGGTGGACCTGCTCTCGCTTTCCCCCGAATGCACGTCGACGGCATTTGATTGAGCTTTGGCCGGATAGGAGCTGCGCACCTTGTTTTGCTCCCTCCATCTGCCCTCGAGCCGTCAGCTTACCACATTTTCTTTCACGACCACGCATCTACCTTGCTTGCAAATCTCTCCCGCGAAACAAATTCGCGGACCATGCTTGCGCCGACACGGCGAGGCCCTGCCCCGTCCCGTGCGTGCCTGCTCGATTGCAGGACCGGCATGCACCGACCAGCGGCATGCCAGAATACGTGCAAGCCTACAGGACGCGTCACGGCCGAGGCTTGCCTGCAATCCGAACTTGGGCGACCAAAGGCGCTGCAAGCCGCCGGATCGGACAGCGGCAGTGTTCGTCAATTAGAATAGTCCTACTGCTCCACGGCGAGTGAGCAGTAGGGTGGAGAAGACGCGGCCCTGCTAAAAGCCTATTTTGCTCTTCCACTGATTGATGAAGTATGCTTCAGGGCCATTGAACGACGCGAGAGGCAGGCAAATCGTGGAGCTACAAGTGTCGCCTACAGCCGGCGGATCACGGCGAAGCGAGACGCGCCGGACATGAATCTGGTCGGGACATGGGGCCAGATGGTGCTTCGGGCTGCGACCCCGAGGGGACGGGCGACGGGTCTGTATTAATAGAAGCGCAGCGCAACATTGTGATGTGCAAGGCACACGGAGGCGGCAGCCGTCTCATTTTGCAGACGTCGGATGGAGGATGCGTGGTGTAGAGCTGCGCCAGGCCGCGCGAAAGTTTTGTGCGGCTGCTGCTTACATCAGCGCGACGGCGCTAGGCTGCGCTGGGGCTATCAAAATCTCTTCGCCCGCGCCTTCTCCTTTTCTCCTCATCACACATTCAATCCGCCTTCGGGCGGGACGTACACTTAATCAACCGCCTGCGCACACCCCATGAGCTTGCCGGTCATATTGGCGTACCAGACCAATTTGAGGTGGTGCAGGTTCCCACGGCTTCGGCGCAGGCATCATTTCATGTCGAGGGCGCCGATGCCGCCTGTCTGCCAGACATGCCGTCGCGCGCATTTCTCGCAAATGAAGCGCGCGCTGCTCGGCTGCTCGGTGCAATGCGGCGCTGCGATGGCCGCTGCTGCCCGCGCCCGGCGGCCTGCTGCCTGACGTCGTCGCGGCAGCGACCTGGCGGAGCTCGTGAGCATCGCAGCAGCAGCACAGAGGCCGCCGTGGAGCAAGCTGCGGGCGCGGAGTGGGCAGTCAACGTCCAGCGAGGTCATCGCTTTTAAATAAGTACACGGGGACGCCGTGGGATACGCGCGAGCACTGCCCCTGACGCGCCATGTCCTCGCTCCAAACGAGCGCCACTTCTATATGGGCGACGCTATCCGCCGCGGCAGCGATGAGCCGGACCACACGACTCGTCCGTCAGCCAGCGCCATCCAACTTTATGCGCCTGCCCGCTGGACACCCCCAGAGCCGCTCTTCTTCCTTTCCCTGCGCTCTCAGCATGCACGCGCTGGCACGCCTTGCCCCTGGGTTTAGCGTGACCTGACGTCTGTTTACCAATCTCGAGGATCGCATCCGTCCCTCCTCCGCGCCTCCTCCGAACAGCCCAACCACCACACAGCATGGCTTCAGCCCTGAACAAGCGCCAGCAGGCGCGCAACGAGCGCGCCCTCCAAGACCTGATCAAGTCCGTCGCCGGCAATGACAGGTGTGCCGACTGCGGAGCTCGGAACCCAGGTGCGTGATGCGCCCGCCCGTTGCCCTGCCGCCGTAGGCACCCAATGCTAACTGCTCTCTCCCCGCAGGATGGGCAAGCTGGAGCGTGAGTGCCAACCTATGCGATCGGATCCGTCCCGCTACACGTTCCGTCCGTAATGGGACCAATCTCGGGCCTGGCTGCTGACATGGTGCCGTGAAAACAGTTGGGCATCTTTCTCTGCATGCGCTGCGCAACGCTGCATCGCAAGCTCGGGACGCACATTTCCAAAGTCAAGTCGTTGAGCATGGACAGTTGGAGCAATGATCAGGTCGATGTGTGTCGCTCTCTTCCCCATCCGCCCGTGACAGATAATAATCCTCGACAGAACATGAAGCGCGTGGGAAATGTGGCCTCCAACCGGATATACAACCCGAACAACGTGAAGCCGAACATACCAATTGACGTGGACGAGGTTGAGGGTGCGTTGGAGCGTTTCATTCGACAAAAGTACGAACACAAGGCTTTCTCAGGAGAATCACGCCCCGGGACCAGGCACAACACGGGCAGCACAAGCTCTGCCGAGGACCGGCCCCCGCCACTGCCTCCAAAGCCGGGTAAACGCTTTGGATTCGGACTTCGAGCCTCTTCCGCTACTTTCCCGGCACCGAAGCCCGACTCGACCAGTCCTCCGTCATCGCCGAGCGTGGGCGTCGGCCTCAGCGGGTTCGGGGACTCTTCGCCACCGAGAGTGAACAAGGCGTCGAGAGTATTCGGGCACAATGTGCGAAGTGCGTCTGCCGACAGCTTTGAGACGAAGCTCCAGACATTGAAAGACATGGGCTTTCCGGACGAGAAACGCAACGTGACGGTGCTCAAAGGGCTCAACGGGAACTTGGAGAAGTCTGTGGAGACTTTGATAAGGTTGGGCGAAGGCGGCAGGAGCATTTCCAGAGCACATACGCCTGTATCTGCTCACAGCGAAAATGCCAACGGACTCTCCACGGGCCGGACCAGGCCTTCCGCGCCGCCTCCAACGGCCCCAGCTGGGATCCAGTCAACAAACCCTTTCGACCGGCTGGACGCTCCTCAGCCAATGATCCAGCAGCAGTTCCAAGCTTTGCAGGCCCAGCCGACCGGCGCGTCGTTCAATCCCTTTCTTCCCTCATCCCAGCCGCCGCAAGCTCCTGCAACGGCACACCCGGCTTTGGATCAGTCCTTCCAGAATCTCCAGCTTTCTCAGCCACAGCAGCCGCAACAGCTCTTTCCTAACCACACTGGAGGCCACGGTACACAAAGTCAACAGCAGCAGGGATACAATCCGTTCTTGCATACCTTCACCCCTCCGCCGGTGCCACAAATACCGCCACAGTTTACCGGTACCCAACAGGGTCAGCCATCTTATGGCCAGCAAGGAGGATTCCACTCTACCCAAGGAGGCAATCCGTTCTTGAAAACTTCTCGTTCCCAGATTTTTACCAGCAGTAACCCCTTTAATTCTCAGGTACCATCACTCCCGGCCTTCTCTCAGCCGCAGCAGCAGCAGCAGCAGCAGCAGCAGCAACAGCAACAACAACCACAATGGCAGGCTATCTCCAACGCGCAGGGGCAATTCTACCCACAGCCATCGCAACAAACGGCGCAGTTTGGTTTTGGACAACAGCAGCAGGGCGCTAGCACGGGGTACCAGCAGCCGCAAGACCAATTCCAAGCCCAGAGCGGATACCCGCAATTCCAACAACAGCCGAATCACTTCACCAATCCCTATCAACCGCAGCCGCAGTTTCCCATCCGCCAGGATAAAAATTCGATATTAGCTCTGTATAACCAACCCCAGCTGGCTCCTGCGCCCCCTTCTGGCACCACGGCACCCGGGGCTGCTGAAAGCATGCCGGTCAACGGGCAAAGCGCGGCCTTGCCCGCCGCGTCGAACTCCGCCGGAGACATGGCTGGGTCAACGGGTAGCGCGAATCCATTCTCAACCGCCCCTGGTCAGCCGGCTGTAGGCGCCAATGGAGGAGGAGGAGGAGCGCGTCACGTCAGTCAAGAAAGTGTCGATTTCTCCGGTATGATGGGTGGGAGGCAAAGCCCGGACGCATTCGCAGGGTTGAGCGCACGATTCGGCCGGTAAATACGGTGGCTAGGGCGATGTTAGTTGGATAGTTGTTGAGCTCCGAGCCCCCACAGGCTGAACTAATGTAGGACGTGGTGCATGTGGAAATTTGCCACGACTTGGATACCGGCAGGAGATCACACGATTGCGGCGGGCGGGCGTAGGATGCGGCATTGGATGCAACCTTTTAGTGCAAAGGCCCACGTAGGCAATGGGTTGTCTGTACAGTTGAATGGAGGCAATAATACGCGAGCAAACAAAGAGCCATGATGATGCATGGACGAATCCCGCTTGGTCATTTCCGCACGGGGCAGCAAGACTACATAGACTGAGGCTCGTGGAAGGCGAGACCAGGAACACCATGGCCGCCGAGCCGAGCCGTTGCTCATGGTTGGCGCTTCGAGCACTTCGCGTGGTGGCTCGAGGGTTGGCCGTAGCGGCGGCCGGCAAATCAGCGTGGGAGGCCGCGCTGGGCCACTTCCCCGCGCGCTTAGAGACCGAGCTGTGACTGTCTGGGCGCGGCCGCATCACAGGCTTCGGGCAGCTCCATTGGGCGCGTAGACTCGATATCACGCGCCTGGATTGCAGAAGTACACGCTGCGTCCACGCTGACAGCTGCGCAGCTTCCCCCATCGCCGCTGCGCGTTGCCTCGCCGCGACACCCTCTGCGCCTGCCGCAGCTGTCCAGACACCACCCACCCTGCCTGTCCAATCCGTCGTCATCGCCGCGCCTCATCCCGCCAACTTTTTCTGCACACCACGGCCATGGACGGCTCGCGGCGCCACGGCCGCCCAGAAGAGGAGCTCTTCTTGGGCCATTCGAACAATACTCCCGAGACACCTACCGTGGGCCCGCTGCGCATCAACAAGCGCGACAACGCCGCCTCGCCTCCCCCACGCGCAGGCTCCGCTGGCAGCCTGAACGAAGGCCTCGCCCGTCCGCCGCCGGTGCCCAACTTCCCTGCTCCGACGTCGACACCTCCCTCCGGCCCGCTGCCGTACCCCGACGACGGTCCGCGCCCACAGTCGGGTTCTGGGCGCCGCGTTTACACGCCGCTCTCGGAGCGCGAGAGAGCGTCCAGGAACAACACGCCCGAGCAAGATAGATACAGGAACCCGTCTGGAGGCTCCCCGCGCACGCGATTCGACGCGAGTGACCCGCACCGCCCCACCGTCTCGGGATACGCCTACGCGCCGTACGCTGTGGACGACGGCCGCGCGGGGTCTTCGCAGGGCAGGCCTGCGGACAAGCGGCAAGGCACTCCAAAACCACTGCCCGCCTCCCCGGGCCCCGAGACCCCAGACAAGGAGGGCCTGTTCCAGAAGGCACCCCAGCGCGCTGGGTCGCAGCCCTCAGAAGCAGAGGCGAATCCTTATCCGGACTACCACCAGCAGTACTGGCCGCCTCCGCCAACAGCGGCCTCGCCGCCTCAAAACCAACAAGCTCTGAGAATACCGAACCCTGCCGGTGTGAACCGTCTCAGCTCCACCGCATCTACATCTACCACCAGAGCCCAGCGGGGCTCTCCGCCTCCGCCAGAAACGCCCGCCATCGATCATCCACCGGGCGGGGGGATAGAGGCCCGTTATGCAGCAGCCGGGATTGCTGGGCCTTCTACGCTCAGCAACATACAAGGTCAGAATGCGGCGGCCACTCAACGCCTGCAACAGTACGGCGGGCAACCGCCGCAAGTGAACCCTCAACCACAGCAGGCTCAACAGCCGCCCCAGCGGCCGTGGACCCCGACGGAACAGCCTGGTTCGCAGCCTCATGGCCCTCCCACGGTGTACCAAGGTCTTTCTGAGGTGAGGCAGCCGGCTTCCTCCACTCCTCCGACCGGCCATCCCGCTGTAGCATTGCCGCCACTGTCATCTGCCGCCCAAAGCACAGCCCAGCAGGCTACCGCTCCCGGGGTAGAAGCCCCGAACGTTGGTCTTCGGCCCGGTGAACAAACGCTGGAGTCGGATTTCCAGCGGATGAACGTCAACGAGGAACCGCCTCCAGCGTACTCGAGCGTGCAACCTCAGGCTCCTCAAGGCTACCCGAATGACAAGCGGCCCGCTCCCGCGAACCAGCAGCCTCCTGCGCAAGCAGGTCCCGTAGGAACGACTGCTGATCCGAACCTGCAAGGACATCCTGCTTTCGCGAACCAACAGGGCCCCCAGCCAGGCGCCGGAGCTCAACCGGGCACGCAGCCTCCCGTGCAGGTGCAGCCACAACCGGTGCAGCACGCTGGGCCAAGCAATCTGGCACCTCTTCAGATCCACCCTCACCAGCAGAACACTTCTCCCGGCCCCGGACCAGGCCCGGCATCGCCCCCACCGCTCCCGGAAGGATGGATCGCCCACCTCGATCCCAACTCTGGCCATTACTACTACATCCATCTTCCGACTCAATCGACTCAGTGGGAGTTCCCCAAAGGCCCCACTCCGCTCAACCTCAACGAGCCTCTGTCCCCCACGGGAACTTTTGTCAATCCACTGACTTCACCAGGCTTGGGTTCTTTCTCCGGGAAGCCGATGGCGTCACCCGGGTTTCCGCCGCAGCAAGCTACGTACCATGAGAGCATGCCTGGCATGGCAGGACTGGCGAGCCCCACGGCCGCCGGTTTCACCGGCCCTCCCCCACAAGCCGGAGTGGACATGTACAAAATCCAGCCCACAAACGGTGTCTATTTCGGGCCATATTTGCGCTACACCAACATGGACCTCGAGCGAGGTATTTGGCTTGGTTCCATCCTGCTGGTCACGGATGCGCCCCAGCCTCCTACTATTCACATCCATCAGAGTGTGGATCTTTCCCCCAACCCCCGGCAACTGAAGCCCAATCCGATCTACAGCCACCAAAGATGGATTTTCTACAGGTACGATATCGACCTCAAGATGGAAGAAGGCCATGCCGCCAAGTGGACATACGCTGTGACTTCTCATTTGGGATGCACACGCTACGAGTTCCTCGTTGCAGGTCGTCACGAGACGAGCTGGCGGTTCATTGCACACTCGGGAAACGACTTCGCGCTCAACGTTGGCGCCAACGAGCGCCAGAAGCTTGGTGGGGTAGGCTACATGTGGAAAGATATTTTGCAGAAGCACATTGAATGCGGTGGCTTCCACGTCCAGCTAGGCTTGGGCGACCAGATCTATGCGGATCGTATCTGGAAGGAAATCCCTCTGTTAAAGCAGTGGACGTCCACGAGCGGGAAGGAGAACCGCAAGAATTCGCCGTGGACGGCGAAGCACGAGGAAGACGTGACCCACGCGTATTTTCACTACTACACGAGCCATTTCGATCAGCCGCACCTCCGCGAAGCGTTCGCGCAGATCCCGCACGTCCTCGCTCTGGACGATCACGACATGTAAGTCTTTAACCTTGCTGCTTGCAACCCCAGGCCAAATATGCTGACCATGTGCGACAGCTTCGATGGCTGGGGGTCATATCCCGAGTACATGCAATTCTCCAACATGTTCAAGAACATTGGGCGGATCGGCATTGAGATGTATCTCCTCTTTCAGCACCATACAACACTGGAGATCCTTCGCAACGTCAACAACGACCAGGACCTCTTCACGATTACCGGAACGGGCTGGCACTTCGTCAAGTATCTGGGCCCGTCGGTCGTGGTGGTGGGTCCGGACACTCGATCCGAGAGGAACCCCCATCAGGTCATGGCTGGCCCGACGTACCAGGGCCTTTTCCCGAAGGTGGCACTGTTGCCGCCCAGCGTCCAGCATTGCATCTGGATGATTCCTGTGCCCCTGGTCTACCCGCGACTGGAATCCGTCGAGCATCTGGCCAGCACCATGGCCACCGGCAAGAAGGCCGTCACCGGCACTTTCAACATGCTTGGAAAGGTCACGAGCTCCGTCGCCGGCGTCGTTGGCGCCAAGGGAGTTGTTGGCGACGGCTTCAACTCGGTCAAGAAAGCCGTTGGCAAGTCTGGCTTGATGAGCGGCATTTTAAGTCCTTTTGGGGAGATTGACGTGCTAGATGAGCTTAGAGATCAATGGACCCACGAATCCAAGGTGAGTATTCCGTCGCCGGCTCTTGCGATCATGTGCTAAAGGGTAATTTCTCAGGATCTCGAGCGTACCTACTTGATTCGCACGCTTCAAGGCATTGCTCACAACAAGTCTCTTCGGATGACGTTCTTATCTGGGGATGTCAACTGTTGCGGAGCGGGCCTCGTTCACGATCCCTCTCGCCTTCAAGACCACAAGACGATGTATCAGATCATTTCCTCTAGTGTGGTCAACAGCCCCCCTTCTTCCTACGTGCTGCGAATGCTTCACAACAACAAACCTCTCTGGGTCCCTGCCAACGGCCACCGATCGACGCAGAGTCCCTCGGACACCAAGGAAGAGATGATGGAGATTTTCACACAGGATGTGAACGGCCAACCCAGAGAGATGAGGCGTTTGATGGGTCGTCGAAACTATGTTGCATGTGTCATCTACGATCCAGAGATTGTGAATGGCACGTTCGGCCAGGCAGTGCCAGGCCAAGGCGGAGGTAAGCTAAGCATCGCGGTAGACTTCATGGTTCAGAACGAGAACCTTTACGGCGCGCCCATGAAGTACGGGCCGGTGATCATCCCGAGTTTGGAGTACGGCAGATAGAGGGCGCGATTGTGGCCTATGCTGGATTATAGCGCAAGGCTGGAGGACAAGTCATGCACGGTAATGACGAGACGATGCGGCGGCGATACCACCTCCTTTTTTTTCTTTCTTCTCTCTAAGTTTTATCTTCTTTGCTCTTCTTCTCTATCGAGCCCCTATTAGCGCGCATTCGAGGTCTTGCTTGGTACACCTTGGCAGTTTAGCGACGCGCGGCGACGAGCATGCATCGTAGACGGCATGCGGCCAACACGAAAAGGGAGAAGCGGTTGGCATGGTGGTTCCGGGCGCCCGTACAATAGGAAGCGTGCTTACTAGACAGAACTTATGAAAGCCATGACCAAAGTGCAATTCCAATTCTCCAGTGTTCGAGGCGGAGCATGCGAGCCCCTGAGCGCAAGGAAAGACCCCGCCCCCCTTGTCGGCGGAAGGCCCGTCATTGACGTGGTCGGCGGAGACATCGGCGGGCCCGTGCGCGCGCTCTGGGAATCCCTGCGAGCTCGGCGCCCGCGGGGACATTGGCAGACATCACCCACCACCGTTCTTTCTTGCGACGTAGGTCGGACTGGTACCTACCACAATCTGCCCGGGCTGAAGTCCAGCCGCCACCAGGCTAGAAGCGCTCTTCCACATCCTGTCTTCCTTCTTCGCTCCGTTCGCCATGGCAATGCCCAGCGCATCTGCGTCGAAAATCCCGCGTCTGCTGCGCTCTAGTATCTACCAGAGCTCAATGCTTCGAGGCCAGGCGGGGTCGCCCCAGGCCCATTCGATGCTCGCCCCGCAATCCCGGAGATTCGCCTCTGCCGCCTGGGCTTGCCGCGTCCAACGAGCACACGAGGAGCGCGCGCCGCCTCCGAGCAGCGCCACGCTGCGCCAAACAGCAAGAGAGCGCCAGGAAGGCCTCTCCGTAACGGCGCGTCGAGCGTTTTCCGCCACAGCTGCTCGTCCCAAAGACCACCACTTCGACACGCTCAAGTTCGTGCAAAGACTCAAGGATGAAGGCTTGACGGAGGAACAGGCGGTGGCCATGATGAAAGTCCTGAGCGATGTGATTGAGGAGAGGTGCGTCGAGCTCAGCCCCGACAAGCCCATTCTGGCGCTGCCAAGTTCCCGCCTCGGTGCGCTGACAATCGCGACACATCCAGCATACAAAACCTTACGCGGACCATGGTGCTCCGCGAGGACCAGGAGCGGGCCACGTACACCCAAAAAGTCGACTTTGCAAAGTTGCGCTCCGAACTGCTGACGGCCGACTCGACCGAGATGTCTTTGACGCGCGCGTCACACGAACGACTTACGAACGAGATCGCGAAGCTGAACAGCAGGCTGCGGGACGAGATACAGCGTACGCAGGCCAGCGTCCGGCTGGACTTGAACCTCGAAAAAGGCCGCATCAGGGAGGAGGCCAACGTGCAGGAACTCAAGCTCAAGGAAACCGAAACGAGGATCGAGCAGGAGACGGCGGTGCTCAGGGAGAAGCTCGAAGCCGTGAAATTCACGACTCTGCAGTGGCTGATGTAAGTTTCCTTGGAGAGGCTAGCAGCTGCGCGAGATGTCGCTGTTAACGCAAAGGACAGGGGCGTGTGCACCGGTACGGCAGCACTTATTCTCGGTGCCTGGAGACTACTCATGTGAGTGCATCTCCAGCGGTGGGGTCGCATTCGAACAGACGGCAAGCTACGCTCCAGGCTTGACGGAAATTGCGCGCGTGCGAGCGAGCCTCACGAGAAGTGGCCGCCGCATTGACTGCCGGTCCCGAGGCCTAGCCGTCGTCTCGCAGGTGTGGAGCTTGACGGCAAGGCAAGAGGGCGCGCAGGAAGGCGGAGTCTGGGAGGGGTGCAGAGGCCAGCGCTTCGGACCGCGTCAGGCAATTTCTTCTAGAAACGCTATATTGAAGATCTCCCGCACACCGAGGCGGTGGGATGCCAGCCCAGGAGGGCGGCTGGAGAGGGGGGGCGGCGAACACATGTAGCATAGAGCGGCACGCGATGCCACAGGCGGAAATAGAAGACGGGGGCGCCGCGGCTGCCGACGCGCCAGCCTCAGCGCTTGCAAGAGTCGACTCTCAGGGCCATGCTGGCCGGCCGGATCGCGGGCAGGGAGATCTCGCTGACGCTGCTGGAGCACGGCCGAGAGTGCAGCCGGGGCTCGTGGGCCAGGGCTGCCAGGAGAAGGGCGCGAGGCGAGCAAAACAATGGGCGCGAGTGCGTCTCCTGGAGATCGTCGCGCGACACAGCCAGGAGCCGGATCACGGGGCCTGGCCGCGGCGGGCGCTGATTGGCGGCCCGCAGCGCTCTGCATGCGAAAAAAACCGGCGGGCCAGCGCGCGACGGCTGCCTGGCGGAGCGGCTGCGCGGCGGCGGGAGATTTTTTTTTTCTGGCGGTCGCATGTGCGTGTGGGCGCGTGGAGTGGGTGCGTGTGCGAGGGCGCAGGCTTGGGCGCGCCAGATCTTGCTGGACCGGGCGTGGGCAGTAGCCTCCTGCGCAGAGGCGCTCGCTGCTGCGCGGGGCATTTGGAAAACGCTTGGCAAGCACTTAATCCACCGGCCCTCGTCCCGTCACTCTCTCCCCCAACACCATATCGCAAACCTACACAACCCTCTCCTCCCTCCTCCATCCCACCACCAGCATCTCCCACTGCCCGCACCACACGCCCGTCCACCGTCGAAATGGCCAACGAAGTAAGTCTGCCCCGGGCCCGCTCTCGCCGCCCCCCTAATCGCGAGACCGCCGCCCGCCCCCTCTGCCGCCGTCACCGTGGCTGCCGTGAGAAGAGCCTGTGCTGACCTGCCGCCGCCGTCCAGCGTGAGAGGTACGCCGCTGCCGCGCCCACTGGCCGTAGATGCTTCGTTCTGACCCTGCTTCAGCAAAACTTTCCTCGCCCGCCTGTGCGAGCAGGCTGAGCGCTACGATGGTACGTCACGCCCTCCCCTCCTGGCATGCCGCTGGTCGCTGACGCTGTTCCTGCACAGAGATGGTCACGTATATGAAGGTCAGTCACCATGAGCATTGAACGTGAGCGAGCTGAGCAGCTGACGCGGACCACAGGAAGTTGCAAAGGTATGCCCGCCCTCGCCGCGCTGGCAAGGCCATTGAGGAAAGCACGTGGTTAACGCAGCAGCTGTCGCAGCTCGGCGGTGAGCTCACCGTGGATGAGCGCAACCTTCTGTCCGTCGCCTACAAGAACGTCGTCGGTACCCGCCGTGCGTCGTGGCGCATAATCTCGTCGATCGAGCAGAAGGAGGAGTCGAAGGGCTCCGACAAGCACGTCGGCACCATCCGCGAGTACCGCCAGAAGATCGAAACGGAGCTCGAGAAGGTCTGCCAGGACGTGCTCGACGTGCTCGACGAGTCTCTGATCCCCAAGGCCGAGTCCGGCGAGTCCAAGGTCTTCTACCACAAGATGTACGTCAACCCACCCACGCCGGGCGCGCGTCCGCGCAGTCTACTAATACGCCCGGCCCAACAGGAAGGGTGACTACCACCGCTACCTCGCCGAGTTCGCTTCGGGCGAGAAGCGCAAGGTCGCCGCCACCGCCGCGCACGAGGCCTACAAGGTGCGTCCGCCATGTGCCGTTGCCATTGAGACGAGCCGCAGCTGACGAAGATTTGCAGACCGCCACCGATGTTGCCCAGACCGAGCTGACGCCCACGCACCCCATCCGCCTCGGTCTTGCGCTCAACTTCTCCGTCTTCTACTACGAGATCCTCAACTCGCCCGACCGTGCGTGCCACCTGGCCAAGCAGGCCTTCGATGACGCCATTGCCGAGCTCGACTCGCTGTCCGAGGAGTCGTACCGCGACAGCACTCTGATCATGCAGCTTCTCCGCGACAACCTCACCCTCTGGACCTCGTCGGACGGCAACGAGCCTGAGCCCGCGTCCGAGGCACCCAAGGCCGAGGACAAGCCGGCCGAGGAGGCGCCCAAGGCCGCTGAGACGACCGAGGAGGCTGCTCCTGCGTCCTAAGCGGGGGGCGGATTCGGTGCGCGCAACAAGGCATCTGGTACTACTGCCGCGGCCTGGTCTCCACCGCTCATCTTGCAAGACACGCACGGTCTTTCGTTGAGGGAACTGGAGCAAACGGGTCGGAGGCAGCAAGGGTGGCGTCTAGTTGTCTGAGGATCGAATCATCATGGAAAGCGAAGAGTTACGTGCTTGGTTCGGCTTCGGAACGGTGATCCTTTGATTGTCTTGTTTTCCCTTTTCCCTTTTCCATGCCTCTGCTCTCTTTGAATCATCCTCCGAGTACACTAGCGATGCGTGATTCCTTAGGGATGGTATATCCCCGATTACCAATGATATCGACACGTCTCCTCAGGTCACTCATGCCATGTGGTGAGAATAGGGGTCGACGCTCAGACCCGAAGAGTTAGATGATGGCGAGGCGCCTTCTCCGCACCGATGACGGCACCGCTCCAGGCTCGCGCAGGCAACGCACTCGCATCGCGAGCCGGGTCATGTGTGCGCCCCCTCCTCGCAGGCAGTTCGCAACAACGGCCGTACGTGGCGTGCTTTCATTCACGGGCACGGCGCCAGCGCGCGAGAAGGGCGGTGCTTCGCAGGCGCGGCCGGACGCCGGCGTGCAGGACGCGGGCGTCCTATCGGAGCAGCGTGGGCGAGTGCAAGTGAGAGTGGTGGTGCAGCAGCGGGCGGTTTTGCAGGCTGGCCCTGTGTGCCGCTGCGATCCGCATGCCGCCCGCGGCGTTTGCTGCTGGCCAACGCCGACCGCTAAACTGTTTCGGGGGAGCTGCTCTGGAAATTTTGGATCGCTGCTGCTGCTTTTTGTCCACCACACTCCGAAAGCACGCGAAGCCATGGCGAACGAGCCGGCCCAGGTGCGCATCCAGCTCACGACGCGCCACCCGGACATCGCTATCCCCCAGAATCCCGGCGAGCTTCTAGTCTCGACTTGTGAGCCCCAGCCATGCCCGCCCGTCGACGTCCCGCTGACCTTTGCCTCCGCCAGCCCTCCGCCGCTATGCCCTGTCGACCCTCGTCAACGATTTACTCGAGACCCCGCGGCCGGTTCCCTTCGAGTTCCTCATCAACGGTCAATTCTTGCGCGCCTCGATAGACGACTTCTTGACCGCGAACGGCATCTCCGCCGAGACCACCCTCACCGTCGAGTACGTGCGCGCTCTGGTCCCGCCGGTGCATGTCGCCTCCTTCGAGCATGACGACTGGGTCTCCGACGTGGACGTTCTGTCGGCGCAATCGCAAGCGGCGCAGTGGAGCAAGCAGACCGTGGCTACCGGCCAGGAGAGAGTACTGTCGGCGTGTTACGACGGCCTGCTGCGCGTCTGGGATCCTTCAGCTTCGGAAGTTTTGGCGACTTCGCCGGCAACGGGCGGCCACACCTCCTATGTTACCTCTGCGAAGTTCCTATCCCCGACGAGCATCGTCTCAGCCGGCGCGGACCGGACGCTGCGTGTCTGGAAATACAGCGAGGGCCAAGGCGACTCCCTGAGCTCTTCGTCTTTCACTCCGACTCTGGAGCTGTACGGTCACAAGGCTAGCGTGGACAGCGTTGCCGTTCACACGCCCTCTTCCCGCATCCTCTCCGCTTCCGCTGACGGCAGCGTTGGCGTCTGGAGCACAACGCCCGCCGGTGCACCTGCTGCCCCTGCGAATCTGTTGCCCAGCGCCTCCACTCATTCCAACAAACGTCGAAAGACGACTTCGAAAGACTCGCAACAGGCCTCCGGTAAACCTGCCGCTCAACGTGGTCCTCTTCAAATGCTCCATGGGCACACCGCTCCCGTCTCTGCCGCCATCTTTGCACCCACCGATCCGACCGTCGCCTACTCAACTTCTTGGGACCACACCCTACGCACCTGGGATATACCCACCGGAACATGCGTCGACACCCGCACTACCGCACAATCTCTGCTCAGCCTGTGCGCTCTTCCGGAACTGCGCTTGCTGGCCGCTGGCACCAGCGCGCGCCACATCACTCTCTTTGATCCGCGCGTCGATGCCCGTTCCGTCGCTGCACTGACTCTCCGTGGCCATTCTAATGCCGTTGTTGCGCTGGGACCGCGACCTGGGGATTCATACGGACTGGTGAGCGGTAGTCATGACGGAACGTGCAGGATATGGGACGTCAGAAGTGTGAATGCGGGTGTCAAGACTGATGGCGATGCTGGCGGCGGTCAGATTGGCGAGCCGGTGTACCGGATCACACGAGAGAGCGTTGAAGGAGACAGCGAGAGAAGAGTAGGCGGTGATGGCGTCAAGGTGTTTGGCGTTGCCTGGGATCAGGAAGTAGGTATCGTGAGTGGCGGCGAAGATAAGAGAGTGCAAATAAACCGTGGGGAGGATATTTCCGGCCATGAAAAGGTGTAAACTCAATTATAGGCTTGGTTGAGAACGGGAGGTACATTGATGGCGTTCAAACAGGCGTAGTCGACATCTATCATCATCTTGTCGAGCATCCTAGGGATACTTCAATACAGGGCTCGAATATATGTACAGAATTAGTATGCACTTGACTATCGTCGGCGTGCGAAAAAAACGTCCTGTGCGTGAACGGGTCGAGTGTCGAGCTGAAGATCGGACCAGGTGAAAGAAGAGAGTGGGGATCACGAGGATACAAGACGAGAAAGGCATACTCGAAGCATTTGTATCACGCATGAAGGGCCCCCTCCGACACTGGGCTACAGAAGATCTTGTCGATCCATGTTTTCCGTGAAAAGACGCTACATTCCTTTTCTCGGCAATGGAAGCAACGATCTGGGCATAGATGTAGTAGGCTTTGATGAAACCGTTGTGACCTCCAAACTTATGAGAGGCATAATATGTGAGATTTTTAGTGGGATATGCTCGAAATTCGTAGAAGCATTTTGCAGTTTATTTCCATTTCGACGAGTGTCTGTTCACAGGGGAAAAAAAAAGGTTCTCGGCACACGTTGAACTACGGAGGATCTGCGTCAAGTATACTGGCACTCCTGATAACAATCTTGAATGCTGAGGAATGGTCTGCAAGCGTCATGTTTGAGTTTTCTAGGCCTTTTGATGTGCCAAAGGTTATAATGCTATAGAAGGCACATGGATGTGTTATTTACGCTGTGGAGCAGTCAGTTCGTTAAAATGCAGCCTTGCACTGTTATTCGATCAGTTTACCAGAAGACTTTGTTGAGTGCCATCGACAAAGTCCCAAGCCAACACGAAACCGTGCAAAGTTCTAGAATCGAGTCATCGTACATTCTCCCCGGATACTATTGGGTATAATTTTCCTCACATCTCCACCTGACTCCTCGTATCTTTTCCGTGTAGTCTCAGCGGACGGTTAGCCTCAAAAGTCCCGCAGCAGCAGTAGCGACGCAGACAGGGCTACCAACCCCCATCAGTGCCCTTCATCCATAGCATCATTTACGCTGCATTCCCCGCGTCAGAGTCGTATCCAGCTAAAAGCCTGGGTGCCAATATCACCCTTAGGTCTCTTCGTCTCTAACAGTCCCCGGCCTTTTCCCCTTTGACGCACCTGCTGCGCCGGTTGCTTAGATCGTTCCCTCCTGCCATGAGAGAAGAAGGCGCTCAAACCAGGTGGCTGGGTAGCAAAAAGTTGGCAATGCCCTCTTTGATCGCATACTCGTGCCCGCAGTTGGCGCACACCAGCTTGCCGGATGATATAGTGGTTTCGAGAAGCAGGTTGTGCAGATCCTTCAGCAGCTGGTTCGGCTCCTCTGCCTCGTCCGCAGTCGCAATTCCGAGCGCCTCGGACTCTGGCGCCATCTCGGGGAGGGTTGGGAGACCGAGCTGTTCGATTCCAATGATCAGTCCGAGGGCCATACTATTGCAAAGAGCACGACGTCCATCTTTCATACCTCCGAGGCAAGGGTTCGCAGGGCATCCCACTCCAGGCGAGGCAGGATGTTACGAATGAACAGCGGATTCAGGTCTGTTTCAACGACCTCGAGCTCGGCGTCGCGCGGGTGGAGGGGGAACGCTGCCGGGCTCGATTTGCAGGCCTTACGGGCGCAGGTCAGGAAGTTGAGGGTGAGGAGCTTCATGCTGTCTCTGAGTTGTTGCCGGCGAGACTGCAGTGGCGGCGGCAGATGAGACGGCCCAGAAGGTATTGGTTTCGCTTGCGACTGTCGGTAGAAGTGAGAGTGGGTGGGTTGGTGGAGAGGAGCAGCCGGGACGGGATCGGCGGAGGTTGGGAAATTTTTGGCTGCCACAGCCGCTCCGCGAGTCAGCGAGGCTCTGAAATAAGCTTATCTCCCCGCATTGCACTAGTGCCCGTTTGGGTTTTGCTTGCGACCGTTTCGAGTCGCTGGCTTACGACACCAAACCAACGCAAGATTTCATTCGAGCCCAAGCAAGAAAGCAGTCTCCCGAGCGAACACCAAAGAATGGGGTTTTTTTTTTCAGCCGCCACAGCCAGGGGTATCCTCTCATTGCACACCAATCCTCAAACGCCAAAGCCCAAGTCAGGATATCCCTTGCAAGCCAATGAACCACACTCGCCTGCCACTTCTGAGTGATTGGATCACTCAAAGTGCATCTCTAGAGCGTCCTCGTCCTCGAAATCTTCGAGTTCCGCCATTGTACCGCCTGGATCTAACCGCTCACCGTCAAACAGTAGATAGGGCCGCTTGCCGGCAGGTACCTTTAACCTGTTGATCGATGACATCGCCAGCTTTTCAAATGTCGTTTCCTGCAATAGTCGATTAGTAAACTGAATGAATCTGGCTTCCTGGGCCGAGCGTGGCATACCGGTCCACACGTGAACTTGGCATCGCCAAAGTCCTTGGTCCTGACTATTATCTTCGTTCTTTTTTGTTCCGGCTCCGGTGCTACTTCTAGTTCTGGCTCAGGCTCGCGTTGCCGCTGCGCCTCCTTTGCATCCTCATTGAAAATGGCCAACGTCACCGCCTCGATGGTGACCTTGCCGTCGTTTTCATCCCAGTCGAACCCATCTTTCATGCGCACGCCGCCGAAAGCATCGGCAACCAGACCCAAGCTCCTACAGGTCGCAACATCGAAAAGCCTCCTGCCTTTGAACGTAAAGAAGACAGAGTCCGTCATTTTTTGGTCGAACCCCTGCCTCTTGCACCACGCTTGCCTTACTTCTTGTAGACGTTGTGAGAGCTTACGGGTAACTATGAGTGGTCTAGTATTCGGAATCCGCGAGGTTATGAATATCTGCACTGGCGGGTCTGGCGCACAATTCGTCGCCGCCGCCGGGCTCTGCTTATGCCGGTTCCCTGCTCCGACGGGCGACGCTCCTCGGGTCGCATCCTGCTCTCGTGCGAGCTTCTGCTTGCGCCTTGTCTCACGTATGATTTCCCGGATTTCGGGGTCTGATTCGTCGATTTCTTCGTCGAGATCCGTCGGCGCAGCCTGCTCTGGGACCCTTTCGGCCGGCGGTGGCGCATTGTCGTCCGAGTCCGTGTCACCGAGATCGACCACCACAGCTGGCCTGAGTTCTGCGTCGCGCGCCCGGCTTGCCCGGGCGTCAGCTTCGTAGCGCGCCGAAAGGGAATGAGCGTCAACAGTGGGCAACGGAGGAGGTGAGGAGGACAGTGATGCGTGCTGTCTAGCTAATTCACTGGCTCGGCTGGTCAGCGGAAAGATACTACTAAATAATCGGCGTTGACCCTCACCTCTGGCCTTCATCTCGCCTGACTGGCGGGTGCTCTTCATCGTGAGCCGTCTTTCGTCGTTTGCCTCGCCTAGCGGCGTCCAGCTCTCTCTTTCTGGCGCTCTCTTCCTGCTCTTGCAGCTTCTTGACCCTGGCGCGCTCGCGTTCCTCCATGATGGCCGAGAAGGTCTGCTTAGAGCCATCGAACATGGCTGTTGGATCGTCATCGTCGCCGGTGTCGGCATTTTGCTTCCAGGACGGTTTTTTGAAGAAAGACCGTTTCGGCTTTGGTGGTGCTGCGCCGTCGGCCATGGCTGCGCAGTCGCAAGCGCGGTGCTTTTGTAGGCGCTGAGGCGAACTGGCAGGGGCAGCCGAGGAAAGGAAAACAAAAGGGCGCGCGAGCAGTTGTCGCAGGAGGGGGAGGGGAAGGCAGTGACGATGGTGCTCGAAGCTGTCGGCGATTGCGCGCCGCGAAACGCCGATGGCGCGCGGTCCCGTGAGCTTCCAAAGCACTTCACCCGACCTACACTTGCCCCCAACCTTCCAACAGACTTCGAGCAAGAGAGCAACCATGGAAAACGGTGCCACCGACGCAAAAGATCCTTCGGGCTTCCTCAGCGAGATCATTGGTGCCCCGGTCACAGTCAAGCTGAACTCTGGCGTCGTCTACAAGGGTATGTCTGCCGCCGCTGTCTCGATTCCTCCAGACTGATGCCAAAGGCAGGCGAGCTTCAGTCCGTCGATGGCTACATGAACATTGCTCTCGAACAGACCAAGGAGTATGTCGACGGCAAGCTGCGGAGGAACTACGGCGATGCCTTTGTAAGAGGCAATAACGGTACGTTTCGTTGGCACTCTCCGGCCACGCTTCACCCATGCTTACATAGCGCAGTCATGTACATTTCCGCCGATCACTGAGATGGACGCTCTGACGAGCGAGGACCGTAGAAGGCAAACTGGCGCCTCGATCACGGAGCTGCACGCCCAGGCCATCTGCGCGCGCTAGTCCATGAGCAGATCATGTGGCTGCGATATCCCCCGGGCTCCCGACACGACGTTCGTTGGACAGCCTCCCTCCGCCTTGTGCTAGTTCGGCTGGAAGCGAGAAGGGTGAGCGGGGGTGCTGGAGCCACTTGCTCTAGATTTTTTTTTCCTGACTGAACCGTCTTCCAGCCCCTTGCGAATCGCTGATCGCATACAAGGGCAGAGAATGAAAATGGAAATAATATCATGCGTCCAGAGTTTCTAGTGATACATAACGAGATGGACTGAGTGCCACGTTCATCGGTGCGCTCGCTGAGGCTTTGTTCACTCGGACCACGTCCCTATCGCGCGCTTCCGCAACTTCATGCTGCACTAGGACCACCGACTCCACCCATGCGTTCCGCAGCCGCGAGCCTGCCCAAGCGAGAGCCTTCTACAGAGCGGTCTCTCCATCCGGCAAGACGCAATGTTGCCCAGCCTACCCCGTCATCAGGCTAGATATATCGGTAATATAAGGTTGTCAAGCCATTTGTGCAAGCGTCGATCCAACCGCCACGTTCTTGCAGTGCCAAGAACACTTCTCGGTGGTGTCTACTCAGGAGAGTGATGCTATGTATGAGCCACGCAGGCGGTGGTTCAATGGATGTTTTGCACGTTAGATTACGCGAGATTAGGTATACAGTGTAGCCAGTCCGAGTGGTCATCGAGAACGTGCGAGGGGCATGCTCGATGGCAGGTCATCTCGTTACGAATCACTCGTAGGATGTGACGTGCTAGTAGCACGGCGACTGCTTGCAAGAAGTGTACGCTCTCGATCCGTCACAGCATGCATGGTGACGGAGACGGCGATTCCCCTTCCCATGGACCCAAGGTAACGGCAACCGTTCTCGGCTGCCACGTCAATTCCACTGCTTTGGAACCGTGCCAAGAGCCGGCGCGGCATTTCATGTGCTTTGCTCTCGGCTTGGTATTCACATCACTTTGTGTAAGAGGCCTCCGCCTCGCGACATTGGACCGGTGGCACCAGGGTCGTGTGATGGGCATAGGCAGAGATTGCTGTGTTACCGGATATGTCAACCAGAATCTAATGCACGAGCAAAGGCGGTCTCGCTGGTTTTTCGCCCAGTCGACGCGGTGCACGCGGCTGGATCAAACGGATTGCTCTCCCTGCCGAGCCCCGCAGGGAAAAGGCGGCCAGGCGGCTCTTTGGCACAGCATGATGACTTGCAGTAGTCGACCGAGGTCCCGACGAACGCAGAGCATCCTGTTCGATGCTGGGGTTGGCCTGTGGGTTGGAATTCGCAGCGGGCGTAGCACAGAAAGCATGCTGTAGAACCACACGCAGAGCTCTAGTCCCAGGACGGAACAGAGCTGAGCGAACCTTTCCGTGAGCAGAGCGACAGTCGAAGGCTTCAAATAGTGTCTCCGCACCGTGGGATGCGGCGACCAACCACCACACTTGCATCCACCGTCAAAACGAAACAAGCCCGCCTGCATTGAGCGTCGCAGAGGGTTGATCAGGCTCTGGCCGGCACGTTTTCACGCTATGGCCTGAGGATCTGCGATCAAGGCCCGAGCCGCATCGTGCAGGTCGGGGATGGGAATCCAGCTGTGGAGAAGGCGGCGGCGGGCGGGCGGTGCCAGGCCAATGCGGCGTCGATGACGCGGCCGCGAAGATACAAGAGGCCGGCACGGCAGCAGCGAGACAGCAGACATGCGGTGAGATGTGGGGAGGGGGCCCGGCGCAGCGCCGGACGAAAACGGGCACGATGGCAGAGAGGATGGCGTTGTTGACGGAGGTCGACAATTTCCGTGGCGGCGCGGCAGGAGGCTGGGGCGGAAGCGAGGCCGCGCTCGTCAGGCGGCCGTTTGCAGAAAGCAGGCGGTGCTGAATCGCAGCAGCGTGGCAGGCCCCTGGGCGCTCGGGTGCAACCTGCCCGCTCGCGGCGGCCCTCGTATGCGGCGGCGGGCAGCGAAGTCGGGGTGGCGCCTGCAGCGCGCGACGAGTGGCCGGGCGGGTGCTTGGATCGACGGCGGCCGCTGCACATCCACCGCTAGGCCGCGATCTGACTTCTAATAATGAACGGCTGAATGATCCCTGACGCAGGCCGCTTTATGCTCCTCGTTCCTTGGGCTGCTTACCTAGCGCTGCCGGCCTCGTATTAGGGTACACTCCTGACCCGGCACCGCGACACCTGCGAGTCCTCTCCAACGCCCTCCGCATCCGTCCGCCGTCGTCTCTCGTTCAGGGCCTGTCCCTAATTCGCAGACGCGTCCAGGTAAGCCTTCCTCGGCGCCAGTGCGAGCAGCCGCGCCCGCGCCCCAGCCCACAACAACAACCCGCCTCCGTCGCTCCACCCTCCCGACCACCACCTCAACACCTGCCTGCGAGCCTCTGCCATCGCCCCTGGCCGCCGCCGCCGCCTGCCTGCCAGCGTCTCCCTCGCTGCGCCCGCTCCCGCTGCTGCCTCGGCCGCCGCACCGTCGCCTGAGCCTGTCCCAGCGCCCGGGCCCGCGCCGCACGCCTCCTCTCTCGCCGCTGCGCGCTCGCTCGCTCGCCTTCGCCGCGATTGGGCCGCCGCGCCGTGCCGCGAGCCTCTGGCAGTCTCGCATTTCGCTGCTAACCCGCGCCTCGCCCGCAGACCCTCGACGCCATTCGTTTTTCTCGCCAGCAGCACTCGCTCACCACCGCCGAGCCACGCTGGGCAGCCCGCATACGTCACGTACATCCCGCCGCCGATCGATCGATGCGCTTGTGAGCAGCCTCAACGGGTCGCATTCTTCGGCTGGGGTTCGCTGCCGCTGTTGGCCGGTCCATCCACCCACATCGCGCCGTCTCGCTCGCATTCACCATGCCGAACTTCATGCCCAAGGCCTTCACACGCAGGAAATCCTCGGGGAACGCGCTGGAGGAATTCGACAAGCCCGTCGAGTCGTCATTCCGGGTCATGCCTCGAGCCGAGGTGCCCAAGTCGGCCACGACCGGCGAGCTGGGCTTGGGTGTCAGGCGCGCCTTCAACCCGCGCCCTGTGAGCTCGCCCATGGGGCCCCTGCAGCCAGCCCAGCCCCTCCAGCACCTGCGTCAGAACTCTTACGACGAGAGCCCGTACACCGGCCCCGGTAACAGGTAAGCTGCTGCGTTTTTGGTGTCTGCCGGCCGCCCTGCCTAATCGTGCGCTAGGGGCAGCAATGGCAGCAGTGCCGCGAACTCCAGTGCTTCGCGGTTCTACGACACGGGCTCATCTGCGCGCCACAGCTCGACCTCGACCCTGCCCTCCTCCGCAGAGTTCGACAACGACGATCTTTTCACCAAAAAGGTGCCCGTACCCAGCGAGGCCCGCGATCGCACCTCGTCCTTCACCAGCATCACTGGTCGTTTTGCGTTTCACCGAAAGTCGGGAAAGCCCTCTGGGTCACCCACGGCCAAGAATGACTCGGAGGATGTGCACTCGGGTCGGGATCGAGCTATGACCGCGAGCAGTTATGCAAGCACGGCCCATCCTCCAAAGCTCGAGAACCTGCCATCATCGGATTTCGGCAACGATTTTGGAGATCTCTTTAGCAGTTTTGCTGCGCAGCAACGGAAGAGCGCCATTCTCGAGGAGTCGCCCCTCCCGCAGCCCCCTCCGCTCGCCATGAGATCCGTGAGTGAGACATTGCCTCGTGTTTGGTATTTATTAACTGGTATGACCAGGAGTCCGAGCCCACGCTACCTCCGCCTCCCAAAACTTTTGCGTCGTCTAGACCCACTCAGCCTCCATCTCCCATTCGTGTTGATAGGACTAAAGACGTCGGCGGGTCCCCGTACTCGTGGGACAGCCGCGACTCGAACGATGCACTGATGGCATCCCCTCCTGTTGCCGCTCATTCTCCGTACAACGAAAGAGCCCCTCCGGTGCCTCGCCACTCGATCGTCCCCCTGTCGGCCAGTCCACCGCCGCTTCAGGTCCGCACGAATTCCAGCCCAGTCTCGGAGCGTAAGCCTGCCCGCAACGGAGCCATGAAGACGCCGTCGCTGCCTGTCGAGGACGCGGACGCCCGAATGGTTCGGGAGTCCTTTCGGGCTAGTCGCGACGCCAAGGACCTGGAGGCGGCCCAGACTCGTCAAAACGGGTCTTCCGAATCCTCCGTGAAAACACCGTCTTTCTCTTCAGCACACTCCAGCATCCAGTCCCAACACCAAGCGCAGCCTGTCACGGCTGCATCTTCTCCGGACTCGATGGCTGAAGCTACGCCTCGTGCCAAGGGCGCCGGCACGGCCAATGAGGAGTCGCGCCCCTTGTTCAGCAAGACGCCTCCCACCCCCCAAACGACGAGGCCAGGCGTTCGCTTCGAATCGCAGAAGCCCGCGCGCATGACTCAGGCTGAGTTCGCCGTTCTGCAACGTCAGCATCAGAAAGACCCTCTGAGTGACGACGAGTCCGACGTGTCTGATGAATACATCGATGACGACCAAGAAGAGGAGGAGCGCAAGAAGATCGAGGAGATGCGCAAGATCCGCCAGCAGCAGCAAGAGAAGATGAGCGCACATCGGGAGATGATGAAGAAGACCGTCGGCGGCATGAACCAGTCCCTCGGCGGCCGTCCCGTCAGCATGGAGAGGCCTGGCATGAACAGAGCCAGCATGAGCACGTCGGAGCTGCTGGGAAACCGGGCTTCGTATTATGGAGGCAACGAGGACGAGGATGAGACCGACGACATTCCCCTTGGCATCCTGAAAGAACACAAATTCCCCAAGCTCGGCAACCGCTTGTCCCACCACAGCTCTCTGACGAATCTCCGCTCGGCTTCCGCGCAGGGCATGCGCCCGGTCTCCGCCGCTGGCTCCGTTGTCGGGGGTCCCGGCAACCTTCCACCATTTGCTCGCGGCCTTCCGGCAGACCTTCCGTCAGAACCCTACCTCGGCGCCAACCTGGTCCAGCAGCCCATGCGGGAGTCGATCGGTTACGGCGCCATGGGCCCCGCATCCGTGTATGAAGGTTCGACCGGTGGCAATGCGCAGCCCACGTTGGTCAACATGATCGCGGATGCTGAGCAGGCGAAGGAGGCTCGCCGCGGCGGCGCCACCAAAATCTTCGGTACCACGGCCACGTATGGGCAACGATTGCCTCAACCCGGACAGATGGGCATGGGCCAAGGCCAGGGCATGGGAATGCTCGGGCTCGGGATGGGTATGCCCCAAGCGCAGCCGCAGCAGATGTTCATGCCGCAGCAGCAACAGCAACTGAGCATGAACATGAATATGCAGCAGATGCAGATGCAGCAGATGCAGGCCATGGCCCAGCTGCAACAGCAAATGCAGATGATGCTGCAGCAACAGCAAATGGGCATCCAGCAAGGCATGCCGCAAATGGGCATGCAGCCGGTGATGCAGCAGGGCATGATGGGCCAAAACAACTTCGGGTCGCCTCTTCTGGGCCAGCGTCCGATGTCCATGGCCAGCGCACAGGGGCTTGGCCAGCAGCGTACGAGGAGCATGGTGAACCCGCCTTCGATGAGCTTCGGCGGGCTGCAGCAACAGTTTGGAAGCCACCTGGCACCCGGGTACGCGCCGTCTCTCGCGCCATCCGAACGCAGCAACGTAGGCCAGTCTGCCCGCTACAGGCCCGTTACCCAGCAGATTCATGACGGCAGCTCTACGGTCATGTCACAGTCGACTGTCCAGCCCGGGCAGGCTGGTGCGAACCGTCTGACAATCCGAGTCAAGGCAAAGTCGCCCAAGTCTCAGACGAGCGGAGCGAACGAGGATGACGACGATGAAGGCTGGGGCTCGCCGAAGAAGAAGTGGTCGGCGAAGAAACGGTCGAAATCGGACAATCAGCTCACTGACTTCATTCCGGCCTTCGAGTGAGCATCACGGCGTAACCCGATTGACGAGACGAAGCCACGACTTTCCCCTCTTTACCCGGTGCACGATTAAAGTTGTTACTTGAGCCACAGTTTGGGCTACTGCGTTTTGAAGCATTATTGAATCGCGTCTCGTTGTCTCGCATCGCATCCGGGACCCTGATACCACCTCATTTGCGTGTTATTCGCCTTGGCGGTCTCGGCATTCGTCCGCAAAAGGTCCTTTTGTTCCTTCTCTACTATTTTCCTTTCGCTTTTCGCCCCTCGATTCTGCACAGCTGGGTGGCTAATGATCGCGCATTCTGGCATCTGGGAGGTACACCAAAAAACACAAAACAAAGCCGGGGGCGCACATGTTTCGCGGCGCCACGGGCACTCTTCTAATCTGCATACATTTTCTCGGCCTACGCATAGTCAAAGTGCATTTGCGGCATTTTCGAGCGGTAGAGCCAGCTGTTCCCTTCTTGCCTCTATTCCAAGCTCAGTTGTCGAGATTTCTCTTCTTGTATAGAAAGCATTCCGGCTTGGACAGGCGGGAGGGTTTATAATGGTAGAAGGCAGGGCCGGGCAGTCGGAGGGGAGGGGCTTTGGGGCATGTGATAGCAGCAGGGGAGGGGATTTTTTCTGGTGTTGGTTGGGATTGAACAGGAGTTTGGATGGGAAGCCTTGGAGTGCAAGGCAAGGGACTGTACGTAATCAGTGGAGTCATCAATGGGAGCAATCGAAGGTTTGGAGAGGCGCAGATGGCCGACAGCAGCAGCATGTGAACGAGGTCAGCAGCGGCGAGGCCAAGCAAGGAGGCCAGCCACGGCGCCACAACCGCGATGGGGCTTCTTCAAGGAGAAGGAAGGGATGCGCGAGACTCGGCAGCAGCAGGCGGGCTGGGTGGCATCGAACCGCGGCGCAATGCATTACTGTTGAGAGGAGGGTCAGGGAGCCGGCGGGCAGCGAAGACGGGGGGCGTGCGATTATTGGCCGGCGACATGCACTGCATCAGTACAATATGCGCGGGCGGCGGCTGGGCATTGGCTGGAGGCGGCGAAAAATAGCACTCGGAGTGGACAGCGGGTGGCCTGTGGTTTGATTGATTGACAGGCGAGGGCGGAAAAGTGGAAACGCGTTGATAGGCGTGCACTATTTCCTGCTTCGCTGCCGTCTCGCACAGATGGATTGCACACGCATACTGGACGCCGGGGCGCGCTCTGGGGCTCTGCGCCGTTGGCTTTCGACGGTGGATTCTGTCCTGCGCCGTGGCGAGCCGGCGGTCTGGCCGGCTCCACCTCTTTTTTTTTTTTCACTCTCCCCTTTCATGTGCAGGCCCGCTTGCGACGGCAAAATTGGTCCAGCTGCGGGTCGCAGGCGGCACGGCAGGGGGGGCGGCTGCCTGAGGCAGAGGGCCCGATGCGATCGACTACCTACCCAAGGCCGACAATCATGACGATATGCTCTCAGCTAACACGCAATCTATGACCCAAGCGCGCAGGCGCGCCGTCGTGCGATAAGCTGGCCTTAGGCTCGGGCTAGCGCTCTCACACCCAGAGGCTGCGGCTCTGCTGCCAATTTGCTGGATACGAAAACGAGCCCATGCACCGCCACGCTCCTCTCCACGTGGGAAAACTCACGGTCATGTTGCCATCCGCTCTGCATATTGTACCACGGGCACTTGAGATTCCATTCCCCTTTTCGAGCTTGCTTCTAAACGCGTCGCGCACGGCCCTATACTCGCTTGCTGCGGCCTATAGCCTTCCCACTCCATGATATAACGGTGCGTGAATCCTGCCAACGGCTTCCTCCTCGCTCGGTGCTTTCTCCGCCTGTTCCCGGAATCCGTCGATGAAGAGCGCTTCCTCACGCCTGGTCTATCCGATCAAGGCATCGCGCAATGGCCTCGAGTGCTTGGGAGACGTTGAATGCCTGCTGCGCATCCGGCGAAAGGTCCGGCTTGGGATGGTAATGCGACGCCCTCGGAATAGCGACGTTGAGCGGAGGAAGGCCCCGTCGCGAGCGAAGCTCTTGGAAAGTCGAGCTGCACGAGAGCGACACGGCTCCCGCTCCTGCGACGCACGCCCTCATCCCTGTCGCTCTTGTCGTTGATGCTGCTGACGTAGTCGTCCGGGACGCTGCGTGGGAGCGTGTCTCATGGCAGCGCGGCCTGCCAATGTTCGCCAAAGGGACAGTCGTTGGGACAAAGACGGTGGAAATGTCTGCGTGTTTCGGCTACAGACTGGGCGAATTACTGCAGTCGCTCCGTAGTTATTCGCTCCCGGGCCAGTCGTCGATGTGGAGATCCGTCGGCGTCTTCTGACCTAAGCTGATGAGATGAAGCTTACCACGTCGCATCACTAGACTTGTCCGTGTCAGACACGAAGGCTGTGTCGCGCCCAAGACGGGTTTAATTATAGTCTCGTCGCTTTGTCGTGTCGAAAACGTCACCGTCCAACTCCTCGGTGACATTGTCTTTCTGTCGTTGTCTTTGACACTGTCCAACCGCCATTTGTTACATCACGTCACTTCCACCTGGCAAACGGCGCTATTCACGAGGCTTTCTGCTCAGCCGTGTCATCCTTGTTACTAAATAACCCTGCGCACGTATAATAATGTTAAGCTAATATCCCTGCTGTCACGCTTAGAGAGTAAAACTAAGCGAACCCCAGGACAATTGGGCTTACGGCAAGCTTGTTCGTCGGCTATCGGCTCAGATATACAGTTCACAATCATGTGCTTGAGAGCTTTTCGGATTATACTTGATTAAAGAAGACAGTTTGGTGTTCCGACTAGTCGATAAACCCCTCCGTCAGCCAGAACATAGCAATGCAGATGTCCAATCTCAGTGCTATTCTAACACCTTCAGTGGCAGGGATGAAATATTCCACAGCGTTATCATATCCATCTACTCTGCTGATTCTTAGCGTCGTCCATGGTTCCAACTTTTGTTTTCTGCGCAGAACCTCACACTTAAAGTCCGGTAAAGGTACAGCCGCCTGACGTACCCACAAACGCCATCGCCTTGAAATCGAACTGACATTCCCCTGCGTGAGAAAGGTATGAACAGTATAAAAAAGTGTAATATATAGTTACAATAGCAGCAGTTAAAGCACAGGAATATAAGGTTATCTAACAGGTACGTTATAAACAGCAAGCTATTACCGAATAAGTAAGTATGAATTTATAAGATTATAACGAGTGTAATAAAAGAAAAGAAGCGAGTAAAACCATAATTAAAGACGTCAAGACGGCGGAATCGCGGATTAAAGCTTACTACTGTGGCACCCGTCTAGCTTTTCAGCTTCCATGACCTATTTATTCTTCAGTAGAATGCTTAGAGCCGTGGCCCAGTAGTCGAGCAATAGGGTAGACCCTGGTAAATAGCCTCTGAAGTGAATGCTGATAGATTGAGTAGTTATTCATTGTAATGGGGAATCGAATGCTAATTCATGCTCGTGGGAAGAATCGTGCAGATATCATCGGGGCTCCCCGAGAAATTGTTTCGACTCCTTGGTGAGTTTGCTTGACTTTGCTATTGGTGTCAATCACCAACTTGGAGCAGGGCCGGATGTGTCTAGTCAACATCAACTTCCAATTTTCCTCCCCGAAAAGACGCTTGAAACCTGCAGAGTGGCGCCGAAAGATGGTGACATGGTGGCTCCGCTGCGTTGAGCATTTAGTGCTGAAGCTAGGTTAAGCTTTGCCTCGAGAGAGAAAGTTCCAGCAGCCCCAACCCACCGCTACATACAAGTCAGTCATGATGACCTCCACAAGTGAGCAGAAGAGTCGTGCGGTCTTACCCATGGTTGTAGGACATGAAGAATGGCAGTGATGTGAATAACATTGGTCCCGTGAAGGTAGGGTCAGCAATGCCTCTTTGTTCACATGGCGTATTCGAGCGTCTCAATCTCTTCAGCGGTGAGGCTGCGGGATGTGGTGTGGGTGCTGGAGCAAGTGGAATCGTCGGAGTCATAATCATCCGAGGCGGTAGTGTACAGGGCTAGCGGGGAAGTGGGATGTCCGGTGGCGATGCGGGCTTTGATGTCACTCGAATGGTTGTCGTAATCCTTTCTGCTCCGCTTGGGGCTCCTGGAGGCTTCCGAGACATGCTCCCACGGCTGGATGCGGTACATCAGACACTTTTCGTGGCAGCGTTGCTCGCACCAGCGGCATCTCCGCCAGGTGAAGTCGACAGTCCACTCTTTGGTGGGCGGGCGGGGGCGGAGGCGATGTGAGGAGTCGGGGGTTGAGGGAGGGGTGGCGCGCGGTTGGAGCAGAGGAGTCACCTTGTTGGAAGCGCCGCATCCGTCGCAGTAGAAGCCGTACGAGTATAGAAATCGATCCGAGGCGGCGATGTGGTGGCGGAAGCCCTTGAGCTGGGTGAAGACATCGGAGCAGACGGGGCAACAGGCGCACAACGGGTGAGTGCAGACGCAGATGACGCTCTTGAGGCTGCGGCGATGGTCGGTGTCGAGGTGGGATTGGGCTCGACAGAGGCAGCAGGTGATGGCAGTGCGCTTGATCTTTACTTCGGTGAGATGCTGTTCGTATGCCTTCCGCTTGGAGTTGAGCAGGTCGCCTAGCAAGGGTGAGCAGCCGGACATGGTGCGCAGCGTGAAAGAAGCCGGTCGAGGCAACCAGGAGGAAGGTGGCAGACCTGGCAGCAGGAAAGATTGCGCGGAAGTTTCATTCACCGGCGAGGTCTCGGGAGCGGCGCCAACCAGTATGCGTGCCGCCGCGATGCTGGTGCTGAACCTGGTGGTCGCTCCTTCCTCGTCCGGGTGTTTGCTTCAACTCGCCATAAACGAAGAGTGCAGGTACGGCGCGGTGCTTGAACGAATTTTGCGCCATACGGCGTGACAATCTTGCGCCAGCACGTCCCCGCCTACCCGAGTACGTGAGGGCCAGCCTCTGGTGGACAAGATGAAGGGAACCGCGTGTGGTTGCACGTGACCGGTGCGATAACTATATAGTACCTGCGAGCGGCTAGCCGCCTGGGCGCTCGGCTCCTCTCAGCTCCACCCCTCCACAACATGCCAACGCCGCTGGACCGTCTCACGCAGTCGAGGGTAAGAGGCGCCCGCTCTGTTGTCGTGCCCGCCTTCTGACCGCCACGTGTAGGGCGCCTTCTTCGGTACCGCATCCCCCGCGCCCGCCGCTGCATGTCGCTATTATTGACGCGTGGTGCCAGCCTTCGCCGGCATCGTGACGGCTGCCACCGCCTGGGTCGTCTGGGGCGGCGACGTCTTTCCCGCCGAGCCCGACCCCACCGGAGGTGCGCCGCCCTCCGCCACTCTCGCCAGCACGTCTTCTGACCTTTTGAGACAGACCCCGCCACCTGGACAAATACCGAGCTGCGCCGATGGTTGAGAAACGTGCTTCCTCAAACCCGCCCCTTGTCATCCCGCTCTCCAGACTGACTGCCGCACAGCGCAATCTGCTCCCTAGCGAGCTTGCAACAAGGGAGGAGCTGCTGGAGCGCGTCCACGCCAACATGCGTCCTCCTCCCCGCGCTTAGCCTTTTATTCGGCTGCTGGGCTCCCAATCCGCTGCGAGATTGTTGCTTCTCCCATCTCCAGTACCCCCTCGCAGCCGATGGTTAGCGTTACCTTTTGCTATCGCCCGAAGAAGAACGTGAAATTAAAAACTCTACATTGCACCCACATGTGCTAGTTTTCTGAGAGGCATAGCTACGCCTAGGGCCTTACTATTCTTCATGCTAGCCGTCGGCTGCGTTGCCCCCCCTGTACCTTCGCGAACGAATCCAAAGTCATTTGATCTCTCATGACACGATCCCTTTAAGCCGTCGGCTACCTACAAGGAATCCCAGGACTTGCCATACTGGGCTAGTCTGATTTGACTGACGTCATGTCCTGTAATCGTGTCAATGCATCTGAAACATCCGTAGTCATCACGACGCTACAACTCCATGGCAATGTGAAGAGTAAATGGTCGTTCGCGTGTCTAATTCTGACTGGAAATAGCAGGAACGATGCTGATGCATGGCAAGTCGATGCTCGCTCTTCCCGGGAGATGCGTCAAAAAAAAAAAAAAAGGAAAAACTCCGTTCCTATGCCTGTGATGATCCCGTCCTTTCCATTTGCCAGACCCAAGAACCAAAAAAGGAAACAAGAAGAAAATGTCGGCTCCGCTTTTCCGCCGGGTATCATCATCGAATGCAGTCGTCCAGCGTGTTCAATGCTTCATGGCCTGGAAGGCCCTCTCGATGCAGCTATCGCATCCCAGTTCGTCATACTCGGACTTTTCGCACGTGCAGAAGACGCCGTTTGCGAAGTCCTCCTTTTCGGGTGGAGGCGTCTCCAGCGAGAGGTCGGCGACGGAGGACGTCTCGGAGGTGAGGGTGGAGCAGATGGTCTCCGGGTGCTCGATGGCGCACAGGCCCTTCTCGAAGCACTTGATGCATCCAACCTCGTCGTAGGTTGGCTCGGCACAGGTGCAAACAATGCCGGTGGGGGTTGTTGTGGCGACGAGAGGCATGTTGGCTTTGTGGTGGTCGAGATTGGTGGTGTAGTAGAAACGTGTGCTGGTGAATGCTGGAGGCTACGCAGCAGACCTGAGAACACGACAGCATTATATAGTCATGCCACGCCTCCGTCAAAGTGACCTAAGACGCCTCCGCAATAATTTTCTCCTTGATTGAGGGTGGTGGTGCAATGGCCAGGTCGCACAGGTGGCGAGGCAGCCGGGGAAAAATTTATCACACCACCGGGCCAAGGCGGCAGCTGGACGGTTTCAGGCGCCAGGGGCGCAATCAGGGCGCGCCAGGCCGGCACATCTCCCGTTGGTGGTTCGAGGCTTGAATGACCGGCCCGGCCTGCGCGCTCCTGCGGTGTGTTCTGGCGCGCGTGTGCCCGCCAGCTGACGAAACGCTTCGGGTGAAGTCGCGACGTCAGCACAACGGCCATCCCGCGCTTCGTTCGTACACGTTTCTGTCCGCGTGAAGCTCTCTCGTCGCATCTGAATTCTCTTATCTAGCGCTGCCGACGTGTCCGGCGCCCCCACTTGGGTTGCGAGAGTTTTTCCACCACGCTTCGATGGCTTCTGCGCCGTCTCCCGCATCGGCCTGGCCATGACTTGTTGCCGTCGACCTTGTTGCACCCTGCTTCACCATCACCATGCCTGCCCCCCTAAAAACCAATCGGCCCTTCGTCGACCAGACCAACCTTGGCTGCTGAAGATTCTCCGGGAAACGCACGGCGCCGAGCCCGTGTGCCTCGTTGGTGGCGCGTCCGGGGAGCGAGGCTGCTAGTTGATCGAGATGTTCACGATTTTGATATCCTCCTCGGGCTTCTCCTTGTAAGTCCTGACGTTTTCGATCTTGTGGATGACGTCCAAGCCTGCTATCGCTCGGCCGAAGATGGTGTGCTTGTTGTCGAGCCATGGCTGCAACCCGGTCAGTCTGCGTCAGGACCACATCCAGAAAATCAAACCCACCGTTTTCTCCGTTGTGATGAAAAACTGCGACCCGTTCGTGTTGGGTCCGGCATTCGCCATGCTGATCGTGTAGGGCTTGTCGTGTCTGAGCGTGGAGAACTCGTCCTCGAACTCCTTGCCCCAAATACTCTCGCCGCCAGTGCCATCGCCGAGAGGATCGCCCGTCTGCGAGATGGTCAGTCTGCGAGCGACAAAGGAGCGGCGCCCAGGGCGCACACCTGAATCATAAACTTGCGGATCACACGGTGGAAGATCACGTTGTTGTAGTACCCGTTCCGTGAGTGGACGACAAAGTTCTCCACAGCTTTGGGGGCAGCTTCGGGAAAGAGGCGAACATGGATGTCTCCGTAGGTGGTGTGGATGATTGCGGAGGTCCCGGTCTCTGCCGCCTTTTGCTCCTCTTGCTTGCGAGCATTGACGCTGCGGGGCTTCTCGTTTTGCACGTCGCGTTCCGACTTGCTGATCCTGTAAGCGTAATCAGCATCTGCACGCAAGATCCCAAGTCCCATCGGGAAACGCACTGCTCGTCGTTCGTAAACATGTAGAACCGCACTTTGCCAAAGCCAGTCGAGACGAGCATGGCATCTCTCTCCTCGGCTTCTTTGATCAGCGGGTTCTCGCTGGCGGCCATTTCCACCGTCACAACCCCTTTCTTTTCCGGCTGGCCCTGGTACAGCGCCAGGTTCAAAGCTCTGAAGGGCTCATCCTTGCCGTAGACTTTGACCACGCGGTTGGTGAACGTGTTGATGACCTTGGCTCCCAGGATCGAGCCGTACATGATGAAGTGGCCGGTCTCGTCGAAGATGACGTTGATGCGCGGCTTCACGGCGGGGTGTTCCAGCTCGCGCTCAATGGCCAGACGACGGCCGAACTCGACATCCTCCAGCTTCTGCAGAGCCGTGCCCGCCTGCTGCATCTCCATGATGGTTGCAACAGACTCGTCGTAAGTGCGGTACAGCTTGCCGGTGGCGAAGTCGAAGACGCGGACCTTCCGATCGGGGAAGGAAAACGTTGCAAACTGCGACCCATTGGGAGAGATGGTGATGGAGGCCGGGACAGACTTGGCCTTTTTGAAGTCGAAGAGGTTCGTGGAGCTCTTCATCTGGAAGACGTTGTCGGGTTTCTCGTAGCTGCCACTCGGCCTCCAGTACTCGAGCATGCCTCCGTCGTCGGCCGACACGACGCAGTCGTACTCGTTGTTGTAGGCCATGAGGGACACCGGGCTGCGATGCAGGCCGGCAATGGTGTGCATGGGCTGTTGGTTCTCGCCCCTCCCGTCGTAGATGCGGATCGACTTGTCGGTCTCGAGCGACACGGCGAGCAAGGGCAGCGAAGCGCCGCGGCTGTGCACCCAGCACACGCATCTCGGGGCGGCATCGAGGGTCAGCATGGCCAGCAGATCGAAGGTTATGACGTCGAAGATCTTGACCGTGTTGTCGGTGCCGGCCGACGCGAAGCTCCTGCCGTCGGCGCTGACGCTGACCGACTTGATCTCGCCATTGTGCGCGCGGAACTCCTTGACAAACTCGACGCCGTCGCGCGTCTTCTTCCAGAACTTGACCACGCCGTCGAGCGAGGAGGTGATGAGGAAGTCGGTGTATGGGGTCAAGGTGGTGAAGCACAGCTGCTCCTTGTGCATCAACGACTTGGAGTAGCGGGCCGAGGCGGGAAGGGCGGCAACGTAGAGCCTCTCGTAGGGCAGTCTTCTGCGCTTCTTCTTGGGCACCTGCGAGGGCAGGGCGGGGCCGAAGTCGTCGTCGTCTGAGGATGTGTCTGCGGAAAGGTGAGCTTGCGCGTGCCAGGCGTTGAAGGCGGGAGCTGACCATCGTCGTGCGCGTCGCGGCCGTGGCCATTGCGGATGCCGTCCTGCGTCTCGTCGAACGTGCGCTTCCTTGCGCCGGGCGAGGGCGGGGCGGCACTCATGTCGGAGGGCGTGCTGGGAGAAGGCGGCAGAGCTGCGGTCGTGGAGCTCGTGGGGAAAACACGGGTCTTATCTTATCAGCGCTACGGCATCTCACGAGAACCAAGGATCAAAGTAGTGCAATCGTAATTTGGCAGCTTCGACCCGCCCCGTGGTCGCGCTACAGTACTAAGAGAACCGGCCACGCTAAGCCCTGCTTCCGGTCGGTGCTGTCTTTTCAGACCTCCTCCTCCGTCGTCTTCGCCGTCTTCGCTTTCTCCAACTCAGCCCGCACCACCGGGCTCCGCTCGCCCTCAATCTCCGGCCCCAACTTCCCCACGAGCAGTCCCCTTGCAAACCCCCTCTCCGGCAGCTTGGCCAGCGCATGGATTGCCTGTGCCCGCTTGACCCGCATTGCCTCGCTCAGTCCGTCGTAGCGTGCGTCAAATAGCAGGGCGTCCAACGCTTCCTTCAACTGCGCCTCGTTGCCCGTCGAGAAGCTGCCTGTGGGCTCTTGCGTGTACACCCGGTCAAAAAGAGCTTGCAGCGCCTCAAAGACCGCCACATGGATCGTGTTGGACGGCAGCGTGTTCAGCTTGCGCGCCTGGTCGAGGAAGCGTAGAGCTGCCCCTGAAAGAGCCGTGTCCTGCAGTAGCTTCGGGTTGATTGAAGCCTGCAGGGCGAAGATGGCTCCTGTGGCCGTGTTGTCGCGCCTGTGAACGTCAGCTTGTGGCCCCTGGAGAGTGGCATGGGAACTGGGAGGGGGCATACAGTTTCTCATCCTTGCGCATCGCATCGCCCGCATCCACGTCCATGGCATCCTCATCGCCAGCCGTCAGCTCCTCTACCACCGGACTCACTATGTCAAACACCGTCTCGCTCCAGTCCACCTCCGCCATTGCAGCAGCAATCCGCCCGAGCGGCTTGAGAGCGTGTTGTCGGTACGCCTTATTTTGCCGTTTGGCTTCCCGCACAATCACTCTTCTGATTTGCTCTGCCACCTCTGCCCGGCTCTTCCACAGAGCGCCTCCTCTTTCGACAAATCGCGCAAATGCTTGCAGGACTACCTCTTTGCCCTCCCACGACTTTCCCCCAAGCGCCTTGTCCAAGGCGGGCCAGATGGTCTCTGCATTGGGCACGCTCATGTCCTCAACCGTTGAAGCCAGCGCGTTCGTCGCTTCTGCAACAGCCTTGGCAGCCGTGTGCTTGAGCGTCCAACGGGGGCTGTCTAGATATCCTTGTGCGATGGCCACGATGTCTTTGACGTAGAGCTGCACCGCAAGGCTCCCCCCGACATTGTCATCCCATGCGCGCGAAAAGAGTTCACGCACCGTCTCCGAACTGTCGTGCTTTGCGATGTACGTGAAGGGCAGCAGCTCTGTGCTCAATGCATTGAACTTGTCGGATGCATGCTTGGAAATGGCAGCGACAATGTCGCCCGATTCGACCCGATTTCGCTCATCGTCGGACTCAAAATACAGGCGTTTGCAGAAGGTGATGAGTTCCAGGATCTGCTTCTCCGAGGCAATGCGTGTGACGTACCCTGCTGCGGCAGCGTAGGCAGCCGACACCGTTTCGTTGCGGTCGTGCACATGCTTCTCGATGAGTTTCAGAAACCGGTCCGCGTATGGCTTGAAGAGAAAACCGCGGCGCGTAGCCAGTGATACCAAAACGCGAGAGGCGCCGACTTTCGAGGGGAGTCCAATGGCAGTTTTCATCGCATTTTCCAGCCTCGGTTCCAGCGCCTTCATGGATCCATCGTCCAGGAGGTCGAGACATCTTTCGATTGCCTCCATCAGGGGGCTTCCACGGACGCTCGCCAGGCGCATGTCGTCGATTTTCTGCTCCGTCAGGTTGTACTTGGCTGCGTTCAGGTGGATGTAGTTGACCGCCTCCGGTTCGACCGAGCTGAGCAAGCCAATAAGCCTCTCGATGAGCTCGGGTATATACGGCCTGAGAATCTTCGCGCTGCTTTTCTTGATGATCTCCAGGAGGGTCTTGAGCGCAAAGAACTGGACCTCCTTCGCACTCGATTCCAGTCCCGAGGTAGAAAGGAGGAACGGCAGGACGTTTTTGAGCATAGTGTCCGCATTCTTCATCGACGTGTCCCCAGCCTCGAGACTTCGAGTCAAGATAGCCGTCAGCACTCGAGCAAGGCCACCTGCTGCCTGGCGGACAGATTCCTTGATGTCATCCAGGACTTTGAAACACGCCGTCCAGATTCGTCCAAGGTACTGCTCGTACTATTCTCTTCGTCAGCTAAGCATACGACAAGGAGGCTGCTTGTTTTTTTTTTTTTTTGTTACCTTTTCGATGCTTTTGCCCTGAACGAGGTCGGCTACCGCAGCGCAGGCGGCCTGTCTCACACGCCATTCCCTACCAAGGATGTTGAGAAGCAAATCCTCCATGATGGCTTCGAAGTGCTTATCCAGCGTTGCATTCGAGTCCTTCACAAGCGCATTCCAGATGTCATTCATCGAGCGTTGAACATTTGGGTTCGGGTCGAATCTACGCACGTCAGCCAAGCCGCAAGCAGATTAATTGGCTGCTCACCTGTAGCGGTATAATTTGGGATAAAGCTTCGGGTTCTCAGCCAAATAGCCATCGACACTAGAATCCGAAAGAACGTTGCTGAGTCCAAATCTACCAAAAGCGGCCCGGCTCGACCAGATGGCATTGTTGGCGGCAAGGGACATGAACCGATAGACCAGGCTCGAATCCCCGACTTCCGAGGCCAAGTTCAAGATATCCTTGTAAGTAGTCACTGAACCATCACCAGTTGGGAGCGCTCCAGGTTCGAATAGCTGGGTGTCTTCCGAAACGTTTCCGGAGAGATTCGGCTTGTTATCGGAGAACGAGCCGACGAGATCTCGGACCAAATCATCCTTGAGTTGACGATCGCCCTTTTCATAGACCAAGCCCAGCCCGCGAGATGCTGCTTCTTGCACAACCTCGTCACGGTCTGAGAGGCATCCTTTGAAGGCGAGCTGGCACTCTGCCAGTCTGGACTTGACGGCCGGTAGGTGACCAAGGAATTGGATAATACTCAGGAGCCAGATAACCGAAGCTTTCTTCAATGCAGGTTTTGTGTTGCGGCAATTGGCGAGGACCTTCTCCAGCACGAAGGGCAAAGTCTTTTCTCTGGAAGGTGCGGCCGGAATGGGGGCATCGATATCCATCCTTGGAGCCAATATCGTGGCGTTCCAGCTCCCCGCGAGGCAGGCCACTGCCTCTCCAACAGCAAATTGCGTCTCTGCCTGGCGGATTTCATGCAGCTCGAAGATCTTGTCTCCCACGAAGCTCAGGTTAGCATCTGATTCGTCATCGACGATCATGGCGAGATGGCCCAGTGCAAGGATCGCCTTCTCATTCCCGGCCTTTGCACTTTCCATAAGCTTGTCTGTGAACAGAGTAAAGTTTATTTTAGCAATATCCGTCATACGTTCAGCCTTGACGACGAAAAACAAACTCAGCTCGCTAATGGCCAGTGAGGTAGCATCTCTCAAGGTCTTGTCTGTTGAGCGCCTGAGTACATCCAGGATCAGCTTCAGGAGATGCTGCAGTTTTTCCTCCGAAGCAGACGCACGGCGTTTCCTGGCAGTCAATCTGCTGAAGTAGTAAGACACTGCGAGAATTGCGCCAGCGGCTTCGTTGACCTGGCTACCGACTGCCCTCTCCCATTGGTCGGCCCTTTGCAAGAGCAGGGATAGAGACTGGTCGGCTTCAGAGGCAACGACGGCGCTGTGAGTGGCCAAGAGGCCGTACGCGTGGGCAGCTACCGTCCGCGTTGGCTCGTGATTGGAGAAGATGCAAGGCTCGAGCGCTCTGAACGCGGGTGCAGCCTGAGACATGTCCAGCAAGTCATCCGGGCTCAGCGAGCAAAGCTGGACGAACCTCTCGCCCAAGTCATCCAGGGAAGTGCCTCCTTCCCAGAGAAGGCCTTCAAGAGCGGCCCGCATGAGAGCCAGGACTGAATGCAGAATCGTTCCTTGGTCCGATGCTGCCCGCTTGAGATATGATTTGACGGCGTTGCGAGAGTCGGCATCTGTCGATATCGCGGTATCAAGCTTTCTTGCCCAGTCGACGTCGACGGGTATGGCCATGCCATGCGTCCTAAGCGCCTCATCCATCAGAATCTGATGAACGAATCTGACAGTAGGAGCGAATGCATGGGGGAAATAGCGTTTGAAATGACGGACCTGGTCATTCGGGCGCCACGCATTTCTAGTGGCCGCCGAAACCTCGGGCAACGAGAGAACATAGATGGACAGCTCTGCAAAGTCAGGGAAGGGTAAATGGGATTCGTCGCCTCCTCCTAAGCCGGTGCCACTCTGCGATGAATGGAGAAGCCGAGACCAGTGGGGATCAAGGCCTCGGCTTCCTTCTTCGCGGACCTCCTGGCTTTCGGAAGCGGGGCCACTGATGGCGAGAATGTCAATCCAGCGCGCAACAACGTCTTTGTAGGGTAGGCATCTGTTTGCAAACCGCACGGCAGCGTAACGTGTGCTTCGGCGGAATGCTGAGCCTGCCTCTTCCTCGGCGGACATCTGCTCGAGCAAGAGGTCTCTGAGGCTCTTTTGGACATCGGCATTCGAAGATGTAGCAAGGGCACCCAGCACGCTCGAAAGAGCTTCGTCGATGCTGACACCAGTGTCGCGTCCAGATGTGTCATCGCTCAAGGATCTGAACAGCCACCGTAGCAGGTTGAGGCTGGGTTCAAGAAGCACCTCTTCGGGAGCCGCCTTGGCCAAGAGGCCGATGACCTCATAGACGTACCCGCGCAAGGCGACGTCTTCGTCTGGGTTGGGCTTCGGCCATCCCTGATCTTCAATGAAAGCTCTGAGCCGCTGCACAAGCGTGGGCGCGACCGCATGGAGGTCTGCAGCAGACCCACGGCGTGCCATGAAGTTGACGAAGGTGAAGATGGCGGCGCGGAGCTTGGTGGCTTCACGTCCCCGGGCACTGTTCAAGCCGTCATCCACCACACCGTAGGTAAGCCCTTCTTCAACCAGCCGGGCGACTTTGGACGTGAAAGAGGTCGCCGCTATGGATTTGGCAAAATACGAGAGAATCTTTATTTTCAGGGCTGGTCGAGCGGGCAATTGACCACCGGCTGTGCCAAAATAGACGTCGTACAAGCTACCGATGACGCACAGGTCCTCTAGATCGGTGTTGGGCAGAGTACGCTTGAGAACGTCGTCGCCAATCTCAGATATGCGTGAGTTTGCGTCTGCCGATGCGTACACTGCGGGGAGAAAGCGCTCGTCGTCTGTGAACATGCCACTGACCAGGAACTTTGACGCCGCGACCTTTGCTTCTGTGAGGTTCATGCCGCCGTCGGCCGCGGGATCCCAAACGCCCGGCTTGCCCTGCAGGGTCAGAAATTGATACTCATCGGGAGACAGGCCGGGGCATGCGACATCAGACGCGTCCGGGCCAGCCCGGACGGCGGTGAACAGAATCAGCTTGCCAAACCAGAACGACAGGAACTTGGCATCTTCCTTGCCGAGGCCGAGCTTCTCACGGAGCTGCTCGTCATCCTTGGACCCACGCGGCGGCAGCTGGAAGAGGGCCATCAGGCGCAGCACGAGGTTGAACAGCTGCGAGCCATGGACGAGGGACTTTGCCGTGTCCGCCGCGATGCCGTTGATGAGAAGGGGCAGCAGGCCAAGGCGCTCGCTCAGCGGCAGGCGCGAGATTCCTTGCTGGACATAGAGCAGGTCAAAATGGCGGATCAGCGGCGAGTCAGCGTGCTCCTTGAACTGGCGGAGCAGGGCTGCTGCGGGGAGCTGGATTTCTCTGGAGCGGCGTCAGCGCAAGGCCCGGCAGGCAGGCAGGACGGGGACGGACTGCGGTCTCACGCGCGTGTTGATATGCTGGCAAACAGAAATCACCTAGAGCAAGCGGCGGGCATCAGCAGCCGCGAAACGAGGCGGGCAGGGAGGCGGTGCAGGGGCGCAGAGACAGGCCGGGGAGGTGGGGACTTGCCTTGTTCCTCACGCTCACGTGCTCCGAGGCGAGCTTGAGCAGCAGGGGGGCAAGGTAGGTGTTGAGGATGGACTGGAGCTTCGCATCCGAGTCGGCCAAGGCGATGCGGAGCTCGACTTTGGCGATAAGCGCGAGCTCGCGCTCTTCCGAAGAAGCCATGGTGCGGGAGGGGGCGCGAGCAGACTACACGGGCGGGCGGAGCAGACAGCGGGCCATAAGGGACGGCGCGGTGGACATCTGTCTGGAGCAGGCAGGCCTGGCTGCGCGGCTCTGGTGAGGCGTCGAAGGCAGATGCTTGCTTGGCCTGGCTCGTGACCCGCGGCGCCGGAGAAACAATTGCGATGCCTCGCCGCGATGACGCCAAACCTGGCGCCGGAACCCAAAGCTACCTAAGCTCTACCTTCCACCTCGCCGCACCGCCCCTCGTCTGCCCGGCCGCCCGCTCGCCCTCGCGCCCTCCTCTGCCCCTCGTGCCCTGCTCGCCCCGCCGCCTCTGCCTCGCTCGCGGCCGCCGCCGCTCCGCCCTCCAACCGCCTGCCAGCCTTGCTGGGCCGAGTGCGAGCCCACCATGGACGACAACATTGCCAGCTTCACAAGCATCACGGGCGCCGACCCCCAGCGCGCCGCCCAGTACCTGCAGCTCACCGACAACAACCTGGAACAGGCCATCCAGCTGTTCTTCGACAGCCCAAACTTGGACCTCGGCGCTGGTTCCGCACACCCCTCCTCGTCCGCTGCCGGCGCGCGTGCCGACGAGCCCATCAACATCGACTCCGACGACGATGACGACGATGCCGCCGAGGACGCTTCCCGACCCGGCCACAGCGTCGAGGATGACGAGGCCATGGCTCGCCGCCTGCAGGAAGAAATGTACGGCGCTGGCGGGCGTGACGCAGACGCCGATGTGCGCGCCCCGATGGCGCGGACCACCGAGACGTTGGTCGGGCCCGGCGGAGGCTACGATGAGGATGACATGCACACTGCCATCATGTCTCAGATGGCTGCCCGGCGGAGACCGCCTGGTGAGTTGCGGGCCAAGGAGCGCCGTGCCACAGTTCCTCTCTTTGCTAACTTCGCTGCCAATTCGCGTCTAGGCCGTGCCGGCATCTTCAACCAGCAAGCCGCCTCCCCCTCCGTCTGGGAGAGCGAGGGCGATCCCACCGAGCGCCGCCGCGACCTCGCCACCTCCACCGGCGGGGCTTCTGAAGCCTCGTCAAAGTCCAGTCTTCTCGCCGAGATGTACCGCCCTCCCTTCGAGATCATGTGCCGCCTGCCGTGGGACGAAGTGCGGGACCAAGGGAAGGAGGACTTGAAGTGGATCCTTGTCAATGTCCAAGATCCTGCAATCTTCGACTGTCAGGTTCTGAACCGCGACATCTGGAAGAACGACCAGATCAAGGACACCGTCAAGGAGAATTTCCTTTTCTTGCAGTACAACAAGGATGACGCGCGCGGCAGCACCTATGTGAACTACTATTTCCAGGCGCGTGACAGTGAGGACGCATATCCGCACATCGCCATCGTGGACCCGCGCACCGGCGAACAAGTGAAGGTGTGGTCAGGCCCACCGGTGCCAAAGCCGATGGATTTCCTCATGCAGCTCCACGAGTTCCTCGACCGCTACAGTCTCAAGGCAAATGCACGAAACCCCATCGCCAAACGGAAGCCGGAAAGCAAGAAGAAGGACGTGCACCGCATGACGGAAGAGGAGATGCTGGAGATGGCTCTGCAGCAGAGCATGGCTGGTAGCAATGGCGGCGGTCCTCGTGACGAGGATCCCGATGAGCTCACCAAGTCCGCTTCAGACATCAAAGGCAAGAACCGCGCCAGCGAGTCCATGGACGTCGACGATCCGTCTGCAGCGAATGGTGCAAGCGCTGCCGACACGCCTTTCGCAAGGATCTCATCCACCAATCCCCACGAGGAGCCTCCCAATGACCCCAAGACGACTACGCGCATCCAGTTTCGCCATGCCGGTGGCCGCGAAATTCGCCGTTTCGCACTTGCAGATTCGGTACGCCGCATCTATGAGTGGCTCAAGGCGTCCCCGCTCGAAGAAGGCAAGGCCGGTGCTGAGTTTGAGCTCAACGCTCTCGGTATGAACCTTATTGATCACTTGGACGAGACGATCGAGGACGTCGGTTTGAAGATGGGCACCATTATGGTGGAGTACGTATAGGCCGGGCTTTAATTATATTGTGCATATGTTAGAGGATTTGAGAACGGCTACGAAAGTGCCGGTAGACAGACCTTTAATACTGGCTAACGGTATTACATGCGGCGTTGCGGAAAAATAATAGGTATTAACGATAAACCCCTTAGCCTAGCGTATAGTAGTTTTAGTTGAAAAACTTATAAACTACTACTATAAAAATATTCTTCGATTAATTACTAAATAATTAAAGAAAATATTTCGATAAATTACTAAATTACTTTTAAGAAAATTATTAAATTTATTTATTTTTAACGAGAAAACTTTAAATATATTTAAACTACTACTTTTTTAATAGAGAAAATTACTAATAATAAATTACTAAAATATTAAAAATATTATATAGCTATTATTAAATATATTTATTTTTAATATAAAAACTCTAAATATATCTATTTAGCTTAAATATATTTCTTTTTATACTTATTATATTTAAAGTTATTATATATACGTTTAAATATCTTATTTAGTAATAATAAATTACTAGTATAAGCTTTAGTAACGTCTAATAATATAATATTAAACTATATAAATACTAGTAAAATAGTATTAAACTATATAAGTATTAATAATAAAATAATATAAGTATTAGTAAGATAGTATAAGTACTAGTAAAATAGCGTAAATATTAAATAAATAATTTTAAGATATAATAAATTACTAAATTATCTATATTATAAAGAGTAATAATTAAAAGCGATTTATATTTATACTAAAAACTCTAGATATAATACTATAAATTTAAAAGTAATTTTTTTACTAAAATTTACTATCTTTTAAGCGCTATAAAATTTTAAAAAAAATTAAATTATAATATTCTCTTTATTTTAATAGTATTATTTAAGTATATAAACGACGATTATACTAAAAAATAAGTATATATTATATAAAAATATTAACTTATATTATTAAGAGAATTACTTTTAAATTTATAGTATTATATTTAAAGTTTTTTTATTAAATAAAATCGCTTTT